ACTGGACCACCAACCCGCTGCCCCCAAAAGCCTCCCGAGGATCCTTGCTGAAAAACACGACAGCTAAGATACATAACTGTATTTCATACTTCTGTCCCAGAAGCGCGACGTTTGTTTGTGCCGCGTCTGAGACCACCCCTGAATTTCTGACTTCTGTCTGCCCCTGGACGTTGCAGTGAGGCTGTAATACATCTTTCGAACCATTGCAGGGGTGCGTGTGATGGGAAGGAGGAGAGGGAGAAAATGAGAGAAATACGTCGTAGATGCAAAAGGAGAAGCAGGAGAGGGTACCAAAGAACGAGACACCTCATCGGAGGTCCTTCAAGGTTGACTTGTGACGAGGCCCTGCATGTCCGTCTTCGATTTCCCGTCTCTCGATTTTTTTACACTGTAACGTACATGTACGTCGTATGGGCCGAGTGACCAAACACTCGGATCGAACTCCGTTGGTCGCGCTTTCCGTTGAGGAAAGGCTCCCAGGCTCGCCAGGAAAAGAAGAAGGAAGGGAAAGAGGCGCACTTGCCAGTACTGGACATGATGGTGGGGTCGACACAGCGCGAAAAACAACACCAACTCTCCGGACCAAACCCAAATAGAAGAAAACAGACGAGAAGTAGGAAACGAGGACAAATGGCAGGGCACGGAAGGCGCGACGAACCATTGGTTAAGATGGTAAGTGCCGCTCTCCAACGTGCGCTAAATCCGTAGTGAACAATTCATTGGAAGGAGCGATGCTTGGCACGGCTGATTGACAGTTCACATAGTGCAAGGCAATGTACCTGTTTAGTGCAAGTTATATAGCAGAGGTACATCTTACTGCTGCTGTTGGCAGGATGCCTAGTTGCCAACAAAACAAAACTTCAGTCGCTAGATGCGACGGGAAGGAGTTAACTGACAGGGCATGGGCCACGGAAAGGAGACCCACTTGGTCTTAGCATCGCACTCGGTACTCAGTTCTGCAGAAACAGGCAATATCATCAGACAAGGCCGACAACGTGCTAAAAACTCATGAGTGAATATGAGCCTCGCATAAGCTGAAGCCTCATCTACAGTTGCTTTCTCTAGGAAAGCATCTGGGGACGACTCAGCCCGCAAATTCGATTATTCGCTTGGAGACAGATAGACGGGGTGTTTATAAGAAGCTTTATGACCTTCTTTGTGTTTTTTTATCGATATTTTTCTGGCGATATCTATAGGCTTTCCGTCTTGAGATTGTCACAATCCTGAACAAGGGAATGTGTGTCTGGTTTACGGCGTCATTTCTGATCCCGCCTGGCAGGGGGCGCGTAAAGTATCTGACAACCGGGTGACTATAAGTTGATGTCGCCTGAAGCTTTGTCCCCGGCGAACACAAGATAAAAATAGACGCGGAAAGTAGCATTCTGTGCAAAACAGTAGAGGAAATAGAGGGGGAAAGGTACAAATATGGTGTCCGTGAGTAGACTCGAGTCGGGTGCCTGCAGGATTGCCGTCCGCGAAATCTATTTCAGAGTTTTCGTGTGTTTCCAGCATCGGGTACTAACATCTCTGTTGTCTCTAGGAGAATGTCTGAGTAAAGAATATTCAAAAAGGCAAAAATGACCACTTTGTGATGAAGTCAGGCCTACGAACCAAATTGTGATAGGCTACGGATGGCACGCAAAATAAAAGATACCGCTGGAAACCTGCTCTGGAGCTTCGTGGCGTTATATTTCATTCTTTCAGCGCCATATGGGGATGGCTGATTACATATCATTCCGGAGAGGACTGGGCTAATGAAAACGGAGCAGGATAGATAACAGCATATCGAGAAACAGATAAAGGTTTTCCAACCGTTGCACAACATCCCAAGACATGGTTCAGCTGGATTTGTGCCCTTGGGTCCTTCCCAGGAGTCGGGAACTGCCAGTTTCACTGCTTAGCATCAGCATACCTTTACTTATCGCGTGCTCATCGCCTACCGTTCTATATTTGTATTGTGTCTTGTATCCTTTCGGATTCTCCGACCCTATTCTCGATTTTTACCCTCGATGTTTCTCGCCTTCTCCACATTTTGATATCAGTGGCTAAAGACATTTTAATACCAGTCAGGATACAGGACAGGTCTTCCAGAATTACGCATTATATGCATGCCGATAATCGTATGCAGGGCTCGTAGGTATCGATGTATTCACCTTTATGTGCGCCTGGCGTTTTTCTGTGCCCGTTTCGGGAATCTTGACGTGGTGAACAGACACTACCAATATGCAATGTCCGACTATGCATACTGTATGAAATATCGTTTTGACTCTTCCCTGGAATGTTGCCTCAGCTCCGGTATAGCATAATTGTTAGAAAAGGTTGAGGGAAGGGGGCTGCCTCTTTATCGTTCTGTTTCCGTTTCCTTGGGCTGCATCATGGTGTCCAACCGAATGCAACCATCTAGCCTTTCGCAGCCATATTGCCAGACAGAGAGCCGCTTGTTTAATTCCGCACAGTCTTTTGCGCATACCTATAATATATTGAGATCTTTTTATGCGCAAATACAGGTTGAGCTGAGCTGAAGAAGCAATGCGATGAAGCACGAGGCTTGACAACCTCCTTGTTGAGACATACGAGCCTGGAGCCAAAGGACACCGACACAATGTGTCAAGGAATGCTCTGGCCCCTCTTTTCGCTTTCAGCCGCACTTCACGAAGAAGGCCATATTCATATTGCTCACAGACAATTGTTTCTTGAATACTCCGTTGACATACGAAGTAGTCTGAAGACAGAACGGCGTAGCGTAATGCGAGACACCAGGCAAAATGCCTGCGTTGTGTCAGCACAGCCTCAATCTTGTGCTGGCCTACCCCCCACTCGTGCCCGTTTTGGACACAAAATAGTTGCTAAAACCAATGCTCCGTTCTTTCAATATTTGCCCCAATCCGTACGTCGTAAGGAGTACGGTGAATGACACTACCACCCTACGATTGGAGGGAGAGCATCCACCCCGTACAGTGCCATAAAACTGGTGCGTAAGGGACAAGTAGGGGATATGGCTGGTTTTTGCACTGGCTGCATGCCTTCCCAGGTCTTGTATGTTTGGCAAAAAACGTTTCTGCTTGGTTTTATTTGGGAGATGGTGACATACGGCAACTTCCGAGGTTTGGCAGGTATTCTCATCTTGCCGTGCAGGCAACGGCGTGCTTCAAGGCATACAAGAGTATGAGCACGGGAACAGGAACAACGGGGAAACAATAAGAGCTTGAGATGACCTTAAAGGCACTGGGTTGCTGCTTTTGATTTACCTTCTGCAACCTTTCGGGGATTTCCTTCTTGGGCACCCACTATGGAAATATTGATTCATGACGAGACAGGCCTGAAATTATACGGAATACCGCGCTATATTTCGCTTTATTTTCCTGTTAACGTTCTGCATGTTCTATATTTTCGGCAGCCATACTTTCATAAGTTGGGAATATGAACAAATGTGGTGAGCGCTGTGAATTGCCCTCCCACTCCCCAATGAAGTTGTATTCTGCAGCATGCAGGGCTCGTTTAATTCACGAATTTTCTCTTCTAACTTTCTTGCTACGTTTACGAACAAAAAAGAGGGCACAAAAAAAAGAAAGAACAAAAAACTATGTGACCATAATGTCTCGCTGCCCCTTTTCCATTAGCAACAGAACTGGAGGTCGACCTACAGTCAAGACTGACTAAACAGACCAGTTATCTCCCGTTCTTTCTCCATTCACTCTCTTCACAGCCTATTGGCCATCGACTGTCTCTCTTTTAACTAATGATATTTGTGGCACTGCCGTCGTGCAAGGTATCACAGTATCACATCATCCATTTCCGGAATATGGGGTAGAGAAGATATGAAAACAGGAGCCCGAGGGATGATTAAGAACAACTGTGAAAACAGTGTACGACATACAGAGCGGCTGTTCTGTGCAACTACAAGAAGAAAATGGCAAGTACATACGAAGAATAGGAGCATTGAAATCAGGTAAGTTTCAAGTGTGCTTCTATCTCATGTTCGCCGTCCAGTCTATTTTGTGTTCCCTTTTGCAGGTTGCTTCCACTTTTCAACTCTGTGAGTATTACGTTACCTCAACTTTACTGGCTGCACCCAACAGGTACTTTACGACCTCATTGTCATGATTACATTTCCTTTAATGAACTTCCTTGAGTAAAAATCTTGGATCCCTGGTACCAAACTCCTGGGCCGACAAAGACATACAGCAATGCAGACGGTGGTATAAAACATAACATTCTAAACTTTGAAGGACCAATCACTAGACCATTGTTTTAGTAATTATCCAACATGGTGATCTTTGTATACATCTACGCGTATATCTTGCAGTTTCATTTTTCGGACGACTAGAGACTCGAGGAAGAAAACACAGTAACTCTCTCATTGTCTGTACACCGGCCATTGTTGCCGTTGCTCGCTTAACAAGTATTGTTTGGGAATTTTGTGCTCCCTACTCGCAAACAAAGAGACCGATTTTCACCCAGAGATCATTTTCTTAACATATTTTACCATCCGTTTGAGCTTGTTATCGACCTTCCTCATTTTGTCACGTCTTAGAAAGAAAATTTGTTGAGAGTTATAAACAAAAACTACCAGTAAAGCAGGAGTTCCGGTAATAAGCCGGGTTTTATCCCATGTATAAACAGTTTCGGGGAGCACAGGATCGGTTAGGGACTCCTAATGTGTTAAAGAAAGCATCAAGGCATGTAAAAGTTCAGCAACGACGAGGTATGGTCTGGCTATTAAAGTCAATTGTCCAATTTTGGCCCATGTGACATTTTGAAGTCGCAGAGTTTATATACATACAGTCTTTGCGATCATAGCACAATCGGAGAGACAAAAAAACAAGTATCTGGTAGTAGAACAGTGTCGGCCAGTCCAATCTGGACCTGAAATAGCACTAGTTGAAACTCAAAATAACACCGGTAGAGACAAAAAACTTGACAAGAAATGATATAATATCCGTAGTCGTTACACGCCGTGCGTCCGTTTTTCCATTTTCATGACTCCCGAATTGTCTCGCTCACAGCTTCGAAGCAGGGCGTGCGCTGCCGACGGCAGTGATCTCGTTGTACAGCAGCGTTGTCAGGAAGTCGGCGTAGTCCTCGCCGGTCACCTGGGTTGAGAAGTACTGCGCAGCGAGGTGGTACTTGTTGCCGGCCGGTGCCGACTTGGCGAGCTCCGCGGCCTGCTCCTTGAGTAGCTTGAGGGCATACGCCTTGTCGACACGCTTGCCCTCGGCCGTGGACACGCCGTGGCGCACCCACTGCCAGATCTGGCTGCGGGACACCTCGGCCGTCGCAGCGTCCTCCATCAGGTAGTTGATGGGCACGCAACCGACACCACGGATCCACGCCTCCATGTAGCCCAGGCCGATGCTCAGGTTCTTGCGGATGCCGGCCTCGGTGATCTGGCCCGGCACGTTCATGTTGAGCAGGTCGTTGGCACCAATGCTGACGTCCTCACGGCGCACAAACAGCTGGTTGGGCGTGGGCATGTGCTTGTCGAAGATCTCGGTGGCAATCGAGGCCAGGGCCGGGTGGGCGACCCACGTGCCGTCGTGGCCAGCGCGCACCTCGCGGAGCTTGTCGGCGCGGACACCCTCCATGGCCTTCTCGTTGGCGGCCGGGTCGTCCTTGATGGGGATCTGGGCGGCCATGCCGCCCATAGCGTGCACACCACGACGGTGGCAGGTCTGGATGAGCAGCTTGACGTACGCGTCCATGAAGGGCACGGTCATGGTGACGGCGCTGCGGTCCGGCAGGACAAAGTTGGGGTTCGAGCGGAACTTCTTGATGGTCGAGAAAATGTAGTCCCAGCGGCCGCAGTTGAGGCCAGAGCTGTGGTCGCGCAGCTCGTAGATAATCTCATCCATCTCGAAGGCAGCGAGGATGGTCTCAATCAGGACAGTGCCGCGGATGGTGCCGCGGGGCACACCGACATAGTCCTGGGCCAGGTTGAAAGCGTCGTTCCAGAGGCGGGCCTCGAGGTGCGACTCCATCTTGGGCAGGTAGAAGTAAGGTCCAAAGCCGTTGGCGAGCGAGGCCTTGGCGTTGTGGAAGAAGTACAAGCCGAAATCGAAGAGCGAGCCAGACATGGGCTCGCCGTCAACGGTAAAGTGCTTCTCTGTCAGGTGCCAGCCGCGGGGCCGGACAATCAGCGTGGGCAGAGTGCGGTCGGTGCGCAGCTTGTACTCCTTGGCGCCCTGCTTGAAGTCGATCTGGCGGCGGACGGCATCGTAAAGGTTGACCTGGCCGTTGATCATGTTCTCCCAGGTAGGAGCGCTCGAATCTGAGCTGTGTTAGAGACGAGTTCTACGAATCGACTTCTCGCAATAAAAGTAGATAAGACCTTACCCTCAAAATCAGCCATGTACGTGTAGACATTGGCGTTCAGGGCGTTGACGACCATCTTGCGGTCAGTGGGACCAGTGATCTCCACGCGGCGGTCCACCAGACCGGGCGCGGGCGGCGCACCCTTCCATGCGGAGTTCTCGCGGATGTGCTTGGTCTCGGGGAGGAAGTCGGGCAGGACGCCGCGGTCGATCTCGGCCTGGCGCAATTTCCGGCGCTCCAACAGAGACTTGCGGGTAGAGTCGAAGGAGCGGTGCAGCAGGGCAAGGAAGGTCAGCGCCTCAGGCGTGAGGATCTTCTTGTGCTCCTCCGTGATGGTGCCGAGGACATTCACGCCCTGGAGGATGTTCTCGGAGGACGGCATTGTGAATGGTTGGAGGAAAGATGGATGAGTAGATGGTGGAAATGTGGTGGGAGAGGAAGAGAGAGTGGATGTTGAGCGTTAGAATCTGCCAATGGTGGAGGAATGGCAATGCAAAAGTGACGATGATGAGGAACAGGAGTAATCACAAGGAAACGGGAGAGGCAGGGACAAAGGCGAGGGATGACAGCATTCAAATACAATCTCCAGCCTCGGGTTCTTCTCCATCGCACCTGCCGACTAACGCCCCTCCGGACCGAGTAGCTAGTATCTACGAGTTTCGGACGTCTTGGGGGCGAGAGACGGCTTTGCTCTAGTCCACGAGGTAAGACCAGCGCGTGGTGTTAGTGCTCCACTGCTTTCCTTGTGCGAAGGAAGGAACGACTGTTACAAAGGTGGGCGATTGGTCGCTCGGGTGAGAGGGAGAGGTGGTGAGGTAGGGTGGCAAGTGCAGTACAGCTACAAACTACGTCAAGTCAGAGCACGTCGCGCCTTCCTTCTCCAAAGAACGACAGACAAGGCAAAAGATGGCAAAAGCCCAAGAGAGCTTGTGAAAGTGTGGGGAAGGCGCGACCCTGATTGGGCAGCTAGTCGGCCGAACTGATAAGTTCCTCGTGCCACAGGTAGCCAGCCCCAAAAGCATGTGCTTTGAAGAAAGAACGACCGGCTTGAGGAACGTCACAGATATGCGAAGCTGAGGAAGGCACGATCTACAAGTTTTGGTTTCTTTCTTCTACAATATTACTATGGAAGGCTTTTTATTCGAATTCGACTCTTTCTTGATGCTTCGATTTACTATTATTTCCAATTAAAGACTGAGAGTCGGCAGAAAAGGGAAGAAAGCATGCGCCCTCGCACTGACGGAAAAATTTGCCCAATGCAACGGACCGCACTCGCCTATAGCTTTTTTACCCAAACGGGAACACTTGAAGAAAACGGCAAAGGCCGGAATGGCAGGGGCATAGAAAGGAGAGAAACGATGAACGAGGGCATCCACCATCAACGTTAAGACTATGGGGAATAAGAGAGTGACTGCGTCACAGGCTGCACCTCTTTCCTATTTGGGTACTATTGCCGGATGCAGTTTAGCTCGAAGTATGTTCTGTGGTAAAGCCGACTCCGCAGTCGCGCCTTCCCCAGTAAGGTAAAATCGCAGTCCAAAGCATTGTGCATATCAGGCAGTTGACGGCGAGATTGCTGAGGACGGAAGCTGCGAGTCGACCATTCATTCTTTTAATCTTTGCCTTTCCCCGTTAATTCTGAATTTCTATTCATTCTTCTCCTCCTCCTCTCAAGTCGCTTCGGCGCAGTGCATTATTGCCGCTCACTGACAGCGCCTGGAAAGCGCGAACTGCCAGTGCGACAGCAGCCCGCCCAATGACAGGCTCCGCTCTGCCGAACTGGTCATCCCTAAGCCGGTGCCGAGGCTTATTAGTGCACCTTCTGCCCGGGAAACTGGGCTGAGGCAAAAGAGAGACGCGCTCAATCAGGCAATGAACGGTTCCGGCCACGAGTGAAAATACGACTACGACATCTACGACATACTATTCGTGCAACAAAACGACAGACACGGTGGGCAGGCCAAGCCGATCGTTTCCGAGACTACAAAATGACGTTTACGGTGGGTCAAGCTGAAGCTCTACTGCCAGAGTCGAGAAGGCAAGACAGACGATAGGCCGAAATGAATGCAGAATTGATCATCTTCCTTCTGTGTGGTTTTGTTCTTGTTGTCGTCGTTGTTGTTCGGTTCTTTTCTGGCCTATCCCAGTATTCTGGGGTTCAGGGGCCGTTGTTTGCGTCTCCCTTTGGTGCATTCTTGTTCAATTGGAGATACATACATCGTTACATGCCATTGCAAGGCGTTGAGATGTCGCGGCAATGTGCGTTGAGTCCCTCTACGCCGCCTGACTTTTGTCTAAATTTGTGCTCTCGCTCTTTCTATCCAGAACTTCAGAAAAAGGCAAAAACAAAAGGAGTAAGACGGGGGTTTCACCCTTGTTCAACTACCTAAGCCTTGTACAGGCTGGGACCGACCATCAGCTCCGGCCGGACGAGCGTGTCGAATTCCTCCTCGGTGAGGGCGTTGAGCTCGAGCGCACTTTGCTTCAGGGTCAGACCCTTCTTGTGCGCGTTCTTGGCGACCTTGCTGGCCATGTCGTAGCCGATCTTGGGGTTCAGGCAGGTGACGAGCATTAGGCTGGAAATGGTGTCAGTAAAAGAGGAAAACCCGGCGGATGGAAGGTGAGAAAATAACGGAGACGGACTCGGCTCTTGGGGAGAAAGAGGTGGAGCGGACCAGGATAACTTACGATTCCTTCATAATGTTGCTGATCTTCTCCTCGTTGGCCTGCAGGCCAGCGACGAGGTTCTTCTCAAACGAGCGCATGCCATCCGACAGCAGGCGGATGCTGTGCAGCACGTTGCGGATGATCAGCGGCTTGTAGACGTTGAGTTCGAACTGGCCGTTCATGCCACCAATGGTCGTCGCCACATGGTTGCCCATGACCTGGGCGCACACCATCGTCAGGGCCTCGCACTGCGTGGGGTTGACCTTGCCGGGCATGATGCTGCTACCGGGCTCGTTCTCCGGCAGGTTCAGCTCGCCGAGACCACAGCGGGGACCGCTGCCCAGGTAGCGGATGTCCTGCGCAATCTTGGACAGCGAGGTGGCCAGGGTGTTGAGGCAGCCCGAAGCCTGCACGAGCGCATCGTGCGCGGCCAGAGCCTCGAACTTGTTGGGTGCCGTCTCGAAGTGGGTGCCGGTCATGGAGCTGACCTCGGCGGCAACGGCCTCGGCGAAGCCCACAAAGGTGTTGATGCCAGTGCCGACAGCCGTGCCGCCCTGGGCCAGCTGGCGCAGAGACGGCAAGGACGATTCGACGCGCTGGATGCCGTAGTCAAGCTGAGCAACGTAGCCGGAGAACTCCTGGGCCAGCGTCAGCGGGGTCGCATCCTGCAGATGCGTGCGACCAATCTTGATGATGCCCTTGGCCTCGAACTCGTCGACCTTGGCCTGCAGCGCGGTGCGCAGGCTGCGGATGGACGGCAACAGCTCGCCCTCGATCTCGAGCACGGCGGCAATGTGCATAACGGTAGGGAAGGTATCGTTGGACGAGGCACTGCGGTTGACATGGTCGTTGGGGTGCACAGGCTTCTTGCTGCCCATGGTGCCACCCAGGATCTCGATGGCGCGGTTCGAGATGACCTCGTTGGCGTTCATGTTGGACTGGGTACCGGAGCCGGTCTGCCAGACGACCAGCGGGAAGTGGTCGAGCAGCTTGAGGTCCGCCACCTCCTTGGCGGCCTGCTGGATGGCCTTGCCAATCTCGGGGTCCAGGCCGTAGTTGATGTTGACGGTGGCGGCGGCGCCCTTGAGGATGCCAAAGGCGCGCACAATTGGGGGTGGCATGCGGTCCTGGGGCTGGTTGATACGGAAGTTCTCAAGCGACCGCTCCGTCTGAGCACCCCAGTACTTGTCCGCCGGGACCTGGATCTCGCCGAAGGCGTCGCTCTCCGTTCGTGTGTTCGACATTCTGACGGTGCTTGCGTGGAAGGAACGGGTGAAAGAGGCCAGGAGTTGTTGCGACGACGCAGGAGATCGGGTCATGCGAGTGAGGTTGTTTTGGGCAGCAGCTGTTAAACATGTGCTGGTAGTCCGAGGCACCGCAGTGCGTAGTAAGCCTCGGGCGAGGCCGGGCGCCGCAATTCGCACTGATCGCAGCATGATTATGGCCGTTTATTTGATCCTGTTTTGGCGTGTCCGTTGGCGCTGTTTGCCTGGGTAATGCGGGAGGGGTCGAATTCCCAAGGGCGAGGGGAAGCAGAGGACGAGCTGCAAGAAAGGAGGGGGAGGAGGAAAAGTGCCACCGTGCTTGGTCACTTGTTTCGTGTCGTTCTTTTTGTTTTCTCTGGAGAAAGCTTCGTTCGATTTTGCGTCAATTCACTTTTTTAATCAACGCCTTTTCTCGCTATTCGGGATTAAATTAACACGGTCGGTGAGAGATAGGAGGGGATCGAAAAAAGTGCGGGCATAAGCAGTTTTGCTCGTATTGTGTCCCACCCGGGGAGTTCGTTTTCCAGCCGTTTGGGGGTCTCACGCTCAGTTTTTTTGTATTTATGAGGTTATTTCCCCCTCGAGATTAGGAATTGACGATTTTTATGCCGGGCTCGCGTTCTACGGAAACACACACGGCACATTGGAGAAGGAACGACCAGCGAAAGGGGGAAAGGGCAGCGACCAGGCTTTCCGAACCAGGTGAACTACAAAATCCCTTTCTCTAATGGTTTGCACTCAAAACACGGAAGGCACGCTCGTAGGGGAAAAGAGCCACCGTCACTCAACAATCCGTTCAACAAAAAAAAATTAGCTCACCCTCTAGCGGATGCAGAGCAGCCTTAACACTGTAACTGTCTCGACACCCCACAAATGCAGCCGAAACCACAATCCTCCATATAGCCCTTCAAGCTTGTATTCCGATCGTTTCCGGCAGGCCGGCCCAACGCACAATACAAGGTCACGTGTATATCCTCCATTCTTTACACCGTTTTTCACTTTGAGGCATCGCTGACCATCGCGGAGATTGGAATACAAACACAAACACAAACATGAATACAAGTAAAATAGTATACTGACGAAGACACTATTTTTTTTTTCAATTGTTTCAGAGACATGATGTTGACGTACCTAAGCTATCAAATGGCAACACAAAGTCCACTGAAATGTGAACAGCACCCTGCTTAATTGTTTCCACCTAGTTTTTTGCAACATCGATTTCCCAGTTCTTTTTCTACACCCTTTTTCGTTTTCATTTATTTTTCTGAGTTCGCCTTCATGGTACTCTCTAAACAATACCCCTCGTTTCCTCGACCGCATCATGGCCTCATACATCACCGCCGACGGCCTAACCTGGAGTGGATGAACGGTGAACTGCACCTATTACGACCAACCAACAACCGGTACATCGTTGGCATCGTCGTCGCCGCCACCCCAACCGGTGCCACCGGCATCGCCATCGGCCGGAGCGTCCCACGAGTCACCTGCATCGCCCCCGGCACCCCAGCCGTCGTCACCGCCGTCGCCGGCAGTGAACTCCTCGAAGTCGGAGTCAGCCTCGAACTTGAGGTTCTCGCGGGCCTCGCCCTCGGGAATGTACATCTCTAAGAAATCGGGGATTTCCTGCTTGGTCTCAAGGAGAGTGCGCGTAAGGACACTCGCAATGGGCTCGTCCCGGTCGGTGTAGAACGACGTCGCAAGACCGCGGTGACCAATGCGACCAGTCCGTCCTGTTTTAGAGATAAAGTCAGATCAATGTACGCTACAAGGAGCGATGAGGGGTGGTGGAACAAGTCGACTTACCAATACGGTGAACGTACTCCTCAATGCCGCCGTGGTCAAGAGTGGGGAGATCGTAGTTGATGACATGGTTTACATTGTGCACATCGATTCCGCGAGCAGCGACACCGGTAGCAATGAGAATCGGGCACTCACCGCCACGGAACGCACGCATGGCATCCTCGCGCTCCATCTGGGTGCGACCAGCATGGATCGAGGTGCAGGGGAGACCAAGGTTATACAGGAAGTCGTCAAGCTCGTCAGCAGTCAGCTTGCGGTTGACAAATATGATGGTTCGGCCGGGTGGGATGGAGTTGAGAAGCTCAACGGTAGCCTTGCGCTTGTTTGCAGGATCCATGTACGAGATCACCTGCTGGATGTTGCCGTGAGAGCTGCCAGCACGGCCGACACGCAGACGACAGTGGTCGTTCGCAAGGTACTCCTTGGCAAGGTCCCGCAGACGCTTGGGGAACGTGGCCGAGAACATCATGTACTTGATATCACCATCATCTTGGTCTGAAGGAAGGCGTTAGGCAAAATTTTGTTCTCGACAACTACATAGGACTGGACATACTTACCACCTGAGAGAATGCGGCTGAGATCCTCACCCCAGTCATCCTGCAGCATCTCATCAGCCTCGTCAAGGACCATGAACTTGACACGACGGAGAGACAGATGGTTAGGGCGGTTCATGATGTCAATGAGACGACCAGGCGTGGCAATGAGAACATCACATCCGCGACTGAGCTGCTCCAGCTGACCGCGGATCGGACCACCGCCGTAAATTACGCAGGGGCGGAGCATGGTACGGTAGCAGAACTTGCGGGCCTCATTGAAGATCTGAATTCCAAGCTCACGGCTGGGGGCAACAATGACGACCAACGGCTCAGCACGCGCCGGGGCGTCTAGACCCGGGCGGTAGGTCGCCGGATTAGGGCGAGCAGCGGCAAGCTTCTTTGCCTTTCCCATGAGGTGGTTCAGGATGGGAATGAGGTAGGCAGCCGTCTTGCCGGAACCTGGTTTCAAAGTAAGTTTGTATAAATGAGACCGGTCATGACAACAATGGCGCTACGTACCAGTTTGAGCAATACCCATGACGTCGTGTCCATTGATGATGGCGGGAAGACAGTACATCTGGATGGGAGTTGGCACCTTGTAGCCGGCCAATTCGACGTTGCGGCGCATCGCAGGGTGGAGACCAGCCTTGTCAAAATCGTAAAAAGGAGAAATGCGAGTTTCGCCCTCCTGGGTAACCTTGATTTCAGCAAGTCTATATAGAAGCACGTAATATGGTTAGCGAAACAAAGAAGGAGCAAAAGTAGTTGTAAAGTGTCCCCCTCGGGGGGGGGAGAGCTAAAAGAGACACAACACTGGTAGTAACTTACGTCGAAAAGTCAATACCGGAACCGGAGCGCTTCTCTGGGTCTCCAAAAAGCTCGCGCTCGAGCTCTTCCGAGGCGGGGCCGACGTCGCCTTCCTCGCCGGACCACTCGTAGACTGTAGCGTTGCCGGCCCAGTCGCGGAGGACTTTGGTGGGGTCCTGCTCGGCCTCGTAGTTGTACGGGGTGCTCTCAATCCAGCCAGCGTCTTTGATCTGCTGGCGCTCACCGTCGAAGCCGGGGTAGAGCTCCGGCTTGACGGCAATGTCGAAGCCATGATCTTGAGTCTGGTCCTCATCGCCACCACCACCATCAAGAGCCACAGCCTCGGCTGTCCAACCACCGTCAGCAGGAGTGCCACCCTGGTCAGGGCCTTCGTTCCAGGCAGCGGACATTTTCGGTCTCTATTGTACGGGAAACAAAACGCTGTGATCAAATGGATGGGGTTGTTAGGAACTGTAGAAGTTGTTTCTCATAGAGTCGCTAACTTACATGACGGCAAGCAGTAACCTGCGAATTCGGTACCAAAGCTGTGGTATTAGGTTAATGTATCAAAATATCGCGTGTAAAGCGGAAAATAATCTTCGATAGATGGTCGATAGATGCCAGCCCATAGAAAGGGTCGAGATGCCCCCCCCCGCTGTGAGCGAGGTTGTACAACACAGCGGGTGAATAAAAGTAAGATGCTTGTCTGCCGAGCATTTGTAGTGCTACCTTAACGCAGAAAAGAGCTGGGTATGAGAGTTGAGGGTTTTATGGGAGGAGAAAAGTGAAAAGAAGGCTTCGGAGAAAGACACGAACTTGATGTACAGGTCGCAGTGCACTATATCGCGAGTGCATCGGAGACAAGGGGAGGAATCCGGGGGGGTATAACTTACCTTTATAATGAAGCTATCCTTCTGAAACTGGAGCCAGAAGTCTCAAAAAATCCACAACGACACAAATGAAGTCCCAACCTCTACCCGTGGTGAAGCTGACACTGAGGAGAAAGGGAGGAAAGAAAGGGGAAAAGAAGAGGAAGGGTGCCAGGAGGGATAAATAAACACGAAAAGTTTTCATTGGAAGAATAAATTTTTCGTCGAAACAGAAGGTGCGAGAAGGTGAATATTGAGAAGGGAAGGAGCGAATGGCAGATGGAAAGAAGGAACGAGCCCGAGAAGGAAGGAGGGACGGGGAGGAGCGAGCCCGGCATCGCGATGGGAGCTCCAGCTAGTGTCTTTGTGCGTTCATCGTGTTAAAGAGACAATTTTTGCTTTGTATGAACAGGGATGGTAAAACTAACAATAGCGGTGCTCCTTGCCTTGATGAGTCGTTCTTTCCTACGCCAGAAGTCAAACTCCAGTGTAATGCCATTCACTGGTTGTTGTGCAAGCATTTTTTACAACATCTCGTGAAGTAGAAAAGCAGAAGAACGGTCTCCCATTAAGTCTCGACGCAGCAAAACTTCGTAGTACTTCATTCCTGTGCTATTCGGTATACAAAATGGAAACGTACCAAAAAAATTGAAGAGAGAGCAAGACACTATGTTTCCACCAAGAAGAGAAATAAGAAGCGCAGTAAACAAACGCGGAACGCCGTGACCCATGCATCCTACACAGCCTCCCAGAGAAACCGAAAAAAAAAAAAAATTCTCGCTCATGACGACTTCGTTAACTAACCGTAACCATCTGGTTATAGTCCTCCATGCCAGCTTGCAGCACATCATCGAGCGTGGCGGCCGCACGACCGACAGCACCGCCCTCGCGTCGTGCTTCCTCGATACCCCGGACGATCGCTGCCTGCCACCGTTTGGCAAACACACGCTGCCGGTCCTCACGGTCGGCATACATCTCGCTGTCTTCGTCGCGCGGCGCGCCAAAGAGGTTGAGGTGGCCAAATGGGTTTAGTGTACTGCTAGACGTGCTGTTGCTCACGCCATCGGGCGGAGGGGCCGACGGCTGCCGCCGGTACAGGCTGTCCCAGTAGGCTTGCGGGTTATAGGGCGCCGGTGTTTCACGGCGCAGGCCAATCTCCAAGAATTTGGTGAGTGCAGCCAGCTGCCGCGCAAACGAGGCGCCTCGCATGGCCTTGGAGCCGCCTGTGCCGCCGCCCTTGACAAGTGTGGCCGTGGATGAACCGGCAAAGGACGTCTTGGGCGCCGAGGACCAGCCCGATGACGAAAAAGACACACTGTTGGCGCCCGTGCTGGAAAAGGTATTGGTCTGCACGGCGGCGACCCAGCCCATCATGGCGCCGAGGCCGTTGAGCGTCTTGAGCCAACCACCCGGGCAGGCCACCAGCTCGTCGCCTGCGACGTCGAGAAGCCACTCCAGGGCACCAAGGGCGTCTTCACGGACAGCCGACGATAGGTTGGTGATACCGGCGCGGATGTACAGCAAGATCTTGCCGGCAGCAGGCCGCACGTCGCTGGGTGGGAGGACGCGGAAGAGTTTGAGGAGCTGGGCGCGGACGGGCCCTGCCGGGTCGGAGATGAGCGGAAGCAGTCGGTTGAGCAGCCCGGCAGTGCCAACAGGGTTGCTGTTGCCGGCATTCGCACCTTGCCTGCCGCTGCCTCCACTACTGCCGCTTGACAGCTGGCTGGTTAAGAAAGCCAAAGCATCGCGGCGCTGGTTGTCGGACCTTGATGTGGATGCAAGTGATAAGTTGTGACGGAATTGGACGGCCGGATCCGGTGCCTCTTCGGTTAGAGACTGCTGGTTGACAGTGATGGCTGATTTCATTAGTCGTGTCGTTAGAGAGATGGACTGAATAATACATCAGGACGAGAATTACTTACACTTTGTCCGGAAGCTTGTGTCGGTAAAGTTCGCCGCCTTGGCCTTTGCCTTGCCGACCTTAAGTTTTGGTTTCTAGAAAAGAAAGGATATTGTGTTAGCATCAAAGCCATCTTCGGTCTGGTCGTTTCGTTCTCTTTTGTCTGGTCGTTCTATGGCGTTCGTCGCCATTCGTAGAAGGCCCAATTCAACTCACTTGAAAGTCCTTCTGCTTCTCCTTCTTCTTTTTCGAGCTTGAGCCCATCTTGACAGCGTTGCACCTAGTATCAGTGGGTAAAGCACACGATGTGAGCACGAAGAACGGCTGTCTTGGTTGATGAAGGTTTGCGACAGTTGAACTTTCAACTTTTTGGCGGTCAAAAGTGGCAGAATCAAATGGGCGACGAGTCAATGGGCATGTGTGGGGCAGGACAGGTGGGGTGTGATACACTGTAGCTTCCCTTAGTCGCGTTTGTCTACCCACTAAAACACGGAAGGCACGTTTGGGCAGTCAAGCTGGCGCATTCTCCATACTCCCGTTGGTAGACTACACCTGGGACCACCGCCCTTCCGCCTCCTCCGATATCAAAACAACACAACGACAAGGATGTCTGCAGATATTTCAGTGGGTTTTAAGGCTTTTTTAATGTGCTATGCAATGAAAGCTACATGCTAACGGCCTCTTCGCGGCAGGGTTCCGGCACCAGCGATGTGCTCGACGAGACGCTCGGGCGTCTCGCAAAGAAGGCCGGCGTCAAGGCCACGATTTTGCTCGACCGCGCGACGGGCTCGATCCTAAAGATGGAAGGCCAGATCTCGTCAATCCGGACTTCGATTGGTCGTGGCAACGGCGGCAGCGGCAGCGGCAGCCATGGCGCCACGAAGGAGAGCAACGGAAGCACAATGGTGACCAGCAGCACGAGCATGGCGGCGGGCGGCGGTTTTGCAGAAGATGCGCTGTTGAGCGGTGCCGGCGGCGACAATGGAGTACCAGCGGATGACACAAAGGGCGCGCGTGAGCTGGCCGGGCTGGTGTGGAACTACGTGAAGACGTCCGGAGACCTCGTGGAGGCCATTGATACGGAGGTGAGAGCGTCGGGACGCAGAGAAGGCTTATCACAGTGGGCCGACTATGGACAACTAACCGAGAACAGGATGAACTGAAGCTTCTCCGGTTACGAACAAAGAAGCAGGAGCTTGTCATTGTACCCGACCCGAAATACCTCCTGATTGTGATCCACGACACACCGCCTGCTTAACCCTGTTTGCTATTAATTAGCGTTACGACATGGCTGCGGGTACCACGAAGGGAATGAATATGAGGAATCGATACAAGTGGAAAGGGCTTCTCACACCGAGACCCGACTATCGTTTGGCACGGCATGCAGCAACACAACGCATTGTCCGCAATCTCACACGGTAGTACGGGACCAAAAAATATGGACACCGAGAGAGTCCAGCTACGAAAGTATTTCAGGGCCACGTTGGGTTGTCTCGCACATACGGTCTCTCGTTATCACCAAACCCTACGAGACGACGAGACCTTCGTTGCAGTTTGGACATGCGGGCGAATAGGATGCCGAGCTAGGACTCTATTGATTTTTGCCTTCATGTCTTTCAACAACACATGAAAAAAACACGAAACAAATACTGGGAAGGTGAACGCCGAAATCAAGCGGTCAGAATGCGCCGTTGTTGGTGGAGATATATACCCTTTTTGTCATCTGCACATAAATTACAACCCCAGGAACAGATTTTACAGGGTTTACTGCTTCGTGGGATACATATCCTCGATGCTCCTTATCGGACTTGACAAGGTGCGGCGATTTTAAAGACGAATATCCCAAAACACAGCCGCTTGCTCGCCTTCCGTCTGTCTTCTATATTACTATCTTCTCTCTTTTCGGTGATGGTTCATTTTGGGCTTACCCGTAATTCCGTTCCATGTTCTAGAAAGCAGGGGTAAGAAATTGAAGCCCTGTAGTGCGGCCGTTATATCGGTGGTGCATATGTACGGCATGCGTCAAAAAGACGCAGGTCATCGGTATCTCGTTTCAGAATCAAACGGTATAAGAGATACAGCTTAGACAAGAAAAAAAATTTAAGGGTGCGAAAGCATGGGCCAGGAGAGTGGCTTGGCAGGGTAGGATGGCACATTAAAAGGGGGAACGGGCGTCTCATGTCGTCTTCTAGAATGCGACAACAAAGTTCATGGTGAAGATTATATTATTATTATAATATGTCTTTATCGTCTCGGCTGTGTGTCTGGAATTAGTGGGGGTTTCCAAAAGTGATGGAAAATTAATAACAACGCAGAACATATATTACTTTGCCGTCTGGTATGTGCCGTTGGCTAGATTTGTTTATGCAACCCGAAATGAGCAATGAAACGACGCTGAACTGACTGCCAAAAGGACCAAAACGTAAATACACGATGGTAAAGTACACAAAATAACGTGTGTGAAGCTAAGTTCTAAGTAGGACTGTAAACTTGTGTCGTCAGTTCCATCAAAGCCATTCGGTAGATGACCCTGTAAATCCCTCCAGCATGGCAGATCAGATGCCAGTGCAATCAATCGGAGCTGGTCAGCCCTGGGTTATTTGGCCAGTCCTTGTCTCATGTGCCGAAGCCAATGACGGCACAGTATTCCGATTGCAGGGTTTGGTTTCGACGGTAAGTTTGGTAGGGATTATAGACAGGGAGTAGTCATTCAGCCTTCTTAAGTTCTCAAACACGGCCTTGAGTCTTTTGAGCGGTTGGAGTTCGTTCAAGAGAGAGATAGAAGACAAAGACACTGGAGGGAAGTCTGACTTTAGCTGAAAACGTCTGGAAAGGAGCGACGTCGGGGAAGAGAAGACGAAAAAGAAGAAAATTGAACAAGCTGTCGTTGAAAAGTCTGACTATCCCAAGCAGAAGGCGGGCCGTCGCCGGTCTGGCCCTGTTTTTGTGTGTTAGTTTGATACAAACTTTGTTGGTCTCGTGGGAATGAAAATAGAAACACGCCGAGGCCACGGCATGATCGCCAGGGGCGGTCCAGCGTGTCATATGCAAGCCATTTTTGTCGAAACGAGCACGTCAGTGGACTGAACAAAGAAAAGGAAAACAGCACAGAAAACCAGGCACGGGGAAAGTAAAAATAAAAGAGAGAGAAATAAAAAAAACTAGCAAATAAATATCACCATTTACTACCATTCACTGTTCAGCTTTTACACAGCACACCGTCGGGATACAATCTCCTGGCCTTATCCGTGCATCTCGCGTTTTTATTAGGCCTCCGTGCTCCGATGAGCCGCAGCCTGGGTGGGCTCGAAACAGTTGTCGATCGACGGCGTACATCTTTTGCAGAAACGAAAATTGGGCAAAATGAGACTCTAAATGACGAAAACGAAATGGCGCGTGGCTAGACCACACGGTGTAGGATGGTGTTTAAAGTTATATTGCAACTGTGTTTCCTTTTATTGACTTCGACCTTGTTTTCATCCTGCTAAGGACCTCTACGTCGTATTAAATATGATCTCTATGCTTTGCTGTCCCCGTTCTGCCTCCAAATATGGATCCCAGGAGCACCAAGGAAGACAATGCTGGAAAATATTGTAAAAAGCCAAGCCCGAAGGAACACATGAGGAACCGCAGCGTTTCTATTCCATTGTGAATACGTTGTATTTTCTTAACGCCCCCGGTTCCAGTATCGTGCTCACTTTAGGTCTTCACGTAACGAAAAGGAAGGAAAGAAAGATTAGATGCAATCTAGGAAAATGCCCATAGGCGGCTGGTGATGTGCGAAATTTGGCGGCCTCTATACACTTATAATGCATGCGATTCCCCGTGTATATTGTCGAACTGCTATTGCATCGATACTCACCTGTTCTTACGCGCGACATGCCTGCACAACTAAGTACGACTACGTCCTATATGTAGCCAAATAAGACCACCGTCAGAGACGGAAGTAAAAGAGCAAGAGCCAGAAAGAGGAAAAGGTAAAACAACATAGATAGGCCAAAAACACAATACAATTCGCCCGGCAATGCTCCACGCGGGACAAGGAATCGATCTGACACGGCTGTCGTCCCCCGGATCCTCAACGCGCCCATGTCTGGCTTTCTGCCTGTCCTTCCTCCAGGGTGCTCTGTCTTGAAGGTCTGGTCGTGTCCGGTTTCCCTGGGAGCGTGGCTTCTTCTCGTTCTGCTTTTTTGTATTGTCTTTTTACTTTTCTTCCGTTTTCTCATTTTCTTTGATATGGTTTTGCTGTTTCTTTCTGCTCTTTTTTGTTCCTCGCATCTACCCACACATCGATCGTCGCATCATCGCAACACCGCCCCCCCACAAGACGACTAGGTGGCCTGGCCGACGACAGAACCACTCCTCACCATTGTTTCCATTGTTTGTTACGAGACAACCCACCACTACTCCTACTTAAGATCCCAGTTTATCGAACCTTTTCCTCTTCTGATCGTCGTATCCTGCTCTGATGACGCATCCTGCCACTCGACGGCCGATGGTGAAACCCAGCAGCTCCACTTACATCGCCATCGTCACTTATGCTTCGTGCAGAGAGTGACGGGTGGCAGCGACTGGGTGGACAACAACACATCAAAAGTAAGTCGCAGAGGATTAAAAGACATTACCTGTCTACTTTTCCACACGACCCGATGCCGTCTTTATCTATCCTCAAGCGCTCCGGCCGCGATGCGCCGCCGTGGTCGCTACGGTCATGGAACAATCCAAGTGACAACATCATCGAGACACCCGAAACGACAACGACAAGAACGGAAATCATGCCGGTATCAGCAAGGAGCTGTGCCGGTTCGCCCACTGCCGACAACATATTTGGCAGCAATAGTCGTAGCTATGAAAGAAACGGCGCCGATTTGCAGGGCGTCTCCATACCAGGGCCCATGACAACGACAACATCACCTTTGTCACCACCGAAGAAAGACCGCCGTGATTCCAAGCGCGACCTCTTGCACGGCCTCATCAGTCGGTCCATTCGCGGTGCTGGCCGCGCGTTGTCGACGTCCAGCCCGTCGTCTCCCCCCTCGTCGCAGTCTGCATCGACAACATCGCTCTCTCCATTGTCGTCATCCGTAGGATCGCCCACGTCGACGACAGCCACGGCATCCACTGCGCCCTCTCTATTTGCATCTCCGCCACAGACGTCATCGCCGTCGCCGTTTCACGAACGAAAGCCACGAACGGCTGCGCCGGCTCCACAAAAGCTGTACCGCCCACGACCGCGCCAGTCATCAGCTGCGCCTGCGTATTCGGGTGCATCGGCATCTAACAAGACGGTAAGAGCCTTTTCTATGCCACATTTTTTAAACTCGTTCCGTATTTCGCTTCTCGTTCGCTCGCGTTTCTTCCTTCCTTCCCTCCCAGCACGGGCCCGCCCGCTGGCCACCGTCACTAGGCTTGTCTACCACGAAGGCAAGAAAGTTTTTGTCGTCGCAGGTGACACTTTCCCAATGAGTGCATATTGTTGTTTTCTCATCAGCACAGCAAAAGGCAGGAGCCTCTCAATCGTCTGCTCCGTTCCTTCCAATTCTGCTGGCGCAGGGCCTACGGCACCAGCAGGAAAGAAGAAAGAGGCAAGAAGCAGTGGCGAATGGGCCGGTTCCTGTTCCTGGCCGCGTGACCAGTTGATCGTACCAGTTGCCGCTGCAGCGAGGGCGGGGAAACGGCCCAGAACAGGACCGGGTCAGGGACACAGGGCCGCGCTTGCCCACTCTGTCTTGTTCACTTGTCACTCCGTTCGAGTTTCGCAGTTGCCAATTCAATTGCGGTCGACGATCTCACGCCAGAACAAAAGTCCCCTTCTTTCCACGACGTTACGAGTTTTGCCATTGCGCCTTCCCTTGTTGCGCTCACCGTACCTTCACATGACTCGCTCTTGCCTCCGAATGCCCTAATCCCGCTCCCTTGCTCATTTCTAATCATCTCCGGCATCGCCTGCCGTAAAGAACACTCCTTTCACCTCCGCCTCACTTCTCAAAGAAAACTGTCTTACAATTACAGAGCTGACGCTTTGATTTCCTGCCCCCTCTTGATCAATTGCTTATTCCTTATCCCCAACTACCATTTCTTTGCCGTTCTCTGAAACAAGAGTCCGGCCAGTCGAGCGGAGCGCCTCGACGCTCCACCGATCGTGCTGCTGCCCTCTTACAAAGCTCCGTTTCCCGACAACATCTTTGCTAACTACCGATCTTCTGCTGGCCCCGCCGCGTGCATTCGTGGGCTTTTTCTCGATTTTGTGCTTTTCTCAACTTTAGAAAAAGACACCCTTGCAGTCCACATCTCCCAAGCTTCGTCCTCGAGCGGCATCCTCAGTAGACACAGCTCCATTCTTGCCTGACCCTTCGCGATCGATCTTCGTCAACGCCAACAAACCCCTGCCCTCTCCGCCGCCGCCCGGCAGCGAACAAGACGTCGGGCCGCCGGCTAAACCCGTGCTCAAGCTCGACCGCATCATGGCATCCCTCACCGACGATGACGTCGAGAAGCTCTTCTCCGGCGCCCCGCAGTACTTTGCCCGCTCCGAGGGCCACTTTACTGGCGCGCCCCACCCCAGCGTCGCATACCCGTGGGACGAATCGCTCGGCATCCGCGACCTGACGGACCACGTCCAGATTGAAGACGCCGCCTGGGGCAATGTCACCGCATGGCCCCACATCACCCGCCGCTGCAGCAGCAGCAGCGTGGCCGCCAGCATCAGCAGCATCGGCGCCGATCCGGCCGAAAAAGCCGGTACGGCATCTTCTGCTGCAGGGGGCAGACCGCACACACAGCCCAGTAATAGCACCGACAACCCCAAGAAGCGCAGCCACTTCTACCCGCGATGCCGCGAACGGCCCAGTATGCTCAGCATCCAGGGCCTCGAAAAGGGAACCGTTGGCTACGAAGCTGCCCTAGAGCTGTCGGTGGCAGATGGTCTACAAGAAGAGCAGTTTGGGTTTGACAACCTGGGTAACCGCCCCAATGCTGTCATCGAAGCCCGTAAGAAACTTATGGACCCAATTGCGGCGTCCGCAGCTGGACAAGCAGCCAGAAAGGGCACCCAGGGTGACTCGACCGACCCCCTCGACGACAATGCCAACGGCGTCAAGTACGTTGGCGAAACCCAGATCCTCGAAGAGCTCATCAAAAACGGCCGCCGATATGCCGACGGCACCTTTTACGTCCCAAACCAGAGCAAGCAGTTTTACAACGAGCTCTTCCACCACATCCTGCGTGCACCTCCTAAGCGGCCACGGTCATCTAGTGGCCACCACAAACGCTCAGGCAGTGGGGACCTTGACGCCGACCTGATTCCCCAGATCGAGGCCCTACTCGACGTCCTTGCAACCCCCAACGTCTGGATCGACTTTTCGCACGTTGAATGGCGCCTGCGTCTTGGCCAGGTCCTGTGGGCCTCGTCCCCGCAAGATGAGTTCGATCCTGGTGTCGGCTATGCGCAGCAGGACGGTGCCAATCCGACTGACGCCGCGCCGACGCCGACGCCGCGCCCCGCGACATGCGACGAACGCTATACCGAGCGCTACTGGCTGTTACTCCAAATCCTGCTTGCCACCGAGCTCCTGCTGCGCCTAGACGCCATCACCGACGGCGACGAGTACGGCCTAGAGTACGTCCACCCATCCGAAGTGCATCGCTTCGAAAAGGTCGCCAATCCGTCCGTGCGGTGGTCGCTGATGCTGGCCCGTGCATGGCTGGAGAATATTGACGTTGTGCGCGTCGACGAGGAGGAGAAGGAGGATGTGGCGGCGGCGGCGACGGCGGCTGCGGCGACGACCGAGAAGGAGAATGAGAAGCCAGCCGCGCCCGACCGGCCTAGCAGCAGATCAAGCAGCATCAGCGCACGACGCAGCAAGCGCGAATCAGGCAAGCGGCACACACTTGGCTGGATTACCACATTGACGAAGAAGCTGTCGCTCATCGAGGGCCACCTACACACATCCAAGGCTCCAGAAAAGAAGCACGTCTACGCCATGCGGGCCAAGAACGCCACGCGCCAATACCGTGGTGTCGCCCATTTTGCCCAGGAGCTCAAGTGGCCCAACGATCTGATCGGGCTCATGTCACAGAGAGCCCTGGATGCGGACCGCATTCGGGAGCCGTTGAACAACAAAATCACCGATCCACCGACACCCCGGACCAGCTCATCCACAGTGTCTTCAGCGTCACCATGCGCACCTCAACCGTCGACAGGCGCCAAGGGAAACCTTACGTTTAGCAGAGTGTTGCCGCGGCGGCGCAAAGTTGTGGCCGCCTTGCATCCGGGCGGCTGGCTCTCCAGGAGCTACCTGTCCGGCCTCATACTACCTGGTGACAGCCTTTGTAACCTGCTCATGTCTACCCTTCTCGAAGGCGACGACGAGGCGCTCAAAACACTTGGTCCCGTTGCCCACCTTGGTGCCGGTTTCGTGTATGGCGGCAAGAGCTTCTGGAGCACGGCGTGCATTGTGGGCCGCGTCCTGTCAGCCGGTGCAGGTGCAGCTGAGTGTATGGGATGGGTGTCGTCTGACGTCCTGCCACACAACCTCGGTGAAGGTTGGGTCAACATTGACGTCGACGATGTGGCTGGAGACATGCGAAAAGTCAACCGTCGCGCTCGCCTTTGGGGCAAGACCGCCATTGAGCGGGAGTCATCCGTGCTCGGCGATGCAGAACCCGAATCTGTCCTGCCCGCCGACTTTGTCATTCCCTACGAGGCCGTCTACAAACAGGTCCCACCCAAAAACACGCGGGTCGACCTTCAGCGCTTCCAGCTGTACTCCGCGCAGGACCCCAACCGCCCGCCGAAGAAAGCCGGCGATGGTAGTATCGAGCCGGCTGATCGGGCTGCCGAAGGTGATACTGAAACGCCCAAGGGTCGGGTTGGACCTTACGCAGCCGAAGCCTCGTTTGTCGTCTCCAGCGATGGTGGCCCGGGGCGCATTCTAAAGTACGACCTAGCGTACGACATCTACTTTGTTACTGCGCACCCGTGCGTGCCCTCGCAGCGCGTCAAGGTCGTCAAATCGCCATCCAGCCCGACCATCCAGCAAATTGATGTGACGGGCGACGGCGCTGCCGCTCGATCGAGCACAATTCACACCGTTGGCCACCCTCTGCATAAGTTCTACAAGTACGCGTCGATCCACCTCACGACCCTCATTGACCACCCGACCAAGAGTCTCGAGCAGCTGCTTAAGGAGTATGCGGCGACGCCCAGCTACCAGCCGGCCTCGCCCACTGCTACCTCCTCGTCGCCACTGTCGGACAATGCTGTGCTCGTCATCGACTGCATCACGGGCTTTCTTCCGCAGCCTGCGGCCCACGAGATGCCCATGTCGCCTGTCGTCGACCGTAAGCACAGCGTGTTCAGCTTTGATGGTGCTTCGTCGAGCATCTCGTCGTTCCCGCCCTTGACCAAGGAGATCTCGCCGATTGTTGCGCTGTCACCGGCTGCGCCCACCTTGCCCAATGATCTCCCAGAATCGTCGGCATCGCAGCAGCCGCACATTGCCAGTTGCGTTGCCCTGCCTCCGGCCACGCCGTCGTCGTCAATGTCGCCGGCACCGTCGCCCGCTCCCCGAACAGTCCACCCGACGGACCCGGCTGCCTCCAAGATGCACCACGAGACACGGCGCCGTCGCTTCGGGTCAGACATGGAGATGCTCGTGCGGGCACTGTGTGCTGAGCGGGGCTGGAACGCGCTGGTCAGCCGGCGGCGGCGAGGCTGTCTGGCGTGTGCGATCCGCGAGGCGGGTGCTCTCGGCTGGCGTGTCGTGATCCGTGTTGACTAGATGTAGACAAATCCTTTTCTTGTATGTATTTACACCATGTGTATATAGACTTCTTTTACTTTTTGTGAGCGGTTTATGTATATATCCCTATCTTTCCTGTTCAAAACACATCACATGGTCAGAATATAACGGTAGTGTTAAAAGAAGAATTCACGAAGTAAAAAATGCAAAACCTTTACAAATCGACATACATGACATGTTTGAAATAAAGTCAAACGGAGTGCAAGGCATGTGTATGGCTTTCTATTGTATTGCTATTTTGCAAAATTTTGATGTTGTGTTATAATATGCTGTCAATTTGAAATATACAAGATGGGTGGGAGTTACATGTTTGTAGTTCCTCTCTATTGCGCTCTGCTGCCCCGACCATAGATCGTTGATGACCGCGACCGCGGCCCAGGATGACAGCCGAAAAGAATGGGAAGCAAGGCAAGAGCGGAAGCACCGCTAGAAGCGAGTTCAAATAACGAATGCAAAGAGAAGGATGGCAACGAGAGCCAGGGCGAATGCGATCATACCCGAGATAGAGACGAGGAGCAACAGCAGGGCAATGACCAAATTCAACCAGTCCAAGGGCCGGCCGTTGCTGGTGGCGCCGCATGGTTGGTCTCCTACAACTCGTAGCCCACAGCACCGGCCTTCCACCCGTTGTGTTCGCCCGGGAGCTGAGCCTTCTCGTACTCGGCCCGCGACACATTGCGCCACTCCTCGACGGGGATCCAGCCAATGTAGGCCCGGTCACCGAAGCCGCCAATCCAGTACACGTGCGTCACCACCAGGCGCAGCCACTCCGACTGGTGGACACGACTGCCGGGCAGCCAGTACTTCGCGTCGGGATGCGAGGCGATGAAGCATTTCGCCAAGGCCGAGTCGGGAGCGTCCTGGCCGGTGATGGGTTCGAGGTAGCCGATGAGCGAGAAGCGGGGAAGGGCGGCGACTGAGGGAGGAAAGCGCTTAACCTTGGCCACGCCCTCCGACTCGTCCTTGTCATTGCCATAGCCAAACAGCTTCTGGATGCCGCTCACAAGAGACACGCGGGCCGGGCTCGGCGGGTGCGGAGGCTCCCACTGCAGGGCAAGGCTGACGTTGGAGCCGGCACGGGCGTTCTTGAAGGTAGTGGCAATGCTGATGGCCAGCAAGGTCGGGTTACCGGCGTTCTCGCTGTCGCTTCCGTCCTCGTTGCCTTCTTCGCAGGCCGCCAGGTACTCGGGAAGGCCGACAGGGACGCCGCCAAGACCGGCCGGGCGGTTCTCCCATGTGTGGAAAGCCGGAGGAGCGGAGCTGCCACCGACAGCAGCGTCGTGAGGGAAAACAGTAGAGATAGTACCGAAAGGGGTCAGCGACAGGATGCGGCGGGCCAGGACAGCAGACTCATACGACGTGGGGATAGTAAACCGCGGGTGTGAAGGCGACGCGGCGGCATCGTCATTGCCACCACCGTGGCGAGAGTGGAGGAAGCCGCCCTTGGCATGGCCGTTGTCGGCAAATAGGTTGACCTTGTTGTCAATGGGCACCAGATGCGGTTCGATGACGGCCGAGGCAGCGGCGCGAGTAGCCAGTAGAGCGGGTGCCCAGAACTTCATAGCCGCGAGGTTGAGCGAGTGGGAATTGCACAGGTGAGTATTAGGAGCGGCAAAGAGAGAGACAGGGACCTAGGTAAGCGGCAGGGAAGAAAATCTTGTGAGGTTAGAAGAAGAAAAATATTGGACCTGCGGAAAAGAGGCAGAGGGAGAGGCAAGGCAAAAGTGAGACGATGAAAAGTAGGGAGAATCAGGTTATGGAAGGGGCCACCAATTTGCTGACATGCAACGGTGCTTCTTCCCTGCGGACAGCAGGAGCAAGCGAGCGGAACGAGAAGAGAAAAATAGGAAGTTGCGTCCCTTATCACAACAGGTCACGTCGTAGGAAGGGGCGTTGGGCGTGTTGATGTTTCTTTGTGTTACGAAAAGAGGCGGAACAAGCAAGTGCGATGCGCGAGTGGTACTAGAGGAAGCATAAACAGTGATGGGGGCAGTTTGCATGGCCTGGCGCAGGGTCCCATCTTAGAGGCACATGGCACTCATTTAGCGAGTCTAATAGTAGCCTAGTGGTCTAGTGGTTACTGTCCCAGGCCTACACGAGATGTGGTGCACAAAGAATCCGAGGATGTGAAGCCGACCAACGGACAACTTCGGATGGCACTGAGGAGCTGCCCTCGGCTCGGGTTTGAGCTACTTTGCCTTCTTTCTTTTGCTGTCTTGTCTCATCCTCTTCCTTGCTTGATTTTGGTAGACAGCGGCAAATGTCGGGGGTGGCAGCCAGCTGCTTCTGCCAAACAGAGCACGGGATACTATCGTCACTTTCGATTCTACAACATATGCTGTGCATGTTGAGGCATTTGATTTCGTTCCCTCGCCCTTTCGAGTAAGACCCTCTTTGTTCACTCGACCTCAATTCGTCGCTCGTCGGTCTGGGCCTTTCTCATCGCTCCATCCTACTCCGTTCGTCCTACGAACCAAAAGAGCTTTCGGTTCCGTCTTAGTTAATAAGCCTCCTTTTTGCTGAACTCGCTCGTCATGCCACTGAGCTGCTTTTAGACTCGTTCATTCTTCTTTTTGGCCTTTTCTCGTCCCGTGTGTATGTGAACTTCGCTCTCTTCGCATGGTCCATACGGGTGCCAACCCGTTTAGCTCCGAGTCGCCGCAGAAGACGTCTCCACCTCGTGTCTCTTGGCTGCAGGCGCATCTTATCAATCAGGGATCAGTACAAAGTACTTACTGGTGGTCCAACGCGGGCAACCGACAGCCGTTGAATTCCAATTTCGAAGATATGTGTACAGAGGATTCTAGCTGCCGGTATGAAAAAAACGAAGCAGGTCAGAAGAAATCACGGAATATGTTACACTCGTATGGCTAAATACGATTTGTACTGGTGATTTGGCTTTCAAAGTGGCAAGTTAAGAGTGCGCTGTACAGCCAAAAACGTAAGTCGTTCGTCTCTGTACGAGTGCAGTCAGTGATCTCCCTCCGTTACGGAATTCATGCGGCCATAAATGGGCATTAAACTGCATAGACATGTCAATCCATCAAGGCGGCAGCCTTTGTGTCTGTGGCAAGTACGCAAGATTTGTATTGTGACCACGACTCTCAGCTTGTCGTCATGAACCGTTGGGGCATCTTGTGTAAGAGTTTACATTCAAGTACATGCGTCGATCCTTTCGCTCTCCACGTGGCATTCTCTACGCCGTACGTCTCAAAATAGAACGATACTCAGGGAGAGAACTTTGCGTGCTCTTCTTCGAGAAAGCTGTAAAATATGTGCCACAGCTGTAAAACATACCGAACAGTTTGCCGCCGAATTCTACGAAAGCCGATGCCAACAAGGCGTGCCAGTTGTCTTCCGCGATGCATTACACCCTCGACGTTATTTTGACGCTGTGTGACCCAACGACGCCGGTTCATGACAGCCAGTGATCACGAGTAGCACAATACGATGGCCGTCCAAGTCAGAGCTCTTGATGAGTACCACAGAGACAGACAGACACACACAAAAGTCACTGATTTCTCAAGACAAAGGAGCTTGCAATACCTGAGCATGCAAATGTTGAGAAAATGCCAAGAAAGGGTTGAGAAAGCAAGAGAGCACCGACGGAGCACCGACGGAGCACCGGCATGTCTCGAGAAGAGAGGCAAAGTACCTCTCAATGTCTTTCCGTTGTCGACGTTGAGTGCATTGACTATTGCTGTAGAATACTTGCTAGGTAAGTGCTCAGCATTTGTCAATCCAAATATGGTAAAAGTGAAGCAATTTTGCGTGATGCAAAGAAATACGACATTCAGCGACTTTGTGCCCTAACTCGTAGCCAGGTCGTTGAGCTCTACAGCTGTTAGTGGGCGGTTGGTGGGCGTAGCACGTGCCAGCTCATTGGGGGAAGGGGGTAGGGGGGTCTCGGCGCTGTAAAATAGCACTGAGCCACCCCAAAGCTCGTCGGTGGGTGTTGTGGAGAATGAGAGTGGCGGGAGCCAATAGCGTGAGCTGTCCTCATTGGCACCGACGCATTCCCACCACGTTCAACTTCCCACCACCATATTATCACCACCTCATCGGCCACCAGCTCTCCTCTATCAGCACAACGAGCCACGTGTAAAGAGCTGCACCCAAGCCGCCGGTCACAAACAAGGCTACACTGCACGCCTCCAATTCAGCTGCCTAACACACTCGACGCCAATAACACGACCGCGCCGGCGACTTGCAAAAACAACAATCCATCCTCCCCCCTCTTGATTCGAATTGCGACTACGTCTCCATCCCTACTTGCGATTCCGCAACGCGCCCGATCATCTGAGCGGAACATCCCTGGTGCTGTAGCTTCGAGGCGCAAAGACTCGAGCACGCAGCAGTGCGCACCGTCCGGGCGAGCCCCTTCCTTTCGGCCTCCACATCTCCCACCTCCATCTCTCCACCCTCCCACACCTCCCACGCCTTCCACAATGGCATCGCTTCGGGACAAACAGATTTCGGCGCTCAAGCGCATGCTGAACCTCAACGATCCGGGCGTCGATGCCAGCGACGAGCCCAACCACAGCCACAACTCGCACCAGGCCCAGCAACAGCAGCTCGGTGTGCTGGGGCCCGACGGCGAGCTCATCTGGAAGGTCCTTGTCTTTGACGACCTCGGCATGCAGATTGTCAGCAGCGTCCTGCGTGTCAGCGACCTGCGCGCTCTGGGCGTCACCATGCACATGCACCTGTCGGCCAACCGACACCGGATCGAGGACGTGCCCGTCATCTACCTGGTCGAGCCGACGACAGCCAACCTCAAGGCCATCACGGGCGACCTGGAAAAGGACCTCTACTCACCTGCCTACATCAACTTTTTGTCGTCCATACCACGGCCGCTTCTTGAGGACTTTGCCTCCGAGACCGTGGTCAACGGCACGCAACAGCATGTGAGCTGGCCTTGCCGACAAAGAGCAAAATGACGCACGCCGCAGAACATTCCGCAATCCAGCTGACACTTTTCCTTCTAGATCGCCCAATTGTACGACCAATACCTCAACTTCATCTGTGCCGACAACGACCTCTTCAGCCTCGGCATGCAAAACGACCACACATACTGGGCCCTCAACTCGGGCCAGATCAAGGACGAGCAGCTCGACCATGTCCTCAACAAGATCGTCAGCGGGTGAGCAGATGGTCTTGCATTCTCGAAACGCAGTGCGCTGAGCGGCATACTAACCTAACTCGTCTCGCTCTCTCTAGCTTGTTTAGTGTCGTTGTGACAATGGGTAGGCTCTGCCTTTTGCCCTGTACTTACTCAAAACCACCTCTCGACTGGTTGACTAACTCGGAGCAGGCGTCATTCCCATCATCCGCTGTCCCAAGGGCATGGCGGCCGAGATCATTGCGACCAAGCTCGACCGCAAGCTGCGCGACCACCTCCTGAGCTCCAAGGACAACATGTTTGCCAGCGGTGGCCGGCCCACCTCGTCCGCCGGCATGCCCGTGTCACGGCCAGTGCTGATCATTCTCGACCGCAACATCGATCTGACGACCATGCTGTCACACTCCTGGACGTACCAGAGCTTGGTGCACGACGTCTTGGGCATGAAGCTCAACCGCGTCACCATTGAGACTCCCGTCGACGAAAAGAACCCCGCCAAGGGCACCACCAAGAAGACCTACGACATCAACGCCTCCGACTTCTTCTGGAACAAGAACGCGCCCCTGCCCTTCCCGCAGGTGGCCGAAGACATCGACGCCGAGCTCAGCCGGTACAAGCAAGACACAAACGAGATCACGCGCAAGACCGGCGCGTCGTCCTTTGAGGACCTGCAGAACGACACGAGCGCCAGCGCACAGCACCTCAAGGCCGCCATAACGCTGCTGCCCGAGCTGCGCGAGCGGAAAGCGGTCCTGGACATCCACATGAACATCCTGGCCGCCCTCCTGACTGGCATTAAGGACCGCCAGCTCGACAACTTCTTCCAGATCGAGGAGAACATCGCCAAACAGACCAAGGCCCAGGTTCTCGAGCTGCTCAGCGACGCCGCCAAGGGCACCAACCCGGCCGACAAGCTGCGCCTCTTCATCATCTGGTTCCTGACCACCGAGCAAGACGTCAGCCGCGCCGAGTGGCCGCAGTTTGAGGACGCCCTCAAAACTGCCGGCGCCGACACCACCTCGCTCGGCTACATCCGCCAGGTGCGCGCCACCACCAAGATGACCCAGCTCACCACCGTCCACAGCACGCCGCAGCAGCAGACCGCCGCCTCCACCGACCTCTTTGGTCGCTTCTCGTCCATCTCGTCCCGCCTCACCGACCGCCTCAAGGAGACGGGCGTGCCCTCCAACCTGTCTGCCAACCTCGAGTCCATTGTCGGCTCCATCAAGAACTTTTTGCCCGCCAACCGCGACCTGACTGTTACCAGCATTGTCGGCTCCATCATGGACCCGGGCACCTCCAACAGCTCCGCCATCATGAAGACCGAGAGCTATCTCTACTTTGACCCCCGCAACTCCCACGCTCGCGGCACGATGCCCCCGCCGTCCATGGCCCGTGGCGGCGGGGGCAGCCACCTCGGCGTCGACGGTGGCGACGGCTCTGGCTCGTTGGGTGGTGGCGCTGGCACCGGCATGCCCGGCGGCGGCGGCGGCCTAGGCGGCGGCCAAAACCCAGGCATAAGCGCGTCCTTTGGCCAGCGGCGGCAAGGCTTCAGCGATGCCATTGTTTTTGTCGTCGGTGGCGGCAGCATCAACGAGTACGGCAACCTGCAAGAGTGGGTGCACCGGACAGGCGGCGGCAATGACCGAGCCAAGCGGCGGGTAGTCTACGGCGCGACAGAGCTGATGAATGCCGACGAGTTCTGCCAAGGGGAGCTGGATCGTCTCGGACGCGAGACAACAACATGAGGTGCTGCAGACGTGCAGGGGGGTTCCGTGGTGGAGATGGGGGTTAATGTGTTTTCGGACGACAACCTACAATGACTGCATTTTATTTATTCGGGCCACGCCCTCATTGCAGTAATATATATAATGCAAAATGTGAATTTAGAATATGCTCGTTGCACTACATTCTTTTCTGCTGCTGGTTTAGGAACACACAAATTAATGATTGTTATGAAGATAACTCGCCGCCTCGAGGACTCTCATGGGTATCATTCTATTTATCTAGTGTCCGTGCCTCGTCTGCAGAGCTTCCTTTTGTCTCTACATAAAAAGAGACGCCGTCCGCCGTATGCGCTAACCGGCCTGGTGTCTCAAGATTTACCGAATCGCAAGCGATGCCACTATAAACGCTGTCGTGGCAGAATATGACAGGGACATCAAGTGTCCTTTGTCTAATCTGACGCATTTGCTGACCGATCCTGATGACCGCCGTAGCAAAACGTCGCCGGTCCGGTCAGGGTCAGACTTAGGAAGCCGAGGATCGCCGACCGTCCTAGGTCAAACTGCAAGTCTTGTTTTCCGTCATTCGTTTGTCCCCTCTCATGTCGCCCGCGATCCCCTGCTGTATGGATGGCTACGGCCGCGAGCGTCGCCAGACGGAGAATCGCGACCACTGCCATGCTTTGGCCGCTTCGTTAGACCGCCGCCGCCCGAGCTGGTTCCTGCACCTCCGCCAGTCGCCGCACCGCCGCCTCGTTTCCTGCCACGGGGCGAGGCGTTGCCTGCAGCACGCGCAGCCGCACTCTCTGACTGCGTCCCGGCCGCTGCGGCCGCCTGCTCCTGCTTCAGCAGGTCGTCCAACTGCGACTTCACCCCGGGGCTATCGTCTAGATCCGCCTTGAGAAACCGAATGGCCGCCGACTTGTTCAGCCGGTTGGTGGGCGGCTCAGCAACTGGCGGCTTCTCGGCCGCGTCAATCTTGCCCATGTACTGGCGCACGCGCTGCAGCTCGCGGAACACGGCATGGTTGCGGGCATCGACACCCGCGAGGCCCAGGCTGCAGTACAGCGTCGACTCGAGCGCAAAGCTGGCGAGGACATGTAGCTTGGCCTTGTCGAGCAGCGGGAGGTGCATAGCGGCGGCCGCGTGGCTGTTGGTCGACGAGGACGAGCTGCTGGCGTCGTTGAGGAGGAGGGGCGCGACGGCCGCCTCAAGACGGTCAATGTCGGCCGCCAGCTGGCGAATGCGCGGCTGTATGTCGTCCATGGTTCTCAGGTGTGCAAGTGGTTGGCGACAAAGAAGCTATACAACGTAGGAATGCCTGTCGGCAAACGGAATGCTAAAGTCAAAAAATACATGGTCGTCAAAGACGCTCATTTTTTAATGGGTCAGATCCGACGCGGGGTCCACCTTGAAAATATTGGCCAATCACAACACACACATTGAATCCGTCTACTAAGGAAAGCACGACCCGATGCGCCTGCTTTTGGGAACGCTAAGAAAAAAACGTTATTCTCACAAGCCGAAGATCAAAGAAAGTGCGACTCAGCTACAGAAAACGCTCCGTACGAATTTCATGAACAAAAAACAACGCCCCCCATATCCCACCACTCCTACCACCACCACGAAACAACTACCGACGACGACGACGGTGGCGACAAAACGAGTGCGGTTTGACGGCTGTAGTACGAGAGACTGCAGCGCCACCACGAGTCCACGTGCAAATTAAGACCCCATCTGGGTGCGACCGTCTATACCATTGACATCAACGGCACTCGGATCAAGCGTCTCCCCGGCCGAGCTCACGGCAACAGGTGTTTGCAACAGAGCCGCCTCTGGCTGTCTCTTCTCGCTGAGCGGATACCGTTGTCTGAAGCAGCAGCTCGTCTCCAGCATACAACACACCACGCCACATCGTCGTTACGTTTCATGGCGTTGCGGTAGCGCGGCACAAATGGGTAGCATGGCCCTCTTGGTTGGCGCCCGCAGTGCCGGGACACATGCAGCGCCCGCACGGGCCGTCCTTTTGCGGCTCCGGTCCTCATGCGGTGCCGCATCGGCTGTTGCGGCATCGCGGCATACCTCTTCACACTCCCCACCACCCTTCACGGAGACATCGTCCTCGCTCCCTTCCGACTACCACCTCCCTTTCGGAAACCCGTCTCTGCTCATTCCCACTCTCTCAAAGCATGAGCCCACAATATTGGCGTCGCCCCGGGCATCCGCGGCGTCAGCGACGGCACAAATGAACGCAACCCGGGTGCCATCCACACCAGACGCGCCGACACCTAGCGAGCCCTCTCAACGAGCCCCTCAAAATACGTCCCAGCGACCTCCAGCAAGGCCCTTCTCAAACCCTTTGACTTCTTCTCCAAAGGTACCGAAACCGACACAGCCCATCTCGAAGACGATATTAAGCGCAGGTAGAAGACTAGGCAGAGTGACGGGTGCCGAGCCGGACCACCACCGGCTGGAGCCAAAACCGATTCGCCAAAGTAGCCCGCCACCGCCATTGACAGAGGTAGAGGAAGATCCAGACGATTATTTCAGGATACTACCCGAAGAAGACGAAGAGACACGCGCTGAGCCTGCGACGGAAACACGCCCAACCCCCCGCGAGCCGATTCACGTGCTCGGCGGTAACATTCAGGCCACATACCTGGCACACATGCTCGCCGGTCTTCCCAGCAACCCTGAGGTGCACATAGTGCACCTCGGCTACCATCAGGCGCGGAAATGGGACAGTGAGGGTGAGCGGGTGGAGGTTCTGCGCGGCAACAAGGCCTTGCCACACAACCCAGTCATTGGCGAGTACGCCGGGCCGAATCGCCGACCGTCACGGAGCAGCAATGTTGTTCGGCCGCGGTCCTTTGACACTGTCCATCGGCCCATTGAGAACCTCATTGTCACAATGACATGTGCCGCTTCGATCGGGGCCTTGGAACAGCTTGCGCCCCGCATTAACAGCCGGACAACAATCTGCCTCCTGCAGCCGGGTCTGGGCGTGGTCGAGCGGATCAACGAACTGTGCTTCCCATACATCCCGGACCGACCCTCGTACATCCTGGGGCACATGACGCACCTGCTTGGCTACACCGAAAACGCCTTTTCCGTTGTTGAGAATGTGCCCGGCAGGGTGGTCCTGACACACTATACGCCGCCCGACCAGCTAGTTGCGGAGGGCGGCGAGCTTGTCGCTGGAGACCGCCGCGCCATCGCTGCTAGCGATGATGACGACTTTGACAGCATCATTGCTGACGGCGAAATCGATGCCGACGGCAACAGTGTTAGCAGCAGCAGCAGCAACAGCAAAAGTCCGCCAACGTTTGTACCTGAACTACCTCCCGCCCCAAAAAGGAAACGGGAGGGCACAGACGGCAATCAGAGCTTGGAACTAGAATACAGCACCGGTATGCGCCTCATGTATTTGCTGAACGTCACGCCCGAGCTCGGCGCAGGGGGGTACTCGACGGCCGCGTTTTTGCGATACAAGCTACCCGAGTTGGTGTACGCCGCCGCCGTTGAGCCAGTACAGACTGTCCTGGACCTACCCATGGGCAATGCGTTGTGGTCCAATGGGCCTGCGTGGTCCATGGTGGAGGACCTGGTCCGGGAAATGATCAATGTCATCTTGCAGATGCCCGAGACGCGCGCGTCGCCCAAGCTCGCCGAGTATGTGCGCAGTGGCGCGTTTGAACGGAAGGTGTTTCGGCTGTCCTACCGCAAGAGCGAAGGCCGCACCAGGCGCCCCGGCCCCGGTGGAAGCAGTCACTCTGACGACGGCGACGCGTACCGAGGCAGCGGGCCCCAGTCTGCCCAAAACGACAGTGGCGGCTACTGCCTCATGGCACGGCGCGTGGCGTTGGGACAGGGCACCGACATTGAGTTTCTCAACGGCTACTTTGTGCGACGCGGGAAAGCTCTCGGTGTCGCCTGCCCGCACAACGAGATGATTATCAAGATGGTACGGGCAAAACAGCGCAGCCGCGTAGCGCGGCCGTCGTCACTGCAAATCGATCCAAGCGACCCAGGCCAAGAGTCGCACATTCCATTTGCCCCGCCGTCGGGGCCGTACGTCTCGGCATCCGGGAAGTTTCCGAAGCCAGAGAAGCGAAAGAAGCATGCCGGCAAGCAAGCTTCCAAGCATGCAGACAACGACCAGGCTTAGGGTGACAGAAGGCGGCACAAACACCGGGGTTGTTATTGGCCCTCCATAACGATGACGATGCACATAGAACATAGAAAGGAGCGGTGGCAGGCCGGTGGCAGCATTACAAGGCAGGCGTTTTATTTGAATATTCTGAACTTCGGTTCCCTTGGATCTCTTTTGTCTCGACAGGGCGGACTGTTGTCGCGCTTTTGCGGCAGCGTTTTCCCCATGTACGTTATTTGTACACATCCTAGAAATGTACATACAAACAATTTACTTAGACACCTTATCCCATGCCACTACATCCTTGTTCTTTGCGGATTCCATGCCGCTCAATGCCAATATCAAAATGTGACGTACAGTGAGCTCCCGTCTTCCAAAAAAGAGTGGGTCCACGGCCGCAAGGCTCCAGGGCACGCGGACAGGCACACAGGCCCTAAAACTCTACCCCGCTAGATTCAAGCTTGCATCGCAACATTCGCTTCTCGACTTCTCCTCTTGCAACCCATACCACACGACACCCACCCACACTGACACCATGGATGACGACGACTTGAAGAGGGTATGGTTTCCCGTTCCGTTTCTTTCTTATTCTCGCCGAGAACCTCGACAAGACATACCCATCCGCCCTAACACGTCTAGATTCGCGAAGAACGTCTGCGTCAGCTCAAGCAGCAAGCCGGCAATGGCGGTGGCGGTGGTGGTGGCGGCGGCTCGTCGGAAGAGCAGCGCCAGAAGCAGCAGCAGCAGCAGTAAGTTGTGTCCTTGGATTGCATTGTGTGCAGACAAAGCAACCGAACGAACGGCTGTACTGACAACCACACAGGAAGGGTACGTTTTAGTCAGCACCGATATTACGATCACGACAAACGGCCATGGTCTCTTGGATCGCTCCTTTTCCTCGCTCCTCCCTCGTCGGTCCACGTCCGCGTCCCTTGCCATACTAATCCCTTCCATAGAAGCTCGCCAGAACCTCCTCAACCAGATCCTCGAACCCGACGCGGCCGACCGCCTTGCCCGCATCCGCCTCGTCAAGGAGGAGCGCGCTTCTGCCGTCGAAGACCGTCTGCTGATGCTCGCCCAGTCCGGTCAGCTGCGCGGCAAGGTCTCGGAAGACCAGCTCAAGGACATGCTGACCCGCCTGTCGGCCGCCGAAGACGCGAAGCGCGGCACGAGCAGCTCGGCTGGGCGCATTGTGGTCGACCGCCGCACCAAGGGCGGCTTTGACGACGACGACCTGGATCTGGACATTTGAGAGCGGGGATATGCAAGACGAATAAAACACAAAACAGAAGCATTATGTTATGATACCAACAATGAAACTGCCATCCATTGAAACGCTCCACAAAATGTTTATGGCACGTTTTGTGCCACGTGCAATCGCACAGAGCACCCCTTCTCCCTTTTTTTGTCTATGAATTCCGAATCAGCTCCAGCAGACCCCCAATCTTCTCACTCCACGAGAGACCGTAGCCAAATGTAACCAGGCCCTTGACAAACGACCAGCCGCCCTGCTGGCTACGCACCGGGTACTGCACGACAGGCGGCAGGCCCGTGCGGATGCCCAACCAGCCGAACCGGTCCGCGCAGACGCTCTTGGCATTGCACAGCGACTGCAGGCCCTCGCTGCCCGCAAACCGCCCGTACCCAGACCCGCCCACGCCGCCAAACGGCAGCTGCACCGCGTAGTATGTCGCAAAGTCGTTGATCGCCACCATGCCAGCCTTGACGCCCTTGACCACCTTGTCCATCTCGCTGGCCTCGGCACCGTGCTCGTTGCCAAACACGGACGCACCCAGGCCAAATGGCGCAGCGTTGGCAATCGCCAGCACCGCCTCGGCCGTGCTCGCCTTGGCGCGCATCATGCAGAGGATGGGGCCAAAGCATTCCTCCTGCGCAATGGCCATGCCCGGGGTAACGTCGGCCAGCAGCGTCGGCGTAAAGTAGTGGCCGTGCGGGAAGCGAGGGTGCGTGTAACGGCGTCCGCCCGCAAGCAGCCGCGCGCCCTGGTTGACGGCGTCGTCGATCAGACGCTCGAGACGGTCAAAGTTGGCGTCCGAGATCATGGCACCCACATCGTACTTGTTCGCGTCGTCCGTCTCGGCGTCGTCCCCCTCGTCGTCTTGGAACCCGATACGCAGAGCCCTGACCTTGTCCGTCACCAGAGCCAGGAGCGGCTCGTACACACCCGGCGCCGCGATCACGCGCTCGATGCCAATGCAGTTCTGTCCGCTGGATTGGAACGTGCCGCGCAGCATGGTCGCCGCGACCGCCGGCAGACGCTTAGCACCGACCGAGTCCAGGACAATAAAAGGGTCCTTGCCGCCCAGCTCCGCGCACACGGGCGTCAGCGCCTGTGCAGCCGATGTGGCCACGTGCCGTGCTACGGCCTGCGAGCCAATAAACGTAACGTGGGCGATATCCGGGTGCTGCGTCAGGTGGTTCGCAGTCGCCGGCCAGCACACGACGGCCTGCACAAGAGCCGGGTCGTAGCCGTGCGCGACGAGAGCGCCGCGCATCAGCGCCGTAAAGTACTGCGTGCTCCAGGCCGTCTGTTCGGAAGCCTTGACGACAATGGCGTTGCCCGCAAACAGCGCCGACACCATGGGTGCCAGCAGGTTGTGGAACGGGTAGTTCCAGCTGACAAGCGCGGCCACCACACCCAGAGGCTCGTACACGACCGCGTTGCGCTTGTGCGGCATCAAGAGTGCGTTGGTCGGGCGCGACGACGGCCGCAGCGCCTTCTCGCCGTGCTTGAGAGTCCATTGAATCCGCTCCGCGACAACGAGCACCTCGCCGAGCGCAGCGTCGAGCGGCAGCTTGCCAGAGTCCAGGCACGCAACGCGGCAGATGTCCTTTTGGTTGTCGAGCACATGTTGCAACAACGAACGAAGCACCCGGCGCCGGTCGCGGAACGATGTCGTGCTCGCCCAGACAGTCTGCGCGGCCTTGGCCGACGCGACAGCGCGGTCAATGGCCGCGGGCGTGGACGGGTTGACGAGGCCGAGGAACTGGCCTGTGGCGGGCGCGTAGCACTGAATCGCAGATGATCCGGACACCTTGATGCTCGGCGAGCTCAAGTACCGCTTCTCCTCAGGGAGCTTGGGTAACGGCACCTTGTAGCGTCTCGGCCGGTCGGAGTTTCTGTTGGCACAAATGATGACGATCACTGCGCCAACAGCGACAAAAGTCCACGACCATGCCCGCAGTAAAGGAATCAGTCTAGATGGCTGTCAGTACGGCAAAACACCATGTCAAATCAAAGAGAGGATTCAGGTCGCATTGGCGCATCGTATAAAACATACTCCTCAATGGCAGCGTCCACATGCAGCAGCCAGGCTGAAACCGCTTGCAAAACCATGATAAAGGATTGAAAAGAATATAAACAGTGCGAAGTCAAGAAAATATGCGCAAGGGGCGATCGAGCTCTCTCCAACGCAATGAGTCGTCGTGCTTGATTGAAAGCTGGCGAGAGAGCTTGACAAAGTGCTGGAAGAAAAGGGGGCTAATGCTCCCGGCGTGGTAAAAAGCGGGTCAGAAGTACCATTGACCAATTGCGTGGGTCGCTCCTGGTTCCTTTGGAGAAAACATCAGACGATAAACAATAACGTCGGGGTGGATGGCCAAGGGCAAGAGCATGGCGTGTTTTGCTGGATATGAAGAAGGAGCTTTGCATTTGTGGATTGGGTGTTCAGTGGTAGAGGGACTGAAAGACTAAAACCGCCAAAAAAGAATAAATAAATAAATAATAATAATAATACAGAAACGTATAAAATAAATACACAACATTTGGACCTCACCAAGAGCAGATAGGCAAAGAGTTGCTGATAGAAAAAGACATACAATCACATAAACACTCTAATAACGTGAAAGCTTTCTTTTATTGTTCTTCTTTTTCTTTGTATCTCCACGACGCTGGATGGTCTCGCTTCAATATAAACCGCCCCTGACATATTCTCTGTTCCTTTTTAGATGCCAAAGAAAATGAGAGAGAGTAGATCTCCGGTGTGGAAAGGTATCACAAAATATGGCGAAGCAGAAGCCAAGAAAAATATAAAAAAGACAAAAAAAAGAAAAGGTGACACGAGTGCCACTGGGCAACAAGGCAAAAACACGCAGTAAAATGTAGCAATAGAGACAACAAAAACCAAGACTTCATGAGAAAGTTTAAAGATGGGAAAGAATTAATATAGAAACCCTCAAGAACACAAGAGTCGATTACCGGAAGCGCGCGCGGCAGCGGCCCATAACCTCGCCTTGGCACACCAGCTCGGCACTGAATTCAGAGCCGTCGAGAGTCAGGTAAATGTCAAAGTACACGCGGTAGAACGTGCCCTGTGGCGTGTCCATGCGTTCAAAGTCTTTCTCCAGGTTTTTGCGCGACAGGTCGGAGGTAAGGGTGACAACTTCCTTGATTCCTGGTACTGGTTAGCGTTGTACAGACACAAATGAAGGACTCGGACCGATCGAGTGTAAAGCGCAAATACGTACTTGGGTCCTTGGTGTACTCCGGGCAGACATCATCGTCGCAGGCGTACAGAATGTCCTCGTACATGAGCGTGGCGCCCGGGGCGACCTGCCGGAAGAAAGACACCTTGACGGGCTCGCCAATCTTGACCTTCTGGCCCTTCTGCACGAAAATCTGGCGCGTGAACTTGCAGCGATCCTTTCCGTCGAGCGACGGCACACGGTACGCCTCTGGGTGGTAGCCCTCCTTGAAGGGCTGGAGCGTGGCCATGAGGTAGTGGCGACGAGCGATACGGTGAGTGATGATGCGTTCGGTGATACCTGCAGTAACGGCACCCTTGACAATGGCAGCCACAGAGTCCATGGGACGCACGACCTTGGACTGGAACTGGGGAGGGACGTGCAACTTGATCTGCTGGAAGAGGAACTCGGAGGCACCGAAACCTCCGACAACCAGGATGTTCTGCAGTGTGCGGTTCTGGGCCTGGATGGCAATGATCTGGTTGCGCACCAGCTCGAGAATGCGGTTGACAACCGGCTCGAAACATTGCAAAATCTCCTCGTTCGTGAAGGTCATGTAGCCCTCTTCGATGCCGGCCTCGGGGAACTCGGCCTCGATACCGACGTCGACAGCCCACTTCTGCCCGTTGTTACGGAAATCGGCCTTGATGCGGTTCTCAAAGTCCATGATGCACTTGGCGTACACACGGCCAGCCATCTTGGAGCCGTCGGGCAGCTTCATCTTGCGGATCTTGGTGCGCAGAATGTTGCTGAAATTCCGGTTCAGGGCGGTCGAACCGCACGAGTCTCCGGAACCAGCCGTGCACTCGGCGACCGTGAAGGGACTCTCCTCCTCGACCTCGTAGGCGATCAAATCGACAGTACCACCGCCACAGTCCACAATCAGGAGGGCGTCGTGTACCTTGAGCTTCAGCAGACCCGTCTTGGAACAGAAGAGGGCGGCGGCCTCTGGCTCGGACACAAGAGTCAGGCGGTTGTCGTTCTCGTCGCGCAGGAAACCGGCCTGGATGGCGGCGGCACGGGTAGCGGCCTTGCCAGCGTCGTTCCAAATGGCGGGTACGGTGAGGTAATAGCGAATGTTGCGCTCCTCACGGTTGAACACTTCACCGAGCGTCTTCTGCAGCGCGGCGCGCATGGCCTGGCGCAGCTTGAAGAGGTAGTCGGCAGCGACGTCGATCTCAGACTTGCCTGGCGGCAGAGGCGGCAGGTTGATGGGGTCGATGTATGTGTTGCCGGACAGCATCAGCTGCAGCTTGAACCACTCGACCTTCTGCACGCCCGCCTTGGGGTAACCCGTGGGCGCGAGGGCATCAGCGATATCGGGACCCCAGCCGACAACCTTTTGGTACTGATCATAGTACAGAACTGTAGGGATCTATAGAAAGCGATTGCTTGTTAGCAATAATTTTTCTTGGTTGTCTACGGAGTCGTGCGTGGGCCTTTGGACGACGTTTGCCTCACCTTTTGCTTCGTGTAGGAACCAGCACCGGGCCATTCTGTGATAATATCCTCCTTCGCCTCGTTGTTGGTAGCAAAGGCGAAAGCAACACCCGAAAACGTGGTACCCTAAGTGTGTTAGCCAAAGCCCCCCGTGGATACGTCATATACTCCATGCACAACACGGAAGACAAGAGAGGGCCACATACAAAGTCAATACCGACAATCAGCTGAGCCTTACTCCGGCTGCTGCCCTCGACTTCGGCCGCTGGACGGCCGTACGCGGCCGCAACCGGCTGCGGTTGCGGGGGGACCTGGGCGTAGCCCTGGGGCTGCGGGGCTCCGTTGTAGCCCGGGGGCCCGCCCATGGCCGGGGGGCCGCCCGGAATCTGCATTTGTGGCGGGTAGCCGGGCACGGGGGCGCCGGTGTTGATAGGGGGAGGGCCACCTGCCATCTGGGAGGGAGGGGCGCGGGGAGGACCGCCGGGGACAGGAGCACCAGCAGGAGGATATCCGGCAGTGTAGCTGGGCGGGCGAGGCGCTCCAGGGACGTTGGGGTTCATGATGACGGGCTGCTGGATGCCCAGAGGAGTGAGTCCGAACGGCGGCGGCGGCTGCTGCTGCTGTTGCTGCGGCTGCTGCGGAGCACCAACGGGCGGCGGCGTGAAGGCAGACGAAGGTTGTCCTGGAACAGGACTCGTCGTGGAGATGGGCGCGCCGATAAGGGCGGCGGGCGGCGAGGCAGACGTAGGCGGTGGGACGGGCGGCAGAGGTCCTTGAAGGCCAGCAGGAGACGGCTGAGGCGGCGGACCAAGAGGAGGTTGTTGATGCGGAGTCTGGAGCTGAGGCGTCTGCGAAGGAGGAGGTGGATGGGGCTGGAGCGGCTGTTGCTGGCCAGGCGGGGGAGTGGGATGGGGAGAGGGAGAGGGAAACTGCTGGGGGATCTGGGGCGGGGCGGCCGAGATGCCGTAGACGGGCTGTTGTTGGTTTGTGGTCGGAGGGCCTTGAATGCTGGCGGTGGATTTGCGTTTGCCAAAACCAAAGGCTTTCAGTCGGGTGTTCAGCGAACTCATAAGGAAGACTGGGGGAGGGGGAGGGGAGGGAAGAAATAAGAACTTGGGCTGGAGAGGGAAGAAAGAGACGAGAGGTGTGGCGGGGGGGCGGGTAGGGCATTGAAAGGCGAAGGTAGGGAAAATGCTCTGAAGGTTTGTCCCAGAAAACGGAGAACGGGGAGGGATTGAGCCCAGAGAAACGGGCAAAGCTGAGACGTAGGGCAGCAGAGAGAGCGGGTGCCTCAGCGCGAGGGGTCCACGACAACGGTGAGCCAGTTGCGAAGAGCAGCGAGAAAAGAGGCGTTTCTCAGCAGTTGCAGGGATCAAAGGAGGTGCGCGCAAGTGTTCGGAACGGATGGAGAATGGCGCTGTTGGGTGGGCATGGGAAGTGGGAAACGGTGAAGACAATGAATGATACAAGTTGACGAGACTGAGAAAGTGAGAGCGGGGCAGCAAATCAGGTCGGAGAGTGCATATACGAGACCGCGAAGAAGAGTGGAGAGGCAGGAACGCCAGAACTGGAAGACAGGAAGGAGGGTTCCTGGGCGTAAGAAATTAGGACTTATTGCGGCGGCTGGGCAGCGATGGCGCCTGCTAGCTGCGTGATGTTCCTTCCCTTGGTGTTTTGTCCAACCCGCAGTACAGGGATGGCCATTACACGATACAAAACATGGGTTTATTTCGGCACGTTCTGGGCTTACGTCCTGTCGGGTTTCTGTCTGATTGTTCCATGTCTCCTTCCTTGGTCGAGGTTGGAGCAATATTCTACGAAATACGAAATACTTTCTAAAGAGAAGGAGCGACAGGAAAATAGACCCAGGAACAGGAACAGGTTACTGCGAAAGGACAGCCTCGACAGCCCCACGGGAAGGAACGAGTGCAGAGGAAACCAAGACAAGCAAGGAGGGGAGAAGGGGCAAGCGCAACCGCCAATTGGTGGTTGTACGCTGACGGCGGGGCTCACCAGGGGGTAAGCAGGTCCCCTGCAAGTAGTCAAAACGGCCAGGTTGGTCTCACAAAATCGACTCAGAGGTAAGGCTGAAGCCGGCCGTTACGATTCTACTGACGACTTCAGAACGGTAACGTGAGGCAATTAGGGACATCAGCCCCTGATTCGAGAGGACCAGGCCCCTTTACGACATAATTCGTACTCTGGCTCGAGAAGCAGGAGCATTAGGTAAGATACGTCGTACATTCTGATCCAACACGACAAGTCTTCGTCTAGCGAGGCAACGACCAGCAAGCACGAAGCCGAAGAAGAGGAGAACTATCCTGATCCGGACGCATCACCGTCGGGGGCCGAAGAAGGCGTCTGTTGGCTGTTTCGTTTCATGCCGCAAACACACGGCGAAAATTCGTACGGAGTAATTAATTGGAAAAACTACGACGTGCAGAACATAGGAAACGGATGCTATTGAGGACGGTCACTGCATGTCGCTGAAACTGTGCTTCGCCTCCCCAAGCTGGTGCTCCGTTTTGGACTGCCCCACTAGGCCCTCAGCCGCTTTTTGTGGGGCTATTGCTTTCCATTTGCTAACTTTGCAAAGCAGTGAGGCTGACATTGGGGCATATCGACTGTGTCGTATTGATCGGAAAGTTTTAGAAAGAGCTAGGAAAATAAGAAGATAACAGTTTTCCATAGAAGGATGTGGCCGTTTTGAGTCCTCTTCCGTTACGTCTGTTTTCGGACTCCGTATGAAGGCTTTGGTTAGTCGTTTCTCGTAGGACTTTGGTCAGTAGTCCTAGGACTTTCCTGGTTTGCCATGGCGACTTACCATGTTCGCGCTACTCTGCTTGTAATTGGGTGTTGCTTTCGCAGACCGTTTCGCCTCTCGTTTCTGCTACACTTCCTGCCCTGTGTCATATCGCAGCCTTGCAAAGCTTCGCTTATGATTTTGGTGACGAACAGTCGGGAATTTAACGTCGTTCGGAGCCTTCCACGGCGTCGACTGTTTGCTGCTTAACAATCCTGACAATTCATCGACACCTGCGCACAGCGTTCCTCGCAGTCCTTTCCAGAAGCAACCATTCTGCTGCATTCATGCTGCAGGTTGCCTGCAGCCGTTCCTCTGCATACAATTTCGCTTCACTGCACAAATTCTTGGCTTCAGTTCTGCGTATTTGTTCGTTGTCAGGCCATCCGACCACCGTCCAGCCGACGTCCTCCGTGCCGTAGATGGAGAGAACGTCGGCTCCGCCACGACGGTCTGCCTCGTTTTCCAGGGCTGTCATTTTAGCGTCTACTTAGAAAATCAACACCAATCAGCCTGCGCTGCTCAGCCTCAAGTCTACATTGTGTCCATTATGCTGTACCTTCCCCCGCAGTGCAACCTTTGATCTTTGGCCCGCGGACACCGAGTGTCAACTTAGCTCTGTCGTGTGTTTTTTTCCGGAACTTCCTTGTCACATTTCACCAGGATCGGCAGCCATCGTAGTAGCCTGAAGTTTTCGAGTGTCGTCAATTTTTTTTTCTTTTTTTTTTTTCTATTTGTAGCTCTCGAGCCTGTCGTGGAGGTGCCGATCTCTTTACCTTGCCCTTTACCTTTTCTCCTCGAATCCTCTCGCGACTTTGTACGTCTTCCCTGGAGCAGGCCGACCGTCTGTACTTGGTGCTCCCGTACGATTGCCCAATCAAGTGAGACAACATCTTGTCTTTGAAAGTTGAATTTGACCAAACACCTCCATCCAGGCCCACCCTCGACATGCTCATTGTCAAGGCTGATCAACAGCCGTGGTGTGGTTTGGGCCGCGGGGTCTTCAAGACAAGAGAGATTTTACTGGGAATGCGTTTGACTGTGGCTTTCAATTTCAGCCTCACACGCGTGGCTTCCGACAAGGCTGTCTTCCCTTGCCTCTGTATTACCACGTCATTATGCACCGGATTTGGCCAAAAAAATGTTACTTTGTATGTGCCGAGGCCCTTCATTGTTATACGCACACAAAAGGACCCCTCTCCACGGCTGCTCCCGTTAAAATAGCCTTGGTCTCGACGGCATTGTCTGGGGTAGGCCGGCATGGGGATGCGATAATATGGTGGTACTGATATAAAGATATTAAAAAAGCGTGGGTTTGCATGTGGAAAAGAAGAAACCGGGCAATATTCAGAAGATGTGGCAATTGGAAGCGCTGTTTCAAAACCTCAGATGCTGCAGCATGCGGGCCATAGTGGTCAAAAACAAGGCAGTCGCGAACGAGAATTGCTTTTTGCCTATCTGCCCCTCGTTCCTGCCTTTGAGTTTTGCATATTTGTCCTGACTTGTTGGAAAGAATGAGACGGCTGTAGATGGGGCAAGGAAAGAGTATCGCAACTGCCATTCCCTCCTTCCTGACCTGGTTTTGCAATTGCCCTGCCCCTTTTGGCGGCGATCGTGAGGGGCCATGTCCACCCGAAATAGGTGCATTTTGCACTCTACTTGGCCCCTGCCCCTTTCTACCGTTCTTGGTTGCACCTTCCAGATCTCCATCCCGCCTTCTCTTTCCTTCCTATCACTAACTGTTTCGTTTCAACTGATTATCTCTTTTGACCGCCTTCTTTCTCTCTCTTCTCTCCTTTCCCCCGTGCTTCTATTTCCTAGCAGTTTTTCCCGTTTTGCATCGCGACTTTGCCAGCTTGTGTTCCCAATCTTGTGTTCCACCCTTCTTCGGTTTCTGTCGCCATACTACGCCGTGCTCCGTGATCCTTCGAACGTCGGACACTACTTTCATTCTTCACCGGCCAACCACTGCGATATCGCAGTCTTGCGAAGCCAGCCTCGCCCGATACCATATCTTCTCCGCGTGTTTTCTTCTTGTTTCATGCCCTCCGGCCCTTTTGTTATATATATTTCCTCCCCATCCTTCGCTGACAGCGACGCCGCGGCACAAACGGCACCCCAGGCCGCCCAGACCCCGTAATTTCATCGCTGACGACGATTGCGATCTTATTTTTGCTGCCCTGACGTTTTCTTCCTTGATCGTTTGTGACGCGGCTTCTTCTTCGGCGGTTCTGCGACGGATTACCTGTTCTAACAGCGGCCTGCACTCCTGGATTCGGCGGCTTTCGGCCCCTTTCTCGCTCTTATTATACGGTGTCCCACTGTCATCTTGTACCAAGCAGAGCATAGGCTTGATTTGCCAATTGGGGTTGTCCTGGACTGTGAAGCGAAAGAGGAAGGAATATCGCAATTCCGAATGCGTCTCAATCTTCAGTGACACGACAGACGACTTACACGCGAAGTTGCAGGCCTAATGTGAGTTCTACATCCCCTTTGAGCTCCTGGCGAAGTTGTCGCATGGCCACAAATGTAGCACACCGAAGCCAGAAAGGCTTTATCCATCATTCCACCATTTCCCCCTTTCCCTCGTGTGTTTCCCCACTGAAATCAGACAAAAGTGGGAGCTGCGTTGTTAAACATTGAGATGGAGAAGAAAACCCACAAGCTAACACAGAATCCGAAGCTTTGCCCGGGCCTTTTATTTGGCTCGAGCTTCGTATCTGGTGCCAGCATACTCCGTGGGGTCCGGGGCGCTGCACTTTTGGTCGCCTTCGTGGTGAATCCTTTTCTTTTTCTTTCTTTCGTTTTCTTTTGTTCTTGTGGTTCGTGTGCCCTGCACTTCCGCCAGAGAGCGGGTTGGTTCCTGTGATTGTTGAGGCACCAAATACCGATGACCTCATAGCGGCGAGTTGTCGCCTGCTCACGATACTCGAGTCTGAGCCCGCAGAGGTGACGGGAAGTCGGGCGCAGCGGTCCGCGTCCAAACGGGCATTGCACGTCGTAAAGCTGTCGCGCATAAAAGGACCCAGCGGCGCATCGTGGCGCGCCGCTGACTATGCTCCCGACCACAACAACGACGATAACCAAGAAGAAACTCAACAGGGCAAACCAGTTCTCACCCCGCAGGACGGCCGTATGAAACCACAGCAGCCGCCCGCACCGCACGCGACGCTGCTACACGACGTTCGCATTCACAACGCGCTGCAGAATCGACATTCTCGTTCCCTACTAAACCAAGGTCCACAGAACAAATCGCGCACATCCACACCTACATCTGTTAAAGCCAAATCGGCCCGCCTGCAACCCGTGTCGGCCTGCCTTCCTTTTTCTGTTCTCCATGTGTTGTCTGTCGTTTCTGTCGTTTCTGTCTTAGTAAGTACCTTTTCTACTCTTATTTGGGGCCTGTCATTGCACCTGTAGTTCTTCTGCAGGGGCGTTTGAGTGGTCTGCGTCCTTTTGTCTTTCTTTTCCTGTCTTTCCCCTTTTGGCCTCTGTGTCTTTCTTTTTGCCTCCGAGCTTTGTCCCTTAGTGGCCTTGTTCCTGCGTGGGTGTTTGTATTAGTATTTTTCATCGCTCGTGGGGCACACTGGCGACCCCGCAATATGTTTCCCTGCGATGCATGGTCTTTTGTTGACCTCTTTTAGCCTCTGAAGATTGTCCTCATGGCCTGGCCTTCCCACACCCTCTTCTCAAATATACGTCGAAGCTCTACTACAAACCTTACTGACGTGGACGTTGGCATGGTCTGACTTAAAGCCCATCGCTGCCTCTCCTCGTACCCTCCTTTTGCGTCTTGGCTTTTGTCTCTTTTGTTTTCGCACATTCTTCCCATCTTATTTTGCCTTTTGCTTCCTTGCAACCAATCTCACGATCTCAGCACAAAACCCCACCTTTGTATTTTTCTTGAACCGACGTCACCGGCTCCTCTAACCAGAAAACAAACTTCGCTCTGCAGATTCTCCAATTTCTCCTTCGCGACACCAGTATCTACTACTACTCTCCCTTTCCCAGACCTGGACCTGTTTTCTCGCCGCCTGTCGAGGAAGCAGCTCTCGTCTGCGCAAACCATCCCTTCCCAACAACCCCCCCGGTCTCCGTCCCGCTCAACATGGCGCTCGCGGCCGAGACAAAGCGCATTGTTGCGCAATTCGAGTATTCGGATACTGATGTCAACATTGGCGTCAAGGAGTTCCTCCGCCAGATTGGTAAGTATCATTGTCCCAAACAGAGCAACGAAGCTCAATTGAGGTTTGGGCCCCCGCCGACTTCATGATCGACAAGTTGCTGATCGTCGTTTTCCTTGTAGACGAAGGATTGGAGAAGTCCGGCACCAGCATGAGCCAGATCCCGACCTATGTTACGGCTGTCCCCAATGGCACAGAAAAGGTGAGCAAATATAATGGGTCGTTGAACGACCTGAACACAGCCCAGTGCGCCGTGAAAGCGGGTCATCGTACCGACATATGTCGTGCATGCATGCATGCTAACAATGCTCCAGGGCCTGTACCTAGCTGTGGATCTGGGAGGCACGAACCTGCGCGTCTGCTCGGTTCGCCTCAATGGCGACAATTCGTTTAGTCTTACATATAGCAAAGCTGCCGTCCCAAAGGAATTGATGGTGGCGAAGACAGCCAAGGAGCTGTTCCGGTTCATTGCGCAGCACATTGACAGCTTCATCAAGGAGCACCACTACGACCACTACGAGCATCATGTTCGCCGCCGCGAGACAATGAGCAACCCCGAGGGCTACCGCGACGAGCACATCTTCCGCCTTGGCTTTACATTCAGCTTCCCCGTTGAGCAAGTGGGCATTAACAAGGGCTTCTTGATTCGATGGACCAAAGGCTTCGACATTCCCGACGCCATTGGTAAGGATGTTTGTGCTCTTCTACAGGAGGAGATTGATCTCCTGCACCTGCCCGTAAAGGTGGCCGCTCTCGTCAACGACACCGTGGGCACGCTCATGGCGCGTTCCTACACCAGCCCCGGAAAGACGGGGGCTCTTTTGGGCGCCATCTTCGGCACGGGCACGAACGGCGCGTACATTGAGAAGCTCAGCAAAATCAAGAAGAAGCTGGAGGGCGAATACGACGAGTCGACGGGCGAGATGGTGCTCAACACGGAGTGGGGTTCGTTTGACAACCAGTTAAATGTGCTCCCCAATACTACGTTTGACATTAAGCTCGACTCCGAGAGCGTCAATCCTGGCATCCAGATGTTCGAGAAGCGCGTGTCGGGCATGTTCCTGGGTGAGATCCTTCGCATTGTGCTTGTGTCATTGCTTCAAGATAAGTCGGTGCAGCTGTTCCACGACGACAATTCGAACCATAACGATTGGAAGTCGACGACAACCATCGCACCCGATTCGGGCATCTTTAAGAAGTGGGGCCTGGACAGTGCGATCATGTCGGTGGCGGCGCTGGACAACACGCCGGACCTGGGCACGCTTCGACAGGAGTTGGATACGCAACTGGACGTGTACTCGCCATCAATGGAGGATGCGCAGGCGGTTAAGGCGATTGCGGATGCAATCGGCCGTCGTGCGGCGCGGCTTTCGGCGGTGGCGGTGGGTGGTATTGTGCTGCAGTCGGGCCTACTGGCGGATCCTACTTACGGTGATGAGCCGATTGACATTGGCGTGGACGGCAGCCTGGTCGAGCACTATCCGCACTTCCGCACGATGATTTACGATGCGCTCAAGGCGATTGATGGGATTGGCGAGAAGGGCGCTGAGCGGATCCGGATTGGAATTGCCAAGGACGGATCCGGCGTGGGTGCGGCGCTGATTGCGCTGGTAGCGGCGTCGATGGAGAAGAAGCAGCCGACGGCGGCGGAGTCGCTGAAGCAGGTGCGCGACGAGGCGCTCCTGCAGAACTCGGGACGGCAGCTGTCGGCGGTCAACGAGGTGCCCGAGCTGACCACGCCCAACGAGGAGGCCATTGACGCATAATCTTGGGTTGACGAAAACGAAAAAGGCACCATTTTTAGAGGAGACAACAAAGGAGTCGGTTTTATTAGCAGGAGCATTTTATTGCGGCCGTACTATTTTTTATTTTTATTTAAGTCGTTGCTTTCATCCACATCGCCATGACAGTATATAAGTTCATCATTTAATTCTTTCGGTCATCACCACCACATTACCATCTGTTCTTCCAAAGTATTATATGTATATGTTGTGTTGTCTATAGCTTTTGGGCTTCAGATGGACCACCTCAAATATATGTCGATGCATTGTACTCCGTACATACTGTTCATTGTCTCCCAAGTCAGATTTGGATCCGAACGCCAGACTAGTATCCATTCTTCTGTTCGTCTCTCCTCTCCTACTGGAACATCGCTGCTGGATAGGCCCGTTCGCGCTTCTTTCGCCCAGTTGAGCTGCTGCTTCTTGAGGACGCTTGTGACCCACTGGCAGGCGGTGGAGCCAGCAGTGCAGACGTGCCAGACGGCAGTAGGCTGTCACCGTTTTCGGCGGCGGCGGTAGTTGTTGTTGACGGCGTCGTTCTATCGGCCAGGTTGTTTTGTGACACTTTCCGCGACGGGTTGCGCGACGAGGCAACGGAAGCCGAGGTCGATGCATTCGTGGACGGCCCCGATCCCATCATGTCGGCCGGCAGGTCGTTCCACTCGGTCTCGGGGCGGCTGTTCTGGTAGGACTGCGAGCGACCGTTTGGAGGAGGAAGTGGTGGCTGGGGTGGAGGAGGGGTGGCCTGAGCGGCAGACGCTGCTATCTTTGCGCGCTGCGTGGACTCGCGCACGAGCTGGGCCACGGAGGCATCGCCCGACACGTCGCCGGAGGCGGCAGCATCCGGCACGTCCCGCCGCACGAGCCAGGCAGTGGCCGGCCGCAGAGCAAAGTAGTAGTTCTCGATGGGCGCGTCGCCCTCGCGGACGAACTTTCGCGCGGCGTACCAGGCCAGGGCGTCGTCGTGCTCGGTCCAGACATGGGCAAAGACGGATTGGACAGGGCCAGTCGAGGCCAGCGGGCCACCCGGAACGGCGGCGCGCCGGTTGAGGGCCTGGGCGGTGGCAACAATGCTGTCCATGGCAGCAGTCATGAGTCCGCGGCCGCGGTAGGGCGAGAGCAGGCCGAGTGACCGCACGTAGATGGCGAGGCCGGTAGAGGCGCCGGGTGCAGCAGCATCGCGTCCTTTGGCGAACGGGCTGGGCTCCAGCAGGCACACGATGCCACCCACCACTTTCCCATCGTCGCCTAGAATGATGCGGTTGAAGAGCGACGCCAGCCGCGAGGTGTCAGTGACGAACTTGTAAAAGGAGTCCGGGTAACGCACGGGCAGCAGGATGGCGTTGACGCTGACGAGGTCGGGTATGTGGACATCGCGGGGGAAGACGATTTTGTTGGAGGGACAGGAGGAGGCGAAGCCAATGTTTCCATCGCCGAGGTCGGTAGCCCCCGCGTTTTGGAGGACACTGCGGCCATAGGCCGGGGTAATGGGGGCCAGGTTCACTTCGTGCTCGGGGCTGCCGCCGGAACGCATGGCGGCCATGTTGGGCGGTGGGGTGTAGCCATCGCCATTCCGTGCGGAGGGCGGCGGAACAAAACGACTGGAGCTCGGAGGCGGTGGCCTTGGCTGGAACTGGGACTGCGGTAGTGAATGCGAAGAGGCTGGCGTGGGCTGGAGCTGTGGTTGAACTTGAGGCTGAGGTTTGGGAAGCTCATTTGAGGAGGACGAGCCAAAAAAGGAGAGGATGGAGCGCTGGTTCGGCGGCATGGTGGGAGTGCGGCGGGGATGAAGCTGAATGGGAGTATATAACGGCGAGAGGCAGCAAAGCGAAAAAAAAGAGACTTCACACAAAGGGCATGCCCAAGCGGTAAACAAACACTGTTGTCAATTATCGCGACGTGGGGTTTTCGAGGTTGTCGACATTTGGTGGGACTAGATCGCCTACTAATTAAAATACGTGGGATGGCAGAGCGGGAGCGTGTTTTGGTAACGCGACGTGCTAAATGGGCTGGCATTTGGGTGGTCTAGGCCTGGCGACCTTTGGCTAATTCAGCATCTATTTCAATCGCACCTTCCGATTCTCGTACTACAGTCAGCCAACCACAGGCGGACTAATAATACGTCGTAACTGGAGACACTACTGACTGGCAGCTACGGCCAAAACACCTTTGTAATGTGTCACTGCCCTCGTATGTCAACCAGTCGTTGAACAATCTCAATTGGCAATACGACATAAAATGGAAGCGCAATTGCTTAGTTGGGCGATTACGGCATCTTGGGAATGCACTCTCAGAGCTTCACAGCAGGCGCAGAGCATCTCCAGCGATGATTGCTGTGCCATTATGGACGGCACAAGGATAGCATAACTGTACTGTGTCCAGGTAAGTTCTTGCTGAAATCTATTATTTTGGGCTTTGCTATTCTCGTTGCATCTTTTTTTCACGTTTCGGCTTTCGTCCTCCTTCGTTGTCCCTCGCTCTCAGCGCTTTTGATTCAAGATGCATGCCAACTGCTCACGTGACCACTTTTCACGGTGAGAATGCACCTTGCATTTTCTATTTTGGGAGAAAGGCGACACGCGACAAATCTCTTGCACGTTCAGTTACAGTTTTGTGCAAGTTGTGCAGCGTCTTTTGCCACTAATGGCACACACACGACCATACGAAGTATCTTACTATTCGGTAGACAGCGTAACGACATAACGCGGGCTCCTCAAGTGTTGTCTTGAAACCTACTCCATAATCAACACATCTGCTGTTCAGGACGCTGAGGCTGTCTGCTAAGACGCAAGGACGGCTCTGGCCGTGGCCCACAGGACAGTGTAAGATACTAACTACGGCTGTGTGTCGGTGCGCACGACGTATCGTGTCGTCAACCACATGTCTGTGTCTTCTATGCCCACTGTAATTTCTCGTATGGGGCAAGAAACATGTGAACCACGTCGCGCCAAAGCTTTTTGCGACCGTGCCTTGCCCCCTAATCCCTAGCGCCCCTTTCGGTAAAGGAAGACATTATCAAGGAATATGCCCCGTAGAAAGAGACTTTTTTTAACATGAGCCGAAAAATAACTTTATTGATACGGAGCCGAAGATATGAGTTCATGTCTCTTTTGCTGTAGAGATGTTGCACGAAATGTGCTGGATAGAGCAACATGACCTACCTAGAGTCGGTGCACATCGACGAACGTGTCATATAGCTTACAAACATATTTCTTCTTAGATTCTTCTCAGACCATTTTCAGTCTCTATACATTTTCGTCGGAACTACGTTGAAGGTCGTGCCGGCAGCTTAGTGGTCTGCGGCGGCGTATATGTGGGCCTGGCCACTGCCAGACTCTGCTAAAAATGCTGAATTTGCTGTTTCAGGGGCTACTGAACCGTGCTTCCACGGCGTTCCCGCAGGCGCAAAAGTGGCCCTTACTGGCCTGTTGTCCACTGTAATGGAGCTGATAAATTGATACGCCTAAAGACCATTAGGCCCCTCGGCCGTGCCGCCGCAAAGCCCGGGCAAAGCACCCCGACACTCTTTCCCTGTCGAACCATCCCTTGCTGCGCTTGGGCATTCCTGCCTGTCTTGTCCCTGTTTCGCACCGTATCCGATCTCGAAATTCCCCCATCACGAAGATCGCACAAAATCTCACGAATTCACACTTTTAGCAATTCTCGACAGCATACCGGAATCAACCTCGTTTTGCCTGCAACCCCGGCCAGGCTTGCCGCTTTGTGGCCGTCGAAAACCCTCGTCCATGAGCCGATTGCACTACGAGCAACCATCTTGACTGTAGCTTCTGCAATGGTTTTGCCTTAGCCCATCTCGACGTCAACGTTCGACCCTTTGCCCTTATCCTCATCTCTATCGTTACCTTGACCTCGACAGCTACCCACGTCACACGCCGGTCGTTTATTATTTCGCCCACTCAATTCGACACTCTGGAAAATACCTGCCGCTCCATCACCGTCAACGGCCATTCCACTGTCGTTGCCAGGTTTCTCACCATTTGCTCACAAATCCCATCGCCGGCTAATTCGTTCGCAGCCTCGGACCTGCGTAACAACCGAAACATTCCCGCAAATCCTCACAACACCATCTGAACACCCCCCTCCTCCTACTATCGCGCAACCTACGACGTCCTGTCCAACTCGAGCTCCCCTTTGCCTTGTCCGACAGCAAAACCGCAGACACCCAATAGCAAGACCACGTTTATTCATGCAAGCTGAGAGATACCACCGACAATAATACAGGCTCTCGCGAGTGGCCCAGTTGGCCTGTTCCGTCTTGATCTGGAAACAATACACCGGGCACCATGTCTGGAAACGACACCGGCCGGGCCGGTGTCGTCACTGCCCCCACCGATGGCAACGGCATGGACAAGCTGGCCAGCGCCATCCTCGACGACCTGCTCTACAACGTGATACACGACCTGATTATGAAAACCCATCGCGACGAGAAGCAAGCTCGTGCTGCCACGGCTGCTATTCGTGTTGAAACCCTGGCTGCCGAGGCCGCTCAGGACCTAGCCGGTGCCACCGGCGAGTCAAAATCTGAAGGCCACCATGAGACCGACGCCGCCCTGTACGAGAGCGGCCAAGTCACCCTCAAGGCCAATCCTCTCAAAACCACTACCGACATTCTTTGTCCGCGCTGCCATCTGCCACGTCTGCTGTACCCCACCGACGGCCGCGGCGCTCACAAGCCTGACCCCAACGTTACCTACTGCAAAAAGCATCCATACATTGACAAGCCCGGATGTGATATTTACGGCCAGATGTGGGTGGCGCCCGGTCCCGGGCGCGGCAAGAAGAAAAAGGACTTCGACAAGAAGGTCTCGGCCGCTATCCACGCCGCCACCACCGGCTTTGACGGCGAAGACGGCAAACCGGGGAGCGCCAACGGCACGGGCGAGCAACGACCACCCAATGTCCTGTCCTTTCCCTCGGCCACCTGCAGCAAGTGTAAGCGGTGCATTCTTGTGTCACGCCTCAACAATCACATGGGCTCGTGCATTGGTAACAGCGGCCGCAACGCGAGCCGGGCCGCTGCCGCCAAGATATCCAATGGGGGCAACGGCGCGACGGACAATACACCGCCTTCGAGTCAAAAGGGCACCCCCATGCCCAGCTCTCAGGGCAGTCCGCGGAAACGCGACGCCGACGACTTTGACGACGACAACGGCGGCGGAAACTATGATGAATCTGACATGGCGGGCGGCAGCGGCAGCCAGAGCACCGCCAAGCCCAAGAAGAAGTTCAAGTCGTCCGCTTCTGTCTCCGCCGCCGCGTCCCAAGCTGGTGGCTCCGGCAGCGCCACGCCCTCCGTCTCGTCGAGCCAGGGGCTGTCTGCCGCCTTGAACAAGAAGTTGACGCTCAAGATGAAGAATGCACCTGGCTCGCCTGCCCCTGCCGGCTCTGCTGCTGGCCCTGTCAAGAAGCAAAAGGCCAAGCCGAGCTCGGCTCTCAGCTTCGAGCGCAAGATGGATGACAACTATGATGACGACGACGATGACGAAGACGACGGCGACGACGGCGACGACGGCGATAATGGCGACAATGGCGATCACGATCGTGACTATGTCGACGACGATGATTTTAGCCGCGGGCGTCTGGGCGGCGATGACGACGACGACGACGACGACGACGTTCGTCGCAGCTTTAAACCCAATGGCCACGGGGGCAGGAACAACGGTGCCACGATGGGCGCCTTTTCACTAGGGGCCAATGGCAAGTTGAAGAAAAAGAAGAAGCTGGTCGACGGGCCTCCATCAGCCTCGTCCACGCCCACCTCGTCGCCCCCCAAGAAGACCACCAAGGTCCCCGTGCCCCCAATACCAGGCAACAAAAAGGTCAAACTCGTCGGTGGTGGGAGCTTGGGCAGCGGTATCAACAGCAAGGCGACGCCTCTTTCGCCGCCCGCATCCAAGAATGGTAGCGGTGGTGGGGTGCGCGACCTGGATGCCGGCTCCGAGTCGTCTGGCACCATGTCGTCGCCGAGGGGTTAGGCCGGTCATCTACACTTTCTGTGTCCTATTTCTGTCGTCTTTCGTTGGCCGGAACACGGACCAGCCTACATATGATCTCCTTGTTTAGTGCGTACTGCAGGACGCCTACATCCAGGTTGGAAGTAACCGGCTAGGGGCGTCAGGCTGCTGAGAGGTGTGCCTTTTCCTTTTTTTCTTTTTCTTTTCATGCTCGTGGCCTCTACAGGTGACTTCCACCTGCTTAGACCTGGCCATCTTGTTGACCTTCTTGTACTTTTTGTCTATTTCTATCCGCTTTTCTATACGTTCTTCCCCTGCTATCATTCATCAAGGCTTACGCCGGATGCGCTGGCTTAAGGACGGGATTCTTTGCCTTGCTTTCTTTGCATATCATGGCCTGCCGAACTACAAACAACAGCTGGGTGTTGGCCTACTTTTCATGCCCTCTCTCTTCTGCTTTCCTGCTCTTCACCACATTTTCCATACATCTTCTCATTACCAGGAGAATAAAAAGGGTGGCATCGTATAGCGACCGTGAAACGGTCCGGCGTTTTTGTGTTATTTTTTCTGGTATTTTTTGAATCTTGAGCTTTGGGTTTTTCAGTACGAGTACCAAGTCTTTGGCAGTCTTGTATCGAGTTTCCATCAATCATTAATACGACTGGTTTTCAACCATATATATACACGTATATCCTTCTTGTCGTGCTACATAAGAAAACCTCACCCTTTCCGTTTCCCTTGCCCCTACTCCTCCTCCGGCTTGGTCACTCGCGCCTTCTTCAACTGCAGCGTTTCCCGCGGCCGGTCCTCAGCATCCGTCGCGACCTGCCCCATCCGCCGGAGCACACCCATCCCTGACTGCACCCGCCCAAAAATTGTGTGCTTGCCGTCCAGCCACGGCGTCGGCGCCAGCGTGAGGAAAAACTGACTTCCGTTCGTGTTCGGTCCCGCGTTCGCCATGCTCAAAACGCCTGCCCCTGTGTGTTTCAGCTGCAGCTTGCTCGAAGCCGGCGCGATCTCGTCCTCAAACTTGGCTCCGTAGATGCTCTCGCCCCCGCGACCGGTCCCCGTCGGGTCACCACCCTGCACCATAAAGTCGGCAATGACGCGGTGGAACACCGTGCCGTCGTAGTAGCCACGCTCCGCGAGCGTCGCAAAGTTGCGGCACGTGCGAGGCGCGTGTTCTGTGTAGAGCTCGACCGTGATGGTGCCCTGCAACGTATGAGCAAGGGGAGCTACGACGTAGTGGGTAGAGGACTGAATGATGAACTTACCATGCTAGTATCAAGTGCCACTGTTGTAGCCATGACGGTGAGTGGTTTGAGAGCTGTTTTGACTTGTGTAAAGTTGTGGTGTCAGTGTTCCTCGTGCTAAAGGAATATTTGAGTAATGGGAGCGGGATTGTGGCGGAGTGTAAATTATAATAAAAATTGCCGATACAATAAGATCTGTACACCTTGTGAGATTCTAAATGTCAAGTAGCAGAGGTGCTTCTTGTCGTTGACGTTGGTGAGACGTTGTGCTTGGAAAGCTTTAACTCAGAACTGATGAAGGTCCAAGGTACAGAATAGATCGTAGTCAATATGACTAAGCATCATTGGTGGATGGTTGAATCTGACTGGGCGCCTGTACCAGTGCCCCACTTTTAATGTGCAACTGCACTATGAACAGCCCCTGCTAAAGGCGGCCACATATGTAGGAGAGCACCTTCCGTTTACATCATTTTGTCATCCAAGTATTTACTACTACCGATATTATTACCAATCTACAATACAGAAAAGGTCAGAAGCGACAAAAGCGACATTGGTGATAGAAACGAGAGAAAAACCCGAAGCTGCAGGCACCTCTCCCACGACGATGGACGAGCTTGCCCTGAACGGCACGCTCGCCGGCGACGCCCTGGCCAACATCACAGCCAACATCACAGACAACTTGGCGGCCGGTAATCTGACACCCATAGCAGCAGCGCGGGCGGCCTTTTCCTTTTCGGACCCGTCAACCTTTGCACAGCTTCTGTATGCCTACCGCCACATGTTTATCATGGAGGCACGCATCCTCGGCCTCGCTCTCGGTGTCATCTACCTGGGCGCTCACGCCTCGCTGTCTCGGCCACACTCTGCGGCGCCTCGGGACGACGAGAGCGACAAGGCTGAGGGTGACGGCAAGGGCAAGACGAAGAAAAGGAAGCGCACGGCCGATGTCGCCAAGGAGAGCATCCAGCTAAAGGACGCGCTTCTGATGCCTTTTTTCGCGGCCGCGGCTCTCATCGGCTTCTACTACCTGATCCAGTACATGCAGGATCCGGCGCTTCTCAACCGCATACTGCGCGCATACATGTCGCTGATCGCCGTGGCAAGCGTGGGTGCGTTCCTGGGCGGCGGCCTAAGCTTGGCCTCGTCTCTTGTCTTCCCCAACGTGTGGACATCGCGCCGTGATGGGCACTTGCACCGGGTGGACGGCAGCAAGCGCACGCAGTGGGTGCAGAAAGCGACAGCATCGGACGCTCCCGGAGCAGCGAACGATGCCAGTGCTTGGGAGCTGGATCCGTCTCGGACGACGCCATTCCCCGACATGCTGGCGGCGCCCATTTCTTGGCTTCCGGCATCGTCCGCGGCTCGCGTGACATCTGCCTCGTGGGCTTTCCGTCGCCTTGTTCGCGAATCGTGGTCGATCCATGTGTCGTTGCGCGGCGTGGGCGAAGAGGAAATCGAGGGCTTGACGATTCACGCTCTCATTGGCATGGCACTGGCCGGCCTGACAGCGTACCTTTACTACTTCGTCGGGCTCTTCCCCTCGCTGCTGAACAACATTATGGGCCTCGGTATGAGTTACTTGTCGCTGCAGCTGGTGTCGGGCACGTCGTTTGCAATCGGCTCGACGGTGCTGATCGGCCTCTTTGTGTACGATGTCGTCATGGTGTTCTACACGCCGTTCATGGTGGCCGTGGCCACCCAAGTTGACGCTCCTATCAAGATCGTGGCCGGGTCGGGCCCGCAGACAGGCATGTTGGGACTGGGTGACATTGTGGTACCAGGCATCTACATGTGCCTGTGCCTTCGCTACGACCTGTACCGCCACTACGCACGGCAGATCAAGCACGTGGACACGACTCTTACGGCGGTGGTGGCTAATTTGGCGACGGACGAGGATAAAGCGACTACTACAAAGACGAGCACGGCCACCCGCGAAGTGAAGCCCCAGTACATTGATCCCCAGGGCCGTTGGGGCGATCGACTGTGGACATCTGGCGCCGCCACGGCAGTAACAACGGCCGGACTGACGGCTGCGCGGTTTTCCAAGCCCTACTTTTACGTCTCAATGGTCGCCTACGTCATTGGACTGATGGCGGCCATGGCGGCCATGCTTATCACGCGCAAGGGACAGCCCGCGCTCTTCTACCTAGTCCCTGCGCTCCTTGTGGCAACGTGGGGCCGGGCGGCCGTGACGGGCGACCTGAAGGGGATGTGGGCGTACACAGAGGACGACTCGCAGGACACCAAGGACGTGGTCGTCGAGGTGGATGCGGATGGAAAGCTGATCAAGGCTGACGAGACGAGGGACGAAAAGAAGGACAAGAAGACGGATGGCAATGGCGACCAGAAGAAGAAGGAGAGCGAGAATGAGAACGACAACGAGACCGGACGGGACATCTTTGTGTTTGCCATCCGTGCGCCACCTGAGTCGGACTTTTTCGAGATGGACATTTGAGGGGCTTTTGATACCATATCGCGATAGAAGAGGTCTTTCGAATAGAAAGCGAGGATAGATGCTGGCCGTCTTAAAGACTTCTAACACAGAATAAAATGAATATTGAAAATTTTCACATAGCTGGAATAAATGAATGCAAGACAAAAACGACCTTCCAACAACATCAATATCCGTGGACATAAATTGTATTGATTCACTGAGATTACGTAATCCGTTTTGTTCCCAACACATCCACGCGGCTTGGCCCGTACCAACAAACAGTTTCACCACATTTATCTCAGCAACCGACTGTCATACTTTCGGCATCAATCTTTGTTTCTCACGTAGACCCTCTTAGTTTCTCATTTGGACACAAATTACGCGAATCTGTGCTTGGATCATGGCATGACCAACTCTACTTGGAGTGAACAGCGACCCACGATAGTCTCCAATCGCTCCTACCTCACTTACCTTGGTGGCGCGTGCCTTCCTTTTACGATATCCCACCCCCCTATCTACCTGCTTCCCTATGGAGACTCTCGCTCCTTCTTCTCGGCCGGTTCTCGTACAATGGATTGTTGACACTCGCACACTCTGGCCTGAAGCCACACAAACCTGCCAGCTGGCGACTTTCGTACGACGCCCACTCGTTCCCTTCCTTGTTCTCCGCGTCAGCTAACAGACAAGGCCTCCCGCGCACTTGAGGCTCTCTTGACTGATGAAGAGCGCGCCGGCGTGCTCAAGTACTTCCACGTGCGGGACGCCAAGATGGCTTTGGTATCGCAGCTGCTCAAGCACTTGGTCGTGGCTCGTTGTGGCCATGCCGACGGCCGTGCACCTGTTCCGTGGCGTAAGACGGTCCTCTCTCGGGGCACGCACGGAAAGCCAGTCTACTATGTTGACCCCAGCAGCAGAGCGCAGCCAGTCGTCTTCAACGTCAGCCACCAGGCCGGCCTTGTGGTGCTGGTTGCTGTGTTCGGCGGTGACGACCTGGGGGGCATTGACGTGGGCATCGATGTCGTGTCCCCGACGGAGCGCCGCACGCGCGACTTGCAAATGATTGCGGACGCAAATGCTACGTCCCCGTCCTCCGGCTGGCCGCATTTTGTGGATGTGCACGCCGACGTCCTCGCGCGCAGCGAAGTGCGCTTCCTCGAGAATCTGGCGACCCGTGACGACGGCGAGCTGCTGCGGGCGTTTTATGCGTTGTGGTGCCTGCGTGAAGCCTATGTCAAGATGACCGGCGAGGCTCTCCTGGCAGAATGGCTCGCCGAACTCGAGTTCCATGCGTTCCAAGTTCCCAAAGCTCCTGGCCCAGCAAAAGGTCCTCTGTTCCAGGGCGACATGGTGACAAAGCATGACATCCAGTTCCGCGGTGCGGCCGTCGGCGACCAAGTCAACGTGTGCTTGCGCAGCGTCGGCGTCGACTACATGGTGTGCACAGCGGTACGTTCCAGGCCGGCCGAGACAGCGCTGGCGCTGCCCACGACTGACGCGTTCGAGGTGTTGCAAATGGACGACATTCTGGACTTTGCGGAGCGACATGGATGACGGACACGAACGTCTATGAGAGCACCAAGAACATTGCCTCGGGCCTTTAATTTATTTAATTTTATGTTATTTATATTGGAGACGTAAATGCAAGACATGACAATGGAAACAGGTATTCATAGAAGCGAACACTCAAGGTCAACCAAAAAGGAAAACAGAAACAGCGGCTATGGTATCCAATGAAGATGCCTCTGAAAACAGAGGGCGACCTGCAAAACAAAAGCGAACAGACAAAACAAAAGAATGATAGGAAAATGATAGGAAACAAAGGAAACCCTTCAAGCCACATTACCCGTGACAAAACCAGCCGTTCTATATTGGGCAGTGCCCCAATATTCCAAAAACCAAATCTAGCGCGTAGTTTATATGATCGCCTGCCGTTTGGCGAACCCGACATGAAATCGTGGTTGCACGACTCTCTCTCTCTCTCTGTTTCTCTCTTCAGAACACTTGACGGTTTATTGTCAATGGGACGCGTTGACTTAGACAGACCGCCTGTCGATGACGCTGTTCATCTCGGTGCCCGAGACACTGTAGTCCTTTGGCTGACCGCCCTGCAGGCCAAAGCCAGGCTGGCCGATGACCAGAGAGAAGACGGCGAGGACAATCATGACACTCTCCAGGCCGTAGAAGACGGATTCGTTGTGGAAGAGGGTGCCGCTGTAGCCCTCGCTGAGCTCATCAATGCGGTAGATGCACCGCACGAGGATGAAAAGGATGGCGGCCCAGAGTCCGCCCATGAAGAGCCGGAAGCGGCCGGGGTTGGCGAGGTGGGTGCTGAGGCCGCTGTTGCGGCGGTAGTAGCGGACGAGGTAGTCGGCGGAGAAAAAAATAAAGATGACGAGGGTGAAGACCTGGAAGGAGAGACCGAAGAGCGACATGTTGACGCCGAGACGGTCGCCGCCGGACGAGGTGGAGCTGAGGGCGCCGCCGGCAGCCTGGAAGATGAGCGAGATGACGTCGCAGGGAATAAAGAACCAGATGAAGAACTTGGGGTTGAAGCGGGCGAGCGAACGGTCGAGGAAGTCGATCCTATGGTTCAGTCAGCAACGGAGCGAGTCAAGGCATGGATGCTACCGCGAAGGTAGCTGAGGGCACGTACGTTCGGGACAGAGTCACGTAGATGGCGGCACAGATGAAGACGGGAGCCGTGGTGATGCAGACTAGGTTGTTAGCTTGCTATTCACTGCCGGTAGTTTGGTGGCTTCGTGGCTGGGTTGGGTGTCTCGACGTACTGATCTGGATGAGGAAGCCATTGAACGAAAACGGGTTGCCATGCATGATAATACGGCCACTGTAGCCAATGATTTCGTCGATGCAGCCGAGAATCATGGGAATGGCAAAACCGCCGAGGGTGTGGCGCCAGCGAATGCCTTCGACGGCGTGAATGACGAGGGCGATGGCGAAGAGAGCGATGAAGACGGCGCTCGCCGGGATGGACGGCTGGTACTGCAGGATGCTCCACTCGACAGGGCAGACGGCGAGCGTGCAGTTGGCATCAGCGCCGTAGGCAATGTAGCCGTCGGGAAGATCGCTCATGGTGATGGTTAAGAGACGGACGTGAATCGGATGGGCGAGGTACTTAAAATGTGTTTGTATATAAGAGACAGACACAGGACCGCCAGGTCCAGGATTGAAGATGAAATGCCGGGAGACAAAGACGAGATAAATGAACGAGCAAGGTTAATTCAATAAACGACGAGGCAAAGACAGAAGGAGAGTAGAAAAGGCAGAAAATGTGAGAAGTCGACAATAAAGGCTGTCGTAGGCGAAGCGAGTTGTAGATCGCGGTAGGGCTGAGAAATAAGGAATAATGAATGAGCAACGGTTGAGGGAAAGAAAAACGAGGGACAAGAAGACAATATAAATAACCAGAAAATCAAAAAGGGACGAAGCAAAAATAGAGGCGAGAAAAGAAAGAAAGGGACGAAACGGTAGTCGACACTAGACGGGAGTAAGCATGCGCGATATGCGAACGAGACTGGTCAATGCTGGCCAGGGGGGTGTGCGGCTCTGGGATGCCAGAGACTGTGTAAATAGAGAAAGGAGCGAAAAATAAAGAGACGACAGGGCTGGGGTGTGATTGCAAAACGCAGCAAACTGTTTGGTTCGGCCTCGAAATGGGAGTGCGCCTCGCGTCTGCCGTGTCTCGATTTGCTAGTAAAAGGTTATTTTTTATTTTTTTATTACTTTATTTTTGTTCTTGTTGTTTTGGTAGCTTCGTGCACGGGCGCAGGGGTTGCAGGCAGGAAGCGAATGCGGGTACCAAGCTTGTCGTCAGTTGTTGAGGCTGAGGGCAGAGAGGGAGGAAGCGAGTGCCACAAGAACTAGGCGGAAAAGACTGAAGTCGAAGGATGATTGTCGATGACAGGACGACGGGGATGCATGAAGTAGCCGGCCAGTATCAATATCAAACGGAAGCCGGCATCATAGAGGCACTATTTCGTACGGTGTTCGGGTTTAACCTGTCGTTTTCGCTTTTCGTTCTTTTTAGTTTAACATGGCTCATCTTGGCGCACATATCAAGTTACATGCAGTGGAGCGAAGTTCTTTAAAAGTCCGTTTTTAGTGATGCCTTTTTATTCGAAAATTATTGCCTACTGTCTTTTATCCCTGTGTCTCCTTTGTCGTGGTTCCAACGTGTGGTATTCTTTTATTTTATTATTTATTTATTATTTATTTATTTATTATTTATTTTTTATTTTTGGTGTCTCTCGTCTTTTGACGTGCCCGTAAGCGTATTTAGTTGGTCGTTTTCGCTTTCGTTCCTGCATGGCATTGGTCTCTGTTTCAAACGGACAAACATTGCGCCCAACGGACCGTTTTGGTATACAGTCTTACATTCGTACACACTAATTCGACGCCCGACCCTCTTACGTGGCCTGCCTCAAATGAGAAAAGAAAAAACGGACCTCCCTGGACGGGACATAGACCGCTAGGCCGAGTCTTCTTGCTTGTTACCTCTGTAGTTCGCGAACAGTTGCGTATCTGTTTCCTTCTGCATCACCTATTTCAAACGACTTGGGAATGCTATGGGAATCAGGACCAGGAATTTCCGTGGAAACGGGCAGAACGATAGAACATGTGCTCAGAATGGTATGGAAAGTCGTGTTTTGAAAGAAGATGGGAAAGCAACGGGAACCAAAATTAAGCTTTCCTACCTTCTCTTGTTCTTGCTTTTGTTTTGTTATTATTTGTTACTTGTCGATATTTTCCACTTGCTCACCGGAGTTTCTACAACGTAAAACGTAAAAGGCAAATGGTATATCTTTGGTCAAAGCCTAGCAATGCCACCGCCATTCGGCTGCCAGCTTCCTGTCAGGCGCAGTGACTTGGGTAGGAACCCTCCTTGGCGCGTTTTTGTGTATTGTAATTACGGACGTTTAGAATTGTACCGTAGTATGTTTGGCAATTCCGTTGCCTGCCGTCCTGCAGTCAATACGTAAGTCTGTGGCTTTAGCTTCAGGAGCCATGTCAATGGTAGCCTTGTCGGGCAAAACGGGGCCCCAAGCTACCGGAATCAAAATCTGCCATGAATGAATTTCCGCGGCGGAAGCAGCCCAGTTGGGCGTCCGAATGCTGCGACCCGGAGTCTAAACAGGACAGAAAATCGACAGAGATCAAGCACATTTGGCCGCATATTCGAAGAATTGTCGCTGCCTGGTGAGGTTCTTTTTCAAAGTAAAACGAGTTGAGACAGGGCTTAGTTCGCAGACAAAAGCGGTAAGTACAATACGAGCAACCCAATCGGAGCCAAAACGTTTGTCTTGGCGTCTCGCCGCATGGACGACGCAATCCTGCGGCCCGCTAATTTCCAGTCTGGAGCGAAGCCTAGCCTTACAAAGTATGCCGTACCTGTGCCTGTTCAGAGTAATGTGTCAAACCCGAGCGTACGACACACGTAACCAGGCCATGTGGTGACAGAAATAGACCTGGGAAATGGAGTTACGAGCAGCAGAATGCAAGCACCACGTAACAAAAACTGATGCTGGTTGCAAAGCCGCTTGTAAAACAGAATATCGAAAGTCAAGACATCATGACATTGTGATATTGAGGCTAGAGTCCACAGAACCATTTACACCGTACAAAAATAGCATCTGTCTAAGTCTAGCGTCTCCGTATGTGTCTGTTCCTTTCATCTCCTCTGGTCTCGGTGCTCACGCTGCATATCCCCCTCCTCTTCTTTAACTGAGATGCTCCAGAGACAATCGGTGGCTCTCATGACCGAATAAAGTGTTCGTGCCATGTCGATTCCCCGTGATGCCAATTAAAAGTAGCACAGAGGTCCCCACAAGAGAGACAAAAGCAGCATTGCAGCGTATGGAGCAATTGCCTTTTGCACCAAGATTGGGACGTGCTTTTTATCGCCAAAGTGATCCAATACTCGGCCTCAAGCGCCACCTTTTTGCTTGGGGAACACGTTCAGGAAACGGTGAGCCTGGTGAATTCGACCAAATATAGCAGTCATACATTCAGATTCTCAAGGCTAATATGCGCATATATGGCGGTGAAACCTGTTAAGCGAACGACAAAAACGCTCTATATCGTCATCACCTTATAAAGACGTCTAAACAGACGGTTCGCACGGTAGCTTTCAAGACAAGCCGAACATATACACACACCGTACCCAAGGACCACAGAGCGCATGGCGCGTGGCTTTTGCCAGCGTCTCCAGCTCGTCGTCTCTGTTATTGTCAGTGTCGTGTCATTTAGATTTCAATGTTGCCTGGTCGAGGCGCAGCCATCCTTCATGGCACCAAAACGGTTAAGACAATACGATGTTTTCGTAGGTCAACTGCTCGTCACAAAGTATCTTAGAGGTGTGAGGGAGCAGTGTGGAGAGAGACGTCGAGTGCCAAAACAGACAGTTGACATATGTGAAAAAAAAGAGGAGGAAAAAAAAGAATTTGTAATTCGACCAAGAAGGACAGCTCGTGGATTGAGAGTGAGAAGCTGAGACGGAAGGAATGGCCCTGCAACCCGACAGGGGTTCAGGGGATTTGGAGGCAGGTTCAACTGGGACGTATTCTGTACACGGCTCCTCCTTCCGTTTGCATCGTATGTCGTACGTTCTTACTCAGCAAATTTATGGTTCTTATCTAGGCGACTAGGGGCCCAGGGTGTCGTTCGTTCTTATCTAAGCGCGCCGAAAAGGGTAAGACCAGAGCTGCCAGCATTCGCGATGGACACAGCAGGGGCCAGGCGCCAGGCGGCAGGCACAGCGCGGCTACAAGGCGTCCCCTGGGTCCTGCCTTAACGAGCGACGGGTGACCAGTAGACCACAATGAAAATGGACCGTTCGTGGGAAAGGCCGCATATCTGTGTCGTAATACTCCATCCCCTCCGAACGTCCGACAAGACATGGCCCCGTGCAAGCCGGCCGGTGTCGTGTTTGGAGAAGCTTGCAGGTTATTTGTCGACAAACATATTCGGGGATAATGACATGCAAAAATATGCATCGAGATACGTTTCGAGCTACAACTTGTCCCAGGAAAAACAAAACAAACAATTGCATCACCAATTTGACTAATTTTGCCTCCTTTGTCGATTTATTTCTTTGACCTCGCCTGGCTCAGCTTTCATCCGCCCAGCCTCTTACCCTGGTCACACCTTTGGACCGCTTCTCGTTGCACGCGTTACCCTCTGCCGACATCGCCTGTCACTGCCGAGTCTCTCTTCGCCAGCGGACCGTGAACAATACGTCTGAACACATCGTGCTGTCATCGCCTGTCTAGGCTCCTCCGGAAGGACCGACGGCAGCCACCGGAACAGGGCAGCCTTGACCATTGAGGCTACCGGTCGCTTTGCTAAGTGCAACATACATTCGCCAGCCGCTCGCACTCGCATTCGCCAGAGTGTCTTGGCACGGACAGCACCATTTCCAAAGAGCATCGTCGAAAACGGGCCAACGGACAACGTCGACGAGAGAGCCTGCGGGTGCTCTGTACTGCATGTCAGAACTTGCTTTGCTCAGCAATTGTTCCGCATGTATGCCTAGCGGGCCGCGGCGTTTCTCGCCCAACCGTACACAACGTCTGCCGCATCAATATCGTCTCTGCCCGGCCCAGCCGCTGCCACCGTCCCGTTTCGCCAGTCTCTCTGGGCGTCCCGCACCCCGCGCCCCGCCGGTCTAGGATACGCTACGGCTCACCACCATGTCCGCCGCCGTCAGGGAAACCAAGACAGCCAAGTATCCGACCAAACTGCGCCGGAACTACCCGCGATCGCGCAACGGCTGCCTGACCTGTCGACAGAGGAAGAAAAAGTGCGACGAGACACGACCACAGTGCGTGGGGTGTACGCGCAACAAGCTGTCGTGCGTCTGGCCGGCTCGAGCCCAGACGGCAGGCAATGCGACCGGTGCGGCTAGCAGCAGTTCGGCCAATACGCGTACATCGGCCGGTGATGTCACCACAAGAGATGGTGCCTCATCCAGCTCAACCGGCCATCCCTGTCCGCTGGTTTCCTCCTCCAATCTCACCCTCTACCAGCACAAGAGCCGCTGGCAGACCTACCTACCATCCCTGGCCACCTGGGAGGGCGTCGAAGGCTGCAGCGTGAATCTCAACCCCGTCTACGATGAGGCCGGATATCGCCGGGATGTTGTGTCTGTCTGTCTGACCACCGCCGTAACGCCTACCGCAGCCTCGGCCACCACGTTCGCCGCAGACTCGCCCTCTGCCGGCGTCGACGACACCGACAGCGTCCAGCCTATGTCGTCGAGTAACCACAACACCGATATGGACGACTATGCAACTACGACAACTTTGACAACCGCCGACGACGACGATGACGACGTCCGCGGCATGTACGATGAAGGCACCGGGCCCCAGCACGACGACGAATACGCCTGCCACCTGGACGGCGACTACGAGGGCAGCGGTGACGATGCCGCGGACGAGGACGAGGACGAAGACGCTATCCTGGCCGCCTGGTCTCCCGCTCTGGCCTCGTTCACCGTCGATGCCGTGCCCCCGCCGCGGCCCAAGAAGTCTGCCATTGCCGCTGCCTACCGACGGCGGCAGCCTTCCCAGCAGCATGCGTTCCAAAACCAATACCAACAACGGGAACAGCATTGGCAGCAACGCCGAGCGTTCGCCAACCCTCGCCCGTCCTACCCGATCCAGCGCCGCCGGGTCGCGGCCATGACGCCGCTGTCTGCCTCCATGCTGCGCCACTACATTGTCGAGGCCGCACCCACCCTGGCGACATGCCGCGCCGCTCAAAACCCCTACGTGGCCGCTTTTCTCCCGCTTGCTTATACCGACGACCTCGTCATGCACTGCCTCCTGGCCATTGGCGGGGCCCATCTCAGCAACCGTCTCACGAAACCATGCGCACCAGAAGGCGGCGGAGGCAGCAATGGCTCTGGACCATCATCCACGGGCATGGCCGCAGGATCGACCCTCGCGCCGTACACGGCTCCTGACAATGCCACGGCCGCCCTTCACGACGCTACCACCCGCCACTACACCAGCGTCCTCCGCAGCCTGCGCTCCGTCCTGCGCAACCTCCAGCCCTCGGACACCACCCAAGTCCTGCGCGTCCTCACCATCTTGGTCCTGCTGGCCACCTACGAGTGTCTTTCGTGGAACATTTTGAGTGGCAGCGTCTTTACCCACCTACGCGCCAGCCGCCAGCTCATCGGCTGGCTGCGCTCCGACGACCGTCGCACCAGCCTGTCACCCGATGAGCGCAGCATGCTGGGCGCCCTTCGCGAGATCTACGCCTACCAGGTCCTCGCCAACCGCATCTGCCCAGACGGCACGATCCACGGCCGCTCCACCGCTGCCGAAGACACGACGACCCACGACGACGAGGACTTTGTCGCCGACCCCTCGCTTCTGCAGGATCAGGAGTGTTTCGGTCTTCTGCTTTCGGGCCTGCATGGACTGTTTGCCTTGATTCCGCCCGTCAGCCGTCTGGCTGCTGCCGCCATCCGTCCACAGCCATCCGGGACGACCGCCGCACGGCCTCCTGCCTCGGCGTCGCCATCAACAAGCACTCTGGGCAGTCTGTTTGCCGACGCGGCTGCTGCCAATGCCGGCAGCACCTCCTCCTCCTCCTCCTCCTCCTCCTCCTCCTCCTCTTCGGCCATTGCCGCCCAGGTCGCCTCTCTCCGCAACCGCGCCCTCGCCTGGCAGCTGCCCGCCCCCTTCTTGGCCCGGGCCACCGGCGACCAGGAGCGCATCTGGCAGCGCGCCATCGGCGAGGTCTACCGCCACAGCCTGCTGATCTACCTGGAGACCATCCAGGTGCCGGGCGAGCACGGCGAGGGGCCCACCTCCGGCTCCAGCGCCGCCGCCTTGCAGCGCCACATCCACGCCCTTGGCGAGGCCGTCCTCGGCGCCGATCTCGTCGCGTCGCGCTTTGCTACCATTTTGCTGTGGCCGCTGCTCATTGCCGGCTCCATCTTGGTCCACCCGGACGAGCGCGTCTTCTTGGCGGAGGGCCTGCGCGCCTCACCGCAGGCCACGTGGTCGTCGATTCGCGCGGCCGAAGTGCTCGAGCAGCTATGGGCGCGTCGCGACAGCGTAGTCCAGGCGCGTGCTCTGACGTCACCCAACGCCGCCGACACGGCCACCAACACGTCTTATGGCGCCAGCAGCATGCCGTACTATGGGCCGCATGGGATTGCACAGATCATGCGCGAGATCAATGTGAATTTGTGTGTTGGTTGACGAGAAGGAGATTAGGTTGGGGAGGAGAGTCGGAGGATTCGCAAAGATGGACACGTTTTGTTTTGATAATGTTGACCTGAATCATGACGGTACGAATATTTTGTAAACATACGAAATAGCACTTTTTTAACAACGGAAACTATTTAATATCAAAATGATGACTGCATTTTATATGTACTCCTGAAAAATGCAAACATATGAGAGCACCGACTGGTAAATAAAAATATCGTTTATTGTTTGATTAATAGAAGTGCACTTACTTCACCAAAACAATGCAAACAATAAAAAAATACAACTGTCCTCCACGCCTCGTGAAAGCGTGGTAGGCGTGATAATCGACTGACCAAAAGACCGTCTACAATTAGTACAGTAAAAAAAGAAGACAAAATCAAACATGACAAAAATGACAATAAAAGATTTGATCCCATATCCAGACGTGGTATCATATGGAAAGACGGAAAACGCCAGGTATTAGGCATAGATGGTTATGACGTGGTATGCGTGCGATTATGGCTGTGACGAGCAGCTTTTTGGTCGTACTGTATGACGATTCAATGATGACTCGATGGCGGACTCGGTGCAGTTATCGTTGTGGATAATGCAACCGTGGGTGCTGGAGAGGGACAGACAGGCATGTCAAGAGGTCAATTTGCTTTTGACATGGTCGTTTCTCGTCATGGTGTTGTTCGTTTTGTGTGCTCGGTTGTTTCTTGGCGAAGGACACACAAGACGATGCTCGGCCGGAGAGGAGCGGTCGGGAGACTAACGGCGGGTCATGCTTATGCGTTGACGTTGTCCAGGCGGCCGTCCTCGTAGTTGACCTTGGAAAAGCTGCCAGCACGGTCACGCCGGCCGCGGCGGCCCCAGCGGCGGCCACCCTGAGCCGCGTTGCCGTTGGTGCCGTCGTCGACTGTGTTCTTCGATTTGCCCTTGCGCGTCGCGCCGGCACAAAGCAGGATCATGGCAATGAGCAGCGCGGCAAGGGCGCCCCAGCTGAAACCGAAACCGTAGCCACCGAGCTGTGCGTCGCGGTTGTGGTTGTGGAAGACGTTGCGAGCTTTAACAAACGTGGCACTGCGTTGTTAGATTCCACGTATTTATAAAACGAGAAACGGGGAGAAAAAGAAACAGGCTGCAGGAAAATGACTCACGTCATGAGGGACACGGCAATGGCCAGGAAAGCAAAGGCCAGGAAGGTGACAAAGCTACCGATGCTCGAGCCGAGGCGGCCGCAGCAGGCGAGGAAACTGGAGAAGAAGGCGATGATCTCCAGGAAGAGCGCAATCAGGAAGAAGACCCAGCTGAAGCGCCACATATAGAAATAGTAATGCGAGGTCGTTCCGCCGCCGTACTTGCCTATCAGCTCAGGCGGAGCATTCGCAGCATTGGGAGCCCAGACGTTGCCAAAAGGGATGGCCGGATGGGCACTACCGCACTGCTCATTGTTGGGCCCGCACGAGTACAGGTAAGTCCATTGCGAGATGTCGTGGGCGCCTTGAATGCCCGTCGTGTCGGCCTGTAGGAAGTAGGTCTTGTTCAATGGCGTTGTGCCGGTGACGCCGGCCAGAATGATGAAAAAGAGGAACAAGATGGACGTGGCCAGCATCACTGAGGCGGCCAAGCCAAACGGTGCGTCTGGGGGAGTCAGTCAACATTGCAACTTAAAGGGACAGAAACAGCGGAAACATACGAATAAGCGCCATTTTGACGTTTGTTTTGAATAGTCGGCGAGGAGGTGGATATAACAGTACCGCGGACGGTTATGCTGTTGGTGCTGATTGTCGAGTTCCAAAGCTCGAACAAGATATCTCGCTGGTGGAAAGAGACGCAGAGGCCGAAAATGCGACCAATGGTGGAAAATTGAATATCCAAACTGTTGCTGGAGGGTGGTATTGGCGATTCAGCGTGACGTGTGTAACACAAGGGAAAGCGACGGGGAAAAAAGAAATGGAAAAGGAAAAGAAAAAGAAAAAGAAAAAGGAGGGGAAAGGAGATTGGAAAGCAGCCAAAGTGGGAGAGGCGAGGTAAATAAAACAGCAAGAGAAGTCTACTAGCTGAGGGAGCAAGGACAAAGAAGGTGCGCGATCTGCTCTTTCCCAATGCTGTAAAGTAAGTAGACCGGATGGGCGTGGGGCAGAACCAACGACGTAATGGTATTCTCAGCCGATTTGAGAAAGAGCGTGCCAGACGCTAACAAGAAGATTATGACGAAGGATTGTTGGCGGGCGACACAACTAGCAAAAAGGGAAGGCTCGGTCGGTCGGCGGTGAGTGGACTGGCGGCGCAGAGTACGAAGATTTAGTGTGCGATGCTCACACGAGAAAGAGCGATGCGCAGGAGAGTGAAGAGAGTGACCTGCTGAAGAGAGGCAAGACCAAAAAGGCCGGTCGGATCAGGCAAGAGCAACTGAGAACTATGTGTGACGAGGTACTTGGGTAGGCCCACCGGCACACACCACAGCAGGCACCAGAATACCCCGTACTTTCCCTGAGAGCTTGTCTCTAGATACTTCGAGTAATTGCGACGAAGGTGGACATGTGCTGACCATCGTACCTTCCCTGCGCTGCTTCTGCCCCCCATGACGACAACATATCAGGAGCTATTCCGATCGGGTACTAGTCCGATCCGGCAGCAACCCCATCATCGAGCTCCCCGGGCGCTCCTTCCCAGCTCGCCCATCCGTCGTGCTTGCTGCGCCAGGTGAAGTTTCTGAGCTTCTGAAGAGCGTTGCTTTGGGCGGTATTTACTTCTACGCTGTAGAGGGGCAAAGGAACTTTCCATAGACGCTTATGCTGGTGGATGACTTGGGTACCAGCCAAGTAGCGACGGGAGGTGTAGTCATCCCAGAGCAGAGGTGCTTGGTGGACCCGGTTTTTATTTGCCGCTAGTGGCATAGATCTCCCGCAAAGGCCCAGTGTTTTTTTGGGTCGTTCTTTCTCTGCAGGGTGTCTCGGTGTGCATCGAGCCCACTGCCCAATATCGTACGGCGCGACGCTAGGCAGCTCCGCCCAGCAAGAAACAAACAAAGATGGATGCAACTCACGGACAAAGAAGAAAAACACGCCGCCAGCTAGACAAGAGGTCGTCCATTCTGGTATTTTGCTGCTTCTGCCTTTTGAACTCATTGCCAACGCCTTTCCAGCGCGAGGATGCTTCGGCAAAAAAGAAGCGTGGGAGAAGGGATGATCGTCGTCATGACGTCGTGGTCTCTCTCTTCCACTTCTGTTTTTTTCTTTTCCGTTCCCTTTTCTTTATCTTCGCATTTTTTATTCCTTGCTTTCATTGACCTCTAGTATCCCACGGGCAAATATCGTCTAGAGCCAGCGTGGCCAGGTAGTGACTTTGGGGCGCTGAGTGGTTCCCCGACCCTCACTTTTTGTCTCCCGCATTCCGCCACAAACCCATAACATGGTATTCGCTTCCTCGTGTACGACGAACACCCAGGCGATCTTCATTCGGACTGTCATCCCACGCTCAATGCTAGCCACTGTGCTAGCATTCCTCCCTTATTTTGCTTGGCTGCCTTCTAGACTCGCTTTAACGCATTTACCGTCTCGTTCGATTTCTTGTCATTTTCTTTCTCTGTCGTCATCCAAAGCAACTCGTGTGACCGATGACAAAGGATGCTACTTGCACATGCTGCAAGGCCCTATAGGCTGGCCTGTGGTTGACTGCACACGCGAGCTGCACCGTTCATCCGATTCGGCTACCACAATGTTGTTTTCTGTGCCTTACATTGCGCTTCGTTGCACAGCGCGTTGTATCGGGACAGCAATGTGTCCCTGCACCTGCGAGGTTGTAAGGGCCCTGCTTTACAGAACCAGAGGAACGTCGTTCTGCTGACCGGAGCGGCCCGTGAACTGCTTCGAGCCTCGTTGCTGAGATCAGTTTCATACGGCATGTATGGTATTTGTGTGTCAGTGTCCTGTGTGATTTGGATATGTAGATTCTGTTGCAATGGTCCTTTTTCGTCCGACACCGCACCCACACTTGTCATGATAACTTCGTTATACCTGCTATCGGTGATATGCGAGGCAACGACAGAGTATTTGTTCTCGGTTATCTATGTTGATTTGAGTCTGGTAGGTATCTATTCTCATTCTCTCATTCTCCGTTCTCTTTCTTTCTGCCTTTTATTTCCTTCGGAATGTTAAACGTAAATGTTTCATCAGATACATTTTTGACGTCTCGCTATTTCTGCATAATATCGGCATCGAACCATCGTCTAGGCAGTCAATATTTGCTCTTTTATCTGCGGTTGAATTGGAGCGAGTTCATGGGACAGGGGTGGAGCCATACAGCCGTTCTAATATGGAAGTTTGCGATGTTAAATTTCTCTACAAGTATCCCGCGCAAGGACTCGGGATATACCCATTCAGACTTGGGTACCACATAATTTTACTCCTCACTTTCTCCTCTTTACGAGACTGTATCGCAAGTATACGTACAGAGGCGGCCGGCTCGGAATCATCGGTTGTATTTACTTTAGGAAAAGCTTATATCAACCGCAGAAAATAAGAAGAAATGGGCAACAGACGACACGGTTATATGACAAAATCTTGTCATCGACCGTACAATAACGTGCAGCCTTGTATTATTCATTGACGGAAACTAATGACAATGAGAGAGAAGCCAGAAAAAGAGCAAGAAGGAGCCGTGCCGGTACTTATAAGACGGAAGACAGCCACGATTGGGTGTTGTGCATTTATTCTCCCCGTTGTCGCGTGAATTTGTTGAGTAGACATCAACGGGCGGCTGACATTCGTCTCCTCGAAATCAGACGAATAAGGGCATCGGAGAAGAACAGCGATGAAGCAAACAATAGGTTATAAGCTGCTCGTACGGGCTTCACTGGCGACGGCCGTTGTTGCCCGTGTCGCCTCCACAGCCAACGCTACCAGCCCCGAAGCTACCAATGTTGACATCAACTTTGCATACGAAGCGACCCAGCTCACCGAGGTTGATGTCGGAAACTTTTCCGCCATTGCGTTTGCCAATGCCACGGCGGCCAAGGCGGGAGTGGCCGGCCCCGCCTGCCGCGCCTTCCCCGCCTCCCACGACTGGCCGTCGATTGCTACATGGGCCCGTCTCAACGACACCATGGACGGCGCCCTGCTGCACCCTACACCACTAGGTGCCGTATGCTACCCGACCGCCAATGGCACACTCGGGGCGTTCAACCAGACGCGGTGCCGTGAGCTCGTCTTCGGCTCGTTCGACTCGCGTGTCTACATTGACGACCCGCTAACGGTCTTGACGTCGTGGCCCCAGGGCGGAACATGCGCTGCAACATTGTATCCGCAAGGAACGTGTACACGAGGTGGGTTTCCCGAGTACGTGGTCAACGTGTCGACGGTCAAGCAGGTACAGGCGGCCGTCAATTTTGCACGCAACGAGAACGTGCGCCTTGTCGTCAAGTAGGCCACTCCCTCCACCCTAGATCATGTTTTTTTGCTCTTGCCTTGACATTCTAACCCCTTCCATAGAAATACTGGCCATGACTTTGTTGGTCGGTCGACGGGCGCTGGCTCTCTCAGTGTGTGGACGCACCACCTCAAGAATTTTGAGTTTCTACCGCATCATATCGTCACCACGCAAAACGGCAGCACTTACTACGGCGGCATGGCGGCTCGGGTCGGCGTCGGTCTCGAGGCGTGGGAGTTGTACCAGTACATGTCGCGCTATAATATGACTCTTGTTGTACCCGGCGGACAGACCGTCGGCGCCTTTGGCGGGTGGATGGCCGGTGGTGGGCACTCGTCGCTCGGCTCGTTGTATGGCATGGGTTCCGACCAAGTGCTGTCGTTGCAGGTGGTCACGGCCGATGGGCGCTTTGTGACGGTCAACGCAACTCAGAACCCGGATCTGTTCTATGCTCTGAGAGGCGGAGGACCGGGGTCGTACGGCATTGTGACGTCCGCGATTGTGCGCGCCTTCCCAGCCGTGCATGTGTCGGAGACCACGTTTTCGTTCCAGATCGGAGATTCGTATGCAGGTTTCAATTTCTCGGGCTTGCCCTTGCCGCCATTGAACACATCCAATCCATCAAACCTGACAAATCCCTTTGGGGGGACAAACCCGTTCAATTTCACCACGCCACTCGCCAATGGTACACGCCCGCGCCCCCCTCGATTCCGGCAGCCTGTCACGGCGCCCAGCGTCGAGGCATTTTGGGAGGGTGTGAACTCGTACTTCCGCTTCAGTCAGCAGCTCTGTGACGGCGGTGGCACCGGCTACAGCTACATCTCGCAGCTGTTGCCGGGTTTCCGCGACAATGACACCATCAGTAGCAGCGCAAACGGTAGTATTTCAAACGGTAGCTACAGCTTCTCGACCTCGGTAGAACTTCCCGGCATGACCGCTGTCGAGGCCCAAGCATTCTTGCAGCCCCTCTTCGACAGTTTTAACAAACTGGGTATCCACGTCAACAACACATTGCCGCGCATATCCGCCTCCTGGGGCCCCGGTTCCCGGCATGGTGCGGGTGACAGCCCCGGCGATGGACGATTTGCGACGCGCCTGTTCCCCCGGCGCAACTGGGAGACGGACAGCATGTTTAACGCCACGATGACAGCATTGCGTACCGTCATACAGTCAGGCTATTCGTTCCACGGCGTACAGGTAGCACCGTCGCTCAATCTACCAGCTGTCCAGTTCCCAGGCCACAGCTCCGTTAACCCAGCCTTCCGAGACGCCTTGATTCATGGAGACGTCTTCGACAATAGGAGGCTTGGAGGCAGCTATGGTTCAGGCTCTGGAGCACTGTTGAATAACACGGCTGATACCGTGGCAGGACGTCAGAGGGCAGCGCATGCGCGCTTTGAGGCTGCCATGGGCCTGCTGCGTGCCGCCACGCCTGGATCTGGAGCATATGTCAACGAGGCCGATCCTGACGAGCCCAACTGGCAGCAGAGCTTCTGGGGCGCCGAATACAACCGCCTGCTGGCTGTGAAGCGTGCCCGGGACCCTTGGAACGTTTTTTGGGCACCCACTACTGTGGGCAGCGAAGGTTGGTCAGTGCGTGTAGACGACAACCTATATGCTGGCTCGCAAAACGGTCGACTGTGCCAAGTCACGGCCCCGGCCAGGTTAGAGGATCTGGGCCCTAGTGTTGAGGATTCGGCAACGCGAACTGTCTCGAAACGGTCGTTCATAGGACCAAGACACATCTGAGGGTATCTGCCAAGTAAAACAGAGGAGCTTTGGGGGCCAAGTCAGATGAGCCAACGAGCTTGCGCATGGCGCGTTATAATATGCAGAGGCACTCGTATTTGCATCTTTGAATGGGCATCGGCACACACGAGTCTTTTTCCATGGCTTTGATCTTTGTCGCTGCGAAAATGAGGTCACCATGAACACGTGTCACAGCCTTGTGGTATGGCTAACGCACATGACATCGCAAAGGGGGGTGGGGTTGACGGGCTATATATGATGTTGATTTGTTGTATGCACAAGCAGTCGCTCACGGCAGCGGTTCGCCTCATCCAGCATTGGTCAGGCAGCCCTGCAGTATGAATGAGATATCCACCGGAGGAGTTTCAATGGCATGGAAACGTGTGGGATCTTGAGAGACAAAATAAATAGAGGAGCAAGCTCCTCACTTGGAGTTTGCTAAACAAGATAGAAACCACGGTTGTCCATCTTGTCGAGCATCACTTGGATTCGTTCTATCACTCCACAAATCCGAGTCTATCATGGCCAGTAGCAGGCCCACGGCAAGGACCTTTTCGTGCGATCCTCCGTGTTTTCGCAAATTCAAAACTGCCGCTGCCCTCGAGAATCATAAACGAGATGCCCAAAATCATGCGCAGGCTGGATTTCTTGCGAATGCGGTACCCACGAACGGTATCTCAGGAAGGATGAATCGCGGCATCTCAAGTAGCGGAACCGGTACAACACGCAATCGCCATGGAGGCCGAGGGGCCACTATAGTGGCCAGAACTACCACCACGACAAGGGCCAAGAAGAAGCAGGCCACAAAGACATCACGCTGCACCCTCTGCGACAAGCTCTTCGTAACGGACGAGGCACTCGCCGACCATACCCGCAATTCACGCAAACATAATATGGCGGTGGTAAGTCACATGAGGAATTGTGTCCAGCGAGACAGGCGACAAAAAGAAACCAAACCTCTAGGAAGACAAGAAAACTAAGAAGGAATAGCAAGCAGAGTCTGCAGGGCCGGCCGCTTTGGCCGACACGCCGCTCGACCGCTTCTTCCAGAACTTTGACTCATTCCCATACGATCGCATCAAGCCGCCTGCCGAGTCATTCCGGCAGCTCGGACGCTTCTTCCATTGGCGACCCGAAACAAAGGCACGCCAGCGAGCCTGGGCAGACTACCAACGGGCGCTGGTGGACGAGGTACAGCTCTGGTATGGCGACGTGAGCGACATCACCGCATGGCACGACCTCTGCAGGGCGGTCGGAATTCGAAATTTGCCGCCAACAACAACGGAGTGCAAAGCAGCGGTGCGGCGGACGCACGTCAACATTGTCGACCTGATCGAATGGGGTCGCAATGGACGGCCCGCCAACAGCCCTGTGAGAGTTTACAGGACGGTTGAGATGCTGAGAGTGTATACAATGGGCACACACCGAGTCTTCCCTCGAGGAGCGATGATCCGAAAGGAAGACGGTGCTACTAACATCGTATTGCGATACTTACTGCGGGACTTTGGGGCTTGGATGGGACAGTGGCGGGATGCCGACGCAAGTTAGGCGTGCATCACAATGAGGTGAAGGATAGAGAATGTGTGAATAAACAACGCATAGAAGAAGGGAAGAAAAAAGGGGGATGACGATACACTTATCTCTGAGTTGGGAAGTAAGTGGGAATGAAAGGGGGAAGGAAAGAGACGAAGACAAGAAGAGGAAGGAACCATCTGTGTAAGTGAAAACGGTGGAGCTTCAGTAGCTGAAACGGAGCGTATAACGGTAGCTTCCCTCCCAGCAGAAGGCTCGGGAAGGATAACTCACTTCGCGGTAGCGCTGGAGACGGTGCCGGATAAAGTCGTTTCCGATTCGATGGGCCACTGGAAGTCCACTGTGCGGGGCACCATAACCGTTCGGGGACAATTGGCCTGTCAACTTTTTTATGGTTTGCCCCTCCTTCCAGTATTTTCTTGGGGAATGCACATGAGGAAGGAGCGGCACGAAGGCATAACGAAGGCAATACCGAACCTGCAAGAGTGACTCACGCTGCAGCGAAAACATATCTACTCTGCATTTCTGGCGATACTTGCTGTCTGGAAGTCAACAACGCTCGTGGTGACTACTTGGCGCCCTTTTCTTTCTTTTCTTTTTGTTTCGTGCATTTTCCTATGCTCCTGCAGCAGTAGTCGTTCACCATGAGCATCAACTTTCCGAAGACCGAGGAGGAGGTCATCCGCTTCTGGCGTGAGATCGATGCCTTCCAGACGCAAGTCAAACTGAACGAGGGCAACAAGCCCTTCACTTTCTACGATGGACCGCCGTTTGGTACGTTGTTCTGGAGGAGGGACGAGCCTCGGACGCTGTGACGCGCAATTGGGTCCTGCGAACAGTCTGCTAACACACGTGCGCTCTCTTTTAGCTACCGGTAAGTCTCACCATCTCGCGATGTTTCGTGTTCACGACAACCATTTTTCTCGAGACAGCAAACACCCCTCGACCTCCACCGCTTGTCGACATCATACTGACCACTTTTCATAACAGGCCTGCCCCACTACGGCCATCTGCTGGCCTCGACCATCAAGGACATCATCCCCCGGTATTGGGCCATGAAGGGCTACCACGTGCCGCGTCGGTTTGGCTGGGACACACACGGCGTGCCCATCGAGTACGAGATTGACAAGAAGCACGGCATGTCCGCCCAGGACGCCGTTAAGAAGATGGGCATCGCCAAGTACAACGAGGAGTGCAAGGCCATTGTCATGCGCTACTCGGCCGAATGGCGCAGCACCATCGAGCGCCTCGGCCGCTGGATCGACTTCGACAACGACTACAAGAGCATGGACGTCCGGTTCATGGAGTCCTGCTGGTGGGTCTTCAAGCAGCTCTTCGACAAGGGCACCGTCTACCGCGCCTACCAGATCATGCCGTTCTCGACCGCCCTCGGCACGCCCCTCAGCCACATGGAGTCCAAGCAGAACGAGAAGTTGACCCAGGACCCGGCCGTTGTCGTCGCGTTCCCCGTCCTCAACGTCGAGGGTTATGAGAACACGTCTCTGCTCGCCTACACCACCACCCCTTGGACCCTGCCGTCGAACCTGCTCATCGCCACCCACCCGAACTTTGAGTACCTGGTCATCCTCGATGAGGCCAGCGGCAAGCAGTACATCCTCCAAGAGGCTGGCCTGACGCTCCTTTACAAGAACCCCAAGAAGGCCAAGTACAAGGTCATCAAGAAGATCAAAGGCCAGGAGCTGGTCGGCTGGAAGTATGAACCGCTCTTCCGCTACTACGTCGACAAATACGCCGACTGCTTCCAGGTCATCCCGGCCGACTACGTCGAAGAGGGCGAGGGCACTGGTCTCGTCCACCAGGCACCTGCCTTTGGTCAGGAGGATTACGACGCGGCCGTCGCTGCGGGCTTCATTACCCCCCAGCGTCTGCCGCCTTGCCCGGTCGATGATAAGGGCTGCCTGACCGACGAGATCCCTGAGTACGCCGGCCAGCATGTCAAGGTTGCCGACAAGGCCATTCTCAAGGACCTGCGCAGCACGGGCCGCCTGCTGGTCGAGAGCCAGATTATGCACACGGACAAGTTCTGCTGGCGTTCTGATACGCAGCTTATCCGCAAGGCGGTGTCCTCGTGGTTTGTGCGTGTCGGCGACGCCATCCCGCAGATGCTCGACAACCTAGAGAAGACCACGTGGGTGCCCAGCGCAGTCAAGGAGAAGCGTTTCACCAACTGGGTCGCCAACGCTCACGACTGGAACGTCTCGCGCAACCGTTACTGGGGCACGCCTTTGCCGTTGTGGGTTAGCGACGATTTTGAGGAAATTGTCTGCGTTGGCAGCCGCGAGGAGCTGCGTCAGTTGAGCGGCCACGAGGGTTCGCTCGATGACATCCACCGTGACAAGGTTGACGGCATCACCATTCCGTCGCGTAAAGGTAAGGGCCAGCTACGCCGCGTGAACGAGATCTTTGACTGCTGGTTCGAGTCGGGCTCCATGCCGTACGCCTCGACGCACTTCCCCTTTGCGGAGAACACGAAGCGGGACGACGACCCCAACGGCCCACCGGCGCTCTTCCCTGCCGACTTCATTGCCGAGGGTCTTGACCAGACGCGTGGTTGGTTCTACACACTGACGGTGTTGGCCAACCGGTTATTTGGCCAGTCGCCCTTCCGCAACGTCATCGTCAACGGTATCGTGCTAGCCGAGGACGGCAAGAAGATGTCCAAGCGCCTGCAAAACTACCCCGACCCGGGCATTGTGCTGTCGCAGTACGGAGCGGATGCGCTGCGTCTGTACATGATCAACTCGCCGGTCGTGCGTGCCGAGTCGCTGCGCTTCAAGGAGTCGGGTGTCAAGGAGATGGTGTCGCGCGTGCTGCTGGCGCTGTGGAACAGCTACCGCTTCTTCTCGGAGCAGGCGAACCTGTACGAGAAAACGACGGGCACGTTCTTCGTGGCCGATCTGTCGGTGATCAGCGACGGCAAGAGCCTCAGCAACGTCATGGACCGGTGGATCCTGGCGGAGATGCAGAGCCTGCTTAAGTTTGTGGAGGCGGAGATGACGGGATACCGCCTCTACACGGTGGTGCCGCGGTTGCTGTCGTCGATTGAGGACCTGACCAACTGGTACATCCGCTTCAACCGCCGCCGCCTCAAGGGCAGCGCGGGCCTGGGCGTCGACGACACGACGGCGGCCATGAACACGCTGTTCCAGGTGCTGTTCACGCTGGTGCGCGCGCTGGCGCCGTTCACGCCGTTCATCACCGAGCACATTTACGGCCTGCTGAAGCCGCATCTTAGCGCCGAAGTGCGCGGCAGCTTCAAGGACGACCGCAGTGTGCACTTCTTGTCGTTCCCGACGGTGCAGGAGTCGCTCTTCGACGAGGTCATCGAGCGCAAGGTGTCGGCGATGCAGAAGGTGATCCAGCTGGCACGCACGGCCCGCGAGCGCTGCAACGTGTCGCTCAAGACGCCGCTGCTGTCGGTGGTGGTCATTGCCGACAAGCATATCCTGGCGGACGTGGAGGAGCTCAGCTCGTACGTGCGCGAGGAGCTCAACGTCCGCGACGTTATCCTGACGAGCGACGAGGAGCAGTACGGTATCGTGCTGGAGGCGCGTGTGGACTGGCCGACGCTGGGCAAGAAGCTCAAGAAGGACGTGCAGATGGTCAAGAAAAACTTGCCCGGCCTCACGCAGGATGAGCTGCGCCAGTTCCTGGCCGAGAAGAAGATCAACGTCGGTGGCATCGTGCTCGAGGAGAACGACATTTCGATTGTGCGCGTCCTGGGCTCGTCGGTCACCGCGTCCAAGGACGGCAAGGCCGCCAAGGGTGCGAAGGGAGCCAAGGAGGAGGCCAAGGAGGAGGCCAAGGGCGAGGTCAAAGAAGAGGCTCCTGCGCCGGCCGAGGGCCCGGAGGGCCACGGTCCCAAGTGGGAGCCCGGTTTTGCCGACGATATGATTGTACTGCTCGACACGACGCCGCACCCGGAGCTGGCGGTCGAGGGCCTGGCGCGCGAGATCATCAACCGCGTCCAGCGCCTACGCAAGAAGGCCGGCCTGGTGCCCGCCGACGACGTGCGCATGCACTACCATGTCGTGGAGAATCCCGACGAGGTCGACCTGGCGTCGGTTGTGACGTCGCATGAACCGCTTTTCCAGACGGCGCTCCGCGGCACGCTGGAACCCTCGTCGGCGGACAAGGAGCCTGAGGCGCTTATTGTGGAGGAGGAGCAGGCCATTGGCGACCTGTCGTTTATGCTGCGGCTGCTGCGCATCTAAGAGGGGGGAATAAAAAAAGAGTAGATGTTGGCAAAATGGGTATTTACGACGATATAGGGAGCTGAGGTTTGGTAATTTTACTTCATGATAGTCACTTCAGGTACGGATGTATCATTGCGTGTGTTTTTATTAGAAAGAATGAAAAATAAAATAAAATAAAAATACAACGATCCAATATAACGAATGACCTCTCTAAATTTGACGGGGTATTTCTTGGTAATTATGTCACGACGTATGGCGTACAGAGGACGGAACACGACAGTAACAACAGCACACTTGGCCGTGGCAAAACAAAATTAAATGGGTTTCATTTTCCCGCTGGAACTAAAGCCGCCTCTCTTGCCTTCGATGGAACGAAGAGAAGACTGAACGTTACGACCGGAGAAAAGAAAACAAGACACACCAAAAAACAACCAATAGTACAACGCGACGACGAGACGTAGAAAAAAAAAAATTACAAACAGCTCTCCATTTGACCTCCTCACAGATCCACATCCTGGAACGAGTTGCCGTCGCCAGGCGTTGCCGTCTTGTTGAGGCTGCTGTCTGCCGCCGCGCCATTGCCGTTGCCGTTGGCATGGCTACCGCGTCCGCTGTCGTCGTCCTCATCCTCCTCTTCATCGTCTTCGACGCCGTCGTCACCGTCGTTTCCATCCTCGGCCGCTTGGCTCGCATCCTGCTTTGTCCGCAGGGCCACCTTTTGCTCATGGCCGGCCTGGTCGCCAAGCCACACCTTTTGGTCGTCGCGGGTCTCGGGCTCGTCGTCGTGTGCTTCTGCGGGTGATGTGGCGGCCGACGATGGCGGCTCTGCCGCGGTGTGGCTTGACGGAGCTGCTCCTGCTCCTGCGGGTGGTGTCGTGGATGAGGAGGGCGCGTCGGATGGCGACTGGGGCAACTCCTTGTTTTGGTTTGGCGTCGGCGGTTGCTGCTGCTGCTGCTGCGGCGGCGGGACGACAGGCTCGTTGTCGTTGGGGCCGGTCGGCCGCACGGCGTCGAGGTAGTACTTGGTCACACCGAGAATGCGGCCGTTCTTTTCACAGGCCTCGACCCACTCGGGGCGCACAACCGGGATGTTGAGCTCGACCGCCTTTTCCCAGGCGACGCCACGGCCCTCGGTGGTGACAAAGTGGGTGGTGTCGATGCGCACAGCGCCCGGGTCGGCGACAAGCTTGGCGCCAATGCGCTCGACGGCCGCCACCAGCCGCTCCCGCGCAGCGCCCGACAAAATGCCCGTCGTAATGGTGACACCGCTGAGGTCGGTCATCTTGTGGGTGCGCACGACGAGTTTCTCGCTGCTAAAGGTGCCCGCGCTGGTGCGCAGGACGAGATGGAAGGTGTACTCGGTGTCGACGGCGAGGCCTGAAATCTTGGTGGAGTGCATCTGGAGGGGACGGGGGATGTTGCCGGCTTTTTGGCCGTTGCGGTAGAGCGACAAGCTGGCGAGGTCGGCCGTGGCGAGCCGGATGGGGTCCCACTCGAGGACGACGCTGGTCTGGGTGGCATTGCGGCAGCGCAGGACGGGGGTGGTGGGCGGCTCGACGCCAAAGGTTTCGTAGATGCGGTTCTGGAGGGCCGCGAAGCTGTCTTTCGCAGCCTGTTCCGAGGCGCGATTGCGGCTGACCGCGATGTCGACAATGGAGCCCGAGGAGATGTTGGGCGGGAGGAGGATGGAGGGGAACTCGATCTGGCAAGTAGTTAGGGCCCAATTCTAGACACTGCAACAAAGACAGGGCGAAGGACGGGGTGGCATACGAGGCGTTTGTCTTGGGTCAGGAGAACCGTCACGCCGGCGTCGACCTTGCCGACGGTGAGCGAGACCAGCATCGTGGCGGCGTGTGAGTTCGTGTGTATATGTAGGAGAGGAAGAAAAAGGGTCAAGGCGTGCAGCAATGGGCGGTTGGTTTCGTGGTGGGCGTGTGCTGTAGCTGGCGATGCGGTCGATGGCGATATGGTGATGCGGGATGCAGAGAAATTGATTAATTGGGGGTTGGAGATCGATTTGAGGACACTACGTAAAGTGTCCACAGGCGGCCATGTCCCAAGGACAGCACAAGGCAGGAGCGGCCTGGCCAGACGCGGACCCACAGTGCCCGAAAGCGGACAGCCAGGGGCTGGCAGCTGTGTCCCACTTATTCCCAAGCTTAGACGGCTTCCATCTGACCACTGAAAAACGTGGAGCCAGGGCACAATAGTGCTCAATGTGGGATCCATAGGGTTATATCTGGGGGTTTCGGGTTCTTCTTAGCACAAGAATAGCGAATGCCTGTTAGTGTCTGATAATCTTACCTGGTATACCAAATAAAGACCAATGCTCTCTATTTATTGTTTGCGATACAGCGTGACGGGATATAAACCGATAGGTTTGAGCTATTGTCCGCTAAGTATTTCATTCATATTCCATGCATATCCACCGTCACTGGGATGGCCAGTCAACAACAGCTACACTGATAGCAGGCCACAGCAGTGTCAGACAGGAAGATGTATAATTTTGTGCACAAGCATGATCACAGCGTGCGACGCTCTACGGCATCGAAAAACGCCTTGAGATCGTCCATCTCTTCAGGCTCCTTGATCCAATGGCCCTCCTGCTCGGCCCCTTCATACTCGTGCCACTGGACGGTGAGTCCTACGCCAGTCAAAACCTGCTGGGCGTGCCGGCCAAGTTCAATGTCCACAAAGGCATCGTCGCGTCCGTGGGCCCCAAAGATGAGTGTGTCTAGGACTGATGGTGGTTTTTTGTCGTATTGCTGATGTTGTTGTTGTTGCTGTTGTTGTTGATGTCGTATGTGAAGGCGAAGGGGTTCCGTCATCTCCAGCACAAAATGATGAACGTCGCTGCCACCTCCATCGCCGAGCCTGCCAAGGTGCTTCTCAACGTCATTTGCAAATGGCAGCCAACTGCTCACAACGACAAAGCCGCCTAACGGACGCTCTGGCCTGTTTGTGCCAAGTAACGTCCACAGGGCCGTGGCGCCGCCCAGGCTGATGCCACCGAGGACAAGGCGCGAAGCGGCACCGTCAGCATTGTCGACAGGGCCGGCCTCTTTGCAACAACTTGATCTCGCTGTCGACAACCTGCTCCACATGACGTACGGAAGCTCTCAGTCCCGGCGGCTGTAGGTCCTGCCGCGAGGTGGGATCGGCCAACGAATACGCCTCGAACCAGGCAGGCACCCACTCCTCAAAGGTGGTGTTCCAGGTGCAGGCCGATGAGGGAAATACCCAGCGCCATGTGGGCAGTTTGTCCGCCAAGGTTGTCCGTGGATCGCCTGGATTGTCGACTCCTTCGACCTGAGACAAGAACATCTCAAAGAGTTCCTCAGAAAATTCCTCGCCGGTACTGCCCCGGCCATGGAGGAGGATGGCGGTGTGGGTGTGCGGGTGCCCAGCTCGGGGTTCAACAATGTGAGAATTGCCAAAGCCCTGTTCAGCCGGATCTGCAGTTGTCATCTTGGTTTCTGTAGGGAATGAAAACAGCTGAGCGTATTCAAGTACATTCGTAGCAGGTATGCATAACGCAAATTAATGTCACGTGCAGAGTACATCGTCGTGCGAACCAAAGTCCCGACTCCCTTGTTTTTTAATTTCTGTCTGCAGAAATAGCTTGCATGTTCTTACTTTGTGTATGAAAGACGATACTGCTGAGAATGCGCCTTCACTTAACCCAACCATCGGCCGATTAAGCTGTCCAGCGCGTATTCGACAGGCCACGTGCCAATGGCGTCCGTAGCCAAATACTCGGGCCAGTCGGCCAATGGCCCCCTTGGTGCGGCATTGCACATTGCCTTGACAAACTCCCAATATGATGGGTACCAGCCGGCCATATCCCAGTCCAGTATGGACGTTATTTTGCAAGTCTTCCCAGGTTTCGCCTGTCCAGACTCACCGTTGTCCACCCACTCGGCCATGATGTTTCGCGGGTGAAGATCAGCATGTGTCATGACAATGGGGTGGTCGTCTCGCATCACCGGCCGCAGCATGCGGATACCTGCGGGTTTCGAGCGACGTGGTGGTGGTTCCACAAGAAAATCATTGAATGCACCTTCATCCAGGATGGGAACGGCGCTGACACGTTGGATTCGCCGCGTGTCTTTGCAGACCGCAGATACAAAGCTGCCCATGCGCGTCGGAGGCGACGACTGTGCTGTCGCTTGCGCAGGGTTCCTTGGTCCACGGCGAAGGTCCTGGAAGATCTGGCACAGCTGGGCCTGCACGTCTCGTTTGTCGCTCTCGGTCAGGCCTGGCCACATGGCTTCCAGTGTTTCGCCGCGTCCGCGAGTCATAAAGACATAAGACCGTCGCCCGCAGGTAATGGACCCTAGCAATATTGGAGCTGGCACAGACGGAATATGTGTATTGAGGTACTCGAGATTGCTGATGCCGTCCGAGTCCAGCGAAGTGCTAATTTTGACGACCACGTCTGCGCGTAGGCCAACCACAACGGTTTCGTACAGCCTCCATAGAATCTCCCCTTGGCGCAAGGCCGCATTGAGGCCGGCAGAAAAGTGGTCTTGCGACAGGCCGTCTTCTGTGGGAAACGAGAGCAACTTGGACAACCTTTGCCGTGGCTCATCTGTGCACGCGAGCTCAAGTATGCGTGAGTCAAGGGCATGGTCCACTTGAATGGTGCTGCTGTTGTCAAGCAGCATCGAACTCCAGTCATCGCCCGTTTCATCGTCCGAGGCGGATGCCTGGTCGGAACAACTCTGGCTGTACTGCTTTAGTGCCGCCGATTCGCCCAAGTCGGATCGGAGCAATACATACGCGCGCGACTGTTCTTCCAGGAGTCTGGTCAGGTCGGCGGCCGGGTCTCGATTTAGAGTCTCAGAGAGCGCGCCGAGTATGCTCTTCTTTAATTGTTGGTTTGCTTGCACAACACCTTCACTCCACGGGGATGGCTCTGACATCCTGGCAGCGGCTGTGACGTAGGAGTGGTTCCTGTCCGGTGACTTTACTGGTTCCATGTCCTCCAGTATACTTGCCTTTGCCGTATCCTCGCTCTAGCCAATACCCTCATATGCATGCCGTGCATTTATTGTAGATTTGCACCTCTCCGTTCATCTGTAAAATTTATGTACGTCGTACTTTTATCAGACCCTTCTGAATAGTAGACTCTTCAGATAATGCGTAACGCTATGCCGCATTACGAATGCTTCTTAGACAGCCTTAGTATCCGCTGGATGGAGTAAGGAAAATCTGTATCCTTTATGGCATTACCTCTTCTTCAAAAGGGAGGAAAAATAAAATACGGGAGCGTGAGGACTATCGTGTATGTTGCCGCACGTGATCTGCTGAGTCATACTTTTCCACGATGATGCCAGCATGCATCCACGTTGTTTACCGCTAGCCACCAGCCCCTTTCCACGAAACAGAATCGAGCTGGTGCTGTTTCCGCTTTCGGAATTGGCAATCTAATATAAAGAGAGGGCTGTTGTCATTTTCCTCGCAATGCCCATCAATACATCCATTTTATTTCCGATGCCATTTTGTGCCACCGTATATGATACCCATTGATTTCCTGCTTTATTGTTTTCCTTTTCCTTTTTTTTGCATTTCATGTCTTCCTTCCATCATGGCGTCTACCCAACCACATGCAATGTATCCGGACTGGCCTCGCTCGAAAAAAGACCTCGTTCCCTTACCACAGGTGGATGGCCCCAAACTGGCCGCCTTTAATTTTCATGGGCCGCAGAAAATGGAGTTTCTTGAATATCTTGGGGAAGGGTCGCATGCGCACGTTGTGAAGGTGAAAATAAAGGGCAAGGACTACGCTTTAAAACTTGTAAGTATTTCCTCTTCGCCCTCTTCCAGCCACCCAGGTTCGCCTTCTAACATAGCACAGTTCCGTTTCGCGTATGACTGGGACTGGACGGGCCCTGGTGAGTACCCTATCAATGAAGACCGCGCCCACTTTGCGCTGATGGCCCAATATGCTGAGCCGTTCAACTGCGAGTGCCGTGCCTTTGGACGTCTGCAAGAGTCGGGCCACACGAATCTGGCCTTGGAGTGCTACGGGTACATCTTGCTGGACGAGGCGCACGAGCTTGCGCTCCAGGACAAGTTCCACCTCGAATTCAACGGCAGCATGGATGTACCGGGCCGAGAAGACCAAAGAGGCAACTGTCCCGGCGCGCGGACCGGCAAGCCTCCGCCGATCCGTGGTATTCTAAAGGAATTGGGGAACCCCGATGACATCAACGACGATGATCCGCCCAACCTCAGCGTGCCCGCGGCACGCAGGATTCTGCAGGATACGATCAAGTTCCAGCAGTTGGGCATCATCAATCTCGACGTGCGCCGCAATCAAATGTTCAACAACCGGTTCTGCGACTTGAGCACCGCCGTGACCGTGCCACATTTCATAACGACGCCGGAACTCAACCCGCAGCTGCTGCCGCACGAAAAGCAAATGCTGGAACGCGAGACATTCTTGACCAGCCGCATGGACTACCTTGCTTTTGAACAGCTGCTGTACGTGGCCCTCGAAGACCGCCAGCAGACGTCCAAAGTGTTTCAGAAGGTGCCTGCATTCCCCACAGCGACACGGCGCGACCGTCGCTATACGGAGCGATACAATTTGAGAAAAAACTCCCGCCGACGCTTGCAGAATGCGGAGGGCGTCTACACGTATGTTGACCCACGGCGGTACGACTGGAAGGCGCGCATCAACACTAGAGGGACGGGACGCCGGAGGCTTTCACGCTACCACATAAAAAAGCTGCCAGAGCGATGGTATTACGAGTGCACACCCGAGGAAGCTGAGAGCATCAAGTACGAGTACATGCCTATCTTGGCGCTAGAATACAAGGTCAAGGATGGCTTGATATTCCCCGAAGATGAGGGCGTCGGGTTGTGGCTTTTGAGACAAAAACAAATGGAAGAGAAAGCGACGGCAGGCAGCGACGATGGTTCAGACTGTGCGAACGAGGAGCATGCTTAGCCCTGATGTTGGTGCAGGGGTCGGCGCGTGGACGTGGCCGCCTATTGGCTTCTACAACGGCCCCCAACCTATACATCCTATCTGCGTCGGCGGTTTCCTGCGGCTGCAGAATAAAACGTTAAGGATCCCCCATGGACTGAATTTTTGTGATTGTTGTCTCCTGTTTCTCTTTTCTTTCAGAGCCATTTGTCTCGTCACCCAACACACTGATTCGCCTGCATACGACTACTACAAGTTTGGTGACTTTACATCAGGAGCTCAGATAATGGCAACCTCTATGACATTGCGTGACGCACTTGTCCGCCACAAGCCATTTGTTGAGTGCAAGTCCAGGGACACGAAGAACTCCAAGGGCGTGAAATGGCCGCGCCCGTCGATCCGTGTGTGGGACCAATTCACCATGGCCACGCTCAACGAAAGCTACGGCCATATCCTCGATCAACCTCTGCCCGATGAGTACACCAACAAACTCCCGCCCACGAGCAGCCTCAATAACCTCGCCGTTGAAAACGACGACGGCCCAAAAACCTTGCTGGCTTGGAACGATGACACGGTGCTTCCGCTTGTCAAGTGGTCCAAACAGACCATGGGCCTTCACACTGGTATGGCCATCCGCCACTCCTATTCGGACGCCAGCGGCGAGAAGGTGGCCAAAATACCACGGAACGACTGTAAGAAGACCGTCATTGATCACATCATTGGTCTGGGCAATGCCGGAAAAGATACGCTCGTGGTGGGCCTTGGACGGACCAGTAGTAAGTGGAGGGCCAGCACACTTTTTGGAAATCTGAATCCCTCGGTTGAGGAGAGACGATGGCCACTCCGCCAGCTTGCGAACCTCTGCAGGGCATCGGAGACACGGTATGGCTACATCCAAACCGACGACGAGCTCGTGGTATGCTGCTTTGGCTCCCGAGGCACACAAGTCCAGCGGGGAGAAACGCGATATACCGACACCACATGGACCGACTGGACCGTGGCATTTATGCCGGTTCCTTGGAACACCGAGCTCAGCAAGGGCGCGCGGCACGATGTCATGACAACAGAGCTGGCCCTGTGGTGGCTCTGTATGCTTTCTCTCAGCGACGGCCACCGCGCCCTAGTCGACACAGAGGATATTGTGCCCATTAATGCCTGGGACATTGTCTGGCTGGACGAAGACCGTGGATGGATCCGCCGTCACCGATACTCGGCTGTGGAGGAACCAACAGATGCGCCGCCGCCGCCGCCGTACGAGACACCCGAGGTCGACAATGCGGCCGTCTTTGCCGCACAGGTTGGGATCAATGGTGAATCCCACTTTGCTCTGGACTCATTAGACGAGTTCTTTAACTTCGGCCCCGTCGCAGTTGGACAGGAGGCTGTGCCTGCCGGGGAGGTGGTGCAGCCGAACGGTGGCTATGACGGCACCCTTATCAATGTCGATGTCGATGTCGATGAACAAGTGCGACAAGACAATGATCTTGCATAGTGAAAATTGAATGCCCACATTTGCATTTTACAGGACTTTTTTCTATTGAAAGGAAAGGATTCGTTTACATCGGGCTGTTATTTTGTCATATCCCCCCCTCCCTTTTTGCTTTGTACAATAGGTGTTTTTTATTGTCCCCTCTTCCTTTATAGTTATTAAAACCTGTACAGTATTGTAGCACAGCAAGCTTCCTTGATTTATTCTTATTACATTTATTCTATTTGAAACAGCACCTGCCAAGACATAGTTACGGCCTCCTTCTCCGAACCAAAGTGTTCACATTTGGAGACCTCGTTTATACTTGGGCCGATGCTAGACCCTCAACATTTGCATTACTCGGACACTGCATCGCACACGTATATTCCTACACAATTCTACAAATACATGTCTATGGGTATATTGCTGCTTCGGCTTGTTGTCCTCTCAAAAGAGTGCCGGATCCAGCAGCAGGTGGAAGCGGTCTTTGGATTTCTTTCCCTTGTATTGTTTGGTTTCCTGGGCCCCCTTGATAATTTTGCCCGTGTTGTAGCCTGCGTCGTTGCTCGTACCTCTGCCTTCAGGTTCGCTGCGCACTGGCTCCAGCTTCGTTTGCTTCCGGCCACCGAGAAGACTCTCCACGACAATGATGGCCTGAGCCAAGAAGCCCACGAGCTCGTCGTACGGCGCCGTCAGCATCTGAACCAGGGGCCCATCCGCGCGTATCGAGCCATACAGCTGGCTGTACTTGGCATTCGCACCGGCCGAACCATCGAGACGGACGCCGTTGGCGGCATAGCCTCGCTGCCGGAGCGCCGCCTCCACTGCGCTCTGCAGCTTGTACCGCATCTTGTTGCGCACCAAGTTGCTGTTGGGCAGCTGTCCCTCGGCGGCGAACACAATTGCGAACCACCACAGCGGGTCTGAGCGGTTCTTTAGGGCGTACCTGCGCCGTGCCATCTCCGAAAAGGGATGGGGGAATCCGACGGGCCAGCCGCTGGGGGCGGCACTTACACCCTGTCCGTCGCTGGCCCCGAGCGCGTCCTCGATGCCCGGAGACGCCGCCAGGTTATTGGCCGACCAGGGATGGAGGCTGTGTTGGTGGCTGTAGCGGATGCGCACGCCGTAGCTTTTGGTGAACTTTTTATCAACAGAGGTGCCGGCGGCCATAATCTCCTTCTCGGACACGAGCTTGAAAACGCCGCCCTTGCGCCAGGGCGCCACCACGTCCGGCCCCAGGTTGGTAAAGTCCCTGCGGAAGTCGGGGGGACGGGGCACGGCAATGGACAGGATGGGATCGCCCGTGTGTTTCTTCTTACCGGGTGAGGGAAACGGCAGTTTATATGGGAGATCGATGCGGGCCATGGTAATGGCGTTTTCGATCAAGCCCTTCTCGCTCGTATAGATCTTGCGCCGTTGAGGCCCTGCGTCTGGATTGGCATCCGGCCATGGCGGCTTCAGAGGCCCTGGCTGTGGCGGCATCGCAGTCTTTCCCCGCTTGGGACCTTTTGGCCGGTCCAGTGGTATGGATGCTGACGCCGTTGCCGGGGCCTCGGAGGAGGAGGATTGAGTAGTACCTTGGCCCAGGGATGGGGATGTGGTTGGCCCTGTCACAAAGCCAGCACTCTGTAACGCCAAGCATCTCACACAGATGCGCCTTACAGCCGGCCTTCGCAAGGCCACCCCCGGTATTCTGGGGAGCAGCATGGCGAGTGGTTATGTGAGAGAAGGGGAGAGGAGAGACGATCCGGAGATCGCGTGAGGAGAGCCCAGAAACACGATGGAGAGCCGGCTATAGCCACCGCAGTGGGAATTGGGAACTATGTGCGGGAGAGCGTGTCGCATCCATGACGCGAGAGGGTAGAGACGGCGTAAAATGAGCCCAGAAGGGCGGATGTGGTGAGCTGGGTTGTGGTCTTGAAGTCGTAAAAGATCTAGAAGCTATTTTGCGGCAGACTCTCAGCCGTCGTTTTGCTGCTGTCTAGGCTGCAGAAAATGCACTGCAGGCATTGGCCACTAAAGCTGTCTAAATGGTAGGCGCGACCCGCTAAATCTAGCGCACTAAATGCACCTGCCAAGTGCCCATTTAGACCCTATGCTTCTCCAAAGAGCACTAATAAGCATCGGCTCAAACTACCCCTCGAATGAGAGCTTCTGAAACGAACGTCATACCTCTTTGGCAATTCAGATGACGACAATACAACACTCACAACACCCACAATATCACGCCCGACTACAGCCCACAGAATTCCTGGTCTAGGGCTGTATCTGGATTGCTGTCGAAATGTCCCACCATTGCCATGACGAGCACGCCGGCAGCGGTGGCCACGACCACCACGGCCACAATCATGATCACGACCATTCCGACGACATCACGCCCGCCCTGCAGTTCTCGCTCTACCAGCACGTCGACTTTGCCCAAGTCATCACCCTCAACGAAGCCACGTCAGGCGCCGGCCGCGCCATTGTGCAGAAAACCTGGGACCAGCGGCTCGCAGAAGAGCCCGAGCTCGCCAGCGACGTCGACGAGCAGCTGCTCATGCACGTCCCTTTCACCGGCCAGGTCAAGCTGCACGCCATCCTTCTGCGCAGCTCGGCGTCGCCATCCGCGCCTCGCACGCTGCACGTCTTCCAGAACCGCGACGACCTCGATTTCGGGTCCGCCGAGGAGGAGGCCGAGGCCCGGCACGCGACCCAGACTTTCGAGCTGGCGCAGACGTCCGACATCCAGGAGTTTGCCGTTAAGCGCGCTGTGTTTGGCCAGGTGCGCCGACTGACACTCTTCTTCCCGGACAACTTCAGCGACGGTGAGGAGGACGTAACGCGGCTGAGCTACCTGGGCTTCCGCGGCGAGTGGATGCAGCTGGGCCGCGCGCCCGTCAACATCTTGTACGAGGCCGCTGCCAATCCGGCCGACCACGCACTCAAGGGCACGTCTGTGAACCAGATGGGCAGCAATATTGGCGGTGGTGGTGGGCGGGGGAAGTAGCGTGGGAGAGGTGGGAGACATGACAAAGTGTAGGAAATAGAATGGGCGGTGGCCGTAAAACAAAGACGAGAAACGACAGATCGCATTGTAATGCTACTTATGAATTCACTAGATTTTTCATATTGTTTTATATCTTGGCCACATCTACCCGAAACCAGGCGACACCTCCACAGGGCAATTCCACTCCCGTCCTACATAAAGTCGTCCTCCCAGTCCTCGGCCCGGTTCTGGTTGCTGGACTCCTCCATGTTCTCCTCCGTGAACACTTCGTCGTACGCGTGGTCCTTGCGGTACTTGATCTCCTGCCGCTCCTTGGCGATGCGAGCCTCCTCCCTTTTCCGCGCCTGCTGGCTGGCCTGCACCCGCTTTCGCAGTTCCCGCTGCCGGTCTTCCTTCTCCTGCTGCAGGTCCGGGTGTTTCTCGACCTTGGTCTTGTTGAGCCGATTGACGATGACGTTTTCCCGTATCGGGACAAGTACGCGTTTGACCTGTGACGTGAGTACGGTGCACATATAGTAATTTTGTGTCCTAGGTCGACCAGTCCGGGTCCAATATAGTGCTCACCTTCTTCTGGTCTTTAAAGCTGACCTGGCCCACGGCCATGCTGCCGTCCTTTTTCAGGTTGGACCATGGTGTATAGATGATAGTAATATTGTCCTTCTTGTTGCCTGTATGGGTTAGCCAGTGCACTTTTTGATTAAAAAAAGCCGAAAATCTTTTCCAACAAGATTGGCATAAACTTATTAGTTGACGCACCCTCGATCGAGTTGGCCTTCGTCAGCTGTGCCAGATCCTTGACCAGATCCTCGGGAATGTTCTCCCACGAGTCGCCTTCGGGCAGTCTCAGATAAATATGTGCGCTAGACAGCTTGTCGACGTGGAACTGGAAACGTCAGAATAAAATGTATATTCTTTATGCCTTTCTGTCCAGACCGAAACATACCCTGAATTTGTCAGTCTAAGCGCATCACACTAAACGCATGCGGTTCAAAAGAGACTCACCATACGTCCTCCTCCCAGCCAAACTTGATCAAGTCCTCATCTATCCACCGTCTTAATGTCAGTTTTTCACATGTTCAACAATGAATCGGCTTCGCAGGTTCAATTTCCGCCACAACTAGCGTCATTCGTTGCCGTACTTTCAAATTTGTCCTTGCCCACGTAGATGTACGCCGGCGGGTCCACGACCGTCGATGTGAAGTAGTACACCATTTTCGGCCGGCTTCGTGAACATGCACCTCGCAGAAGCAGACGGGGAGCGGCTCTCACGTCGACTCTCTCGTGCGGATGGTAGAAGTAGTGAACCGAGCGATCTGCCTGTTTGGCGAGAATTTGGCCTTTGGGCAAATATGTATATATGCGTATTAATATATAGCGTTTAGTTCGATATATACAAGTAAACACAACACACTAGTCAATAAGCGAGCTCAAGCTTCCCTTCAATTTTTTCTCACTAACCACACGAATAGCTTCACTGGCGAAAACTCATTCAACTGTAGACGAGGTGTTTAGCACGCGACCGACGCAACCCCGAGCGACCTTTCGAACGACGCACAGACGGCACAATTGGCTGTGCCGCATCACGACACACGTGTCCCCCGGCGCTATCCGCCCTTCCTCCATCTCCCCGCTCACCTCTCGCCCACACAAGAACAACAACTCAACCACAATCACACAATGGCACCCCGGTTACTACCGCGGTGCTGGGCTGGCCTGCAGCGGGTAACGGCCACCACGACGGCACTGACGATGGCAGAGGCAGCATCGACGACAACATCAATAGCTACACACACAACAACACCAGTGCTGTCCGGCCGCGTGGTCGAGGGCCGCCGTGGTGTTAAGTACGGATGGAGCACATTACCGCGGCGAGGCGCCAAGCCGACGCGGTTCAACCAGCAGACAGCCGGCCTGCCTGCGCCGACGACGGGGCCTGCAGCCGCGCTCAAGCGCAAGGAGAACACAACGCCGCTGCGCACGGGCGTGCTGGCGACCAAGCGCGGCATGACGGGCTTTTACAGCAAGAGCGGCACGCGCATCCCTTGCACGGTGCTCGAGCTGGACAGCGTGCAGGTCGTCGCCAACAAGACGCGCACCAAAAACGGCTACTGGGCCGTGCAGATTGGCAGCGGCACGCGGCGCGCGGCCACCGTCACGGCGCCGCAGCTGGGCTACTACGAGGCCAAGGGCATTGCGCCCAAGCAGCACCTCGCCGAGTTCCCCGTGCGCAACGCGTCGGGCCTGCTGCAACCCGGTGTGACAATCCAGCCCGACTGGTTCCACGTGGGCCAGTGGGTCGATGTGCGGTCCAACACGCGTGGCTTCGGTTTTGCCGGTGGTATGAAGCGCCACGGCTTCAAGGGCCAGAACAAGACGCACGGCAACTCGCTCAACCACCGCACGATGGGCACGACGGGCCCGTCGCAGGGCAGCGGTAGCCGTGTGATGCCGGGCAAGAAGATGCCCGGCCGCATGGGCAACGAGCGCGTGACAGTGCAGAACCTCAACATTCTGCAGGTGGACAACGACCTGGGCATTGTGGTTGTCAAGGGCGCCGTGGGCGGTCCCAAGGGCGCGCTGGTCAAGATCCAGGACGCCGTCAAGAAGCCGCCGCCGGCCACGGCGTTTATTGAGAAGACGCGCGTCCAAGTCGAGGAGCGCTCGCCGTGGGCGGCCGAGCAGCTGGAGGCAGCGCGCGTGCGCCATCTGGAGCTAAAGGAGGCGCGCCGCGAGGGCCGCATTGCCGAACTGCTGTCAAAGGGCTTCTCGGATCTGTCGATTGAAGAGGGTATTGCAGTGGAGGACAGCGGGGACGTCGAGGTCGAGACCGAGTTCGAGGCACCTATCCCGGAGGCTGTTTTGGACACACCAGCAGAGGCACCACAACCAAGGGCATGAGAGCCGTGTTATATGGTAGTTACGAGGAGGGTGAACGGGACTAAAATAGCGATTGTATATTCTCCAAATTCCGAGGGATTCTCGTGTACTGATAGTAGCATAAACATTGTGTTGACCCATTTTTCACGATTGTGTCTCGTGTTGTTCATTGATTTACTTTTCATTTTCTCATAAGTAATGGATATGTGTACAGTGTAGAAGAGCGGAAAGCCGAAATGCAGAAGCCGCGAAGACAAAACACCCAGAACTCGCCATCCTATATTTTGAACCAAATAAGAAACACATGTCCGCTCAAGCGAGTTCCGAACTCTGTAAAAAAGAAAAATAAAAATAAGAGAAAAAGAAAAAAGGCTTTCTTTTCGCAGTGGTCACCATCGCCACGCTCCGTCCACCTTTCATCCTCGTCACCGCTTCGTCGGTTGCCGGAACCCGTGCGTCTCCTTCACCGGTTGCAGTGCATTTGCAGAAATCACCGCGCTGCCATGCTCACTGTGCACACCCCCCGGCGGCGGGACGACGCCGAAGTCCTGTTCGAGCGACTCGACGTACTCCTCGGGCAGGATCTGGATGCCGCGGAAGGGGTCGTTGGTCACGTCCTCGAGCAGATCGATCTTGCGGCCGTCGCTCGTCTCCAGGCTCCACTCAACCGTCTCAAAAGCGCCGCGCGCCGTCGGCCGGTTGCTCGTGAAGCGCATGCGCGCGGTGTTGCGCGTGCCCTTGACCATAAAGTTGATGTCGATGCGGCCGCGCATCTGGTTCATCTCGCCGGCGATCCAGGGGATGCGCTGCTGGAAGTAGACCTCGTCGCCAAGGTACGCCCTCGCCTTGGGGGATGTGCGCAGCGCATACAGCGTCGAGGCGACAACGGGGCTGGAGGCCTTTTGGTAGTTGAAAATGGCGACACTGCAGCCGGCGACGATCAGAAGGAACCAGGGCAGCGTGCGGGACCAGCGGAAGCGGCCCTTGACGACATCGGGCAGCTCGCGATCCGCTCGCCGCTCCATGAGCGGGCCGTCACCGGGGCGTGGTGCGGAGACGTATGTACGGCGTCCGGCCAAAGAGGTAGAGGCAGAAAGGGACAAAGAGGTGGAAGACGGCGAAGAAGAGGGGGAAAAGGCGAGAATGAGGAGAGCCGGGCAAGTCGCACGGGCAAGGCCAAGACCCAGGCCGAGGGGCTGCCGCGGCCGCAGCAGGCCAGCGGTGAGGGCCCGTCTCCCCGCCGCTGTGGACAGCATGGTTATGTGCGTGTGGCGAATGGAGTGCGGGAGAGCAGAGGAGGCGCAGTTGAGGCCGTCCCCGGTCGTTTGGTGTCCAGACGGTTGGAGGGCGTCGCTGGTCGTTGAAATGGACTGATCTTGGGAAGCAGTCGTGTCCCGCACTGGAGAAAACCCCGTATCGCGGGTACTTATCTGAACCCCGTTTAGGTGCATGTGGTGGTGCGTTTTAGTGCATGTCCCCTAGACACGTCATGGCAAGGCAGGCACGCGACGACATGTCAACCATCAGACGGAAGGAAGGCGACAAACGTAAGAAGCAACCTGGCATCTCTTTTTACAGCATCTAGAAAACCATGGACTTTGGGTAGCACACCCTTTACACTGACGAACTCGCACCAAACTGCAACTTTTCACAATTCGCCATTATGGCCACGGCGCGTGTGCGCCGCGCATTCCGCTATACGACCGACGACGACGACGCCGCTCACTTGGACGAGCCGGAAGTCCTCGATGAGGAGGGTAAGCTGTCGATTTATGCGGTGCTTTTGAGTATTTTGGGCCGTGGCTGACACTTTGCAGAACAAGATACGCTCATTCAGTCGCTCGTCGAACAGAACCAGAAGCGCAACGAGCAGTTTCGCCAGGTGCTGTTGGCCATCCCGGCCCTTGCAGTGGTCCCCTTTCTGATTGCTTGCTTCACATCGTCGTCTCCCTCGACGGCCATTGTATCAATGCTGGGCATCTCATCGCTTGGCGCCACGGCGTTTCTTGTGCACCAGCAGTCGCCCACCAAGACGGGCATCCGCGTACTGGACGCGTGGAGCGGTGCCGACATCAAAGGCAAAGGCCGCGAGACTTCGGGCGCGCCGCTTCGCCTGTCGGACTGGTCAGGCGCCGGCGGCCGGCCACCGCCACTGGAGGTGTACCTGCCCTTTTTAAATCTGGGTCTGTGTGCCGTGCTGCTGCTCTCTCTGTTCGTGTCCAGAGGAGCACCATCCAGCACGCCATATCGGCTGCTGGGCAGTTTGCCTGCAGCCGTCTATGGCGTGGTGCTAGTCTCCAAGGTGACCATGGCCGGTGTGGACCCCGAGCGGGAGCTGGGCCGGTTGCGGTACGAGTACAAGGGCGCGTGAGGCAGGAAACGAAAGCGAAAGGCGTGCAGCATGGGATGTTGCCAATATGAGGCAGCGAAAAGCGGACTATGGAGCATTCTGTTTAGCGAGAGAAGAATGCCAGATTGTGTTATTTTTTTGTCAGATACTTTTTCTGCGTCCGGCATCGCCGTTTACCAACATCCTCTATCGCCATTACGAGCTTTTGTGCTTCGTGGGTTCACATGGCATGATCTAGCAGGCTGGGGCTGGAGAAGAACAGATACGGAAAGACAGGGCTCCCCTGGCAGTTCTCGTCTGATGTTTCCTAATTCTGTTTCGGCTTTCTCCTTTCTCTTGTCTGTTGCGTCCTTTTTCTTTTCTCTCCATCTTTCCTTCTGTCGTAGTCATCTCGTTCCGTCAATAAGTGGCCCACTGCAGGGGTTGTTCGCGTGACACACACAACCAGCCTCAAATGACCTCCTTGCATGTCGTACAAGTCCACTGGTGACCTTGCAGTTCGTTTGGAAACTTGCAGAACGCCTTGTCTTACGTCCCTAGACCAAAAGAGTCTCTTTCTTGCTTCTGTCTCCTTTCGTATTTTCGTATCAGACTCCCATATTTTGTCACCTCGCACAGGTTCTGTACGTCATGATACCTCGAAAACTTGTGTAATAAAGATGAACTCGTACGGAACATTCTGTTACTTTCGGCGTACCGCGAAATGCCCCTGGTCGTCTCTTTGCTCTCCTTCTCTAGCTCCTTTGACCTCATTTCCTGACATTCTCTATTCTGCCAGCCAACTCTTTTTCGCCGGCTGCAAAATCCCAAGGACAATATGCATACGGCGCGGCAGAGCGACACAAGAGTGCCGGGTGGTGTACAAATGCGATGTCCAGAACACAATCGTTCGGTGGGCTAATATCACCAAGCTGTTATTCCATACCTTCTTCCATTCTTCTCACAGCTCTTTTTCCAATTCTGTGTAAATCTGATACTCAAGCTCGCCAAGACCATTTTTTAAAATAAATAAATAAAAATAACGATGAAATTTTTTTTTATCCGTCTCAAAGTCAGAGGTGCGACTAACTGAGCTGACCAGAGACCGTTTACATGCGGCTTCGTCCTCCTTGCCGACCGACGCCTCCTGTAATTACGGCTTAAGCCGGTGGTATATAGAGACGCCGAACAGAAGAGGGTGTGAAGCCCGTTTCGTAAATCAATGTTTGGGGGCTGCTTCAATTCGAGAAGCAGCATCCCACATGAGCCCCCAGCACCCCTCGCATTGCCTTTAGGAAAGCATAGCACAGATGTACATGAAGTGAGTCCGATAACATTGCCCCGTTGCCTTAGTCCTTTTGGCTCATCTGTCCTGTCTCTTGTTTATGTGCCGCATTTCCCCATCTTTCCAGCGATTTATCGTGGACGTGTCCGTTGGCTTGCTTTGTCTGTGCTGCGATTTCGTTAATGTTCCTTTCTTTCCCCTGACAAATTCGATAAGTTGGTACTGTCTCTTATCTTGTCCCTCATTCCTTGTCGTCTGGTCCGGCTGAATCGGGGATGCCTTCCGATGTCTATTGGTTGCGTCATTCTCGGATAACCCGTTTCCATGTTTTGTTGTTTGATCTGGTGACAAATTAACAACGTTCCAAATACAATACCAAAAAAGAGAGACAGAGAGATACAGAGATTCGGAGAAGTTAAGTATGTCAATTGTAGTACGTTTTACGTACCAGCTCTATGCCATTTCCTAGACGGCGATGTATCCGCATTTAACAACGGCATTCTCATTCTCATCGCCCCTCTCTCAGGCTTCTCCCCTGGCGCCAGGCTCAGGCCAGGGCATTTTTCTAAAACCAACACCCCAAACGGAGCGATGCTCCGTATATGGCATCGGTGGAACTGCAGAGGCCTGTCAGCCGGACTTGCTGTCGGAACCGATGCAGAGTACGTCGTATTTGTCCATTGGATCAAGGCAAGGGGGTGATGCTGTTCCATATGGGTATGCAGTACATCGTAGATGTACACACACAGCATATTCTTTACAGTACTACGTCGTACAACGTGTTGCCACATACGGAGAACGGGGCTTGGGGAAACTGACAACCATTTCCCCAGTGGCATCCTGTCCTGTTGAAGAATTCTCCAAGAGCCCCTGCTTCCGATCGCTAATGGCAGACAGGCGGATAATGGAACGGAGGGATTTGAGCAGGTGGACAATGAATGTAAGAATAAGGAATGGGGTGGATGAGAAAGACATTAAAAGTAGCGAAGATCCTTATCCGAAATAGCTAAAACTGATAGACATCCGAGCGCACCGTTACACTTGAGATGCAACATGGGTGTAGCGCACTAAAATGCAAATGGAGAGAGCAAGTAAGCCAAAACACCAGAAGACAGGCCAAGGCAGTTGAGCGGTCAGTTCTCTTTAAGAAAAAGCAACCTAACAACTTGTCCCCAAATTCGGGTTGCAAAGACAGGGTACCATTGGGCCATGCGGGATCCCCATAAGGAGAACGGAACAACGGAACACCTGCTTTGACCTTTCTCTTCCGTCCTTTGCCTACTGACCATCGGTGGGTGCGTACATATTCACAAGCGAAAAGAATGGGCCTGCAATCAATTCTGCACAGCCGCGTGCAAGATGTTAGAGGTATCGTAAGAGAGTGTTCTGTCACGTCGTACATTGTATACCAGTAAAGGAGAGTGACAAAAAAGGTAGCTTCCTTCCCCCCCCCAAGTTTTTATCGGTTCTGAAAAGAAGGGTATGTTTCAAGAGAACAATGAATTGGGCATGTTGTGCAACATGGAGCTAGAATGCGAAAGGTAAGCGAATGGAGCAGAGGCTGGAAGAGGGCAGAAAGAATGGATACAAAAACAAGGAAATATGAGTGGTGTGAGAGTGAGACCAGGGTGCAAACATCTGCAGTTTGCCGCCATGAATATCATAGCTGAGCGATCAAAGCTGGGTTCCAAACAAAGCTAAATGGCTGGCCGGGACAGACACCCGATTTTCCACCAGCAGTTATGCTTTCATCACGTTTTTTCTTTTTTTTTTTTTTTTTTTTTTTTTTTTTTTTTTTTTTTGGCCTGCATCGTAAGAGGACCGAGCTCATGGACGGACGTCTTCTGTTTGTTTATCTGGTGTAGAACGCCCCAATTTTACATATCCCCGTGCGCACGACGGACAACTCGACGGACAACATCTTTGATGGGATGTTTCACGTTCCAGCCGCGCTTTGAATTATTCACTCATGTCTTTAATAGTGGGCGTCCTATCGTTATTTATCGTTATTTTTCACGTTCAAACACACCAGGGACGGCAGCTTTTCGTGCACTAGAGGATTCCTTATAGCGAGTATTAAGACGCTCAGTCCAGGCCCTAGCACCGAGAAAATCCTCTGCAGGACAGCCGAATCCTTCACGCGGAGGAGCTTGTGTGGGCGACGACCCGTTTTCCAGTTCTCAAGAAACTGGGGCGCGAGGAAAGGAGGGCAATCTTGGCTTGGTCTTCGGCTGTTTCGTTTCTGAGAAGCAAAAGTAAAGCAAGACGACGAAATAAAGAGGTCCGCGCGACTAACCCGCGTCGTCGAGGTAAACTGGTCTTTTGAATTTAGTTGTCTTTTGCATCGCCCAGTAATTACGGACTATTGCCCTTGCTTTCTCGGTCTCCCCTTTTTGCGTCGCATTGGCCGTGTCCACTTCAGCGCTCTCAGGCCCGGCCCAAACGAACTGCAACTGTGGTTCTGGCTCGCTCTCGCTCCCGTCGCAGTTTGGTGCTCTCTTCCGTGCCATGGAGAAAGGAGACGGGCCAACTTTTTTGGGCCCAAATCGGCGGCGAGTAATGACATTTCAAAAAAATGAAAACGACAAAAGGGGACTGGACATCGCGCACGAGCAGCTGCTTAAGCGTTTCTTTCCCACATGGCACCCTGGTAGATGTTTTCTGTTTTTCTGTCGCTCTGTTTCTCTTTCTATTTCCTTCGTTCATTAACCTTTTACAAGCTTGCTTCATGTACGGAGTACTGTGTTTCTTTTGTAAAGGATCTTGACATCTCTAGACGCTTGGCTTTTTCTGAGTCCGGATGGACTACTTGTACTTTGTTTACTTTTGTCTGCGCAAAGTAATACGCCGCAAAGCTTCCATCTTGCATTTTTTTATACTTCCATTTATATCTTCCCGCTCACATTCTCGTCTCTGGCCCCGTTAGATCTGCTCTTTGTTCCTCTCGATGGGGACATATATGGAGTATCCCTACGCCGTATACCGTACTCCGTACGTGTACGATTTACTCCGTAGCATTATTTGCCCATCACCACATGTCAGGAACCAAACGCGGCCTAGGCTGAACGCCGACCACCGCCATCGACATCCTTGTCCGCCCACGATTCAAATCATCAATGCTTTTTGTGGGTTTTCTTGCGTTATGCAGGGGTTCACGTCTCTTTTCTTTCTTTTTACTATTCGCGCGTCTCTTCTCAAAAGCCTCATGGGGCTCGTGCCGAGACTTGGCTGCTAACGTATCCCCGACATTGGTTTGATGCATTTATCTCTTGCTCTTTTGATTTTTTTTTGGCCATCCATAGTCTCACAATATTTACCTCCTATGTTCTTCGTACAACATAATTTTATTCGACGCGTACCCTATCTAAGATACAGCGTTTCTCTCCACGTCGACTGGCTCTCCATTCACCCCGGAGTCACCTTGTATCAGGGCCTTTCTGTCGTCTTTTTTTCCTTTTTGTTCTTCATGTATTTTCTTTTTCTTCATTTGACCGAACTTCTTTCTCACCAGTGGTTTCTTTTTCCGTCCATAATTCCATTTCCCCAAACCACACCATCCTGCACCCGACCTTTTGCAGCCACAGCTTAACTGGTTTCACACCACGGGTTTTGCGCTCTGTCTCACGGTCTCTTTATTTTTCTCTGCCTCTTTCTTCCTCGCCTGCTCGCTCTCGCTTTTGGGCCTCCCATATCGTTCTAGCTTCGTCTTTGTGAGTTTTTTCGGTCCCGATCTCAGTCTTTTAATTTACCTTGTGTGTCCTCTTTCACGCATTCTTATTCTCTTCAACGGCCCCTGCATATTCCATCGTCCTTCAGGTTATGGCTGTATTTATATCTCACCCAAACCCAATTCACCGTAAAGTCAAAGTCAAAATCAAATCGAAATCCCTCCACGGCTTTTCTTTCCAGTTCCACCAACTCACTTATTATGTTAATGCTGCCTCACTCATTAGTCTTCTCAACCCCTGCTCTGCCTTACCTACGGATTCTTCTCCTAGGGACGGAGTACAGTACCTCGTATCGTCTTCAGTACCCCGTACCTTCTCCCTGCAAACTACCCTGCGGCTGACAGGATCCAAACTCTCACAATAATCTTGTCACACCCAACCTTCACACCACTTTCCTTGCAAGACCACGCTTGCCCCTTGCAGTACGTAGCATCACCGTCCCTGACAGCCTTTGCGTTGGTCTACCGTTGTACGTCGTATTTTCCCCAATCCACCTTCTTTCCTGGGTATTTGCCTCTTTTGCTGTCTTGTCCCATTTCTTCTTTCTATTTTATTCCTTTTCGGTTTTCCTCTCGTCTCTTTCCTTCTCAATCATTCTTCTTTATCTTTGCCTTTCCTTACCCGTCCTAACACGGATGGTATTTAGCCATTCTGCGAAACACCTGTTTGATGCGCATCCAGGCCCTGTAGACTTGATCTCCCAACAGCATCCAGAGACCAGACGAAAAGGGTCCGTCGATCAATGTCACCGTTTTTCTATCTTTTATTCTTCACTCGTGGGTGTTGTATTATTGGGTATTTATCTATTCTTTATGTTGCTTTTCACACGCACCCGTCTCGGCATCTCTTAGTTGATTCTTCCCTCGTTCATGCTGCCCCCCTCAACGTGATAAGATCACATCACATCATATCCTCGTCTTCCTTTGCTTTGGACATACTCCGCTCCTGCCCCGTTGTGACGTTGACCAACCCACAGTTCGTCTTTTGGACGAACTCCCCATTCCCTTTTTATTTTTCTGACTCTGTCTCCCATTGTATTACTCCATATTTTCTTCCTTCGCCTCTGGATGTCCTCTTTTTTCTATTTTTTTTTCTCTCTTTTTCGCTTTTCTACTTTCATCTTATCTTCTTTACACACTCTGTGTTCTGATCCATATCTGACTTCCTATCAGACTCAAGTCGCCCTTCGTTTAGTCTTTTACGTCGCATCTACACCAACGTCGCTAGACTTAACATCCACGCCAGCTAAAGAGCCTCAGAGCTCTTCTTTCAGCAGCCGGACATCATGTCCAAGGACGGGCCTCGTTACAGCGGTAGCCTCGTGGCCCTCGAGGGTTTGTCTGAGACTGCCCTCGAAACCCAGTTGCGCCTGTTGCCCGCATCGTCGCAAATCCTCGTCTTGCCAAGCATTCGCAACTATCTCGGCACGGACGATGCGCTCGTGACCCCGTTTGCACCTTCCTCGTCCGGCCCGTCCTCTACCTCAGTATCCGCTCTTCCTAAATCGGCATTGTCCACCTCCGTCGCTCCTTCCACGTCCAGACCGTCCAAATCGCCAACAACAACATCGACCCCTTTTGATCCTCGCCGCTACATCAAAAGCATCCACAATGCCGCCGTTGCACGGCGAACCATTGCCCTACAGTTTCTCCAGGACAACGAAACACGCACCACCCGCTCAACGACGTCCAAGACACCGCCAAAGAAACTTGTTTTTCTCAATGGCGGTACGGCCACAAGCCACGCGCTGTGCATCGAGGCCATTCGACAGCACGACGCGGCCGCCGGCGGCAACCTGGAACAAGCCGCGCTCCTATTTGATCAGCTTACGGCTGATGGCGTCGCGGGGCTGGATAGGACGTCGGCAGCCCCGGTGGCAGCCGAGACAAACCGGCTCGACGATATTGCCATTGGCGACGACGATGAGTATGTGGAACAAGATGACGACGACGAAGAGGGTGATCCTGCCACAAAGGCTATGCGCGCCGCCGATGCTCTGGACCGCAGGACGGAGGGTCTGCAGCCCAGCACACACATCCTCGACTTGACTGTCACCAAGAAGCCACGGCCACGAAGTTTGAGTCTGCCCATCCACGGTGATTTGCTGGAGTTATGGGATGCCGGACGCCGCCCGAGTCTTGCTCCAACCGCAAACACAAATAACACAAATACGACAAACACGACAAATACGACCCACAACGACAATGTAGACAATGACGACACAAGCACCATCAACAACCGCAGCTTCTACTGGGTCCCGCCCAGTATGGCGGCTGGTGCCGCGGGCAGCGAGATCTACGACGCCAACAATTTTAGCTTCATCACGTCGGCATCCCCCACCCGCGGCAGTTCGCCCACTTCCACCATCTTCCCCGTCTCGATGCGGCTCGACGCCATTGCCTCGCAACAACAAAAGAAGCAACCGAGGAAAACCCCGTCACCTTCGCCGGCCCGCCAGTATGTCTCGTATCGCTCGGCCACCAAGGGTGACTCAGCGCGTACCGTTGTGCTTGACCCTGCACCACGTGGAAGGACGGCTCGCCGGCGAGCCTCTCGGGTGGTTGCTCTTCGTAACAACGGCGACAACGAGGACAATCATGACGACGACGATATGCTCTTCTACACATACCACCAGCAGCCGCCCCGGCGACGCGCTCGTTCACTCGAACGAAAGCCGTCCATTGGTGCCGGTAGCTTTAGTGGCATCAGCAGCATCAGTGGAATCAGTGGCATCAGTGGCTTCAGCCGGTTTAGCGGACTCAGCGGCAGCAGCAACGGCAATGGCAATGGCAATGGCCTCGGCATGAACATGAACTTCTTCCTGAGCACCAGTAGCCGCGAGCCGTCATCGACACGGCCCCGGCGCACGTCCAACGTCAGCGATGACGCCACGTCTATGGCCACATCGGCCATTGGCACCAAACCGTCCATCTCGTCGTCTTCCTCGTCCAAGTTCATGCTGGCAGGGACGAGCATCCCCGACGTGCCGCTGTTGCCAGGAGCCGATGTACTAGAACAGATGGCTCTACTCAGGAAGACGAAAACAAAATCAAAACAAGCCCAAACAGCAGCAACCTCAAATGCGGAAAAGAAGCCGCAGCTTCGCCTAAAAATGACCGCCTCCATCCCTAACGTATCCTCACCACTGACATCTCGTTATGTTGACCGTGGCACGGATGCCAGCCAGGCGGGTGCCAACGGTGCCCGTACACAAACTGTCTTTGAGCTAGTCCTTCCCTTAGTCGAAGACTTAATCGTCCAATTTGATGACGACGGGATTAACGCGAGCAACTCGGCATTGGAACTGGCGATCCAACGCTGTCGCGAGCTTGACCGGGCGCAGATTATCCACCAACGAGACTCGTCTGTTCACGAGACGGTGATCTCAAAGCACATATTATCCAACGGCGAACACCATTCATTTGACCAAAAGACTATGTCGTCGACCTTGCCCGAAACACCAAAGTCTTCGTCACACGGTCAATCTTCATCCTCCTCCTCCACTGCATCTGCCTCCCTTCTTCTAGGCACCACGACCATACCTGCAACCCAGGCCACAGGTACCTTCAGCACAGACGATTATGATCCGTTTGCGCCACATGAGTACAATGCTGGCCGCAAGGTGCAGCTGCCCATCGCTGTGCCTATCGCTATGCAACCACAGGCTGCGCCATCCATCAAGACGCCGCAGCCCCTAACTCCCGCTCACACACCGCCGCCACAACAGAGACTAGACGGGGACATTGACTCGGACCTCCAAGACGGTTCTCGTTTCCATGTTCTTGATACGGCAAAATACCAAACAGCCCTGGCCCTGCAAAATGCACTACGTTCTATACTAGGTTTCCACTTTCCGGAAGACCGTGAGAGCGAAGAGACAAATGCCAGCCTCGACTCGCTGACCTCAGATAGCCTTACCAGCTTTTCCTTTTCCGTTGTGCCAGGAATGGAGGGCAGCAGCATGTGGGCGCCGTTGCTGTCTGGAAACCAGACCGAACAGAAAGTGGATGCCGAGATGGAAGCAGAGACACTCATTACGGATATGGTGCTCGCCTTCGGCAGTCAGCGTGATGTGCCATCTTCACTCCGGGCAAAGATTATGGGCCAGTTGGATGCCCTCACTAGCCAACCAGCCACCGGCATTAGCCGTGGTGGTCGTCTTGATATCCGTTATCTGATTACCAACGCCATGCAGTCGCTGGCTGCACAACAGGCCCGCAGCCATGGTAAGAGCACCGGAACAGTTGTGCTGGCGCCACTTATCATTGCCCAGCTTGACCAATACCTGCGCACCTATCCCTCCTCGTCGTTGCCCGCATCGCCCTCCGTACGTCTTGTCCTGCTTGAATATCCAATGGAGCTTCTTCCTCTCGTGTTGGCCATCCAGCAATTGGCAGGCCGGGAACTGGTCCAGATCGCAAGCGTCATCACAGTCGAAGATTCAAAATACCATGCTGAATTTCGCCGACCCTTCCAAGTACTACAAGAGCCACTTCTTTCTCCAAGGCTCAGATTTTCTCAGCCTCTGAATCTTGGCGTGACTCAAAAACAGCCGTCGTTCAAGCGGGCCAACTTTGTGTTGACATCAGCTGCCAATGAAACGGATATCGATGCATTTGTAGCCTCAATCCGAAAACTTTTACTGTCGAGCGAAGCTTCGACGGCAACAAGGACGGCGACTTCACCAGCAGAGGTCATGGTCCAGAATGGCATGATCCCACTCACGTTAGTGACCCAACAACATGGAGATGCCGGCCGCTACTCAGCTCTATCAACGGCCACCACGGCCGCAGGAGGTACCGGAATGGGCATTGGTAGCAGTGGCAGCAGCAGGAACAGCAAGATCCGCACACCACCGCGTACAGACAACTTGATGCAATCCCCCACGTTGCCAAGTCCACTCGTTGGAAACACTCCTAGTCCGAGGCGGAAAGGGTCTTCTTCGGAGAAGGACAGAAAGCGAACACCAGCAGATAGCAACAGTGGCAATGGGGCCCGGCCGCCCCCTCTTCCTCTCCCCATCAACTCCAAAAAGGCCGTGTCGGCCAAGATGTCCACCGCTTCCATTTCTGCCGTTCGGCCCCCAAAGTCGCCCACTCTATCAACGGTATCGCAGCACTCACTGCAGTCGCAGCCATCATCGCTACAGTCGTTCCAGTCTTCCGACTCCTGGCGCGCGACAACCAACGAGCATAGTTATATTGCACAATCCACGGGTTTGGCACCAGCACCCACGGTCCTGCCCAACAGCCGCCTCGTTGCTAAGACTATACAGGTCAGTGGGTCGACAGCGATGCGGCGGGCCAAGGAGCAGACAGCTAGGGTTGCTGCCAACCCTAGCGGTATCTTCGAGCCTGTTATCGTCAACAACTTGATGGCCACTTCGACACTGCCGACGTCCTCTGCACGGAGCGACAACGACAATCTTAGCAACTGGGATACCGGCTTGGACGTGTCAGAGGACGGCAACTATACTTACAATGAACCGCCGTTTGCCACTAGCAATGGCAATGCCAAAGGCAGCTCAAAGGTTATTGTCACCAACGGTAATACCGCTGTCAACAGTGCTAGTGGCGCCAGCACGAGTGTTGCATATGGTGGCTACAACGACGACGAATACGATTCTGGTGATGACGACGATGATTTTGAAAACGACCCTGATATGCGCCGTCTCATGCCACTATTCATGCGTGACCGCGCTGCTCTGCTAGCCGCCAAAGAGGCGGCTGGCAGTCGCGGTGTACGGCCGCCGCCGATGCGCAGCAAATCGAGCCAGTTGACGGGCGTCAGTACACGGATTGTTTCGGCTTCTGCAACCATGCCACCGACACAGGGTCCACCGCAAGTCGTGAGTATGACTGGCGATGGCCTCCGCGGCAAAGCCAGCGTCGGCAGCATCCACAGCCAGCTCAGCCATGCCAGCACCCTTGCCAACAAAAACAGCAACGAGGGTAAGAAGGCCCTTAAATGGCTAGGCTTGGCCTAAACATGCTTCAGGATTTCCCTCCTTTTCTCTTTATTTTTATTTATTTTTTTTATTTTTTTTTTCTCGTTACCGTTTAGTTTGCTTCTCGCCTCGCATTTGGAAGGCATTGCTTGTAATAGTACGATATGTGATTGGATATTATCCGCTTGGGGCGTTTTGTACGGATTCAATCTATTGTGTTTTTTTATACCGGTTGGAAGGTTATGAAAATATGGTAGCACATCTCATGATGGAAACTTGGGCATTTTTAGCTGGGATTTTGATGGGTTTGCTAAGACAACGTCTGTGTTATATCCATTTCAAATTATGACCAAATTTATGCGTCGATTTCATAATTCTCAAGTAAACCGCAATATGTAAAACTGCTCTTTTACGGCGTTCGTTTGTATTTCAACTTGGCTATGAAAGCTAAGAGGAAAGGAAATCATCACGGCAACAAAAACAGCAAGAGAAAAGAAAACCGTTACACTACGAAGTTCCCCAAAGAGAACCGGAACCGAACGAAGCAAGGTCAATGTTTACAGAATAAAGAGCAAAGCGTGAAAAATTCCCTGTGAAAAATGTAAAGAAATAAGAAACAAAACACACACACAAAAGGCCAGAGAAAAAAGGAAATGAAAAAAAATCAAATAGCCCATTAAAAGTTCCCCTGGCCCCTTCGGCAAACCCTCCGTCCCTCTTTATTCAACAAATCAACATGATCCTACACACCCCCAACCGACGTTTGAAGCGTTCTCCCCGTCCCAGCGATACGATTGCACTCCAGTCTTTTCGCATCCGTAGAAATCGTCTGGGAAAGAAAGAAGAAAACAGCAAAATCCAGAAACCCGACTCTAACATCGCGCCTGGAAAGTGGGAGACAATGCAGGTCTTCAATTCGGTGGCCGGGGCGCATGCATGTCGAAATGGAAATTTGGGACGAGTAACGAGCAACGAGCGGTCTAGAGTTTCAAGACGTGGTGGAGAGGCCGACCAAGCGGAAGTGAGAAACGAGGCCGGTCAAATTATGTTTGTCGTCGAGGGAGGGGAGTGGCAAAACGGCAAAGCAGTATGAGATGGACGATTGCTGCTTTAACAGCAGCCGCCGCTCTGGTTGTTGGAGACGCCGTGGCCAGCACCGACTTGCACGCTAGGCTTGGTGTTGTTTGTGGCGGTGCTACCCATCCGCTCCTTAATCTGGCGGGCCATTGTCAAAAAGGCCTGCTCAACGTTGCTGGCGTTCTTGGCGGAGGTCTCGAGGAAGGGAATGCCCAGGCTGTCGGCGAACTCCTTGGCGACCTGGTAGTCGACGACCTTCTTCTCGGACATATCGCTCTTGTTGCCGACCAGCAGCTTGTTGACGCCCTCGGTGGCGTACCGGTCGATTTCCTGCAGCCACTGCTTGACGTTGTTGAACGAGTCCATGTCGGTGACATCGTAGACGACGCAGATGCCGTGGGCGCCGCGGTAGTACGAGGAGGTGATTGTGCGGAAGCGCTCCTGGCCAGCCGTGTCCCACTGCGAGGTGAAGTTAGCATTTCGCGGTTCGGTTTGGTTCTGTCTGCCACGGCCATCTGTTTGTGTTTGTGTATGGTGTCGGAGGCGTCATTACTTACAATCTGCAGCTTCACGGTCTTGCCATCGAGCTCGATCGTCCGGATTTTCTGACAAGGAAACACGCGTTAGAATACCAGCACCGGAGCCTGGACATTGCACAGCAACAAAAATCGCCGAACGGCACAAGAGGGACATACGAAGTCGACACCGATGGTTGAGATGTAGGACTCAGTGTAGGTGTCGTCGGCGAAACGAAGCAGCAGACAAGACTTGCCGACACCGGAGTCACCGATGAGCAGCAACTTGAAGAGGTAGTCGTATCTAGAGAGGTTAGATACACGGAGCCAAAAAGGACAAGATGCGAGGTAAAGGCGCCGACAGGAGAGACGCCGCAGCAATTGCGGATGCCGTCGAAGAGGGTTGGGCGCGGTGTGCCAATGTCCATAGCAGAGTGCCCCCCTTCGAAGATTGCTCGATGGTGCTGCAGAGCGCAGCTTGGAGGAGTCGTCACAGCTGGGCAGCCGAAGGCGGATTACCAGGAAAGGGGGCAGGAAAGCCGAAGAAAAAGAAAGACAAAGAGAAACTCTAGATAGCAGCAGGTCAGCAAGATGTCGGCGGCCATCGGTTGGTGAGGGAAGCGAGCGGTGGTAGCGAAAGGGGTAGAATCGATTGTCTCTTTACGTACTACTCCGGATTCATTGTGGCGCGCGGCGGTGAGACGAAGACGATATTGTAATGGAGAGCACGGGTTTGAAAGTGGTTGGCAAAAGTTATCAACGGAGGACTGCGGTGATGGGTATGCGAGGCGGCAGTACAGATTCGGTGTCGTTGGCGATGATGTTGGAGAGGAAGAGTTGCGTTTGGCAAGTTGGGAAAAGAGGGCGTGAGGTTAAAGAGAATGGGGAAAGGAGGACCAAACAGGCAGGAAGGACAGCGTGAGAGATTACGGCCAGTGAGCGTTGGGGAGGGACCAGTGAGTGGACCAAATACAGGGGGGAGTGAGCACAGGAACGACAAGCGCATGGCGGAAACACAGCCACTAGAGCCCGCTGGGCAATTCGTGGCCATGGCCTAGGAGCAGGCAGCCCCTCGCTGCACGTGCATCTTCACATGATACAGGCTGCCACCAAAATGACATCCGCCACGCTGGCAGCCGGGTGACCTCACACACCACCCTGAAACAGACGGTAGCCCGAAAAATGTGGATCACGTGCATTCATCACAGTGCTTCTCTTTCCTCGACTTGGGTTCAATTCACACCATCAAGGGGCTGCAAGGGAGAGGCATTCTTTGAACGTGCCCGGTGCACACATGACACTGACTAGCGAATGTTTTGCCCTTTGACGGGCTGGGTTTTGTCAGGGAATGATAAAGGATGCCCAAACAAATCAGATGTAAGGCGAAAGAATGGGCCAGCTTCGTCTCCTATTAATAGCGTATTATGCTGTTCCAGCGATTAGCAGCCTTGTAATTCGTATGTCGTACTCTATCGGCTACAGTCGCCTTATCCGGCACATAGTTACAGGGGTGGAATCACACTTCTAGTGGGGTGACTGCCCTGTGAATTCTCAGCGGGCAAAGTCGGCCAGGCCCAGCAAAAATTTCCTGACATCATACTTTGTCAACGTCAAAACCGAGCGAATTAAGGAAATAATAACAGACGAGAAAAAAATAGGAAAAAAAGGAACACGAGCTTCGTCCCGGGCCCAATGCACAGTTGTCCATTTGACGCCTCTCCGCCTCTTCCCCTCTCTCTGGCCTACTCGCTTTGTGCCTCCACTTTCGACTCCAGCTAGCCAGCTCGAGAGGGAAGGAGGGCCTGGCGTCGGTCGTGCGCTTTCCCGTTCGACCTTCCTCCACTATCACGTCTGCTTCACCTTATCACCAACTGAGACCACCTCGACACCTCCGTCAAGTGACACAATGACGACGACCTTAAGCTCGGTTTGTGCAGCATCGCGGCCCTCAGCGGCCAGGCTGCGTCACTTGTCAAGGACTGCGGCCGCAACAGCCGCTTCACAGCCGCCACGACGCACCTTGCTGCTTGCCAACAGACCACCATCTCCCTCTCCATCCGCAGCTTCGACCACAACAGCCACTTCCACTTCCCCGTCCTCGTCACAACCGCTCACAACCCTCCCTGAGGCTCACTCTCGCAATATGCCTGAGGTCTGGTTCAGTGCGACGTTTCCATCACGATCAGACGGCATCAGCAGTCTGGGAACACAGCCGGGCGGCAAACCACCTGACGAGCGGACCGTCAAGCTTGGCAAGAGTATGTTGCGGTGTCCCTCTCTTCTTTTGCCTCCCTTTTTTAATCCTTTTGTGGCTGCTTTATGTCCTCCGTTTATTGACAACAAACAAGCTCTACGCATACTCCAAGAACGACTACCGACCCTTCTCCAGTCCCCGCTTCCGTCGGAGATTCTTGCGCCCACAATCTCGCTGCACCTCTTCCCCTCGACTCACCCGCATCTGCCCGTCGTCTCCGGCCGCGTCGCGTACATTGCCGCCCTCTGGACATCGCCGCTCGCGTGGAACCGTGTGCCTCTGGTGGGCAACGTCAAGCTCGAAATCCTGTCGGAGCGCATGACCAAGCAGCCATTGCAGCTTCACTCGGCCGCTGCGCGTCGCGCCGGTGCCAGTGACGAACAACTCGTCGTGCGGTGGCGGACCATTGGCAAGGGCGGCGGCATGTCGCTGCCGCCGCAGCCGAATGGCGGGTCGCCTGGGGCCACCACCAACAAGGCGCCCGTGGGCACGAGCCAGGCCGTGGGGGACCCAAAAGAGTTTACGGGCCTGTTCATCTTTGAGTTTGATGGCGTGGGCCGCATTTTGAGCCACACAATCGAACACGTCGCCGAGGGCGGCGACTGGGAGCGCAGCGTCGGCGCGCGGTTTGTCGGCCTGACGGACTGGCTGCTAGGCGGGATCAAGGGCGGCGGCAGCGGAGAGAACACGCCGCTGCCGGCCTTTGAGATGCAGGACCCGCGGAAGATACGGTAAGTGCCAGCGCCCCGTGGCCGCCTTGGTGATCTCTTCTCGTCGAAAATTGTACCAAAAAATCCAGGTGAGGAGTCTGCTGAGAAAAGTATGCTGTGTGGTGTGTCGTGTTTTCTGTATGATATGGATGTGTTTTACCTGGTGTTTTGGTCAGTGCATTCTCCCCTTTATAATGCGGCTCTGCGGCATCGTGTGCTGTAGCCACTCCTTGCATTTTTGTTTTATCTTTTGTGCTAGTCGCCATATACACACGTTCAAAAGGAATTGGGTGGGAACGGAAAGATATGCGGCAAGACTCTTCACTCAATACCCTCGGCGTTGGTTTTTATTTCTCGTTATTTCATAATCATTGTATTTAGAGCAACAATGGTTTATGCATGATTTTAATCACCAATCTAGCAGGTGACAAAGGGACACGGCCCAAATCAAAACCTCCATCGCCAGACAAAAAGTAAAAGCTCTTGTTGCTCAGACGTCTTCCTTTTCGGATTCAGAAGCAGCTGCATCTTCAACTGAGGGTGCCTGGACTGCACGAGAAGGTCCATCGGGTAAAGCTGTGACCCGGTCACTGCTCCGAGGAGGCACTGGCGGTTGTATCGGTAGAGTCGGCTGGGTCTCGATCGGAATACGAACCGGATGGTGTCCGTCTGCGATCGGCCTCAGTTGCGAGAGCCTCTGTCTAGGGACCCCGACACTGTTGGCGCTCGGGATCAGCCCCGGTGGAGACGAAGAACGCGACGCCACCGACAAGGACGGACTTAAGCCGAACGAGTCGGTGGTGCCTCTAAATGTGAAGCAATTTAGAAACCCACGTCTCATATGCGCAATGTCGGTAAGGAGCCTACGTTGTCTCTCCATCTCCGTTTCGCCGTCCATCAGACCGAGATACGCCTCGTCGAGCTCATCGTCCTCGCTGGCAAAACCCTCAGCATCAGACAAGTCCGAGTCCGAGTTCGATGTCGACGCAGAAAAGCCGCCAAGATCAAGGTCGGCCAAGACGTTGTCGTGCATTTCGCGCATTCTGGTGCCTATTTCGGCAAGTTGTTCTACAATGTTTCTCGTCAGAGGAACACCGTCCAGGCTGGCACTGCTGGCCCGTCGTTTACGGTGCCGGTTGTTATCTTTGGCAGCCATATCAAAAACGATATCAGAAGAGATCCTGAAGAGATCAAGCTTATCACGCAGGCACCGTCGGTTTAGCTTCCACTTCGGCACTGATCGGTGCACGGATGCTGTAGCCAGAGCTGGTATCTTTTGTCTGACTCTTTATTAACAGGTCCTTGTCTTCTCTCTTCGTTTTCTGCGTCTTCTTCCCGTTCTGTCCTGCTAAGAGATAAAAGTGATGTCGAAAATAAATTGTGGACAGTCGCAGGTCGTTTGCGTGGCAAACGGCGGCTCGCGTGCTAGTGCACGGGTAGTCCCTAAGCTAGCAGGCTTCAGCCGTTGCTATTAGTCTTGAGTGCAGACGGGCAGTGTGGCGCCGAAACAAAAGTCTATTACACCTCGAGATACAGTCGTGCGGGCGACGATGATGGGCACAAGAGGGTGCTCGAATTGAAAATTTGGCGTGAATTAGTTGCTGGTGGAGGAGGACAGAGAATAGTACTGGGCGCCTTCGATTTCACGATATTTCCTGATATTTAATGGGACGGTCAATTATATAAATAGGCGTATGACCGGAAGTCAATATAGAGAGTGAGGAAAGTGGACGAGGAGAGGGGTGGAAAGGGCAAGAAAGATGAGATAAGAGGAAATAAGAAGACTTCTGAAAAGTTACGCGGAACATACGAAAAAAAGAGATAGCTTTATGTTTTCTCTTTCCACCTCGATTCACCGACAGCAGGCCATCTCCCCACTATCCTTGAGACTCACTCCCTCCGTCTGACACTTCATTCTCGCGCATTATTGGCCATCTAGTACATCGTATGCAGGGATTGAACAGTGTGTCGTTTGGTCATCAATAAATGCATGTCTCACACACGGTGTTTACTGGCGCACTTGACGTGAGCTGATATCTTCCTCTACTCCATGTACGGTCACGATATCAGTCCAGAAATATTGCATATTCGGCTAACTTTCCATATATTGAGGGCACAGTCGCTACATACACAGTAGGGCTTCGAAATTGAAGTACTCAATGTAGCCAAAACAAAAAAGTACAAAAATCATGAGGAGTGGAAACGAGGCGAAAATGAAAAAAGAATACATCGAACAAGAGTAAGAACGCCAACAGACACAACCCATATGCATGCAAGGAGCAACACCGGCGCACTTACCACCTTGGGCAATGTAGCCAATAGTCAGCGACCATTGAATACTTTGCCAATTAGCTGCATCTCAGGGTGCTTTTCAGCTCCTCGATCGTGTCACACTGGTTGAGTCGTTACTAGCAAATTGCTTTTGCCATCCAGATCCGTCATAGCTCGACAAAAGCATGTATTGTCTTTTCACGAGGTGCTGCGCGTGTAATCATCGCGGGTGGTAACGAATGACCGCCCTCGTGTCGTCGGCTTTGCATGTTATTCCGAGAACTGTGGCTTTCTTCATCTTGTTGCAAACCTGCCCGGCCACGGAGCTTTGCTAACAAGTAGACACCTCGAACTATGCGTCCACCATTGTTTTTGGAGCATTCACTCCCATTTTTGGCTGGCATCGGACTCGGACTCGGACTCGGGCTTGATACCGCTGACTTTGCCTTGGCCGCTTTGCCTCTCTTTGCAGCATCCTTGGCAATTTGGACGTTTCCAAGGAACAGAGCCGTAATCACGCACTGTTCGATCTGTTAGTGCTACATTTCCGTGGGTTGTTGTTTTGGCTGCACAAATTACCATACCGTAATCATAAAGGGCGTAATCGCAACATAGGCCCAAACAATGCCCATCTGATAGAGTTAGCGTACGCTCAAATAGCTCACTCGAGGAGCAATTGTAGCATCGTGGACAGCTTTCTACCTTTGCTCTGTGCACAACATTAGCCAGGGCATCCGGAGGTAGTTCGTTGAGCGTCTTTACAGTTCTCAGTGGTGATGAGCTCGCGATACCAGAGGTATTGTTGAAGACAGCCGCCATGACTGTTATTGCCAACGTTCCTCCGAGCGGCAGTGCGACGGCCATGAGCGAGACGACGGTGGCGACATGCTGTGGAAAGAACCCAACGGCATGGAGCGAGGCGGGCATCAGCCGCAGACCTGTGCCCGCCCCTGTCAGGGCCATCATACCGAAGATGGCCGGAAGATGGCCGTTCCATAGCGCCCATGCTAGGATTCCGACACCAACGGCCTCGACGATGGATCCCAGCATGAGCGGCACAAAGGTGTTACGGGGCCAGCCGTTGAGAAAGTACATGGATAGGTAAACGCCGATGCCAAGTCCGGGGGTATAGAAGAGAAGTTGCGTGCCTGCATATGTTGGGCCGTACAGCTAAAACAATTAGCAAACGTTGTACCGTATGGAATCGTGTCCGGAGTCAGAGGTGAGAGGGGGGAGGTATGAGGCACGAAGTAGCAATACCTTCACCATTGTAAAGTAAAGATTGCAGAAATAGAGGACCTAGACTCGGATTAGTTTTCAATACCCTCTGCTATACCTTCCTCCATGTCACTTACCGAGTACATGGCTGCCCCCGTCGCGAAGTTGATATAAAATAGCAGGCCGATATCCTTGCTGCCGAACAATGTCCATGGTAGCATCGGCTTTTGATGAGGCCACATCCGGGAAAACAAGCGGCCTGGTGCCATGAAGTGTTCATAGCCGACAAATGCGGCAACAAGCACCAAGCCGGCGCAGAGCGGCACCAGCACGGCCGCGGTGGCCCATCCATATGTCGCGCCCGCCCATGTCAAAGATAAGATGAGCAGTCCGAGACCAAACAGAAAGAGAAGCTGCCCGCCGATGTCAATGGAAGCGATGCGGGATATAATCGGCGTGGATAGACGCGTTGGGAGCGAGTTCATATGAGGCCGAACGGGGCCAGAACGGACCGAGGGCGGCTCGAAGTGGTCCGACGAGTCGGGGCTTGATCGTCCTGCCGCAGCCTCCGGTAAGGGCGAGTTTGAAGAATGTTCTTGTGTCTGTGGTCCCAGCAGCTCGGGCCGCAGGACAATGTAAATGAGAGCCAGTGCAGCTACGCAGATTGGCAGGTTTACTGCGAAGCACCATCGCCAGTTAACATTAGTCAGTGCACCGCCGACGACCGGGCCCACGCCGTAACTCATGCCCGCCGTGAAGGAGAAGATGGACCAATTCTTCGCGTTCTCTCGCAGCGAGACGCGGTCGAGTAGAATGACGCGGACAACAACGTTGAGCCCCGCGCAGCCGAGACCTTGGATGGCACGACCGAGAAGCAGGACAGCAAAAGTCGACTTGGGCGCTGCAGTGCACAAGGCACTGCCGACCATCATGATGACAAGGGCGGCTTGGATGGCAGTGTGGCGTCCAAAGATGTCGGCGGCCTGGCCCCAGAACGGGATAAAGGCGGCAGATGTGAGGTTGAACGCAGAGATGATCCAATTCAGCTGGGAGACCTCGCCTAAGTAGGAGGCAGGGATAAAAAGAAGCGAGTCAGTTGGTCTGGTCAAAAGATCTGATGGCTGAACAGAAGTAGTCGAAAGTCTGGGCTCACCAAAATCTGTCGCTATCCAAGGAAGGGCGCTTGCAATGCTGTGATCGTTAGACGTGAAGTAAGCTCGACAAAAGCACACCGTGAAAGTGGGACAAAGTAGAGCCTACATTGTGACGTCGAGGGCTTGGAGTGCGAAGGGAAGGATCAACCCAGTTATCACCTTCCATCGGTACCGTCGTGCAGTGAGTCGTTCCTTCCGGCACGGGATGCACCTTCCCAGCGCATCCACCCGCCCGGTTTGTACTGCCACTACTGCGCCTGTCGCTCCTTCCGATTCTGTTGCCAATACAGTGGCAGTTGCGGAGGACGATGACGAGGCTGTGAAATTTGCCGGAGCTCTCAATGGCATAGGACCAGCATCGGGCGCGTCGGATGGTGATGGTGATGGTGATGGAGCTCCAGGAGGCGGCGTCGGATGCGAGGCAGCGACAGCAACAGCGGCCTTATTGTTATTTCGGGTCGATATGCGACCGAATTCAAGACACGTGTCGTGCCCCGAATCGCTCTCGAAAATTCTGTTGTTTGCCTTGGCTCGTTGCTCTATAGTGTTATGGATCTCGCACGGCGGCGGGCGATGAGAGGCTGGAGCGGATGAATAAAAAGCACGAGTGGGTTTCCATTTGCTTCGAACAAAAAAGACCATGGTTGTGATTATTATTTTATTGTTTTTCGAAGCTTTCTTCCGTCCTGTCAAGAATGCAATCACGTTCAAACTATGTCACCGCGTCGTAGTGCATACGTTTGCATCGTGATATGCGATTCGCGGTGAGGGCGTTATGGGTGCAGAATGGTCAACATCACGAAACAAGTCGAATAGAAATGTTTTTATTGAAATTTGGATATGTAGAGAAAATGAAACCCAAAAGTAGGCCATCTCAGTACAATAAAAATCAGTTACAAAGAGAAAGCCAGACGAGGGCTACGTCGGACAGAGTTACGAGACATGGTGACCCTTCTCTCGACAGACAAGGGCGACAGAAGGGAATGGAAGGCATAAAATGTTCAAGGAAGGCCACTCTACTTATTAGAGAGACTTGACAAAGCAATCCAAAGACACAATACAGGGCAGGATACGAAGAGAATAGGAAAGGAGGAGGAGAAGGGTCCTGTTTTGAGACATTGCACAGAGACACAAGGAGGACAATAAAGCAAGCAGGACCATGGAAGTCCGGTGTACAAACTGGACAAGACAAGCTCGAGATAGATTAATAGGGAGACTGCCACTTTTACGTGAATACTGTAAACATAAAACTGTACAGATGCAACCCGAAAGAGGGGGAAGAGACTCTCTGCACAACATAAGTCTATGCGAGTCAAGGTTTAGGCCACAAGGTCCAGCCCATTTCCCAGATAACAGAAAACGGATCAAAACGAGGCAGCTTCGGAGAATTTCCCTTTTTTCTCTTCATTATAACTGTGCTGCAGAAGAGACATGGCTGACAGTGTCGAGACAACGGCAAAGCTAGGAGCTAAATAAGGCACGAGGAAGCTTCTAATGTTGTGAAGGCACTGCCTAGGATCCCGAGGACTTCGGACAGCAGCTCGGGCTATCCACGTAAAGAATCAGGCCACGGTGCAAAATATCAAATTATGATACAGTTGCGTTTGAAGGTTTAACACTACATTGTCTATCATTTAGCGTACGCCGTCACGGAGAGTGTTGAGGGGACAGCCAGAGCAATGAGAACTCCGCAAACGCCAAGCCGTCGACAGAAGAAAGAGACGTTTCTCCGCCTGCCCCCGGAAATCTCACTGACTAAATTGAACGTTGCCTCCACCCTCCCTGTCGAGCCCACCTCACTGGCCCCCCAACGCAGCATTCCGGGCGACCGAAAAAGAGCGGGGGGGATGTGTCCGGTCCATGCGCGACGACATTTGTCGAGTAATTATTGTGTAGTTACGAACACTCGAAACTCGTAAAGCACAGAGAACACGCGTGCGTCTTTTTCTTTTCGACGCAAATGCGAATTGCGACGTGCATCCGACTTACGGAGAACTTTCGTTTACGAGTTTTATTGCTCCCTCTTTTTCTCATTTCGTTAACGTTGTCCATCCCAAAATGAATCCTTCTCCTGGCCCAGTCATGCGACATTTGCTTGCCTGGAAGTGAAAAGCCTACTCAGAGGTAGCTGGTATGCGTCCGTTCAACCGTGGTGGAAGGATATAGCATTGCGTATGTTTCAGCACAAAGCGGTGCTGGGAGCGTAGGCGCCTGGCCCGACTGTATGAGAAGACAGTTTCCGCCCTATCGGGACCTGTTATACCGAAATGACGTCCCGTCCATTTCCAGCAGGACATCGAGGGCAATCACATGTCAGCTATGCCACTAACACCGCAAGCTGTGCTCGAATATCGTACTCTTAGCTGAGGGTGTTCCATATCCAGTACGCCGTACACAGGTTTCTTTTCCCCCAAGTTTTGTTGCTGGCATAGAGAAGAATAAAGCACGATCGCTGTATGCCATGAACCCTGCAATTCCAGGTGCAGACCAGTCCACCTTCCGTATCCGTCCCACAGAGCTTTTACACGGCAGAAACGATACGCACGAAGCGTCGACCTACCAAGGATCTCCAAGTTTTGAGGGACATCTGTCCATACACACACATACGGAGCACGAGCAGCAAGCACGGAAGTCGGATCAAATACGTACGACATGTACGGACGAACACGGCAACACTGGACAGCCACTGGCCAAGGAGCGAGAACAGGGGCGAACAGAGTACGAAGAAAAGACAGACATAGTGAATGGGCTGAGAGACATGCAGGTCAGACAACTCCGCTGTGACACATGTAGCCCATTTCTCTCTCGCTCTCGGCAGTCTCTCTACCTCTCGAGAGACGTTAAATCGAGTCGGCGGTCGACAGCTGCACGGACTCGCGGAGCAGGAGTCGGAGCATTGTAGGTGGAACCGACCCGGAGAGTTGGGGCCCAGTGAGTGGGACAGTCGCTGAACGGCGTCATCATGACCTTTAGTAGACCTTTAGTAGAGGCGCGTGTAAATGCTCATGCTCGAGGAAGGTGCCCTAGTCGATGTTGCGAATTAGTGGGACAGTGGCAATGGCAAGAGCGGGGGACAAACCAGGCCAGGCCACACTGGCATTTGTCGCGGGCCGTTCTTTCCTCGCAGCCAGTTGGTCTTGCGCTTCTCCTGCTTCTTTGGGAAGAAGTACTTCGCTCTTACCCGTACTATCGCGGCTGAGGGGTCGTTCCTACCCTTTGAACCCAGATGACTGAACAGCTCGTAACACATCCCTTTCTTCTCTCCCCCCGTTTCTCGTGAAACTCGTCGTCCCCACCTTGACTCCTCTCTATCACCAAGTCAAAACCTGCACAAACACGTTTCGTCGAGAGCCGCACTGCCCAGCAACAATCCCAAGCGCTTGGAACCGCCATTCTGTACATGTGCAGCGCCCTTTTGGTTACGGTCAAGTCCACTTGGCACTTTACTTGTGCCCGTGGGGCTGGAAAACGGGATGCTCTCCAAGGTTAAGAGAGGCAAAGTGCGCAGCCGCACCAATATCTTGACCTCGCCCGCTCCATGGACCGTTTTCAATAGGTCGTCTCCAAATTTCATCAGCATTTGGGCACAAGGTGGGGGGCATTGAAATAAGGAGTGCGGGCCGCCCATTCTTTTCGTCTCTCCAAAAGTGCCTTGTTTCTTCATAAAGATACTAGGGTCAGGCTACTTTGGACCCGGCCGTCGCGGCGTCCTTTTCGATTCCTTACCACCGCCTGTCACTTCCCCAACTTCCTCTCGTCCGGATGACCACCTTTAGCATTCCACAAAGCTAGAGAGCATATGGAGTACAGCCCACATAAACCAGTACCCGAAGGCTCGTCACACAGATCCGCCTGCCTTTTGGGTCGTCAAGCACTCTCGCTCTCTCCTGCAACGCCACAATTGGCTCGCCAGTTGCGCTGAGAAGACTGCAGAGCCATCCAAGACGCTCTTGCCTGGTCTTTTGGCGGGATACACCAAAAAGGCGAATAGGCGACCAGACGACGCAGAACAAGATAACGAGAAGTGCGCCTCTATCCATAGATTGGCGCATCATTGTGTTTTGAAGAAACCGTCATTCGGTCCTGCTCGGGGTTCGACCGCCGGGTCTTTTGCGTCTTTTGCCTGCTTTGTTCTAGCGCAGGCCCTCGACTCGCGAGGCGGCAGACAGGAAACCTTGCTGAAATAACGAGCAGAGCAATCAGTATATTCTTCGCACTTACATCAAGCATTTGCAATTTGCAGCACTGTTCGACGTATCTTGCGGCCTCCGCAGAGTACGGCACTGGCCTGTTTGTTCTTTCGGCCCACTCCCCCTGGCAGCCATTCCCCCGTATCCCCGGATGCTGTACGGAATATGACCCCGGCTTAGTCTTAGTGTCATCACCGTCGCCACTTCAGAAAAGCCAGGACCAGTCGTTTTTCCCTGACCCTGCCTGCCTGCCCAGCTTGAAAGCCTCCCGTCTGCAATCGGTGGTCTCTTTTCTGGGGCTAAAGGCCACACAGGATCACGGCCGAAACGGACAACAGGCAATAGGCGCGGCTACTGTCATCAGGCAAAAGACGACACAAATCGCCTACGGCCTAAGACAGCGGTCCCAAAATAAGCACGGTCGGGGAGGTTCATGCCCCCATGGAGCGTGCTGTCAACCTCCTCACGTTATCAAGACCTGCTCACGCGCCACCTACCCCGGGCCTCTCCACGCCACTCCAGCCCGATTTCTAGAAGTAAGTTTGCCTTCATTTTACAAAGTGCCACATACCCCAAAGTGAGTGTCAAATGAGAGTCCTTCCCTGCTGTTGAATTTCGTTTATTTTTCACGATTCGTGTCATCAACTTCCCCGTTTCCCGTTTTCATCTCCCAGTATTTCTCGTTTCATTCTTTGGTTCCGCATTTTTCCTCTACCATGTTTGCATTGTTCATATCTACACCACATACACGGTCTTGCCAAAACGTCGCCTCCCCTGCACCTTGTTTATTGGATTAGCTCGTATCTGTTGACAACAAACCGACTCTGTTTCCACATTTCTTTACCTTCCTTTTCCCCTTCCATCTCATCCCCTTCGGTGCCTTTCGTCTATATCTAGGAAAATTCTGTCATCTAGCTCGCTTGGACCGTACTTTTCGTTGACCTTGTTCCCTATTCTCCCCTTTTCTCTTAGAGTTCCTCTTGTGTCCGACGCTTCTGCTTGGTCTGTAACCTCGCGTGCCTGGTGACGACATAAAAGCGCCGAGACCAAGCAACGTACCATTATCAAAAACCATTTGTCGTACATACAAGCCATCATAACTTGTCCAGAACACCTTTGTCAGCTTTTTCGGCACCGTTAACTCTTATTGGTTGTTGTTCAGTTCCACTGCCCTGTCCCTTGCCATCATCTGCCTTGGAGTCGTGCTTGCTCCGCACATAGTCCACATCTCCCGCATGCTCACAACGCGACCATCCATCCAACTTGCAGCTTAACAACGTAGCAGGCCGCCCATCCCAACTACACATCCTCTTCCAATTCCAGACTACGCCCAGGCCGCAAACACAGCAACGGACGAAACAAACGACACAGCAGCCTCCACCGGGGCAACGTCTACACCGGCCGCAGCCGCAGTTGCTGCCGCTGTAGCACCAAGACCATCAGAATCGGCACCAACAGCACCGTCAGCCCCGCGTGTCTTTTCTCGCGGCTCTATTTGCACCTCTACGCTGTATTAGGTATGTATTCTATGCTCTGTATATTCGCTGCTGATCCTGCTGTTCCTTGCTTCTCCCTTGTCTGCTTTTCTTCATTTCTTCCTCTCGCTGCCATTTCTTCCTTTCTCTGCCGTTTTTATCTTTGCTGCGCTGTTGCTGTCGTTAGTCTCCACTCCTCTTTCTCCGCCTGGCTAGTTTAAACAATCCAAACGGCAGATCACAAACAAGACAGAGTGTGAGGTTGAAAAGGGATGCCATGGAGCTACGTGACAAACACATACACAAGCACCCATATTAGCTTCCTCCCTCTTCGGGCTTGCGGAAGAGGTGTTTCGGGCAAGGCATTGCAAGTCGCGGTTCCAGCGCCGCCCCAGTCAAGCAATCCATCTTGTTTTCGCGCACGTGGGGCTACTTTACACTATCGGAGATCCTGCCACTCACAGATATGGACATAACAAAGACAAGGCACTTTTTGATGTTTTTCTGTGAGCATAGTGGCGATCAAATCAAGCGTTACAGCCATCGCTGGGGAAAACATCAAGTGAGGTCACAAAGGCCCATGAATGATGTTTCCAAAAAAGGCGTGGTGGAAGTGACGGCCCTATCTCCAATAAACTATCCAGATTCACCATCAGACCTCATTAGGCAGACGTGCCATGTGCAGTGGTCAGCAGTCCTCAGTCCACACATGCTAGCAGCTGCTTCTCCTTATTTTGTTCCTCCTATTTTACTTTTCGATTTTTTGTTCTCTCTTTTTCCTTTTTTGTCTTTTTTGGTTCTCTTTCCATCACTTCACTCCTTCCCCCCCATAATTGCCTTTATTTCTATCACCATTGCCGAGTTATTTGTGCCATTCCTCGGAAGCCGGCTGGCAAAAACAAACACTGGATTTGACTACAAAGGAGCCGAAAGGGTGGAACCTCCACCATTGGTATGGCATAACCATCTATATCCACGGGCCGACATTGGACTTCCTCTCTTCCGTGCGCGTTCCCTCCGAGCTTTGTCAAGGTCGTCGAGGTCGCTCGTTTGAGCCGTTGCTGCCGCCTCGCCTTTGTTGCCTTAGCCCGCACTCCCTAGCCTTTTTTAACTTACACATGCACATTGTTTCCTCTACTTCCATTCCCTTCCCTAGTTCTTCCATTCCTCTTCTTTCATCTTCGGTTTGGCCTCTCCCAGGCACCCCGCGCCTTCCTCTCCCGTTGGCCCTTTTCTTCCCTTGCCTATCTACTTCTTAAGTCAGAAGTCATCCTATTCTCCGCCGGTTCGGCCTCTCGCCTTCTCATATCGTGGCTGTTATATTGAATGCCCGACCCGCCGACTTATTTCGTGCTTGGCCCTTCGTCCTTCTCGTTACACTCCTGTCCCGTTATTTTATTCGTCCGCTCCTCTGCATGTCCTTCGTTCCTATCCATCCCCCACACTTGTGTGTAGTGTTTTCTTATTATATCGGATTCGATTGACAACACCTTTCCATCATCACTGATCTTTGTCTGTTTTTGACCTCTATCTCATTGTCTTTATCCTCTCTCTGCCTCCCTTTCATGTCACTTGATTTCTTTTTTCTATTATATTTTGTCTAAACACCTTTCGGTTTCGCACTCGAGATACCTTAGAGTCTGTCTTACTTCATTATACAACCGTTCCGCTATGAGATCAGTGAGATAGGTCTCTATCAAGTGGGATGCCATCTTATTTTCTTCAAGATTGCCACTACTTCTACCGCACAGCCCTGCGCGGCCTGAACATTGCCACCAGTGTCTCGCCTCTATACGCTTAGACGCATATACACAGCAGCATATGGATCACAGCCTACCGTCTTTTTATTTGTATAGAGGAAAAAAATGACAAAACTGACCGCCATGCCGACCCAAGTCCGCACTTTCACTCTTCCCAAACCTTTCGGCGAGACGCTCTCTGCCTTTCCTCCCGTGGCAAATATCCCCACGCCCACGGAACGGCCGGCCTCAATACCTAGGTCCGTACCAGCCGTTCCAGACGTCCACCCTCGTCTCAACGGAGGTGGAGGAGGCGGCAGCACTCTTCCGAGGATCAAGCCGAGTTCTAAGCCAAGCCCAATGGCCGGCTACAACCAACAGCCGTCGGCCAACGCTGGCGGCATCACGTTTGCACACCAGGACAAGCTTCCGAAGCTGCCTATCCCAGAACTCGAGAAGACATGCCAAAAATATTTGTCCGTTCTGCGGCCGCTGCAGACCTCCCGCGAACACGCCGAGACCCGACACGCTGTGGACGAATTTCTCCGGAATGAAGGCCCTGAGCTGCAAGAAAAGCTGAAATCGTACGCCGAGGGACGTACAAGCTACATTGAGCAATTTTGTGAGTGACGAGGGGTTGTTTGTTCATTCTCAAAACCTCGCTAACCTTGCCAGGGTATGATTCGTATCTCAACTTTGACAACCCGGTCGTATTGAACCTCAACCCGTTCTTCTTGTTGGAAGACGACCCTACGCCGGCGCGCAACAATCAAGTGACGCGCGCGGCATCCCTTGTCGTGTCAGCGCTCATGTTTGTCCGTGCTGTCCGTAAGGAGGAGCTGCCGCCCGACACCGTCCGCGGCACACCACTGGATATGTACCAGTACTCGCGCCTCTTTGGCACAGCCCGCGTCCCCACAGAAAATGGCTGCCAGATTGAGCAAGACCCCGATTCGAAGCACGTCGTAGTCATGTGCCACGGCCAGTTCTACTGGTTTGACGTACTAGACGAGAACTCTGATCTGATTATGACCGAGCGTGACCTTGCCATCAACCTCCAGACGGTCATCGACGACGCCACGCAGACCCCGATCCAGGACGCTGCCAAGGGTGCTCTGGGCGTTCTAAGCACGGAGAACCGCAAGGTGTGGTCGGGACTGCGCGATGTGCTGACCCGCGAGGAGGGCTCCAACAATGCTGACTGCCTTGGAATTGTTGATTCGGCCCTGTTTGTCGTCTGTCTTGACTATACTGAGCCGGGCTCGGCTGCCGCCCTCTGCCAGAACATGCTGTGCGGCACCAGCGAGATCGAAAAGGGCGTCCAGATCGGAACCTGCACAAACCGCTGGTACGACAAGCTTCAGATTATTGTGTGCAAGAACGGCAGTGCAGGGATCAACTTTGAGCACACGGGCGTCGACGGCCACACGGTCCTTCGGTTTGCCAGTGACGTTTACACGGATACGATTTTGCGCTTCGCTCGCTCGATCAACGGGCAGGCGCCCTCGCTGTGGAAGTCGACGAGCCCGGACCCATCCAAGCGCGATCCCGAAAGCTTTGGTGACGTGGACGCCACGCCGCACAAGCTCGAATGGGATATGATCCCCGAGCTCAGTATCGCGGTTCGCTTTGCAGAGTCTCGCCTTGCGGACCTCATCGGCCAGAACGAATTCGAGTGCCTCGATTTCAGTGCGTACGGCAAGAACTTTATGACCAGCATGGGCTTCTCACCGGACGCCTTTGTCCAGATGGCCTTCCAGGCGGCGTACTATGGGCTTTATGGCCGCGTGGAGTGCACGTACGAGCCGGCCATGACCAAGGTGTTCTTGCACGGTCGCACAGAGGCTATCCGCAGCGTGTCTGAAGAGTCTGTCAACTTTGTGCAGACGTTCTGGGCAGACAACCAGGCCGAAAACAAGGTCGAAGCCCTGCGCCGTGCCTGCCAGCGCCACACAACCACTACCCGCGAATGTGCCAAGGCAGAAGGCTGCGATCGTCACCTGTATGCTCTCTACAGCCTATGGCAACGCCTTGCCGACGACGAACTGAGCAGCACGACCACGGGTATGGATAGCACGGGATATGGCAGCCCGTACGGGTCCGACCGTGGCATTAGTCCACCTCCGCAGGTTAACGGTCCTGGCACTGACGGCGAGAAGTCGACCACGAGGACGCGCGGTGACAGTAACTCGTCTCGCCAGAACAACCAACAGCACCTGCCGTCGATCTTCTTGGACGCCGGCTGGGAGCGATTGAACAGCACGATCCTGTCGACTTCGAACTGCGGCAACCCGGCGCTGCGCCAATTTGGCTTTGGCCCCGTGTCTGCCGACGGCTTTGGTATCGGCTACATTATCAAGGACGACGGAATCAGCATTTGTGTGTCGAGCAAGCACCGCCAGACCAAGCGGTTCATCGACACTCTGGAAAGCTACCTGCTCGAGATCCGGCGCGTCCTGCGCATCACGAGCCGTCGCTCGGGATCGCAGTCCAAACAGCAGTCACGGGCCCGTGAGATCGACCATTTGCGCCCCCGCCCGGCCAACCGGATCAAATCCCGTGGCCGTCTGATCACGGGTGGCGAGCTGATTAGGACGACCAAGGCAGGTGGTTCCGAATCACCCACAACCGACAGTGTGACCATGAGCGAAGACGACGAGCTCGGTGGATGTAAGTTTTAAGTTTATGGATTTTTTATTTTTATTTTTCTCAACCCCTCATGCGATCCACCCATTACTAACTCTTTGCAGATGGCTTCTTCGATGCCGGTATGCTGCTGCAGGCACTCAAGGCTCGCAACGAGAGCCTCGACACGGGCGAGCCCAAGCCATCCGAGCTTGCCTCGAGACGGCACAATATTGGCAAGAAGCTCCGTCTGCACGAGTTCTGATTTTGTGTAACCTGTGGATTGTTTCCTTCTCGCTACAACTGTACCCTTTTGTTGTACATCTGATGATAAAGCGAGCGATAAGCTAAAGAGCGTCCATGTTCGGTTCTGTTTTGTTGTTTAAGTTTCTTTTCTCAATTTTGTCAGAGTTCTTGTATTTCCATGGATACATGCCAAAGTTTGAATAGTATATTGAAATCACTGGATCAGCTTGTCAGTATTTCGATGTGCATCGTCCAACGATTAGGATGCATTTCCAGCCCAGCGGGCAAGTCCTATGCTGTTTACCTCCTTTGCTATGTTATACCAACGTACGGAACGTACAAGCGTAGCAGAGCCTTTCCTAGAAGACCCGAGATTGTCGGGACGGTTTTCATAGTAGACACTTTCAACTCACCCGCCGGGAATTCTCAGTCGGTTAGGGATTGTATGTTGATTTGCATGCCCATGGAAACGGCTTTGATGGACAAAGATGCTGTATATTGTCTGCAAGTACCAATGGCCTCCTTTTTTGGGATGATATTTGGGTTCGTCGGCCTATATTTACGTCTCTCGATGGGCGGGGTCGACGCATATGCCATCTGTATTTTTTTTCCCCTATGTGATGCCGCATGTCCTGCGGACGGGGGACAAATGAGCTATATGTTAGAGGGATATGATATGCTCGGGTTTATGTTTTATATGACCTTCCACAACATATCTCAGTGTGTTTTTTGTTTTATGACCGGCCATGCTTGTCGGAGACAGGGAAGAAAAGTCTACTTGAAATGTATGAATGGGGGTGGAGTAGCTGTATTTGTGCTATCCTTGTTGGCATATTGATATTGGCGAAGTGTATGGATGAGTCAATTACGTTACACTTCGTCCCAAGCTTTTGCCTGTTCAGTTCTCAAGTTCAGTTGATTTAGTCATGCTTCGCTGCGTTTTTTAAGTGGAATGGACTTCGTAGCTATTTTATTATTAAACGAGAGTGTTGAAAAGTAGAAAATTGAAATTGAAAACAAATGAATAAACAAATACACTGAAACAGTGGGCGAATGTTTATTTTTATCGTGAAAAAAGAAAAGAAAACCCTATACGCGCAAACGTATGCCTGAAAGTTCACATAATCTATATTCACCACACCTCTGATACCGTCTCTTTTTTTTTGTGACTACATCAAACTTCTTCAACGGTTTGTCGCACAGCCCGTCTCCAAGCCTATACTATATAAGCATTGCTTATTGACAGGCTCTTGAAACAGAAAGGCACTCCTGTTTCCTCCTCACTAGCGTCAACGGCCAGCCGTCATCGTTCCCTTCGTTTTGATAGAACTGATATATGGGCACATCAGTTTACGTCGTACTCTGGACCACAATGCAAAAGTGCTCTGTAAGGCGTACCAGACCTCAATGGAAGACTGGCTGGTGGCCATTCGACGCAACAATTGGTCCTTGAGCATGGGCTGTGATTGGTCGTCAGAGATGGGTGACGGGCGAAACATGGTGATATAAAGGAGAGACGAAAGAGCACCTAGTGGACGTAGTGATCCCAATGAAAAGAAGGATACGGAATGCGATCTCACTGGCTGAGACGACAGCAAGTTGAAACAATGTGCCCAATCCACCCAGTTTCCTTTCTTTGTCTTGCTGTTTTCCCAGGATTTTGCATGAATTTGCTTGATTCTCACCTCCCTTCTTTCCGTGCACCTTATTTGCCAGATTCTTTGCGCATATTCACTGGTCCTCTACGAATTAAAGCCCCTTTACTCCGTACCCCATCTCCTTTTCTGGCCTGACCCCCTGTGAGGTTGACCTGCGGCCCCGGTCAAGCCAGTGGAGTGATTGCTGAGAAACTGGAGGGCGAGAAATTACATGGCGAAAATCGCCAACTTACTCCGTAATTACATTCGAATGTTTTTTTTTCTTCTAGAATATTAATAGAATTTAAGTACGACATGGCGGCAAGAAAAAAAAAACAGAAAACGTTCAGAAAAGAGGGGACGTCAAGTTTACTATCCTCACCAAAACTGCAGGACAAAAAGGATGGACAAGTATGGAGTCTCTATGTCACCCGAACAAGGCGATTTCAGGAACCGTATCATTGGGCGAAATAACGGTGGTATTTTCATAATTAACACGGGGAGTATCTCACTTCGCAACGACAATTGGGCCCAGCGCCAACACCGCATTTGGCGTAGGTGCCTTTTCAAAAGGACACAACGTGGTGGAGATGGAGAGCGTCAGGCATTGCGACAGATTTTCCGAGGGCCATTCCCCCTTCCACCATAAGTCCCAGCTGTCGGTGGCCGGCAAGACTTCGCCGGTGCATGCCGGCCGCACACCCTGAGCCGCGACCTCACATTGGGACCAGTGTTCCTGCATATGGTTCTGGCAAGGTGCATATGCAGAGCACAAAATACAGGTGCGGAGTGACAAACGCTATGCACTACGAATGTCCGACGCATTTCACAGCATCTGAGACCTTTCCTATCCCAAAGGAGCTGAGCTCCCTTGCCTTGAAGCGCACACACCATGGGGCATTTATCCCCGCGATGTTTAGCCAACAGAAGCATTGCTCTCTGCGCACGTCCACCCACAGAGCACACACAGGCATTCGCATCGACCATTCGTTCGTCCTCTTCTTTCTCTTTGTAACACGCCTCCTTTTATTTGGAGGGCTCGTGCGTTCTGTAAAGTTACTGCTTTGTTGTATGGTCTACGATAAAGATAGTAAATATATTCTTATCCTACGTGGTTCTCCATGATTCCTCTGGCCACAACTACGACAGTTCACACAATGAAAGACATACCCGGCCGATCTACGCCATGCCAGCTCTGTTCCCATCTTTACTCTGTACCGGACTGACTGGCTGTTCCGAGACTTTTTGGCGGGCGCGGCAACTCTTTTCGACGAGCGAGGCCACTAATATATGTTTAGTGTCCTCGGTGTCCTGTCGATAGCTGGATGGACTGGTTTGAGGCTTATCCCTTGCATCGCGTGCCAGCTCGCCTGCAAACTAATACAAAGTACCATTGCTTGAGTTGATAGTCTTCTTTGGCGGGTCTTGCCTCCTGTCTCTTGCCTCCGCTGGAAAACGGCCAGTTTTGTCAGATGGGCTGATTGACCATGGAGATACATTCCTTTTGCTTGGTTTTGGTGTCTTCTGGTTGGCGGAGGGCCCTCTGATCGCTGCAACTGTTACGGCATAGTCCCCTTTTCACGACATGAACTAAGGCGTATCTCAGTCAATCGGGACCTCTTCGAGACTCCCTCTTGTCTATCCACGCGTGGTTTCTGTCTCTTGGAGTCTTCTTTTTCAGCTCCCGTCTTCCGTTTTTCAAAGACAGCAGGCAATCTGCCCTGATTAGTCTTTTGTGTTTCTTTGTCCTTGGACTCTTGCCGTTTTGAAAGCAGCATTCCAGAAGCAGTTGCCTTATCATGCCGCCCTGATGCTGCGTCGCAATATGGGACATTTCCACATGCTCTTTCATTTTCTTCTTTTCTTCCTCACTGTCTGAACTGCCGTTTCAAGCTAGGTTATCGACCCCTAACTTAATACCACCCCGAGCAAATAGAAGACGGGATGAGGTGAATTTGATTGGAATTCCAGAGCATTTCGGCACAGCGATTCTTTCTGTTTGGTCTTCTTTTCCCTCCAGCTTCCTTCTTCCTGTCACCGTTTCAAGACCCGTAGGGAGGAGCGTTCCCCTACCAGTCCAAATAGCCATTTAACAATTTACCAGGGATCGGAGCGCGTGTCGCTCACAAGCGAGTACAAGGTTGTACGCACCTATCAGCTGCAATCCCATACACACCTCAAGTACTCTTTCAGTACCCCATTTTACATGACTTTTATCAAACGCGTCAAAACCAAGCAACCTGTGTCATGTTACAAATGCCGCGCCTGGGAAAGGACGAAGGGGGCATCTATAGCCTCTCATATCTGGCGCAATTAGGACCAGAGTTCTGCGACCAGAAAGCTTCCTTTTTTTAAAAATAAAATAAAAAATAAATAATAATATTGATATTGCGTCCTGCTGGATAGAGATACTTTATGCCACCATACGACGAGGTATGAGGTAATAATTCTGGACGCCGGTGAAGCTTCATCAGCCAACGCCAAGGACGACACGGCAAAAGGACAAAAGGGAAGGCCAGCAGGGAAGGTTCATACGATATTGTTGTGTGAATACGGAATTTGTGCACTTTCATGAGACCATCTGCACCTTCTCTCGACACGCAAAATCCAGTTCGGGAAGCGGGCGGGTCACGTCCCTGAATAAAAACTGGGGCCGTCTGCGACAGCCCCCTTTTCATCTCTGTTCTTCTGCCAAAACAGAACGAGGAAGGAGAGACCAAGACCCGCTCTCCGAAGCCAAAAAAGGCAAGGGCGACAGCTGTACCTTGCACCAGTGGCGCGCGTTTTGTCCGCTTGCAATTGGTGTGTGTGAATACACAAGTTGTGTGTGTTTCCCTCTCTTTGTTACATACGCACACATACTTTTTCGATGATAGCATTCAGCATACAGGGTACAAACGGCGGTGACAGAGAGAAATCATATCGAAAAGGCGGAGGAGGCAATGAAGATGACCGACAGCTCGAAAAATGGCCACAGACGAAAGGCAAGATGACCACTCAAGTACGATGTATGTGATTGTACTCTGTTTTTGTTCATCCTATCGGAGCAGATTGCAGTTCATGGTCGTTTCGCCGGCTTGTCTGTGTATCTGATAGGCTCCGTCCTTTCTGCACTTTTTACATACTATTTTGTTCTAAGTACCTCCGTATGGAGTACGATTTATGCCATAACTGTATTGTATTGCTTTCACTTCCCTTTTCTTCCCATCGTCCCTTTCCTTCCCTTCCCTACACCGGCTTGCTCCCGCGACGGGTGCATAACGAACCCGCTTTTCCCATTATGCCACAATCTCCCCGTTTTTAGCCACAGTCCATCGTTTCTTTGTCCTACTTATTTCTAGCAAACCTGCATCCTTGCTTCCGTTCTCACAAGTAATTTTCGGGTCTTTCTTCACTGTGTCGTAGATCCCGCCCTAATAGCTCACACGAGATATTGCTGGCGGTCCGCTCCCCCAAAACGGAGCAGTCAAAGATGGCATTGTGGGGACTGGTTAGCCGTTTCCTCTACTTCCACACATAACTGTCACACCTTGCACTGTATTTGACGATATGCCGGGCGGGTGGTATTTCGGAGAGAAGATACAAGATATGTAGACCTTTGGTTAAGCTTTAAACTCGAGATGCAGCACAGGAAAGGCACGGTACAAATGTTAAGTCACGGAGAGTGTTCACGCCCGCCTTGGAATGGACAAAGGTTGTGTGGCAGCAACATACACCTGCCATTCTGTTCTGGAGACCCAGATGCCCTGCGCGAGCTTCACGCATTCCAGAGCCAAAAATATCGCCTTTTATGTGGTATTTGGCAGTGGCTCCCGCCTGTTACTGGCACCACTACGACTTTGCCCATGCCTCTTATCTTATTCGCCCAACCAACCTTCGCATCAAAACAAAGAGGGAATATTGCACACAGAAACAATTGTTCGCAATGCAACATCAGTTCCCAGAGAAACAGGCTGCCGTCAACCTACTCGACCGTCGTTGCTATCGCAAGACATTTCTGGATTATTTATCTCGCTTCTGGAAATGGCACACAGCAACAGCCCCCAAGAGCCAAGAAAGTGTGCAGTGACACGCGTTGTTTTCCTTTGAACAATGAACAGTATCGGCTCCTGTCGTCGCCTGGCGTGCTGATCCTCTATGAAGCTGTCCTCTGGCCTGTTTTCTCACCTTTTTGCCACCAATCTTGTTCGGACACCGAAATAAGCAACGTTTGCAGGATCTTGTCCTTAGTGGAAAGATACCATTTCCTGCCCACTGTTCTTCCTCCGACGTATGTGCAGTCGTTTTCTCAATGTCTCGTTCATGCCAAATGGTACCAACTTGGGCCAAATTTCCTCGGGTTTCTTGAAATAGGCGGACCACTGAGGCCAGCCCTGAGATATTGCTCGGATTCGTTGGGTGTAACAGTACTTCTGTTTGCTCTGAATATGTGTGCCGCCACTAGTATCTTTTTTCGCGTCTCTCTCCCTCGTTGCCTCTCCTTTTCGCGTTCTCCGAACTCCTTGCCGATAATCTTGATTACGGGCGTAAATATCACCTTGCAACCTTAACGAGCCTACCAGGAAGGCTTTTTGGAGGACTGGCAGCCGACGCCTCCTTCTGCTTCTGTATCTGACTATGTCCCCAACTGTGGCGATTTTCGTTTTCTCAGGACGCATGAGGATGCCCGCTGAGGCCTGCCTTGGCGGCCGCTATGGAGCTGTAAGATTACTTTCAGCATAAATGAGCCTCTCACAGATTTTTCCTGCAAACCCCAATTTATCTTTTCCATTGTTTCGAACTTGCTCCGGTGCATCTATTCTGCATCGGCCAGGCCTAGACAAGATGCCACCTAGTTCTTCCTAGCAACCCAGGCCGCTTGATGAGGCCGCTTTCGTTTCGCGATTTCTGGCGAAGAAATTGCGGCTCGCTTTTGCTAACGGACGTCGAACCTTTTGCGAATGGTCTTGTAGCGAGCGACGCCACAATTTGGATCTGCCACAATATCAAAAGGGTTCTCCGACAGCAACACAAACAGACAGGGGAACTCGTGCCACAAGAAGCGCCATCTTTCTTTGTCCTCACCGACCAGTAACGTCAAAGTAGCCTGTCAATTTCGCCGGCGCGGCAGTCTCCAGACCGCCCGTCCGCCTGGCGTGCGCTAGTTCCGGAACCGCATAGCGCTAATGTCGCTGGGTGGTTTGCTTCATATGCTATTACTTTGTCTCTCACCGTTCTTGTCTGAAAAAACGGGTTGCAAAAGCCCCCCCCCAAAAAAAGAGAAAGAAAGAAAGAAGGAAAAGGCGGCGCGCACTCAGTCTTATTTACCAATATTACAGGTCCTTTGCCTGGCGCGAAATTTCCTTCTGTGTATGGCTGAGCCTTTTGCCAGATCCGATGTGGTCGTCGCTCCTGCCTCTCCTGACGCCTCCACTGTGTCACATTTTTTTGATCCCTTGATCCCTCTTTTTTGGCGTTCCGGGGAGCTCCTTCCACGACTGCTAGCGCCTTTGACGCATAGTGTGTTGTCTTGCTGTTTATGGCCCATGGACGGGAGACTAAGCCTAGATTAGGACGCTAGTTCAGGTGCTGCTCTTGCTTCTCGGGGCAGTGATCCCCGCTACGGTCGCTTTTTCCCTTTTATTTTTGATTTTCTGCTTTTATTTTTGGTTATGTCTTCCCTCCATTAATTTTAGGGACCCCCGTAGGTCCTTGACCGTTTCCAACAGGGGCGTATGTTTGTTAATGTGGCATCCGTGACCGACCGGCCAGGGCGCTGGCCAGGCCAGGGTCGCCCAGGAGAACAAAAGGACGGTACTTATCCGTCGCCGGGCGGCTCCCGCGAAAGTCAGGTACCCTTCCATGCTCACCCCTTTCCTCACACTCTCCTTTCCTTTCGTGATGGAAGGAGCTGCCCACAAGTCGCGTTCTTTCCAACGAGTTTACGCCCACACCCCCCTTCGCTCTTTCCTTGGGCCCGTCAATGCCTTCCCCCAATCTCTCGCCGTGTCCCCAGGAAGTCAGTCCATCAGACGCTCCTTCTCCTTGGGTTCTCTCTTCTGCCTCTCCTCACAGTCTTTCGCACGCTCTCTCCCCTTTTCTCGTGAGTGCTGTGAATCCGCCTCTCTGCAATAATCCCCGATGCAATGGCTTTCATCGCACTTTCGCTCTTGACGTGCGCGTTTCTCTCTCTCCACCCCTCGCGTCCTTTTCTGGCTCTCTCTCTGTGACCTGTTCGTTTGTTTCGATATTCATTTTATTAGGTTCTCCTTCGTTCTTTCCCTCTTTCCTCCTTCTGAGTAGCTGCTCTCTTTCTAAAGTCCCTCGTTCTTTCCCACTCCACTCCCTACTCCTCAGGTTCTTTCCGTATGGAGCACAGAGCATAATTACTGAATACCAGTCAGGCATGCTACACTGAGTCCCCTTGCTCTTACCCTGCTAGTACTTGTGGCTACCACACCCCCCCCTCCCATACTCATCTCCCTCTCACGTCTAGCTTCATTTCCTTTCCTCCTTTCTTTTCCCTTTCTTCCTTCGTCTACATCTTTCGTTCCCCCCTCGTTGTTTTTCTTTTCTGCAACAAGCTTTGGCATCGACCTCCTTCGATGACAGCTGGTGCTGCCGACGACCGCTCTTCTTTGCGACCGTAGCACATCGCACCTGCTCCAATCGATCCGTCACTGCCAGTCAATCGCTTCAGCTTCGCCCTTTATTCTCTCGCTGTCAACGACCGACGGACGACGACGACGCATCCAAAACAACGAAACCAACAAGACAGTCGTGTCGTCACTGTCCATCTCACACGCAAACCGATCCTCTCGCAAATCGCTCTGTTACCCCCCAAACATCAGTCTGAATGTGCCGAAAACCACAAGCTTGCTCTTTTTCTGAAAGAGCCTTCGACTTTGGGATCTAAGTACGTTCGTCGTTGACTTTTCAAGGGTGCCGCAGGTCACACAGGTGTTTCCTGTGCTCCTGCGATTAACTCTCCTTTGCGGTTGTCTGCTGTACTCTAGAGAATCCGAGCGTCACAATTATGCCTGACGATGCGAGCTGTCTCTTGCTACATTTGACTACCTCGACGGATATGATCCTTGAATTTTTTTTTTTGATTCCAATGCTCTTTTTTCTAACACTGGCTTTCTCTCCTTGTCTAGATCCTCCCAAGCAGCGAGCACTCTACTGAGTTTCCTGGGCTGACGCTGCTGCCACAGCCGCCGTCGACCTTTCCGTTCCTTACCTGTTTCTCTTAGCAGCTTTACCTCTTCGGTTCTTTTGGACAACCTGTGTGATTTAGTGTGTTGGGTTGCGCTGTCTCTCGCCCGACGATAACTCTGTCATTCGTTCACGTTTCGCGTTCTGTTTACGATTTCTCTGCGTCGCTATAACCGCCATTCTTTACCTCTACAATGGCAGTCACACACGATCTCACACACCGGGGCTCCTCGAGTCATCAGCATGCCGCAAATACGATGGCCCTTGAGGAGCGTTTTGAGGTTCTCAAGGAGATTGGCGACGGTAGTTTCGGTAGCGTCGTCCTTGCCCGCGTCCGCAGTGCTGGCTCCAATGTTGCCCGTCGTGGCACCGTCATTGCCATCAAGACGATGAAAAAGACCTTTCAATCCTTCACGCCATGCCTGGAGCTCCGTGAAGTCGTCTTTCTGCGCACACTGCCGCCGCACCAACACCTCGTGCCTGCTCTCGACATCTTCCTCGACCCCTTCAGCAAGAAGCTGCACATCTGCATGGAGTACATGGAGGGTAACCTCTACCAGCTCATGAAGGCAAGGGACCACAAGTGCCTCGACAACGCCAGCGTCAAGAGCATTCTCTTCCAGATCATGCAAGGTCTCGAGCACATCCACGCCCACAACTTCTTCCACCGCGACATCAAGCCCGAGAACATCCTCGTCTCGTCCTCCGGTCACCAAGAGACCTCGAACTCCTTCCGCCGTTACTCATCTCTCGTCACACCACCCTCGACGCCTCCCTCGTACACGGTCAAGATTGCCGACTTTGGCCTCGCCCGTGAAACCCACTCCAAGCTGCCGTACACCACTTACGTCTCGACACGGTGGTACCGTGCACCTGAGGTCCTGCTTCGCGCCGGCGAGTACTCGGCGCCTGTCGACATCTGGGCTGTCGGTGCTATGGCCGTCGAGGTGGCCACCCTTAAGCCGCTCTTCCCAGGTGTCAACGAGGTAGACCAGCTCTGGCGCGTCTGTGAGATCATGGGTAGCCCCGGCAACTGGTACAACAAGGCCGGCCAACGTGTTGGCGGCGGCGAGTGGCGGGAGGGCTCGCGCCTTGCGGGCAAGCTGGGCTTCTCCTTCCCGAAGATGGCACCTCATGCCATCGATACGATTCTGCAGGCACCGCAATGGCCAGCATCACTGAGCCACTTCGTCACCTGGTGTCTGATGTGGGACCCCAAGACGCGGCCCACTTCAACACAGGCCCTGGCCCACGAGTACTTTGTAGATGCTGTTGACCCTCTGCGCCCCAAGTCGTCTGCTTCACGCATCCTGGGCCGCAAGCAGTCGGATCTCGGCCGCGCGTCCAAGGACTCCGGCTCGTCGACCCCTACTTCTGTCAAGCAACCATGGTACCGCAAGTCACTCATTGGCCGCTCCGAGCCAGCTCCCGAGGCGACCGCCGGATCTAAAGATCCCGCTGGTATTTTGGCTCCCCTTTCTACAATGGTGACATCGCCCACCGCGGCATCCGTCGCCGTGCCACAAGCAGGACCTCCGCCTGCCCAGGCACCAACACCGGCGTTGGTTCCTTCTCACGCACAGTTGCCCACGCGGGCACCAGTTCCGTCGCAGGCCATTGCCACGCCTGCTGTTGTACAGGTTGCTCCACAGGTACCAGCTGGTCCGCGCCCAGCGCCAGAGCAGCACCAGTCTGCTGAGGCCATCTTGCCCAAGGTGCGGCCGGCCGCCAGCAAGCGGACGACCTGGACAAACGGCCCGTCTAACGTGGCACCGATGCCCATTCTCCCCACGATCCGTCCCATTTCACCAATGTCCGATGCTGTGACGGCACAGGCCAACAACCGGACGCCCATGTACAACGATGCGTACGCGAATGCCGCTGGCCGGGCAGACGAAAAGACACCCAAGAAGATTGGCCGCCAGCTGTCCGTTGCCTCCAGCACTAACCACTATGCCGACCTCCACCGCCAGCAGGCCGAGCAGGCTCTGAATGGAAACACGGGCCTCGTTTCGCCGCCCAGCGCCCATAAGGAGAGCTTCTTCTCCCACCTCCGCAAGCGGGCACGTCGCTTCTCTGGCCGCCACCAGACGCCCATCTCACCAGCATACGATGAGATGGAGGCTCAAGCAGGTTGCGGTCCTTGGGCCAGCAACCGCTCGTCCATGGTGATTGACCAACAGACGCAGGCTTCGTACATGCCCATGGCTGTTCCAGTGCAGAGCACCTCGGCGCTCCCCACCAGCAACACGTACGATTCACTCGAAAAGCAGGGCCACGCTGGCGATGCCAACAGCGGCTACCTGCCAACCATCCCGGCACATGGCTCAACGAGCAACCTGACGACTTCGGCAACCATGGGTGCTACGGTGGGCGTGCCTCCGGCAGGTGTGACCAACCTCAAGCGCCACCACTCGCTGCCTCACCACCAACCGCGCTCCGTTGACAACCTTCTTGTTGCGGCACGCAGTGGTGGTGGCCCTATCTCGAGCAGAACACGGCGGGCACAGGCTACGCAGGGCGTGTACCAGTACGACGCACCTGATGAGGAGGACGAGTTGCTTGACGAAGTTCTCAACTCGACCCACCGTGCCATGAAGCGTCTTGAAAAGGATGGCAAGCCGGCCCTGCGGCAATCGGTTAGCAACATTGCCATTTCGAACCCCTACCCGACGCCGTCACCTTCCGCCAGCGGCCACAACGTTCTGTTTGGTGACAGCAATGAAGCTGTCACACCTAAGCCGTTGGACCTCGGCAAGAAGGCTGCTGGCGACTATAAGTGGCCCACACCTCCTTACGACGAGAACGACTGGGCCGCCTCTGCATCTGCCAGCATCTGGGCTGCGAGTAACCGATTCTAAAGGACGATACCAACAAGATGTCAAAACCCCATCTCTTTGCTCATTCTATGCCACCTTACTACCACTTAATTTCCTTTGTCTATATTTATATTCAGCCTTCGCTTATTTGTTCAGCTCCTTTTTTTGTTTTCTCGTCGTGGCGGGTTTCAGCACTTTCACAAAAAGTCGTTTTGCTTTACATTCATTCCCATTTCTTGTCTTTCATTGATTGTCATCTATCCAGTCATATGGCGGTGTTATTGCGGGCTATCTCTTCTGACTTTCTTTCACTTTCATTTTCTACCTGTTTTAAGTTTCTTTCCTGGGATAGACGAGATGACTTGTGGAAACCACCTCGTCCAATTTCGATCTCTACCGGCGCCTTGTGCTACTTCTTCCCCTCGTTCCACATACGTATATAGACTGCCGGGTCGACGTTGTCGAGCTGCCGCGTTTTTGCTTCTTTCCATTTCTCGCAAACCGCACATACATACCCCCACCCTTTGAAATCGAACACGGGGCCTGGCAAACGGGTTCTGCAGTGTCTGTGACCCCGATTTCATATAGTTACAAACAGCATGGCGATCTTTTATTACAATCTTTTAGTACGTTTATTGTTTTGGCTTTTTGGCTTTCATACCTACACTTATCCGCAAAGCAACCTACCAGCGCTAGAAAATTGGACGCTTTACATAATACCCCCTTGGTTCTTCACTCTTCTCGTTTTCGTCCACTTGCAGTGCTTTCAATCTCTCCTTTGTTTAATCGCTTTTTACTAGATGTTGTACATTTCCCCAGTTGCATACATTGGATGGCTCGACCATTTTCTTTCGCCCGCTCACTCCTATGCTCTCCTACCTTGACCGCCGGACCGGTATAACCGGTATATCTACCGGGAGGGTCATTCCCAGCCTACTCTGCTTTTATTGTTGACTATCAGACCTTCTACAAGTTTGTATCTCGCAACCCCCTTTCTTGACCTTCGCGTCTTCTCCTGTGTTATTCTTTTCGCAAAGCCCCTCTAACAGCCCCCTTTATACCATTGTTTTCATACTTTTTATATATTTATTATATTGCGCGGTACCTGGAAGCATAAGAGTGATACTCGATGAGGCTGGATCGGTGTCAAAAGGAACGGCACAAGAAACGAATCCTGTCACGTTTGGCACCGTTCCTTTCCGTGGGACGCATCTACTCATATACTTCCACTGCAAAATGCATGTTCGGGAACAAAAGGCCTGGGCGCTATGTTTTGATTAGTTGAAAAAATGAACATTTTTGTACCATAAGTACTATGCGAAGTCCATACTTGAAACTGTGCCTTTGTCATAAGGCTGTGCTGTCAATCCAAACGCAAAGCCCAAAATGCTTAGCCTGCCGAGTCTCAGCCTTCTCGTTTGTCTTACCATACATTTGCGACTGCGCCGCCCATTTCTGGACCCCTGTCATTTTAGACCCCAAGACGGCGCAGCCTCTCATCCTGAAGGTCAAACACGAGGTCAGCGTAATGGATTGTCTGCCACCTTGTCTATGAAGTATGGAAAAACAAAAAGGTCGAACTTCTTGAGCTAGTGGATGGAAACAAAACCTTATCGACGCGGAGCCTACATTTGCGAGGCCAATGTAATTCGTAGTTTCAAGACCGTCTCGGTCAACGCGAGGTTGGAAGAAGCTAAGTGAAGAAGGAAAGGATTGGCACAGGCGGACGGGAAGCTCCTCACTCCCTGCCTTTTAGACCCCAGGCAGCAACAAAACAAAAACGAAGCTATCGCGTAAGGTTCGGAAACAGTACTGTTTCCCTGGTTCGTTGGTTCTTTGCTTTCCCCTCTTTTGGCGGAGCGGGCCCCAATCCGCACTATTTTTAACGGGTGCCTGGCACCAAAAAGCGGCACGCGATAAAAGGTAATAGGACGGACAGTTTGCAAGGCCGCGATCAGCCTTCTATTCTCGTGCAATTCGCAGAACCGTCTGAGAAGAGAAATGAAAAATGACTGGGGACAATTAGGCACGCGCTTTTCTCGATGGTCTTGGTAATACCATACCGACTCACGTTCGCATTGCTTCTTTCTCTTATTCTGTGATTCTCGTCGTTCTTGTATTTTTTATTTTCTTTCTTTTCTTTAGTTTTATTTTATCCTCTTTCTTTGGGTTTTCACCTCCATCGCGCTTTCCCCGCCAATTCTCCTCTTCCCCACCAGTCAGCCTGGTCAATCTGCCCAGTTCTTTTCTGATCTTTACAGCCTAGCTTTACACATGCCACGGAAGGCACAACCGTAGGCACTGACCTCCCCGTCCCTTCCTGGTCGATGATCCTTTACCTTCATTTCCTTTTAACGTCTCATGAACCTGGCTTCACGACACAATTCGACTTTCCAGCGCTGGTGATCTCATTTTTGCGCCCCATACCGGAACCGTGGCCGTCAACAAAACCTTCCTCACCATACATCGTCGCCGGTTGTCAATACAGCGCAAGACGGCTTAGTTTAGTGGTGGAATAGCGGAGGGGCAGACCCATACCTTCAACCTCACCGAGCTCACCTCCTTGTCTCTCTCATTGTCGCTGGTACTGTCACACTCACTCCCGTGCGCTTTACCCAGTTTTGTGTGTCGCTCCTCTGGCGCCTCATCCGCACATTGTGCTCCGTTTCAACCCCGGAAGAGACTCGAGCGACGCCGGAGCTGCCCCGCCCCCCTCAAAGCCGATTCTCTTCTTCCCTGCCCCTCCGACCATGAGCAACAACGGCGGGCCATTGCGACCACCGCCACCGCCGGCGCAGCGGTCGCGAGATACACGGAGCAACTACTTTGCGACGTACACCTCGGCGCCCGTCTCTACCCCCACACCACCCCCGCCGCCGCCCCCACCAATACACAATACCGCCGCGGCGTCGGCAGCAGCAGTCGCCGGCACAACAGCAGCAGCTGCCCATACAGTACCAACGCCACCTCCGCCCCCACCACCAAGAGTCCACGCTTCCACGTCCTCCTCGTCTTCGCTGCTGTTGACACCAACGTCATTGACTGCAGCGTCGTTAGCAGCGAACCAGGCTGGCGCGCGAGGCACCGTCTACTCGCCAACGTCGCCGACGTCGCAGGGCCCGGCACCTTCATTAATACCCGGTGGCGCCAACTCGGCCTCCTCGTCGACAACCTCCCTCTTTCGCTCCAACTCCAACTCAAACACTGCCAATGCCGCAGCAGGAGCAGCAGCCACAGGCGCACCCGTTGGCGCCGCTGTGACCAATCCGGCCAGCTCGGGCACCCCAAACCCGCCCTCGGCAGCGGAAGCCATCCATGGCCCGGTCCGTGAACCCGTTCGCGAGTTCACACCACCGACGGACCGTCTCATTGTGGGAGTCGATTTTGGCACGACGTTCTCGGGAGTCGCCGCCGTGTACACACCCATGCCCGACGACATTGAGATTATCAAAACGTGGCCGGGCGGCAACGGTATCACCTCCGACAAGGTGCCGACCGAGATGACCTATGACCTGCCAATTGATGCGCCACCGGGCACAGAGCCCACGGTGCGATGGGGATTTCAGTTCAAGCCCGAGGAGTCGCGGCTGCGCTGCATCAAGCTGTTTCTCGACCGCACACAAAAGCTGCCGTTCTATGTCAGTCCGCTCGAGACCGCCGCCCAGTTGAGCCGCTACAAGAAGACGGTGGTCGACGCTGTTGCCGACTATCTCACCCAGGTCTACAGGCACACCATGGACACGCTCTCGCGGCGTTACGGCGCATCCTTTATGGCCTCGACGCGTGTAGACTTTGTTCTGACCTGCCCTGCCGTGTGGTCCGATGCCGCAAAGAACACGACGCTGTTGGCCGCCGAGCGCGCGGGCATGGGCGACCGCTCGTCCATCCAGATGATCAGTGAGCCCGAGGCCGCCGCCGTGTACACGCTCAAGGCCATCCAGCCCAACCACCTCAATGTCGGTGACAACTTTATTGTGTGCGACGGCGGTGGAGGCACTGTCGACCTGATTGCGTACAAAATCATTTCGTTGAAGCCGTTGCGTGTGGAGGAATCGGCCGTGGGCACGGGCGGACTGTGTGGCAGCGCGTTCCTCAACTACCGCTTCGAGGAGCATGTGTGTCGTAGACTTGGCCAGAGCCGCTTCGACGAAATGAAGACGAAGAAAAGCAAGACCTGGCAGATGGGACTGCGATACTTTGAGGAGTTTGTGAAGCGCAACTTTAACGAGGACGAGCACCAGGAAGTCAACATTCCGTAAGTGGCCTTTTGTTGTTGTTGTGATTGTTTGTCCCCGTGGTTTTTGCTTTGGGCGGCCTATGCTGACGTGCGACACCAGGTTCCCCGGTTTGCCCGATGATGAGGAGGCTGGGCTTGACTCCGGTTTCTTGGTCATGTCAGCCGAGCAGGTGTTGGAGATTTTCGAACCGATCGTCAAAGAGGTCTGCGATCTTGTCCAGGGCCAAGTCGACAAGCTGCGTGCAAAGGGCGGCATTGTATCCGGCATCATTCTTGTCGGTGGCTTTGGCCAGAGCGATTATCTGTACAGGCGACTGAAGCACCACTTCCGCGGCAACCTGATGGATGGGCTCGCCAGCCATGGCACTGGCTCGTCACAACTGCCACCACCGCCCTATAGCGAGCGTCCCACGCATGCGGCAGCTGCGTCGTTGGACATTGCCAACTTGAGTCTTGGCGACGGCGTTGCAAACGGATCTGTTCTGGTTCCGCCCATCGAGGTCATGCAGCCCGTTTATGCCTGGACAGCCGTTGTCCGTGGTGCCGTCTTGCGGGGACTGGAAGGCAGCATGGTGCTGTCCCGGCGGGCGCGCTTCCACTATGGCACATCGTATGCCACCGTCTACGACGAGGCGAAGCATTCGGTCAGCGAGCGCTACTGGTCGCCGCTCTGGGAGCGGTGGATGGTGTCCGACCGCATGCAGTGGCACATTGCAAAGGGCGACTCCATCTCGCCCCTGTCACCCATTGCTTTCCACTACACCCGTAACTTCCGCCCGGGTCAGTCGCTGATTGTGACGGACGACCTGATTGCCTGTGCTGCCGACGAACCGCCAGATTCGTACACCCGAGGCGGCGGCAGCGGGTTTGGCGGTGGTGCGCTTGCAAAGAGTGGTGCTCACAACGGTAGTAGTGAGAATCTGGGAGGCAGCGGCGGCGGCGGTGACGGCGATGATGCGGACGGTAATGGAAGCAAACTGATCCATGTCTGTACATTGACGACGGACCTTAGCGCCGTCCCGCGAAGCCTCTTTACGCGCCTGACGACGACTCGCGGCGTTGAGTTTGACAACCTCGACTTTACCCTGGAAATGGTCGTGGACAGTGCCGGGCTAGGGTTCGAGCTCAAGGTCGACGGAGTCCGCTATGGCCGTGTTGAGGCAGACTTCCACTGATTGGAGGACTGGAAACGAGAGAAAAGAGAGGTGAGGACGAGAAGCGGAGAGAGGGGATGCTATTTTTGGTTTTGCTCGGTTTTTTCTGTCCAGGCTGTCATCCTGTCTCTTGTTTAGTTTGCATATTAGCGTAGCAATGTGAATGGCGAGGAGGGCAGAAAGTGCACTTTTATCCTGAGTAGCAAGGAGAAAGATGATGTGGGAAGGTTTGGTATACGCACTTTATTTTTCATTTCGAAGATACAGAAAGGTACAAGACGATACAAATAAGGCACTTTGCCCTTTTTAGCTTTGTACGTATTCGTCTGGATTGCTCCTTCCTGGCGATAATCTCACCTGAAAAGAAACAGCAGGAACAAACTTTTACTTGGTTCCCTCCTTCCCGAGTAGTATTTATGTGCTGTATCGACTTGGTGTCCTGTTATCCGAGTAAAACAGCAGGTGCGCCCCGACAAGGCACCTTCCCCGATTTGTGCGATGTGCAAGACAACCGACGTGGCAGGCCACAATATGACAATACCTTAGAATTTTTGAAAGGCCTCGACCGTCTCCATATAGACAAGTTGAAAAAATGACGAATGTGCATGTTTTTTTGTGGTTCTCCATGCAGACAAGTGTTGCATCTCGGCCTTGCCATTTATGCCCAAAAATGAAACTGGTCTCTCGCCTCAGTAAAATTCGGCAAGAGCTGGGCCAGAACAAAAGAGAAGGAGCGCCTTACGCCCCAACAGTTAATTGCGGGTCGCAAGGCAAGGAAGAAGTGTTGTGACGTCGCATGGAAAGTGTGTTACAAAATCAAATCGTCGTTATATTTAACTGCGCTGCTATCCATGTCCTCTTTCAAACCTTTCGAATGAGGGGAAGACATCCAAGTTTACATTCTTCATTCTCCTCCAAAACACGTGCCAGATTGCTAAATAAAAAAGGAAATAAAAGGAAATAGAAGGTATCTCGCTCTATGTTGGGGTTTGGGGAAAGAGGTAAGTGAAAACAAGTCATGGCGTCGTTAGGTGTGGGAAGGAACAAGGCAGGGGAAAGAGGAAGGCTAAGAAATGAGAGGACATTGCACGAAAGCGCGAAGCAAAATCGAGAAAGGAAAGAGCAGTGAGCGAAAATAAAATGAGGCATATCGAAGGAAAGAACAATCAGAAACGTCGGCGCAAGGAAAGAACCGTACACAATACGAATTGAACTAACGTAGAAAAGGGGTGAAAAGGGGTGAACTGGGGAAAACCAAAACAAACAGGCCGCCCACCGCTGTTTCCAAAAGAGGAAATCGACTTCATACACCGCCAGATCACCACCATGACCTGGCAGGTGCGACCGTCGCAGCCTTGCGAGCTGGAAGCAACAGAGGCAGGTATGACCGCCTCTGCTTCCCATTCTCCGATTCTTCCATTGTCCTCTCTCTCTTCTCCAATTCTCACCTCTCATCTTTTAAGCACACGTCGCATCACCTCTTCTTCCTGTGGCCATCCTTCTTCTTACCGTCTTTCTTGTCGGGTTTCCTGGCGCCCTTTTTGCTATCGCCGTCTCGACTTCTGAGGTAGTCGTCGCCATCATGGAAGTATCCGTCGTCGCCAACAAACCCACCGGTATCAGGTATGTCTTCGCGGCCATTTCCTGAGACCATGCTGTCGATATAATGGCCATCGCCTGTATAGCTGCCATTGGCAGCATACCTGGCATCGTCATGTAGATAGCTGGTTGATTGCTCCTGTTCATATTGCTTCTGCATCGCATATGCTTCTTTGCTGATGACTTTGTTTCGGTAAAGGTATTGCAAAAAAGGCAAATCGGAACGGGCACGCATCTCGTCCCCAAAATCGCCTTCGCGATAGTGGTTACTGATGTGGAGCATGCGACGTTCGAAATTCGTTTCTCTCTTCCGCCCTTTCTCCTCGGCATTGAACAGCTTCCCACAGAACCAGCACGAACATTGATTGGGTATCTTCCCTTTTAGATGGGATTGATGGTGGCTCGCCCATTCTTTTTCATATGCCAACGGAGCGCTGTAGTCACAGTCCGTGAAGGCAAATTCACATGGAAGAACATTGGAAGCAGCATCCTCAACAGGCTGCGCGGTCTCGACAGTGTCGACCACGTTGTTGAACGTGCTGGATGTGCTGGACGCGCTGGACATGCTCCACCGTCTGCTGCCAAGGCTCCGGGAGTCGTCTGCTATAGGGCTCGGCGAACGGTAGCCGACTATATGATAGGGCTCCAAACCAGCATGACCGCCGTTGGCTTGCTGGATAACGTTTGTCTCCAGAACAGTTACGCCACTCAGAGGTGGACTCTCACTGATGGAATTGGCATACGGCCGGACGTATCCGTCGTCTGAGACCGACAGATTATCTCCCATACTTCCCGGTGACACGGGTTCGTTGACGTAGAAGTCTCCGTTTTCCGTGGACGTGTCATCGGGCACTGACCAGCCAATTGAGTTGTTTGGCGTTGACATCTCTTTATTCGCAGAAAAGCAAAGAAGGTTAACGACCAGCACTTAGAACCAGAATATCGCTTAGGGAAGGGGGGATTGGTTCGGGGAGAGAACGTACCTGCGGTGTCAGGTGTGTCTGAAGCGTCCATCGTGGCGGCAACGCTGCTGTGATCGGCAAAGACCGAGTCTTGGTCTTCGGTCCAAGTATCGTCCAATATGATTTCCTCCTCTTCCTCGTCCTTTTGGCCACTATCGATCCGTTGATCGTCGGGCGCGTCCCCTGTTGGTGCCATTGCAGAAAGATGAGTGTCTTCGTACAAGTGTAAGTCTCAATAGGAGGCTCTTAGGAGGTGAATGGAACAGAGCCAAAAACCGAAATGGACTCCGAAGGGCACGATATTTTACTTGATATGTGAAAGCAAATTCAGACAAGGTGAGGATGGCGGGATATGGATGCCTGGGCATAAAGTGAGGCTCGAGATTGAACCGAAACTGATCAGGACGGAGCCGGAAATATATACACAGGACCGACTTGACTACAGCCACTACGATGGAAAGACCCAGGTATCCCACAAGGAAGTCGAAGGATCAACTTTCTCTCCAGCGATTCGAAACCAACGGCCGCTTAGGGCCCGACGAAGGTGTCCTGTTTACACTTACCAATGTTATTCGAAGAAATAAAGTGGAGGCGGCATGTATTAACTTACACGTTGGCTAGCCTCCTCTCGGAAACATCCAGTCTTATACTGAATTCATACTCCATTTCAACAAGAAGACAACGCGATCATCACACCCTTCTCTTCACCGCCTACAACTTGCATACTGGCTACATTTGAGGGTGCGTATCTCGACGCCGCGATGGCTGGGCGGCTCTCGGTCTGATAGGACGACTTGCGATACGACAAGAATCTCTTTGCAGGCACGCAAAAGCTCGCCCACAGCCCAACACTCCGTCATCGCTTTACTCCAGCGGAGATGAATGCCACCCCCTTCAAGGATGAGCCTCGCTCTATTTTCTATTTCCTTTTTTGAGGGGAGGGGGGATTTGCTTGGCTCCCTACAGCTCTCACGGACTCATTTTCGTGTGGCAGAACGAACCTCAGAGGGTTGGGCCGCCGTGCTAAGATGCAAAGGACGATACGTTTAGCTCTTCCTGTCTTTGCATGCTATGGCATACACGAATTTCTTGCAACTATTTTCTTGGTGCCACACGGCTTCTACGATAGAATGGAATGACGAAAACGAGGACGAGGAGTGCGAAGCCGACAGGCCGATAACAGAAGATCGTCTTTCCCTTCCTACAATGTTTGCGGCTCAAGAGCACCTTGTCTCGAATCACAACGGAACACGTTCGAGCCAAAACAAGCGAGACCAGACACACCTTCAACGAGCCATGGACCGCGTCCATGTGACAAGAAAAGCTGACAAGAAAAGATACCCAATTCACGGCATTCTTTTCCTCCAAGTGATACTGGTTGAATGTAGGTAGCCTCGCACTCGGCTCCAGCCCCCTAGTAGGCACCGACATTTTCCCTTCACTTGCTATATCGATCCACGGGCTCACGTTATAACTCGCAGGTGCGGCACTGCTGCAATTTATTGGCAATGGGCGGCGCGGACCGTCAAGAGCACAACTCAAAGATGACGGGCATCCAGCATAAGACGACAATAAGAACAATAACGACCCAAATCCACTTCGGTAGCACCATCCGGCCTCTCGAAAGACCCACTCCATGCAAAATCAATCATTTGTCACGTTGCTATCCGCATTAAACATGGCGGCATCTCGCTCGAAGGAGACAAGTACCAGGGCGGACCGCTGAAGACCAAAAAAGAGGGGGATACAATAGCTGGCCACCGCATCCCAAATGACGTGCGGCTCTGCACAGCAATAGTTCGAGTTGGTTTCTCGCAAAGCCCGAGGCCTGTCTTCTCCCAACTCTGTTTTATTTGGCTCGGATTCGATCATTGGTTCTCTAGCACCATGTTCAGTGGAGGGTCACTCTCGCTCTCCGCGTGCAGCAAGCCATGCAGGATTCATACACCCCCATAGGTCGGTATCAAACAACGAAGATTGTTGAGTGGATTTCCGGCATCAACCAACGAAACGAAGAACGAAATGGTGGCAGTCAGCCGTTTGCCCCGCCCCCAACCTCATCCACAGTCATTGAGATGACGAATCGTTTTTGGGAGAGACTAACTACGCGGAGAAATGGCGGAGAGAAGATAAAGGGGGCTCTGATCCCTCTGCGGCCGCAAGTCATCTGGTTCTTTGTGCCTCTCATTTCCCCCTTCTGAGGATGCTCCTTTGGCTTCAGCGTTCCAGTGTTATGCCAGCTGCCGAGGAACAAAAACTGGCTCGCGGCGGCGCAGCACACAACCTGGCCGCAGGCAGTTTTGAAAATGAGAGGTGGGGGCCGGTTTTGGTGCTCTAGCTCTCTTGCCGGCCGCATGTTGGGGCCTTCGACGCAAATGCGTTGTGTGTGTCACGCCAGCACAGTTGGGCCATGGAGGGCGGCATCGGGCTGAAGCGGTAAGAGAACAAAATAAGAAACTCGTGGAGAGGGGAATATGGTTTTACGCACAACAAGAAAGAGTGGCATCTCTAAAGCCAAGAAATCTGGGGATACGAAATCGGGGAACAAATCAGAGGAAGCAAAGGCGTCCCCGGCGTGTTCAGTCCCTCACAGCGGCTCCTTGCCATTTGCAAAGATCTCTCATGGTTACGTGGGAGCTGAGCCTGGTTCTTTCGCACTGCTCTATTGGCTTTACTCTATGCACTTGTTTACATACGTTGTTGGTCTCCGCCGTCTGCCCACACATGTTTGCCTGGTTGGACATTTGCCTGCATGGCTCTGCAGCTGGACTGACTGCACGCACGATTGCTTCGCTGCACGATGGCTTGCACCTGCCTCGTTGGGCTCCGTGCTGCTATTCTGCAGCACACAGTACCCTTGCCTTGCATATCACGTTGGTGTACTGCAGGTGGCTGCCCGTCTCGTCACCTCGTTTGATAATACCTGGAAACGTCACACACGCAATCTCTCGTAGTGACAGCCCGTCGTCATCGTCCTCCTCGCCTCCAATGTCCTCCATGGTAGCTGCATCAAAAAGGACCTGCTGGTGCGGCACGATGGACGGCATAATTACGCGGAAGACAGCCTTTTGGATCACGAGAAGGCGTGCCAGCTCCAGCGCACTGGTGACAAGCTGCCGTAGGGTATGGTCGCGCGCATCGGTGCGCTGCACGTCAGTTATGGCATCCAACACGTCGTTAACTCGCGTTACGACTTGGTCGACCACGCGCGTTGTCTCCGCCTGCAATTGCTGGGCACTGTCTTTGCTGACAATGTCCAAGGTCAACGCCCGCCACTGGTTGATCGGCTCGGCGGTTCCGGCTGCAGATTTGAAAAGCTCAGTTAGAAAAAGAATAACGGCAAGAAGACGAGTACCAATACCGCGTGGAAATAAAAACGGGGAGAAGGGTGTGGGGGGAGACAAAGAAAGCATTGGCCAGAAAATATTTGCCGGCAGTGCGCATCACTCACCAAAGGGTTTTAAAAAGGATTCTACCTCTTCGAGCTGTGCGGCCTGCTGCGGTGGAAGACCGACGAAGTAGGCATCGAAAATCAAATCAACAAGCACCCGTGACACGGCAGACTGCAGCAAGTGCAGCTTGGCAGAATGCCGTAGATCGTCATACATGGGCACGAGCTGTGCGAGGCTCTCACGCGCATTCTTACTGGCTTTGTCGGTATCTGTATGGAGGATAGAGGGAGGGAGAGAGGGTGTTTGGTTAGCATCCGTTGTCGGGGGACTTCTGAGATATACGATTGGTAGACACCGTAAGGGACGAATAAGGAGGGGGGACGGAAAAGACGCGATAAATACGACGGTCGATTGTGTAGAGCCTCATGTCGAAGAAACACAATAAATGAGCAGGCGGAAGGGGGAAAACAAAAAAAAAGAGGCTCTGCTGTATGTAGCACAGAACAGTGCATTTGGTGCGAAGGGACATTTGTGACTGGTTGGTGACGGCACGGACAAGAAGGATTGGTGGACGGGACGAGTGGACTAATAGAATAGGGATAAAGGAAGGGATCGGGTAGGACAATGCACGGAAGTCAACCACATCCACGATCTACATACCCAACTTGGCACGCCGAAAGTGCATAATTACCCAATTCTGCACGCCGTTGGCCAGACGTGCCATACCGTCACCAAAGACCTCGTCGCTAGCCACCTGGCCGCCGGCACGTGTAGATGTGCTGACCCATTCTTTGAGGCCGCGGACTTGCTCGCGCAGCGACCTTGCCTCCTCGTCTCGTGCAACCGCGGAACGCTGCATTTCCTCCCAGCCGGCCCGTAGCTCGGCGCGCTCGGCTTCGCGTAGTTCCACTTCGGCCCGTAGCAGCTGGTTCTCGGTATCTGTCTGAGCGAGCTGCTGCTGCAGGCGGTTATTCTTTGCCTGCCAAAATGTGGCGGCTTCTGACTCGGCCTTGCTAAGCTTGTCGAGCTCGCGAGTGAACTCGGCTTCCATAATGTGCAACTCGCGCTCCAGCTGGGTGATGCGCATGTCCTTTTCCTTGACAAGCTGCGCGGACGCAGCGGCCGCATTGAGCGAAGCTGCCGTGGCTGCTGCGGACACGGACGACGACGACGAAGCCAAAGACGATATGCTGTGGTGGCCATGGTGGTGGTGGTGATGCTGCCGCTGGTGGTAGCTGTGGTGATTGGCCGTGTAGACAAAGTGCGCATCCTTGGTGCTGTTGCTGCTACTGCTGGCAGACGATGCCATGCCAACGCCGCCGCCGCTTCCTCCTCCGCCGCCTGCGCTTCCGCTCCCGCTCCCGCCTCCGCTGCCGCTGTTTCCACTATTGCCACTGCCGCCGCCACCTGGGCCAGACGTCGATCTATTACCACCGTCTCCACTGGAGGTTCCGCTCGGCGGGTCTGGCACGGTCGACGTACTTTGATTTCCAGCACCGAGAGCAACACGGGGCGGCGGTGCTATTAAAATTCCCGAAGACGCTGCTGCGCTGCCGCTATTGTTGGGCGGGGAGGGCGGTCCGCTTCCACCGGCGCGTTGATTGCTATCATTGTTGTGGCTGCTACTTCCACCGGTGCCGCCACCGCTTCCCGCCCCCGACGTAGAAGCCGCCGCGGCCGTCACCGCCGAGGTCGTCCGGAGAACATGTGACGAGGATGCTACCCCAGCCGCGGTCGGCCCGGCGCCACGTCGTTTGCTACTGCTCCGGTTGGCGCTGGAGCTCGAGCCGACCGGCACGCTTGTCGAAGCGCTGGCAGCGCCGCCGCCACCGCCGCCGCCAGGCTGTTGCGGCGTTGTTGAGGACGCCACGGTGACAGGTGGATTTGGTGTTCCAGAAAACGAGGATATTGACGATAGGGGACGGTAGCCTGCGGTACCGCCGCTGTTGTTGACGTCCGAGGTGGAGGAGACGACCGACGAAGACGAGGAAGACGAGATGGACGAGGCAGACGTAAGTGATGAGGCGGAAGTGGCGGCCGCCGGATGTGAGTTTAGCATGGTTTATTCTTTCTCAACCAGCCGCGCAGCAACGACATCCGGATCGGAGGTGCCGGTGGCACTGTCTTCTCCAGACGGGACCGCCTTGGATGAGAGCACGTGAGAACGTGAAAGGCGAGGCGGGCCGCGAGTCTCTGTGATTCACGGCGTTTGCCTCATAGAGTCATTCTATTGTCATAAAGCGTCGGTATCGAAGAGCATGATCGCCGGGTGCTTGGCTGTGTGCAGACGGGAGACGGCGGGGTTCGCCCTTGCGAAATGGCGGAGGGCGCACGTTGCCGCTGCGATGCAGGTCAATTGTTGGCCGTCGAAGCGGGTTGATAAGGTTTAAACCCTTGCGATGTAAATGACGGGATTTTGCAATAATTTTGTCGGTTTGTCGGTTCTCGTCACCCACGTGCTCCTGCAGGACAGCAAGGGAAGGAGAGGCTGTTGGCGACGTGCGGTTGAGTGTGCGACAAGAAGGAGCGAGTGAGGACGAAAGTGGGTCTTCGCATGCGAACGGTAGGCGACACGGGCCATTCGTGGGGAACAGGGAAGGCGCAAACGGGGCGGCTGGCCAGGCCACGGCGGGGCAAGGCAACCACAAACCACAGGGCGCAAGAGGAGACTTTAGTGCTGTAAGTCGAGCAGGAAGGAACAGACATGGATAGAAACAGAAGGAGCCTAGGCTGACAAGGCTGAAAGAAATCGCTGATATTAGTGATGTTTGGCAGTCAAAGATCATGAGCAGCTCTCTCCGTGTATGTCGTACACACACGACCACCACTTTCAGCACATGCACAATCGGTTAGCGCTATTACTGGAGCTGTGTTGGCAGCCTGGCGCAAGGTAACTTGGGACCATCGAATGCAGCCGTCCTCCTTCTGCCTTTGCCACATTTCCGCCTTTGCTTCGATGTCTTCTCCCCCTCACAAATTTAACTGGTGCCTTGGACGCAGTCAAGGGTGGCCGCTCTATTATCCAGTTGAGGAATATGTGTCGTCTTGGATGCCATTGCGATCCCTAGATCAATCAGCGATCCAATGGCGTTTGTATCCATCCACCTTTCATGTTCTGTTCGTAGACAATTTCTTGTAGATTTATATGCGAACCTCGGCTTCAACGGGATACGCTGCATCAACAACGGCGCCGTCGGCATCCATGGCGGTCGTCTGTGCGCCCATCCGGCAGAGTGCCACCTTATGGATCGGCACCTTCTCCATCCACACAAAGTCATCGTAGCGCTCAATCAGCTCGCGTGCATCAAACGTCAGCTTTTCTCCTCCTCGTCCACGTCCTCCTCCCCGTCCGCCGCTGATTCGCGGCTGCTTGGCATAAACTGTGTTCACAATTGTTGCGTGCAGCAGCAATGGCCGCTCGTCGGGGACCAGGAGGTCGGCAAAGACAGTCCGCACGCGCTCGCAGAGCTCGAGAAGAGGACCGCCTGCTGCGGCAAGGCTGCCCGTCTTCTCGTCTACCGGCGACGCGTAGAGCACAGTAGCCCGTGCTGGCGGCTGCATGGCATGGAGGCCGCGAAGGGCCATGGAGATGGGCTTGTCCTTGCCTCCAGCGGAGCCTTCGTCTGCCTCGTTCCGCTTTGCGAGCGACTGGAGCCGGGACACAGCCTCCTGCAGTCGGTCGCCGTCGCCCAGACTCAACACGCCCAGTGTCAAGTGCAGAGTACCGACCGCTCGTAGTGCTGCGGGCGGCAGCGGGCCCCGGCGCGTTGTCGCGTTCCGGTTGTTGGCACTACTGGGCCCGCCGTTGCCGCCGCTGGTCATGGCGACCGCAGTAGCTGCCACGTCAGCATGGAATGTGGCCAGGCTGTCAGCGAGCTGTGGCCGGCCGACTGTGGTCGCCAGCGGGATGCATAGAAAATGCGTCAGTTGCGGCCGCGGAGGCGGTTTTGGTTTTGGCGGCTGCATGGCGAATGCGGAGGTTATGTAAATGCTTAAGAGTAGGTTTGCATAGTTTAGTTGTGGTTTGAGGCGGAAGTGGATGTTCAAATACAGCAGTTGAAACGTATATTAGCTGGCGTGATGTCATGCGCTACGACTCAGGCACCATCCACTAAAACAGCAAATTGCGGAATTGCTGGAGCACACTAAATCTAGACATGCACTGTAATTACTGGATGCCATGTTGTGGATTTTATTCAAGTAAACAAAATCTAAATGTTTTTTACCTTTTGTATCTTTTGTGCCTCGCGCCCTAATCTCGACTCAGTCGTCCTCCATCAGGGCGGCAAGCTCGGCCTCCTCGTCAGCCGTCATCAAACCCCCTTCCTCAGCAATTTTGTCGGCATCGTCATCGACAATCCCAGCTGCTGCAGCCGCACGGTCTTCCTTCTGCTGCTTCACGAGGGCATCGACATCGGCTTTGACCAGCGGCCATGTCCGCACTGTGCCGTCAAGACTGACACTGCACAGCCGCCGTCCGTCGCTGAGCACGACCAGGTCAGTCACTTCGTCAAAGTGGCCTGTAATCGCAGCGTAGCGCACGTTGGCCCGGTCGTCAGTAGCATCGGCTGCGCCAGTGCGGTCCCAATATTGCAGGTCTTCGTCGCGTCCGGCCGTTATCACCCACGCATCTGTCACGGCCACGGCGCGCACGTGGTCGCCGTGGTGGAACGTGCTGCTGCCGCTGCCGACGGTCTCCCGATGCTGGAAGCCGTGCTGACGCGACAGGCACTTGACCGTGCCGTCACCACTGGACGTCCACAGATTGACATCCTCACCGTTGTCATCGTCGTCGTCGCCGCCGCCGCTGTAGTTGTGGTCCTCAAACACGACCTTGTATACGGTCGTCTGGTGCGCCAGCAGCGTCTTCTTGGGCCGGTCTGTTGTGACGTCCTTGTTGTTGACGTCGTCCTGTGCATCCTCCGTCACCTGCTCCCAGCCGTCCAGACGAATCCGCCACCTGCGAATGTGCGGGTCGCTGCTCGCGCTGACCAGCCAGATTTCGTCGCGCGTCGTTGCCACGGGGTCGATTGCCAGATCCTGCAGCGCCAGCATGCTCTGTCGGTTGCCCTTGGTTGTCGACCCGCTGTCCTGCAGCGTGTGCAGCCGCTTGCCCGATACCACATCCCACACAATAATCTTCTTGTCCGCGCCACCGCTGATGAGCACATCCTCGTCGCCCAGGCGCCCACACACGACAGCTTTGACAAAGTCCGTGTGGCCACCGCCACCGGCACCGCCGGCCAGGCCGTACCGTATGCCTGGCTGGTGCGTATCGCGGTCAAAGGACCAGACTGTCTTGTCCCAAGACCCCGCAAAGAGTGTCTTGCCACCGGGGCCGCCGAGCGCGAGCGACGTAACTGGTGCCGCTGGGCCGCGATAGGCCGTGGCCTTGGCGTCGTTGTCGCTCTCGTCAAGCACGTTCACGCGCCGGGCGGACCCAGCTGACTCTGCCACAAAGACATGGGCTGCCGACATTGGGTCGGCGAGAACGGCCAGGACCTTGGACTTGAGCAACACGGGGCTGCCATACTTGTTTGCCGACTTGGCTGACCGGCGCTCCCTCTGCTCCTGGGCGGCGCTTTCGCCTGTTAGCGGATGTTCTCTTCTGGATGTTTATCTTGACAATGGATAGAAGACAGTCTCAGTTGCCCCCTGAGACGAAGCAATTTTGATTTTCAAACTCACTCGGTCTCAAAGAACCGCTGTGGATCGGCAGTCTGCATTTTGCGCTGTTCTTGGGAAACTGAAAGGTGGACACAGTCTACTTGCTGTTCTTCTCCTCTTCTTTCCCTTCTTCCCAGAATCTAATGCCGGGTCTCTGTATAAATAAAGAGTTCCGATTTGGTTGCCTAGGAACGTATTTGTCTGCCTGTTTGTGTCGACAGAGACAATAGGAGACTATGAGAAAGGAGGCGGCCAGGTGGCAGCCGGCCCGGCAGGCGACGGTCGAAAAGCTCCTTCCCCTAGTGCTCGGTTTTTGGCGGGGCTCCTTCCATTTCGACAACCAGCGCCAAAAGGGGGAAGGCCCCAATTAAAATGTCCATTAACGAGCGACGCGCCTCGACGCGTCTTCCCCACGGCCAACCCGCAGCGAGCATCGCGCTGTATTGTTTTGCGTGTGCCACACCGCACCTGACGATGATCACGACAACGTCGACTGCCACAAAGCAGCCATCATCGCCCAATCCGATCACCAGCATTGCTGATTCGCACTGGGGAGGCATTTCCTAGTTCATTGAGCTTGTATAAAGCGATCAAACGAACTTGACCGACGACCTTGTCTGTTTCTCGTCGAATCTCCTCGTCGTTGTCTTCCTACAATCGCTTTCGTCCGTCTCCAAGTCGTCTTGCTGCCTCTCCTCACCATGTCCGCTACGGCGTCGCGCCCGCGGCCGCGCCCTGCGCATGGCCTCGGCTGCACTCGCTGTGCTTACACGCCCAACGGCCGCCAGCTGATCTCCGTCGGCGCCACCAACACCATCCGCATCTTCAAGACGGGTTCCGACGGCGAGCCCACCAACGTCGACGACTGCCAAGAGCAAAACGTCAGCGTCGCCGCCACCGACACGTTTTTTGTCGCCGGCTCCGAGGATGGCACCGTCAGCCTCTACTCCCTCGACGCTCCACCCTCCTTTGAGAGCTTTCTGCTGCGCACGTCGCTGCCCGTGCGTGAAGTGGCCCTCTCGCCCGATGGCCGCTGGTGCGCCGTGGCGAGTGACGAGCTGACAGTGCGCATCGTGCGTGTTGACGACAATACGGTCGTCCGCCACCTGCGCGCCCACAACCGGCCAGCCAAGCACGTGTCGTTTGACCCGAAGGGTCGTACGGTTTCTGTGTCTTGCACAGATGGCATCATCTACGTCTACTCGCTGATCGAGACGGACGACGAGAACGAGACTGGTGCCGCGGGACCCGATGCTGCTGAAACCAACAACAACAACAACAACAACACAAAAGGCGACCCGGCCCTGATTCGCAAGGTCGACGGCATCATCGGCAGCCTGGACTCGGAAGCCGACACCTCTGCCAAGGTCGCCTGGCACCCCGACGGCCGTGCTTTTGCCGTGCCGACGCCTACGCGTGACATACAGGTCGTCTCAAAGCACGACTGGGAGAAGCAGCGCGTGTTTGCAAATGGCCACGACGGCGAGATCACCGCGCTCGCCTGGTCGCCCAACGGCGCACTCTTGGCATCCGCCGGAAAAGACGGCAAAATTCTCCTGTGGGAGACCAAATCCCAAAGCGTTATCGCCCGCTACGACTACAGCGGCGTCCAAGACATTTCCTGGCACCCGACCAACAACCTCGTAGCCTTTACAAACGGCGAGGGTGAGGTGTACATCTACCCAGACTTTATCACCGCCCAGTACGCCGTGCTGCTACGGTTGCCCACGCAGCCGAGCCCCTTCATCCACGACCCGCTCGGCGAGATCTCCGCCAACGGCCTTGCCCGCCGACCACAGCAGCAGCGGCCAGACGGCAGCCGCAAGGCTGGCGGTGCTGAGCAGTCGGGCCTGGTTGCCCGTGAGGCTGTGGAGGGCGACGACGACGATGAGGACCTCGACAGTTTATTGAATGGCGACGACTATGACATGATGGCCGATGATGACGACGGTTTTGTCGTGGACGACGACGGCGCTGGCTACACCATGGCCGGCGCCAATGGTGGCCGTAAACGGCCACATGACGGCGACAGCGGACTTCTCCCAGTCCGGGGTGCCAAGCGAGCTGGCGGTGCTGGCGCCGGTGGCCGCGCGCTGTGGCAGCCTCAATACCACCCGGCCTTCCAGCCCGGGTCGACGCCCTGGCGCGGCAACCGTAAGTACCTTTGCCTCAACCTCGTGGGCGTGGTCTGGACCATCGACCAGGACGCCCACTACACTGTGACGGTCGAGTTCTACGACCGTGAGTTCCAGCGCGACTTCCACTTCACCGACACCTTTTTATACGACAAGGCCTGCCTCAACGAGCACGGCACACTCTTTTCGTGCCCACCACGTGGCGCTGGGGACGGATCCAGTCCATCGTCTTCGCCTGCCATGGTGTTTTACCGCCCACACGAGTCTTGGACACAGCAGCGCCTCGACTGGCGCACCAAACTGCCAGCCGGCGAATCCGTCGTCGCCATGTCGCTGAGCGCATCGTTTGTCACTGTCGTCACGAGCGCCGACTACGTGCGCGTCTACACGCTGTTTGGTGTGCCCTACCGCGTCTACCGGCCCAAGAGCACGCCCGTCGTCACGTGTGCGAGCTGGAAGGACTATGTTTGGACGCTGGGCAATGGTCCCATGGCGCCCGACGGTACCGCGCGCCTGCAGTACACCATTGAGAATGTGCAGCGCGACGAGATCTGCCAGAACGAGGACGCCATCGCGCTGCCTGCTGGCGCTTCGGTGCAGTCCGTCTTCTTTTCCGACGAGGGCGACCCGTGCATCTACGACTCGACCGGCACGCTGTTGACACTGCTGCATTGGCGCCGGCCGTCACGCGCATCCTGGGTGCCGCTGCTCGACACGCGACAGATGGCGCGTCTGGCATCAGGACGCAAACACGAGACGTACTTCCCCATCGCCGTCGCCGACCGCAAGTTCCACTGTATTATCCTCAAGGGCGGCGACCAGTATCCCTACTTCCCGCGTCCGCTGTTGTCCGAGTTTGATTTCAGCATCCCGCTGGGCCGCGCGCCTAAGCAGACTGAGGCTGCTGCTGCTGACGACGACGCCGACGAAAATGCCGACGACGATGCGACCGCCAACCGTCTTGAGCATACGTTTGTCCTGCACGGCGTACACGCCGCCCAACTGGCTGACCGTCTCGACATGGACGGCGAAGGCAAATCCAAATCCTCGTACGCACTCAAAACCGCACTCGCGCGCCTCGAGCTCGAGACCGACAAGACCTTGCTGCAGCTGCTGGCACTCGAGTGCCGCGCCGGCGAGGAGCGGGGCATGCGCGCGCTTGAGCTGGTGCGGCTGATGCGCGATGGCGGTGGCAAGATGGTCGAGGCTGCCGGCAAGGTGGCCGAGCGGTACGGCCGGACGGTACTGGGCACCAAGATTCGGGCCCTGGGCGAGCGGCGTATGCAAGGCCAGCTGGGCTTGCTGGATGACGACGATGAAGATGGCGAGTAGATTCGAAATGAAAGGGGCAAGGGGTTGGTGGGTGAAAACGGTTGGACAAAATTAGGGGATGGATGCAACGTGATTGATCTGCAGGGCCAACCAGAAAATAAGACGAAAAGACGAACGATCATGGGTCAACGAGCCGGGAACCGGCCAAAGGAAGCGAGGTATACGAAGAGTCGTTCTCGGGCGTTTCACTGTCTGGTTTTGTGATTTCATGCATGGCTTTACGTTACGGGATATGAATGTTGGTTGTATTTTTGGTACTGTTTTGGTATGTGTTTTCATTTTTCATCAAGGGTTTTTATTTTACATTTTTTGTTTTTATTTCCGTTTGCTTCCTTCGTCTTGTTTTGTTCATGTTGATGCTCCAAAATGATTTTGCGTTCCTCGTCTTGCGCCTCGTGGTCGTTCGATACAAAGACACAATTGCAGACGACGGGTGCAGTCGACGTGATGGCCGACTCAAGATACGTCCTGCAGCATCTGTACTGAATACTATTCGTCTGCCGGTGCAACTTTGCGTTTTGCCAACCGGGCAGCTGTGCCGCCCCTGGTTCTTTTCCAAAACCTGGGCGGAACTTCTGACGTTCGTCCTCGGGAACGGGCGTTCGAGCTTCTGATCTCCACGCCCTGCGACCCTTCTTCCAACGATACGCTTCTTGCTCCTTCAAACGGTTCCCCCATAGCGGACGCCGCGCTTACCAAGACTCCAAGACGTATCAGTAGCTCTCTGTTGACGGATGCCTATTTATCTTCCCCAGCTTAGTCCAGGATTGATCTTTCGTAAGGAGCGCCGCCTGTTGGTTCCCGGTTTGCTATGACCTGCTGAGAAACAAAAGATAGATTAGGGGGTGCGGGATCGACTATTGCTCCGAGGTATAGATGCGGAGTACCATGACAAAACTCGCGAGCTGAGAGACGCTGTCTGCATTGTAGGGTGACGACAGCAACTTGACAAGACAATCTATTTTATGAGAGGGCACCAGGCTGTGAGTGGGGAAAGAGGTATAAATGGCAGACCCAACAGACAACTTCCATTTCGGTCCTGGAGAAAACCGACAATATCATCCGCAGGACGAATTGGACATAATGGCCCCGGGACTATGCAGTACAATATCGTGGAGAGTGGTGTATGCTGTACTGCGGTATGTCGAACTCCAAGAAACCCAAGAAAATGCATTGCCATATGAGCACAGTATGGAGCATCGGACCATTGTTAGATAATTCAATGTCAATAGGCTGATTCGGCGATCGTTCTGTGTCAATATCTGCAGAAGCTGATTGAAATACGACGCTTTTCTTGTCGGGCTGGTGTCATAACCGCAGCTTCCCTACATGTTAGACCGAAACAGGCTACTCCGTAATCAAAAGTCTATGCAGGGGCAAAGCATTGACCAATTTTGTGTTTATTTTTGGTACTCTCCTATTTATTGTCTCGAGGTTAGTTTTAAATTGTACTTTGAAAAGAAGCCTCAGAGAAACAACTTTATAAATGCATAGCGTTGACAGCCCCTGGTAGAGAGCCATAGGACTGATTACCTCTGCAGGTGACGAGAGGAGGAAGAAAGGGGGCGATGGTAGATCAGACAAAACTAGTCTTCGCGGGTTCCAGTGAAGAAGGTTGACAGGTGATGAAACATTGAGCTTTGACCGCTAATGAGATGGGTTGCATGTTGCGCTCAAGCACATAGAATACTGAATTGTATATTTTATGTTGTAGTCGGGTCCCAAATGTATGTGCCACAGTACTTTGACCAGCTTTCTCTGATATTTGAAGAGCTGCCAGTCGCTTTCCAAGAATGCTCAAAAGCAGTGCCAAGAGCCGAAGGATGGGGTTGCATGGGACCGCCCTCGCCGTTCTCTTTTTAAACATACCGAGTCTAAAGGCTTGACCGGTGAACTAGCCTCTTACTCCCAACATTACCTGCGGGATCCGACAAGGCTTGCCGTGCAAGCAAGTATGCTGTTGGTTTATGTCCCGAGCCGTGGCCGGACAAACGTTTTGAGAACCGTGTCGTAATTTCCGTGCCGGCGCTGTATCTGCCTCATTGTAGTCCGTCTTGTCACATTGTTTGTAGTCCAGCCACAAGGTACTTAGTCGGCGGGTGTACCATGTACAGTATAAAAACAAATGAGTGCTTTACCGAGGTGCGGCACCGACCGGCAGTTCGTATATTATTTCTCGGACGCAGCCCTCCTTGGTCGTGTTTTCAAAGGATTTGTGTACCGAGAACTCCCTAGGGAGCACCGCTCACGGGCATCCGACTCCGCACATGATTGTATGCATGCGTGCATTTGTAAATGCACGCGGTGCATGTCTGTCTAGAACGAGGGCGGGGTGCCAGACAGGCCACAACATTCACCACGCAAACCGCATACCTGGGATCTGGGGCGTTTGCTAGGGCGTTTGTGAGTGAAGCTGCCGCTGTGTCTCTTTGTGTCCATCGCTTTCCGTTGTATGTCGTAGTTGATAGATAATTGGCCCATATGTCCAGTCGATATCAGATCCCTTCGTAGCCTCGACGCAATCTTACCAGAAGGGAGGGCAGTTACAGCCGAGACTTCGGTATGGTACGCATGGGGGTGCAATGGCCGTGACGTGTTGTATGCCATTTGTGTCTTTCTGTCTTTATCCACGCCACTGTGCCGTCACATGTAGCCTCCTTTCAGCGTTATCTGCTTCTCGTCGTCGTGGCTTTTTGTATCACCAAGCCGAGCGCTTGTCATCTGGGCGTGTGAATTTAGAATATGTCCGGGGAAACAACCAGTAGCAGTGAGCGTGGGGGCTGTTGCCGACATCAATATGGCCTGGCATTGTTGACAGGAATGTGTGTGATTCGTTGTGTAGTAATATGTGCGATGGCTGAATTGAGGTGCGTGGGCTTTGTGTGACACGTGCAGCATTTTTTGTGAACTACTTTGTTAGTTGTCAGTTCTCGTTAAACCATGAGTCAGGTGTGGGAGTACCGACGTAAGACATGGCCGAGGGCTCACAAGGTAGTAGAGAGCGGAACTACCAACGAGAGCTGCACGGAGGCGGACAGATCGAGAGCTCGTCACCATTGTCAACGGAAAATTCTCCGATTCTGATCAACTGTTGGAAGAAAGACAGGGGGCGCCGGTGGCTGACCTGCCAGGGCTGGCCAACCCTTTTTGTGTCATCCCGAACAGAGGTCTCGCTGTGCCCGAGGGTTTTGTTGCACAGCATTTCGGATACGCTGCGCGGGAACTTGGGCCTGCGTGGCTTCTTGTTCTTAGGCAGAATGGCGCAACGAAAGGCAGATGTTACTGACGGCGATGTAACCTGTGCCGGTCGTCGCCGGTCCTTGCGCTCCTTCTTCCCTTAAGGTGCAACGCGTGTTGTTCATTTTCGTTGGATCCTTCCTTTTTCATAATTTGGAGTTGTTCCATCGCCTCCTCTTTCTCAGTACTGGCAGGACCAGTTCGCACACGGGTTATTTTGCAAGAAGGGGCGGACCATGGAAAAAACGCAGCTGCCTTTCTTGGACAAGATATTGCACACAAGAGGGCAGGACCAATTAGCTCGAATGTCCTTCCTATTTCGGCAGCCAGACTTAACTGTGCTGCATTGTGAGGTTGCCGAAGCGAAGCCGAACTTCTGAAGAGGAAGGGACATGAAGAATATGCCCTGCCATAAGGAAAGAACAGTACAAATGTATTTGGCCAAGGAAATATTACTCCGTGCAAAATTCCATTCTACGCATCGCACTTACCTTACCACAAATGGCCTGCCCCGTAGTTCCCTACGATGGATGTTATGACGACGTCACACCCGATCGCTCCTTCTTATAGCAATATCAAGCCGTCCAATACGACGCACGGCATCCCCCTCCCCTGTCCCTTTGACCGCCCACCTATCCTTCGCACTCTGGAAAATATCAACAAAACGGCAGTGCACCAGAATCGTCTGTCCAGTGTTCTGGGCTCGTCCCCAATTGTACCACCCTGTTCTCAAGCTGCCTTGTATGTCAGTGTCACCAGGGATTGGTTAATGTTACTAACAAGGCAGGGCCAAAAGCAAGTACATCGTCACCCTTGCTCAGCCACGAGATACGGTCCCTTCATTTCCATCATTTATGGAACGTGTCGTTGTAGCATAGCCCTACGCCGTTAGTATGCCCCTTTCACGGAATAGAGCCTCACCTTACCAGAAGTCCCAGAGCCCCTGACCTTCCAGTCCCGTCTTAACGTCTCGATTGGAGATAGGTTGGAATACGATACAGCATCCCAAGAGGAGCGCTTTCGAGTGCCGCTTCTATCAAACGTTACCCTAACCAATGCACATCGCCAACCTCGATAACTGGCGGCTTGTCTTTCCGTGGACTGTCTGTCGACCCACCCATACACACCAGTTCCTTCGCTTCTCTGGCTCCTTGGCTTCTTGGCTTCTTCAACATTGCCGATACTCGATAACCTTGCGGGCCGACACTTGACGTTGACCTTCTTTCAGTCCAATCTTCACAAACAAAAGGCTCCACAAACTCTCACAAGCTCTTGCACATAGACAGTAATATCTTACCAGGCCAAATCCTCTACCAACTATTTCTTCCAGGACTGTGTCGTGTATCCTGCTGTCGTGCAGATTGGGCTTTGGAGACACTTACAGGCAGATCGACAGCTCGTGAGCGGCGTAACAAGCCAAACCACGGCAGCCAAAGCACTAGAACCAGAACCGGAAACAGAGAGGGTCACAGACGACGATGAAGACCAGACGGTACCAAAACTGCACAAACAAACGTCGTTCGATCGCCAGTTTCCCAGTCGGAGAAAGTAATGCGACAGTCCCAAACTTGCCATGTTCTTGGTTCCATTACTGGGGACGTTTCCAACGTAAGACCCACCACTTCCACGCAAAGCTTCTAAAGTGCTTCTGTTGACGTTTCTGCGAATAACACAGCTTTTTCGTTCCTTTTGATTCTCCACTCCCGTTTCCCGTCTTGCGCAGGCTTGTCAAATTGCAAAGTCTCAGTTACCAAAAGGTGCCACTTATGGAGTCACTAGCCGGTTTACCTGGTGATGTTTTCGTCGCATCCTTCCTCCCTTTTTCCTGCGTTAGCGCTCTTGGAAGCCCGCTATTCTTTCCATCATCCTCGTTCGTTACAAGTTCCGAGACTCGGCTATGGTGTAATGTCAACACCCTACTTTCGGGTGACACTGTCTCCAACACAACTGTCAACGCAGCCTCTCTGGACGCTCCTCCAAGTCGAGACTGCGCCTAATAGCCCAGCTCGAGGTGGTCTTCAGCCTCTAGGAACTCAGGATACGAGGGTCCTAAGTAGCGACTACACCCCAATTAAGACTTCTGGAAGGCAAGCGAGGCGAGCTAGTACTATGCTGTAAGTGTAACTCTAAATTGCCCCCATCTCACCCTTCTTTGCGGCCGCCCCTCCCCCATATTTTTGATTCTTTTCGTCCTCTTCCTCTATCTTGCCTCATCGCCAGCTTTGTGTCCTCGAGAGAGCCTTTCTAGTTGCTCTTTTCCAGTCTTAGACTCCCTTACTGTAGTTCCTGCACATGCATTGCCCGCTTACTCGGCCGTCCCAGAAACGAGGGACCAATCCTCTTTCTCCAAGGAATTACAAAACGGGTAGCATGCAGTGATATTAACCAAATCCACGACCTTGCACAGCAGTGGGTTGCGTGGAAAGGGGGACGACTGACAAAATCCTCTGGCGAATGCATACTATACTAGCACATACACTGCCTCAGTCCACCAGAAACCAGGCATATCTAACAATCCCTACTTGCCTCTTGCCCAGGCAATTACTGAGTATAAGTACTAGACCTGGTTGAGTCAACTGGTCTCGCCAGATGCCCTATACCATCACTAGTGCTGCTTTCTTAAACACTCGATCCGAGTTAGCTGGCAAGTCTAAAGTTGGAGGCGATCATTCACAGTGCGGGCCGAACTCAGCTAACAGCAAACAAGATACTCACACGCGAAATATACGACATATTACCACACAACACAGTTCAACTGACAAGCGACTTATTGGGACCCCGCGTACAATAAGCCGTACAAATACGCCGTTCGCCTCTCACACAAGCACGGAGAACACGCCTTGCTGCCACGAATCCCATCCCACATCTCGATTCCCGGACGCCTCCGGCCACTGTTCTATCCGTGCGCCAGCCCCTGCTGCATCATTACCTGTCCGTCCTGTCTCTCCTGTCCGCACAGAGGGCGCCTTAAATTACCCCTGGCCAGCCATTTCCAGGTGTGTGCGCATGTTAGAGCTTTTGGTCGTCTTTCAAGACACATTCTGCCGAACAATATTTCGTACACGTGTTCCTGGAGACAGAGGCAGCAATAGCCACATTAGGGTCCTGCTGGAATAATTCAGCACGAAATACAGTTGCAGGACAGGACACAATGCTCGACATTGTCTGTTTTGCAACCATCCTTACATTTTATCTTACATGCTCGCCCATCCCGCCACCACTAAATAGGAGCATCCGATAGAGCAAAGATCAACCCGCCGCCACCCCCGACCTGCGCTGCTCTTGCGCCCCAGAACTCCCATCTCACATCGGTCCCCTCTCCTCTCCCCCTATCCTGTCGAAGCACCGCCCAGACCTCCTTGAACAGCACGACGCAGTGCAGGCAGGTGGAGTCGTACTGCGCTACGAATGCGCTAGTGTATGTTCCATCTTCTTCGGTCTTGTCTTCTTTCAGTGGAAAGACGAAAGAGCTCTGGGACGTAAAGACAGACTTTCGTTTTCTTTTCCTCTTTCTTCCCCCTTCACCATTGCAAAACTACTCGCACAGTCAACAGGGCAACTGTGCTGCATATCCGGGCCAACTGCACCTAGTGCTCTGCTTTCTGTTCTCTTTCCTTGTGTCTGTATTTCGTGCTTTCAATCTATTTTCCGTTGTTCTTTCTTCCCGTCCTCACGTCTAATCTCCCCATTCTGCTGCGGTTCTCCTGCGAGGTGCCATTCCGTCGCCAATCAGCACGCACGGCTGATTCTGAGGAAGCTTGGGACAGGCCCCTTCTTGCGCTTCTAGATCTTAGTTCCAGTCATTATTATTCGTTTTTACCAGTCCGTCCTGACACTGTGCGCCACCATTCTCCTTGTCTTTTCCATCCCCTCCCTCTTCCTGTTGTGCACTTTTGTCCTGTGTATACTTTTTGCCTGTCTTAGTCCCTACTTCCTTTTCGGTGTACGACATAATCGGCGGCTTAATAGCCATTCTGTTCTTTTATTTCTCGTTCTCTTCTTTTCGAGTTTTCCCCTGCTCCTTTCTTCGACCTGCCCCTTTTGATCTCGCATATACCAGGCCCGCCCGGCTTCGAATTTTTCTCCCCATCCATCGCATCCATCGCATCCATCGCATCCATTGCACCCGTTGCATCCATCTTGCTGGTTGTCGTTCTGATCGGGCGATAGGACGCGCCGAACGGCTCCATTCTCGAACTCGCGGCACAGCGCAAAGTGCAGTCGCAATCGCATTCCAACCCACGGTCGATTTTATACTTACTTCGGTTGTTTCCTACAACCATTACCTATCTCCGATACCATTGTCGCTTCTAGCCGTTGTCGGTTGCAGTGCTCGACGACCATACACGGGCACCAAACTTGTCGACGTGGATCAATTGCGCAAACTGTAGTCTTCGCTGGACCACTCTCCACGGACAGGAGTGGCGCACGGTTTTCTGCGAAAGAGGGAATAGGGCAATAAAAGACGAGCAGCAGGCGAGGCCTGGAGTGAAGATACCGGGACGCGCGGCGAGAGACTCAAGGAGGCAGAGAGAGAAAAAGAGAGAGGGACAGACTGATTGAGCGCGCGCGCGCGCCGCACGAGCTCGTGGACAGGACCAGCTCGCTGAGTGTGTATATGTGGTCAAGCAGCAGGCTAGGTTTGACACCTTCCAGCTTCAGAAAGCAATGAGGTTCGTATGATCTGTGTGTCTGTTTTTGCGACGGCTTCCTGGCGAGAATTCTCCTTGGTTTGGCCCACGCCCTTTGGCCCCTTGTCGCTTTCGCCTTCCCCTCTCCATGTCGACAATGCCGCATCGACTGGCACATCCTGCGCATCACCGCTAACGTGTCTTGCCTTTCTCGAACTACTAGACAATGACCGCCGCAACCCAATCCGCACACCTCCCACATTTGACTGACAGCCCTGGTGAGCCAATGGCTTCACGAACGATTCCGATAATGACGCCCACCATCCAAATGTCTGCTCCTTCGCCGGGCGACCCAATGGAAATCACAACTCCGACGAACAGTTCGCCCGCACCGGCGCAGCGCTCCGACGACAAAAGCCCCGAACGCGAAATAAACGGAGCTTCCAACGAAAACTCGACGGCTGCGGCCAACGGCTCTGGCAATGGCAAGGGTGACTCCACGTCTCCACCTGAAAGTGCCGAGCCAACGCCCACGAAGCCCGAGCCCAATAGTACACACCTGGCAGCCCCGTCGGCGTCGGGAACCAGCGCCGGCTCGCAAATACCAGCGGCAGCTGCGCCCGCAGTACACCAACCCAAAATTGTTCAGACGGCCTTTATTCACAAGCTGTACAAGTGAGTTTGTTGCTTCTCATGTACCCCACGCTCTCCGCCACAGCCCGGAACCGCGCTCGTAGCTAACCTTGCGCGAAAATAGCATGCTGGAGGACCCGAACATCCAACATTTGATCTCATGGTCAACCTCAGCCGAAAGCTTCGTTATGTCGCCTTCGCATGACTTCTCTAAAGTGCTTGCGTATGTTCTTTTCTTCTTCTCCCCGCGCCCAACGCAAATCAAAGGGTTGTAACGGAATCCGGCGTTTTGTCTTGCTAACCGGCCATACAGCCAATATTTCAAGCACACCAACATCTCGTCCTTCGTGCGCCAGCTGAATATGTACGGCTTTCACAAAGTTAGCGACGTTTTTGCCAACGGATCGGACTCGACCACGCTCTGGGAATTCAAGCATGGCAACGGCAACTTCAAACGTGGTGATCTAGTCGGGTTACGGGAGATCAAGCGCAGAGCATCACGGCACTCTCTCGTCCATCGCGATTACAACGCACAGAAGGCGCCGCAATCGTCGCAACCCGGGACGCCAGCGGAGGCTATGCCGATACCGGACGGTTCGGACCCGAGAATGTCGAGCCTGGACCATGCGTTCTACAATATCGAGTCTCGGCTTCAGCGCAACGAAGAGGCCATGCACTATATGCACATCAAGCATCAGGCAGCTATGGACACCATTGGGCGGTTGCTTCACTTCAACCAAGAAATGTCCCGTATCGTCATGAACATGATGCCACCTACGGACAGCCATCTTCACCGGGACGTCATCGCCTTGCAAGGCGAAATTCAGCGGCAGGCAGAGATGGCCCGGGGTCTTGACGAGTCGCACGAACATCCTTTTTCCAGCAGCCGGCCGTACTTTGCCAACGTCGACAATGCGCCCGTGTCTCCGCGACAGATGCCCCAAGACGACCCGAGACGCTCTAATCTCAGCGTTCCGCAGCAGCGGCCACCCAACTTTCACCGGCCGCCAGTACCTTCGAATCTCTCCATCAGCACACGGCGACCGTACGGCTCCATCGGTGGCACGACTCAGTCCTCTCCGTCCTCTGTGCGCCCACAGCACCCACCCCCGCCGCCTCCACCGTCGCAGCACCCGTTGGCCACTGTTGAACCGTCACCTAACATGGCACGCCGCCACACGTTGGCTGATATCCGTGCCCATGGCTGGCAACCGACCAATGCCCCTTATCCACCCACGGGCGGCTCTCCGCTGCCTCCAACACAGTATCCATCCTCACCCAGCAGAGCGGGTCCCGAAGACCAGCGCATCCGTGACTCCTTCTCCGCCTACTCGCTCCAGTCCGCGTCACAGCCCCATTCGCGGCCGGAAACACCGCCACCCACATTGCCGCCATTTGCCAACGGCAGCAACCACGGCAATGGCAACGGGCCAGACCTTGGCAACTGGTCGTGGGCTTCGGCCAACCGCAGCAACAACAGTCTCAATATCAAGGACAGCTCGGCACCACCCACCAGGCGTGGCAGCATGGCGCATATTCTGAACCCGACCGATACGGCTGAGCGCGAAGACGAGGATGGAAGCCCGAGAGAGGATGAGCGCAAGCGTAAGCGCATGGTATGACGGCAGTGTCTGCATGTGTGACTCCCTTTAGCCAACTCCAGGTAGTGCCTACGTGCTCATATTTTCACCACTTTCTAGTCACGATTTTGGATACATGAACCTTTGTTTTGATAACGAGTTTCAGTTTGTTCTCTCGTCTTTCCTTGGATATTTGAGGCATTGTACTTGTACGGCTTCTCCCATTTCTTTCTGTCTTTCTTTCTATTTTTTTTCTCTATGTTTGCTGTCGCATTTTGCAAGGAAGTCTTAATATCGACGCGGCATTGTGATTTTTACATGGGATCGGCCGTGGTGCTTAACAAGGCGAGAACGGACATCCAGGACGGGCGAAGGCTTCGTACAAAAAAAAAAAAAAATAATAGGAGCGTGGGACTCGGCAGGACCAAGATGGTTCTCTCAGACTGCATACGATAACGGCCTAATGTCTATATATATCATTGACGACAAGGGGTTGGTCTACCGGGAAAGGAAACAAAAACAACATCTGACAATCATAAACCAGAGCTCCTAGGCGAGTTCTGGCACAGCATCTATTAACATCCCGGGGGTTATCTGAATTTTCTGGTATGCAAGAGGGCATCACCATATACCATTGGGAAGACTGTTACACTTCATTTTTATTCTTTATTTTTTTGGGAGGAGTGTGTGTTTTGCAGTTTTTAATGTTGTCAGTTGTTCGATTATTTATTGATTTTTGGATTATGAATTTTTCTGTATTTCGAAACTGTGAATTGGCACGTTGCACAAAACGAGAACACAGTAACTTTTTTCAAGGACATTGACATTCTTGAAAGCGAGACGCGTCATTTTATTGGACATGTTAACCACAATATGCCGTAATATATCTCAAAACGTGGCAAAATGTGTTCGTCTGATGTTTGAGCCCCTAAGCGCAGAGGAGCGCCGTCGGTTGTCGCTAAATCGCCAGGCTGTTTAGCGCCCTTGTTGCCCCATTTAGGCCTAGCGAGGCTGTTGGGCGACGGCCTCAGCCTCGTGGAAATTTTTGGCGTAGCTTATTTTCTTTCCAACCACACTCGAGACTTTACAAGCTTTTTTGTTCGTCCACATCGATTCCACCCGCCTGCATTGCAACAAAGATTAGAAAAGAAAAAAAAGATTGGAACGTATACAGAGCATGGCGTCCGTTGCCTCGGCCAAGGCCGGCAACAACAAAGCCACCGGCAATCCGAACCCAACATCGGCCCAGTATGCAGCACAGCGTGGCTCGATTGACATGCTGATACGCGCCAAAGACACAAGGCCGCCGACGAGCGCAGCGACCACCATTGTCCGTGGCGAGGCATCGACAACAAGTTCTTTGGCGCCGCCCAAGATGAGCTTTCTCGAGGCTGTGCGTGCCCAGCGACAAGTCCGCGTGCAAGAACTTCGCAATGCGCCGAAGCTCAGCGGGTCTGTCGGAGGAACAGTGGCGGCGGCATCCACGGCGACAGCCAATCCGTCCAATTTCCACAAGGGCAGTGGTGGTGGTAGTTTCTCGGCGCTTGCAACAACCAAAGCCAAGGCCAAGGCAGAGGCAAAGCCACAGGCGCAAAGCAACACGGACTGGGTAGCAGCATTGGCCTCGCCATCCTCCATCACGGGCACCAACACGGCCGGGGCAGTATCCGTAGCGACGACGACATTGACATCGACACTGACATCGACATCAACGGGCCCGTCATTTTCACAGGTGCAGGACGAACTCGAGGCCGGCTTCCAGAAATACAGCCGAGCCAATCCACTTGGCGGCGTGGGCACGGCACGCGGTGGGAGCGATTCCGAAGGTGGCGCGCAGAACCAGAGTCAGGGTCAACGGAGCCAGGGCCAAAGCCAGAGAACCGATGTGCCCATGACGGCAACAGCACGAAATCTCAAGGCGCGGCAGCTCATGGTTGCGCCGCAATCTGCCTCGCGACGGGAGGATGAGAGAATCGCCGCGACCAAGAAAAAGCACTACAACAACGGCGGCGACGATAGCAGCGACGAGGACGTTGGGCGGAGTGCACTGGGACGCAAGAAGGCACGCAAGGGTTGAATAGCAGATGGAAAACTGTTGGCCACAGCACGACAGAGCAGACCCTACACAATAGAGACGGCACCGGTTGCCGAGTCAGACGTCTTGCGATGTACGCGAGTCGGCGGCAGCCCAGTGACACAAAATGCGATAGTCGATTCGAGCAACACGGGAATCTTCGGTCTCTTCCAGATGGGCTTGCATCGGCTTACGCAAGCTCTCTTCTCATGGGGGACAAACTGGTCGTTGATCACGCTCGGGGAAGGACTTGGGAGCAGGCGACACGAGACTTAGACGGAGGCTATATTCTCAAATGGTCTATATATATTGTGCCACTTGTCCTTCGCTGTCTGCCGGCATTCAAGAAATATCAAGTCATTTTTCCCTGTCGATCATGTGTCATTTTTTTGTATGTTGTCGTGCTACATTCTGTTTCACCACCAGTTGCTGCCTACTGTGCACGCATATGTGCATCTAAGCCCCGTCACTTCTTCATCCACGCATCCACGGCGTCCTTGTAACTGGGCCGCCACCGAGACAGCGGCTCGCGGCCTTCGGTAATGTCGCCCGCCGACCACAGGATGCGCTTCTTGTCCATGGCTTCCGTCACATCGTTGTCTGGGCAGATCACGTAGAACTTGTTGGCCTTCATCGCCGCCAGCAGGTAGTCGACCACCTGCTCGGGCCACCACGCGCCCTCGGGCTTCTTCGGCCGCTTGTCCGCGTCGTCGCCGTGCTGCTTGATTGGGTCGTTGCCACTGAGGCCCGTAAATGTCCAGCCAGGCACGAGCAGGTGCACGCCCGTCTTGGGCTGGTTTGCCTTGCTGTCCTCTCGGGACAGGTCGTATGCCAGCTGCTCGGCGATCGCACGAACAGCGGCCTTGGAGGCGTTGTAGGCCGGGCTCGTGCCGGGCGGGTTGGTAATGCCCTGCTTGGAGCCCGTGATGACAATCGAGGTCGTCGTGGCCGTGGGCGCGACGTTGGCCCGGGCGGCCGTGGCCTGCACGACCGGAAGCAGCGTGGCAATGCCGTGGATGACGCCCCAGAGGTTGACGTCCAAAATCTTGTGGAACGCCGCGACGTCCGTCCACGGCGTGCTGCCGCCGACACCCGCGTTGAGCACGAGCAGGTTGACGCGGCCCTGGAACGGCCCGCTGGCGTCCTCGACGGCCGACCGCAGCCCGGCCCAGTCCTTGAGCTGGGACACGTCCAGCGTGTGCGTCGTCAGCGAGCCAGATGCCGACGCGCCTCCGTACAGCGTCTCGGCGAGCTGGGCTGCATGCTTGGGCGTAGCAGCCAGCGACGCGGCGTCCTTGTCGGCCACGAGAACCCGCATACCGCTGGCCAGGCACTTGGCGGCCAAGGCAAGGCCGATGCCGGAGGCGCCGCCCGTGATGACGGCGGTGTTGCCAGGCCCGAAGACAGACATTGTAGTTTTATTTTTGATGGCTGAAAGGTCAATGAGAGTTAAAAGCAGATGCCAACTTCAACATGCAAGAAAAGTACAATTTGGTACGAACAGAGAGACGATGAGAATAGTGCCTGGGAACGGCAGCGGGATGGGATGGTGATGGCAGTCGCTCCTTCTATTTGAGTAAGAGGCGCCACGAGATAAGCTGGCAGGCTGGCAAGGCAAGTCGGAAGGCGCCAAACAAGCGGCACCTTCCCAAGCTGTAAGTGAGGGGCTCCGCAAAATGCAGAGTGCCGATGTGTGATGTCAGTTCGGACTTTAATGGAGATGAACCGGACGATTACAAACCACATTTGGAGAATGGCTGCGCATTACACTTACTTGGATGCTGCTAGTGGTCATAGACCGTGTCGTACAAATAAGAAAACAAAACGAAAACGGTTGGATAGAGTTATGGCAAGATCAGCAAACTAATACTACATGACAGTTGAAAGAAAACACATGATAAAGATAGAGTCAAGGCGCAAGGAATAATGACCTCCTTACGACCCGATGCCTCAGGGCCAAACCAGCAATCGACAATAGATGAGCAATGAAAGAAAGACAAGAGAGACAAGAAAGACAAGATTACACAAAGCAAACAAACCAAGCAAACAAACCAAGCCTGGACTCCTTCCCTTGACGCATCCTAGTCCCAGAACGTCGCCCGCTCCCCGTACTTGTAGCGCTCCTAGGCCGTCCGCGGGATCAGGGGCTGCTTGGCCAGGTGCAAGTTGACGCTCTCGCGCGCGTTTTGCGACGCCCACACGCTGCCCTTGCCGCCGCGCCGCCACGCCTCGCCCGCCAGGTCGCTGCCAGCGCCGCCGCGCACCGACTCGCCCATGATCACGTCGAGGTCGCGCTTCTGCGAGCTCAGCCACTGGCGCACAAAGCGTGCCGGATCGCGTGCCAGCCCGCTCAGGAACTCGTGCTTGCTCTTGGACATGCTGATGGCCTGCACCAGCACGGCCAGCTGCTCGTCGAGCACGCCCACGTCGCGCAGCAGGCCAATGTACTGTGGGTTCTGCACAAACGGCCGCAGCTGCGCGCGCAGCGGGTCGTCGACGGCGACGCGCACGTCGTAGATGGTCGGCTGCGGGTTGTTGCGGTGGAACGCCTCGTCGACGCGGATCGTGTACGGCAGCTGGATGGGCGGCAGCGGGCGGATGTGCGCGTTGACGTACTCGTGCAGCATCGGAACATAGCCGATGTCGTTGTTGACGAGCCTGCGCAGCAAATCGTCGCACCGGAAGTTGCGCTTCTCCTCGTCCTCTTGCAGGTTCTGCAGCCGGATGTACTCGAACAGGCCCATCACGGCCTCGGCGCGCGTCGCCTCCTGCATGTCCACAATGTCGGACAGGACCTCGTCCAGCGCAAACCGCTCGGGCTCCTCGTACCGGAACAGGTTGATCACAATGTTCACGTTGTCGTCGCCCGGCCGCTTGAACGTCAGCTCGTCAAACTCGGGCACCGGCGCCGGCGGGACGTTGGGCTGGCCGGGCGCGTTGGGTGGCCGTTGCTCGGGGCGCTTCCATTCGACCGGCCGCGGCTCTGCATCGTTGGCGCCGTTTTGTGCCGCTGCCCGTGATTTCTTGACGACATACTCCGCCGACATGGCACGGAAAAACTGTGTAAACCGGTACCGAGGCGGCTTGGCCTTCACAGAAGTGGCGTCGTCCGTCTCCATCGCATCACCACCGCCGGCCTCGTTGCCGGCCTCCTTGGTGGCCTTGCTCTCGTCTATCTTGGTCTCGTCGGCGCCCTCGGCGCCCTCGTCGTCGTCGTCGTCGTCGTCGTCGTCGTCGAGGAGGCGCCCCTCAATCTTCACGCGGTACGAGGCTTCTGCATTGGTCGAGAAATCAAAGCTGTCGACGTTGACACCGGCGCTGTCCGTCTGCCACAGCTGGTTTTCGACCGTGTTGCTGACCCAGATGCGCAGTGTCTTGTATCTCTGTAGGCAAAAAGTTAGCCACAAATTGAGCGTCAGGCCTAGGTGGTCCATGGGCCGATCGCAGCGTCCGTGCAATTCGGGGCAAACCCACCTTTGGACCATTGCGCTGCACGCTATCCACAATGTCCAGCCGCTTGCGCGTCATCGTCGCGTCCAGCCGCCGCTCAAAGTCGCGCAGGTCACGGTACCGCTGCACGCCGTCGCCCACCACGACGTCCTCCACGCCGTCCGGCATCGTCTTGTCCGTAGGCTTGCGGCTGCGCCGCTTGGCCGCCTCAATGGCATTGTTTTGGGCCTGCTGCGCGGCGGCCGCAGCGGCTGCCTGCTGGTGTTGTTGGTGTGCCTGGTGTGGCGGCATGTGGTGCGGCTGCGCCATGGGAACCGGCGCGCCGCCGTGGTGATGCGCTCCGGGGGCCATGGTCATGGAATGCACGTTCGCAGCGTGCTGCTGCAGCTGCTGCTGTTGCTGTAGTTGCTGCTGTTGCTGCTGCTGCTGGGCGAGGTGCGGATGGTGAGGTTGCGGCGCCAATTGATGCTGGTGAGGATGTTGCGGTTGCATAGGCATCGGCGCGTGTTGTAGCATGCCGTGATGCGCCACGCCAGCAGGAGCCATCATGGGGGCTAAGAAAAAAGGTTCGGAAAAACGTTAGTGAGGACGAGAACAAAAACGGGGGCGGTTTGCCGCTGGCTATTGTGCCACTATTTTGATGGGTCCAGGTTTCTTTCTGCCCCAGTTTCGCGTTGTCCAACGATTTGCACGGCGTTGATCTTTTGTCTCCTTGGCTCTTTCTGTGTCTTTGTCTCGCCGTGCCTTTCGTTGTTTCCTTTTGTTCGCCCTTGTTTGTTTGACAAGGAAAGTGCGTTGCAACAAAAAAAAGGGTAAAGGAAGGGCGACTCAGATTGACAATGGACGACAGCGTGGAAAGAGCCAAGAAAAAAGGCGCGCGACCGTGCTAAGCGGTAAATTTAGTGTTGTCTGGGGGCCTTGCCGCCTAGGCCTGGCCTTGCCTTCCCATTTTACGCTGTAGCTTTCTTTCGTCCTCCGCAACTGGTCGTACTCGAGAGGAAAGCGCCACCCAGTCGCACGCCGTATTACGTACCTGGCCCGCCGCGTCGCGCATTGCCATGGGGCGACCGCTGCAACGGCATCTGTTGTGGATAGGGACGGAAGCCCGGTTGCATTTTCGCTGTATGACACCCTGGTCAAGATAAGAGGACGAGAATCGCTTGTCATACACGGTCAGACCGTGCACTCCGGTTTCTGTCCACTGTCAGACTAGGGGATGGACCTCCTCGTGAAGTCAAATCAGCCTTGAGCGATGTCCCGACGGGACTTTGCCAAGTGAGTGGAATGAAAGAAGCAGCTGCAAAGAAGTGGAGAGGCGAGACACAGAACAGGAAATAAAAGGGTACAAAAGAGCCCCCAAAGACAACGCGGCAAAGGGCGAAGAATGAGCCTATTGCGACCAAAGACGCCCCGTAGCCACCTTAACCTGGGCCGGAGTCTCCGTCTAAAAACGAGCCTTCCTTCCCCGTACTCCGTAATTCAGTAGTTCGGGTGGGGTTCCGCTGTGTCGCAGCACAGGGCTGGCGTTGTTTGCGAAAACGGAAAGGGCAAGGTTGGCCGAAGGTTGCGATGCGATATAGGGCCTCGTTTTTGGCCGTGGTAAGAGGAGAATCGTCAGAGTGAAGGGAGTAATAAAAGGGCAGAGAAGGGGAGAGGACACGGGACGACGCGCCCTCTTTCAAACGAGCAAAGCCCTGGCCAACTTGGGGGTCCAGGAAAAAGGTCGGGCCCGCTTCAGACGGATGTGTCTGGTGCCATGTAAGATAAAGTATCTAGTACATACTGTAACATACACTCCCTGCATTAAAATATGTACCTATACATAAACACGTGAGCCTGGTCATGAAGTCACGTGTATCGCATCACTTCTTGTATCGTCCCACAGTATCAAGTTGAAAAGATTAGTCGTAGTATTACAGTTTTTCCAGCGCCCACAGTCGAGTCGCTTTTGTTTTGCGATGATGGTTGATGTGGCTGTTCTGATATATTTCCGGCGCCACGCTTCAAAAGTAAAATGCCAAATTACAAAATGCTATGGAGAGACAGGATGCCATGTAGAATTCAAAAAGAAGGGCACAAAACAAAGGAAAAGGAAAAGGGACGGTGACAGAGTGCAAAAGGTAAAACAACAACAAACATGTGAACCGCATTATGGCAAGCAATCGATGGCAAGAAAACGAAAGAATAAAGGCTCCACCAATATGATGCAAAATAAAAAAGGCCACCAAAAAAGTGCTTTGTCTGGTCGTTGTAGAGAAGGATAAGAACTCCGTGACGAGGCCCACGGGAGCTGTGCCGTCTTAAAACTGGGCACCGAGTCCATTCTTCGATTGCCGCTTGCTGAAGCGGTTTCGTTTCCGCTCCGAGATAATCGTATCGTCACCGTTGCTCTGGCTGCGTCCGGGGTGGTTCATCCGGCCGCCGAGCGTACTCGCAGGGCTGGACATTGACGAAGACATATCACCAAACTCCTCGCTCCGGTACGAGGCAAGAATGTTTTGCGACAGGGCGAGATCTTTGGCCCGCTCCAGAGACTCGATCCAATCTTCGACAGCGGCCATGCCACCGTCTAGAGAACCCTGCTTTGGTTCTTCGAAAACATAATGCGTGCCATTCTACAAGTCTGTCAGCAGTCGTTCCATTGTATCAATTATCACGCACACGACGCCGAGAGTGTTCCACTTACCGTATCGACACACCAAATAGGCTGTCCCTTGGCGTCGGTCTGAGTCCTCCATACACAGTCTGAATTAAGAAGCGAGATCTCTTGCTTCGCCTTCTTCTCGTCGCCGCCTGCAGGTGCAAAAACAATACGCCCGCTCGAGGTGACCATGACCAACCGCTGCCGTTTCTTCGTTGTGTTGCCGCCAAAGAACCGGGACAGTTTCTTGTGGCCGTCTCCTTCCGATTTGCCATGAGGGCTGTTGGGGATTGGCGTCGACACAACCATGAGGTCACCCAGCTTGAGAATACGTTCGTTTTGCCGTGTCAGTACCGGTGACCAGTCAAGGTCCAGTTGCGTTGGGGGAGGAAGTTCCGTAATAATCCTCGGAGGCCGTTGACCATTGTTTGGAGACACCTGGGATCCCATCGCACCCCCTTTACCGCTGGGACTTGACACCCCCCCGGATGCACCCCTTGATGTAGGAATCGACTGAGGCGGGGCGGCCGACCCATTAAGTTGGATAACGTGCGTTTCCTGTGTCGGCGGTATGTACGGCCGAAGCCTTGGCGCCTTTGTACGCCACAGATCGCGCCCAAAAGGCTGGCCGTCAAAGAACTCGTGGTTCATAATATGTTCGATTGTCAGCCGCCTGGCAGGCTCTAGAACAAGACACCGCTCCACCAAATCGCGAGCGGCCGGCGGGAATCCGGGTGGGAATTCGTACTCCAGGTTAACGATTTTCTGGAATGTCATATACTCGGATCCACCCTTGAACGGTGGTCGGCCAGCCAAAAGTTGGTAGATTATGCAGCCGAATGCCCAGAGATCGCTTGCTTTACTTGCAGACTTATCCATAAGAAGTTCAGGGCTAACGTATTCCGCCGTACCCACAAAGGATGCCGAGCGACCGTCGCCCTGTGACGTCAAGGAGCCGCCCGTGCCGTTGCCGTCGGCTGCTGATGGGTCTCTTGGATCGGGCAGGAGCTTTGCTGTGCCGAAGTCGGTGATTTTGACGTGCATGTTTTCATCCAAAAGCACGTTTTCCGGTTTGAGGTCGCGGTGGATGACGCCTCTTGAGTGCATGTACCTGATGGCGTCGAGAATCTGAGCGCCGTAAAAGCGTGTGCACTCTACGTCAAAGGTTCCCGTCCGCTTCAGAATGCCAAGAAGCTCTCCTCCGCTGCACAGATCCAAAACGTAGTACAGAGACTGTTCGTCCTGGAACGTGTAGTACAACCGCACAATGCCAGGATGTTCCGTGAGGCGGTTGAGTGTGTTTTTCTCGATGTTGACATACTTGACTTTCTTCTCCTTGATGATGTGCTTCTTCTCGAGCACTTTGATAGCGTACTCCTTTAAGCTTTGACGGTCAGTTGCAAGGTAGACCGAGCTATAAGAGCCCTCGCCCAGTATCCGACCAAAAGAAAAGTCTTGCACACCCTTCTTGACTGTCCTGAAGACAGGTTTTCCGGATGCGTCCACTTCCTTTCTGACACTCACGGCTGCTCCCCGCTCTTTCCACTCCTCACTGCTTTTTGACACGGCGGTTTCCATCCCGTGCGCTATAGGTGGTCCAGACGACGCAGGACCTGAGCTGGCCGGGATAGAAACGTAGCCGCCACCCATGCCCTTTGAGCTTCGTCGTGGCGGAAGGGGGCTGCTTCCTGACGCGAGCGGAATGCTCTGGCGCGGTCCATTGTATGTCCGGTCCGTATGGTTCGTCTCCGACGACGGCCCAGGAGAAGTATATGAGGTGGGGGGATGTTGAGAGCGAGACTCGCTTCGAGAAGGCTGCCGATATGACGCCGCACGAGCTGGTTCATTGCTTCGCAAAGCACCATAACCCGTGGGTGAGTTCGAAGCTGGGTCTGTGGTGGCCCCGGATCCAGAGCTGGTGTACAAAGTTGACATGGGCCTTGCGGAAGACGCCGCCCCGACAGACCCGGAACTCTGTCTGTATGCCGAGAATTGCGTCTGTAAATGGGGATCGGACGGCGCTCTCCCAGTAGCTTCGGGGGTCTGCACATTGCTGAGGTTTGTTTGCGCCGACTTAAAAAGAGCCGATGCATCTTCCTGTGGTCTCCTTTGGCCAGCGAGTGGACTTGGTCCGCGTGATGGGACCTGCTGCTGGGCTGGAAGCGAAGTCGACGAGTGCGAGGCCGACTGTGAGCTGTAGGTTGCTTGCGGATCGGGAGACGCTTGAAATGGTGGGAACGCCTCTCGAGGCTCTGAATCGGTGTCCATGGTTGGCGACGCCGTGTCGTCGGGGTTTGCAATACGCAAGCCACCCAAGGCCTTGGAGAGGCTCAGGTCCCCGTTCATGGCAGCGATGGTGACGGGGTTTGTCCCCTGCTGGCGGGTTTGTTGGTGCGAATGGTTCGGCTCCCAGCAACGGTGATGGCAAGCAAAAGGCAGATTCAGATTAGGGTTGTGCACGGTCGAGGTTTGGCAACCGCATTCGAAGAAGCACCCCTGTCCACAATTGTGCCCGCCGCAATATTAACATCCAAGGACGGAAGCAGCCAGGGTAGCCAATCCAGCATTTGATCCCATCTGGCGGAACCCGTCAATGCGTCGAACAACCAAATCGATACCGTTTGGTTTCGCCAGACGTCTTCGTATCGCGGGAATTGAGGTTGTCGCGTTGGTGAGGTTCGTGGGCGGCGACTAATTCGAGGAGGGCTGTGCAAAGAGCGGGCAGGTTTTTGTTGGCCAAGAAGGATGCAGGGTGACGACTGCAGACTGCACCACGTACTGCGGACGACGGTGGCAGGTCCGGTACACGAGCGCACAAAAAAAAAAAAAAAAAAAAAAAAAAAACACAAAGGCAGACGCCCAAAGGTCGAAGGAGGACGGCGGAATCAACGAGCACGAGAAGCTCATGAAACAGAAGATCGAATTGTGAGAATGTGGCCGAGTATGTCATAAAACTGGTTGCGGTGGCGTCGGCATTAGCAACGTCGCCTTGACGTATGAAGGGCGGGAAAAGAGGGATAGTAGGAAAGGCAAAGGGAGGTGTGCAGCTGGCGGTGGCTACCATCTCGACAACAGGTTCAAAAGTGCGGTCGAAAAGGATGAAATTGAGGCCAGTGCATAACCTCGGAAGTAAGGGCCGTGAATGGGGTCCTACCAGTCTGTTTGGACGCCTGTCACCGGACCAGCCGCCAAGTGAGGTCGTTCGATCGATCGTGCTTGGGGTGTGCGGTGCCGGTTGAGCGTGGCCGGCGGGAAATGCGAGACGAAACGAAGACGCAGAGGCCAGACGGCGAGAAACAATGACGCTTGAAAATAGAAAAGGAGGTGGGAGCAGGACTGGAAGCGTCGCTGCTGGGAAACAGCCCAATTGACAAAATGGCCAGGCGGACTTGGATGAGGAAGGAACGAACAAAAGGCCTGCGGCGGAGACGGGCAATCGTAAAGAGACCACCAAGCGGGAAAGTGCCCAGGTAAATTATCGGTGCTTACTGCCACATGGAGCAGTGTTGTAGCGTGATAGTGGTGCAGATGCGCCGCCTATGGCGCATGGGAAATCGCTAGCAGGACGGACAGCAGCCAAAACTCGGCGCAATCCTTGCCTACCGAAAAGACACTTCGTGTTTGCTATTGGTGGCTTAGAGTGGACTGGCCGTGCCTACTTTTGTGCTCCATATTCCTGTCGACGTCGACTGCGGTCCTTCTGTCTTCTGCAATTTGCGATGTGGGCAGCTTCTTAGCAGAGTGTCTTCTCAGCACAATCAGAATCGCGCGTCGACGATTTCAAGCAGTACGAGTATTACGGGGCATTTCTTATTTTATTTTGGAGGTCGTCCCGAACAAGGCAGGCTACAACCTAGGGAAATTGGGCATTTCCAAGAGGTGAATCCCTGCTGCGAGCTGGTAGGTCCCGCTGCCCCTGCTCTACCAAACTGGCTTGGACAGGGTTCGCCTAGTCTACGAACGAACGGCGAATGGAGGCAGCAGAGAAGTTGTGCCTTTAGCTTTGCAGCTGCTCAGATCAGGACGACATGTGCAGAGGCATCGCCAGAGCCAGGAGCCTCGCTCGAACCACCACGCGCAACACCACGTCATATGGCTTCGAGGCGCACATAGTGCCCTTTGCAGACCGCACACAAGCTCATGCCGTTATCATTGTGCTTTCTACGAATTATTGCGCTGGTCACTCGCCAGGTTGTCGAGGTTGTCTCTGCAGCGTCTCAGCTTCAGGTTTCCTGGCACAGTGGAGAAGAATGGGAAATTAGCTACTCCATCCACCAAAGTTTCGATCTGGGAAGCTTGGCCTTCGTAATAATGTCGACGCCATGCTTCGGCTGGCACGCACACCAACTCCGGAGATAGACTGTGTCGTATCTGAGTTATGTACGCAGGGCTGTCGTTGTGCACCAACTTAAAATCGTGATAAAAAGGCACAGTATGTATGTCATGCGCACAAATAGTCTAAATGCACTTATAGCAGTTAGCTACATCAGGCACGCGAGCAACGACCAACGTTGCACTTGCCCTGGGCGAGGCGGCGAGGCGGCGAGGCGGGTTATCGCCAGGACCTGAAGGCACAAACAAACAGCAAAGCTGTTTCTGCCTTTCATTCGAGCTACCGCCGTGTATTCGCAGTGGTGCTCGTGGGAGCGTCGAACAATGGGATCGCGGCCAGAAACGGCAAGAGCAAACCGCCTGCCATCCGCTCCTTCCCTGTGATGTCCTGTAATCTATGTGCTTGCCTCAAACAGTCATGGAAAGCCCCGGACGCGGGCCCAAAACAAGCCCAGTCAAGGCTTGCACAGGTCACCACACACCACATCGCCATTGCCACCCTTACGTTTGAAGCCGCGCCATCATGATTCGTCTCAACCCCACGGCCCTCTCTGTCACAGTAGAGGATGTAAACAACCTTGTGGTGCGTCGAGGCTCGTCTTCCGACGACTCAGAATCCCAAACTACGAATCACATCGGCCAGCAGATAAGCAAACAACGCGTCATTGATAGGTCCGAAGAGCAGCCTCCGTACACTGCTGCACAGGCTTCGGCATCACCGACGGCGGCATCAACAAAGGACGGTCAGCCAGACGCCTCGCCCTTGCAAGCACGTGCCGAACCGGAGATGGATGACAGTTACATGGAAGATGTACCCCATCCGGTGCCGGCCTTGACGGAAACTCGCACTCGCGGTGGCAACAGCAGCAAGAACAGTCAGACTGCAGGTGATAGTGAGGCAGGCCACGCTGCTGAGCGAAGCGAAGACGTAAACATGGCGACACCTCACGAACATGGACGAGTATTTGCTCATCTCACCCCGAGCGAAAATGACGTTCCTATTCAGGCAGGCCCATACGACGACAACGCCTCGCCTCGGTGGCTGTCTCTGCCACCCCGTAGGCCGCATCCAGCGTGGGCAGCTGCCGAGCGGGAAATCGCCACGAGCCCGCTTGCCAATCGAGTTCCTCGCTAGCGACAAGAGGAGCGCCAGTATACAACGGGAGCCGACGCAAATGCATCACAGGCAGACAGTGCAAACAACACACCAATTGAAGTGAACCAGCCGCAGGCGGATCGGTATCCGGAAACGTCTGTGGCTACAGGTCCATTCTCCTCGCCCGTTGGAACGGCACGGAGACGATCGGTCGTGGCTCCTGAGCATCGGGTAAGCCATGAAGTGGGTGTTGGAAGCAGGACAAGCAGTGGTACAAAACACTAACTGGACCGGTCGGTAGAGACCAGTTCGCACTCCTCGACGCTCGCAATCACATGGTGACGACTTGGAAGCAATAGACAGACGCGCTGCAAGAGAAGAGGAAAGAGGCCCTGAACACTTTGAGCAGCCTCCCCGTGCCCACCAGCAGCCCGATGTTTTCCCACCGACAGGGCGCGACCGAGAGCCCGCCGACTTTAAAATATTCGAAGAACCCTCGCGAGTGGTCCGCGTCAGCCGTCGTGAATTTGAGCAATTCTTCGGGGGTGTCAATGCCGGCAGCGATGACGACGTGCCAGATGTGCTGGAAGAGGTCGTCTAACTATAGCATGAGGGCGATGGATGACGACGTGTTCTAAAATACTATTTGATCTGGAAGGTTGACATTGGCGTTGCGGCGTTGTGAGAATGTCTTTATGCACAATACAAACCAAAGGACATAATTTTATGCTATTATGTGAGACTTTTGTGAGCAGTGGCCTGTCGTGCGTTGTGAATAATATCGTGCACAAAACATAAAGTTATGTCGTACCTCTGTGCTAAATCTGCTGGGACTGGCAACTCGCACAGGGCAACCCATTCCAAACGCATCTCCATCCAACCATGGGGTCCGGGCGTGCCTTCGAGCAAAAGGTCTTGGAAAACAGAGCGACGCTAAACCGGATCGGAGAGCACTCTGGACGAGCCTACGTAGACTTGCGTGCTTCCGTCTTGCATTGCCAGAGTGCCTCAATCGCTCCTCGAGCCTTGGCACCGCTTTGCGAGAAGACGAGAGGTACAATCGAACCATCATGTTTGCCGCGGAACGTGTGCCAAAATGTGCCCATTTTGTTAGTCCACAAGTAGAAGGGCGTTCGAAAAGACTGGGTCTGGCCAGAGTGCCGGCGCCCTTGATGAAATCACGCGAGGGAGCGCTCCTGGCCCTCTGCTGACGGTGGTCCGGGGCCAATTGCCAGAGCGTCGCTTGTGGGGGATTGATTGCCGTCGCAGCAGGGCATAGCATAGCACAGTCCACAATACAGTGTGTTAATATATGCGCACTCTCAGCACGGAGCAATAACCTTGCGGACAACAGTACAACATACTACCTGTGGAAAAGCCGCTCTCGTCCTCACTCTTACCCACCTCCTCTCGTCTGCTCCCTTTGACGGCTGGTCTGCCGCGAATCATCACCCTGCATCGTTCTCCGTTCCGGCAAGGCAAACAGTCAACCAACCGCCCAAGAACAGAACAGGGCCACTCCATCAGTCCATCTCCCCAAATCCCTTCCGTCCCTGCTGGGCACACCCCGTCTTTTCGGTCTTGTCCTGCTTGTCACCGACCTCGTTCTTCGTATACTTTGCTATCCCCCACTCCCAACACACCACCAATATGTCTTCATCATGCGCCAACATGTATTGTCTTGCAGAGGGCATTTTGACATTCCAACTTAGTTTGACTGTGCTTTTGTGACAATATCTCTGTTTCTTGGCCTCGGGCCATCCGTCACCCACATCCCTCTCTCCTCCATCTACCCAGTCTGTTTCCCCAAGCTACGGCTTCACAAGCCGGAGTATTTTGTCTAGCCAAGTAGATATAAGTCGGCAGGATGCGGTTGGCCAGGCGCTCCTGCCACAGTCCAAGACAAACGGACGAATAAGAGAGAAAACTTTGACAGTCGTATGGAGACTGAATAAAGAACAAATGAGGACAACAAGTGCCTCTACTGGAAGGCTGTTTGTTAGACGCAACGGCTGCACGGCTGGACAACACAGGACCAGTGGGCATTGGTACCCTTTTTCGGGCTTCGTGGTGTTCTGTCTCAAAAGCTTCGCAAACCTTAGTAACACAGGATCGTGTCAGTTAAGGGTTGTTGTGCGGTCGTGCCTTCCGAGTTTCCTCAAAAAGCAGTTGGAAATGGTAGCGCCAAAAGATTTTGGCCCAGATTCTGCTAGCGTAGTACATAAGAAACACTTGGTTCTCCCAGCCACACACATACTAAATACAAGTACTATACCCGTCACCTCTTAATGGGACTGCTCATGTTTTTATCTTTGTCTCCTTCTCGCCTTCTCTCGTTTTAATCTTTATTTCTTTTCTTTTTCTTTTATTCATCTCTACCGACCTTCCTTCGTCCACCTGCACGTCACCTCTTAGCCACTCTCTCTCCCATACCCTCCCCTTCTTATTTGCTTGGTTCCTTCCTTTCTCTTCTCACATGTACACCCCCCGTCTTTCCTTCATCGTCCATTGCTCTCCCAGAGAACCAATTCTCACATATTGCCCACAGTTCCTTCCCACTTGGTCTCTTTCCCTCCCTCTTACATCTCCACGCTCGCTCTTTCCTTCTCGCTCTTGAATTCAAAATCTCCTCTCACATAAACTCTATAACCTCCCCCTTCCACTTTCCCTCCACGCCGTGTTGCTCTTTCCTATTTACTATTTGTAACAGCTATCCTTTTCAATATCTATACTTCCTCCCAACTCGTGCCCACCTTCTCCCACCTCTAATTCCTCATCCTCTCCCATTCTCATCATAGCAGCCACCTCAAAACATACTACCACTGCCAGACCACTCCCGACATTGCCTCCACCTATAAGTTGACAACACGTCCACGGCCGGCTTCAACTCCTTCGTCTCTTTAACTGACCGCTCGATAACTCTCCCGTGGCCCAATGGGTGTCGTCTCTGCATCTTTTTAGTGCCATTTGTTTTGACTACTTACACACTGCTCGCGTGCCTCACAGTTTTTTCGCTCTTTGTAGCCTCAATTCGCCGTCTCTGCTCTCCCTCGCACACCTTCGCCCTGCATTACTTACATTATTTACGTCCAGCTCCTTTTTGATTCTACACCTCTATCACTATTTGTATACTTTGTGCCGCTGTCGCTAGTTTCAAACCTCATCTCAACCCTGCTTCCGCCCACTGTCTATTCAAAGTCAGCACGGCCGAGTCACCATGGCATCTTTCCACCGCACGTCGTCGCCAGTTCTCACAATGACGTCCCAAGCTGCGCACCAACTCCCCTTTGACCGCCCGTATGCAATGCAGCAATCCTCGCCCTTTGGCAACCCATCTGCATGGTCGCAAAACATTGGCCAACGCAAGCCAACGGCTCCACCTCGGGGCCGCAAGCGGTCGCGGGATGAGGCTGCCGTCAATCTCGACTCCCCCGAAAAAGCTCCTCCCGCCGTCGAGCCTGTCAAGGAAGACGAGGACGAGTGGGAGTACGGCCCCGGCATGGTCCTCATCAAGAAGGGCAGCGGTTATATCCACGACGCCAGCAACCAATCAGGTACTTGGCTCGAGGAGAAGGCTGCCGCGCTGGAAGCCACGAGGAAAGAGGAGGCTCTTGTTGAGCAGCAACGCCAAGCGCAAGACCGCCCGTCTCTCCGGAGCCATAAGTCATCACGCCTCGACCTCTCGGCCCACATCGAGTCTCCAGAGAGCGCACGCAGCAGCCGTTCCAGTCCCAAGCGCGACGTGCGCGATCCCTCGCCCATGACCCCTGACGGCGGCTCCTCCGGCGGGGTTTCCCAGCCTGTTATCGATGACTTTACCTTGCACCTCGGCATTGGCTGGAACCGCCTCAGCGACGACGAGCACATACAGGCGGCCGCGCGCGGCTGGGCGCGCTACATCGAAAACCACTACCCTGTAACGGAACCCAAGATTCTGCTCGAGAGCAAGGGTCTCGAATCGTACCTCGTAGAGGCACACGAGGGGTACTTTCTCTTTGCAGAGAACCTTCGTCAGGGTCGGCTGGTCAGCAGCAACGCGCAACGCGCTCTCGACAATCTCAAGTCCTCCCCGCCTGTTTTTGACGGCACGCAAACGATGGGTGCCGCTGGTACTCCCCTTCCCGCGGAGGTTGCGACTGCATTAACAGCCGGCCCGGCCACCGCTGCCACGGACGTCGAGATGGATATGGTCTAAACGGACAGGGAACATCTGCACAACAATTGCTCGAATGGAAGGCGTTTGTTTCTTATGGGCTTGCATCTTTTACGTTTCCAAAACGGTGTTTCTCTGGCTGCGCAGGTGACGCGGCGACTTGTGGGCACTGGCGGCGGCGCAACACTTGGGGTGGCTATCGACTTATTAGTTTTATCGGGGGCTTTTTTTCCGATCGGCACTGGACAGACGAGCGAACAACAAACAGAAAATCAACAGCGAAACAAAAACCGCACCGCGGCGAGAAGGTAAACAATAGCGGGATAGTTCTTTTCTTTTTCCCTCATTGCATTTATCGAAGTTCACGTCAGGTGTCTAAAAAGTTCTCGAGTCAACCAGGGACTCTGATTTGCTCCAATCAATGTCGCATTTTTGTCAATTTTGCCAATTTATTGCACACTGTATTTTTAGCTCAACCAACAAAACGCAAAACAAATTCATATGTTGTCAACGAATCCGTACCTTTGCAAAGACAATACCCAAACCATTGGTATACTTCTTTCGTGCCAGTGACATGCATGTCGACCAGTGCTGAATCAACTGAAGACGGTGCGGCACGGAGGGGGAGATCTGAGGCAGAAAAGCCCCCTGCATGGTCTTCTCTCCGATGAACCCCCTTGTTCTCTGGTCTTACCGTCTTGCCTCTTCACCCACAGCACGCTTGGATAACCCTCTGCTCCTCTTCGTCCGTGCTGGCCAATCAAGAGCTACAGATGCATGGCCAACCCACGCGGCACACCAGCGACCAGAAGCAAACGAGAGCAAGCCAATCACGTCCCAGAGATGGCTAAAGAAAAGTAAGACCAGCGCGAGAAGGGTTGAAACCGATTCCTAGGCCGTCCTCGAGAAGTACTGCTCCGTAGGCAAGCGAGGCCAGGTAGGATCGCTGTCGAGGTGAACGACCTTGACAGAGTTTGTCTTCCGTCTTCCGCCGTGCAGGTCCAAAGCAAATATGTCGTGGAATATGCAAAAAAGACTGCACCGTAAGTGGTGTGCTGCGCTCTCATGTACACAGCCTCACAACTTGTCCTGTTTCTGCACGAGACAAGCCTCATTTTACCAGGTAGAAGCAGACCAGGAAGAGCCCAGAAGCAACGAGCATATTGGAGAAATATCGACGGATGGGAACGCTTTGCTGGTTGAATAGAAGCCGACCTCGCGAGAGAGGACTCGAGATGAAGGTCGTGCCTGCCGTTTAGCGCCCAGCTACTCTTTCCCATCAGTACCGGTGCACAACAGAACAACACCATCCAGTCACTCCTTCCCACCCTGATCGCCATGTGCCCCTACTCTTGTCGGCTGCAATCCAAGTCGAAGTCTGGGCTCCTGCCGCTCCCCAAATCTATTATCCATAGGCTTGGGTCTTCCAAAGGTTGCTCTTTCCGTCGGAGAACGGTAGGGGCGATGTTTGCTCTCGTCCCTCCCCTCTTTCTTAGTCTGGATGTGTCCCTGTCGCGCCATCCAATCGACAGCCGACATCCTGCCTCCTCTGTATCCTCATTCGCCTTCTCTGCTTCTCGTGCCAATTTATCCCTTCATTCTTCGTCTCTCGTCTCCTATCCTGCCTTGCCAACCTGCCCCTGCCACTCGCCCATGTGAAAATCTCCTTGCCGTGATTCTTGTCAGTCACGTCTGCCTCTCTTCGCCACTCCATTTATTATTTGCCTTTGCCTTCTCAGCAGAAAACGTCGTCTTCTTTCTCCTTCATCTTCATGATTTTCAGGAAAGCCAGCATTTCACATATTTTGACCGCTGACAGCCGCTGGTGTTTTGCTTGCGCACACCCGCAGAAGTAGCCGGCGACAAGCAAGGCACACGGCCCCTAACCGAGCCAGACGCATGCACGCAGGCACGCTGCGGCACCACCAGCATATCCCCCCCCAAAGGCGGCCTCCCCTCATTTTTTTGCAGCAAAACGGCCCCATGCATGTCGCCTTGCCACGGCCTTGCGACACGATAGCAGAGCTCGCTCCCCAAACCCAGCCCAATTGCTTGTTTATCTTTTCGCGACCTGCAGGAGGCTGGTAGCGACACGAGTCACGAAGTCGTCGACCGGCTCTGAAATTTCTCGGGCTACTCCTCGTCTCCTCTCACGCTTTTCCAGTCGCCAGTAAACTCTGGCTGAGGTGCATCCAACAGCTTTGCCCTTCCCCCCTCGACCACACGACGTACCACACACTCGCCGCTGGCGTTCTCCGAACAAGGTGCATTTTATGACCAAGAGCTTCGACACCTTCGTTATCTCTTCCCAACGCTCCAAGGCACACGGCTCACTCTCTACGATCGCACTCCGCCCAGCGTCCTTTTCTTATTTTGCTTCCGCAGTCGCGGGGCCTCTCTCGTGCCGCACCCGCCTCCATGGTCTCCCAACCAGACCAGCACTTTTACAACAACTCTCTCGCCGTCCGGGGCACCTCTTCACTCGTCGGTGTCGGCGTTGGTAGCGGGCATAGCCATAGCCACAGCGGACCACCACCACCACCTGCCGCCTCGGTGGCAGGCGGTGGCGGGCACACGTCCTCCACCCGCTCTCGCCGCTACAACCGCAGCCATATTGGCGGCTCGTCCTCATCCTCTCCCTACGCCCACCTTAACGAGTTCCCCATCTTCACCAATACCGGCGATGTCGAGATTGTCGTGCGCGTTCGCTCCGGCCATGAGAATCGGTACTTACTACACCGCGACACCCTAGCCCGATGCTCTGGCTTCTTCGAAGCCAGCACCAGCAAGGAGTGGTCGCGAGCGCAAGTGGTCAGTCCGCGACAGGAGCTGCCAGACAACGGGGACTCGCGTGCGCTGACGAGTGGTGGCGAGGTGGCTCGAGTAAGGCCCGGTGGTACTGGTAGCAGGAGTGGGAGCGAGAGCGGGAAAGATGGACAGACCGCTAGCATGCTGCCCGCCAGCGGCCAGCCTCGCCGGAGGTGGAGATACGAGTTGGACCTTGGAGAAGGCGAGCATGACAAGCCGATCCTTGTGCAGAAGGACGAAAGCGGCAGCAGCAGCAACAGCAGCCGGACAGCAATGTCAGCAGTGGACGCTCCTCAGTCAATTTTCGGGGGGGGACCGTCGAATATCGACAACTCGTATTCATATCGCAACGCCGGAGGAAACAACGGGAGCAGGGCGGCACCCACTCATAGTAACCCCAGCTTTTTTCGATCTGTCGCCAACCTGGCCCTCTCACACTCGTCCTCTCGGCACAGCAACCACCGAGACAGCTATGGTGCTTACAATACCTCCTCTCCCCTCCTCCCACCACCTACAGCCGACGAGGTCGATCTTCTCCGTGACTACGACAACCTTTTCCGCATCATGTACAACTACCCGCCCGTACTGGACGGCGTCAACATCGCGGATGCCTATGTCCAGTGCAAATCCCTGCTTGCCGTCGCCGACGAGTACGACGCGCTTGCCTTCGTTGGGCCTCGTGTCGACCACCATCTCTTGCAGTTCCAAAGCCGCCTCTGGCGCCAGATTGCAAAGTACCCGATCAGCTACTTGCGTCTGGGATACATGGCTCGGTCGCGCGTCATCTTCCAGGAGGCGCTTGTCCACGTTGTCGGCCAGTGGCCAGCAGGCGAGCGGAGCCTGCGTTCTGCGCTGCCAGATTCCGTGCTCGATCTGATCGAGGACAAGGTTGACGAGCTTGCAGAAGCCGTGTCCCGCGTTGAGGCTCGCCTTTTCCGTCTGCATCTCACCACGCGCGGCGGTGAACGCGTGGCTCCTTCGACTGCATACGTGGACTGGCTCGCTGTGTCCTTGTTTCGGCAATGGCTTGCAGACAACACAACACCTCCGATGGATGGCGGCGGTGACCCCAAGGTCGTGATACCAGAACGGCGCGGCGCAGGCGCCACGGGCGATCGCTATGGCCATCCACGTAGTGGACCACATCGGGGGGGACACCCTCGACATGATGGCGGCCGCGCTTCATCGTCCTCGTCCTCGTCTTCAGGATCGGGCCGGCATCACCAGGAAACAGCCCTGACTGTTCATGTGCGCAATGCGCTCGTCCCAGCGCTCTCCCCGCCCTTGTCCACCCTCGGCCGTACCTATCGCATTCTCGGTTTGGCTCCGAGCCCATCCTATCTCGGCCACGAAGACTGCAAGCGGTTTCTGAAACTGTCGCCCGACCTCTACACACGTGACAATCTCCGCCGGTTCGAGAAACGCATTGACGAGCTCAAAGTCCTGGCTCGCGAAATTGTTCGGCCTCTCATGGGCAGCGGGCTAGAGCTAGACGTCGCCGGCGGCAAGTCAGGCAGCGGCACTGGTAGCAGCAACGGGACTCACGACGGCATCACCTACTTCACATGCACATATTTGTCCGATCGTGACCTACCCTGGTTGGTAGACATGTGAGGCGTCTCGTGAAGACCGTTTCGCAAAATTTTTCCCCGCCCGGGGCGTGTGATGTGACATGATACTCGACGTCGAAACAATATACACGCGTAATGACTTATGGGGGTGCTTTCTTGACACCGCTGATGACATCTGGTTGGATTTCTGTTTATATTTACTATTTGTTTTTGATATTATTTAGTCATTTTTCGTGAACGAGATTCCCTGTTTTGAACGTTGGATGCTCTGGCACCGCTTTGGCTGTTGTTTGTTCTCTCCTTTTGTTCTCTCTTGGCCCATTATATAACAGCACCATGATCTGATTCTAGGATACCCGCCAACTTATGTAGAGATGTGTTATTGTTCATCCATATAATTTGCAGACTATTTTATTTCAGTCCCCCGTTGGCATTGAAACAAAAAATAAGAATTCAAAAACATGGTTAAATTTGAGACGAACATTTCATGGGAAATGAAAAATAAAATGGACGAATATCAAAATATCATGGACTGTATCGTATACTGCATCAAATAAAAATGTGAAGCCAAAGAGGTCATAATTCGTTGCGTCAACCCAAACCATAAAAAAATACACACTACTTCAACCCTTCCTCAGTCAGATCGACAATGGAAATCTCGCTCTGCCGCCAACGACGGCTTCGCACTGGAGACGGGCTCAGAGAATCCGCACTCATGTCGTCTACAATTTCTTCTCGAAAGAACCCGGTGGCACTTGTCCGCGGAATATATTGCGTTCGCTTTGTGTTAGACTTCACCAGTACACGTTCAGCGCCTAGTGGCACTTGTTCTGCAGCTTGTGCGGCCTGTCCATACCGTTTCATAAAGACGGCCGGTAAAGGGGATGACGAAAGGAAAGGATCCTCGTTATTTACTGTAGTAGCTGGTTTCTTGATCAAAGTGCTAGTTCCTTCATCATCAGAAAGCAGAATTGCTGCCGATGGCTTGGCTGGGGACTTGACTGGGGATGGCTTGCTCGGCGAAAGGAAATCGCGAATCGAAGCCTGCTTCTGAGGACTAGCCTGGGACGGCAGCTTGGGGTTGGCTTTCGATCTCGGTTTCACCTTTCCCGTGACCGAAGCACCTGTATCTTGAGTCTGTGACGCTGCAGCCTTCTTCAGTGGGGATGGCGACCACGCGAGGGATGAAAAGCTCGCAGCAGGTGGAGGGGATGACGGTATCGGGGATGTTGGGATTTGTATGGGCTCATATGCCGCTGTCGTAAAGGGGCTGCTCGTCATCAGATTAATCACCTCCGTGGACTTTGTTACCGCTGGCGGTGAGGTAGGCTTGACGAATTCTCGCTTCTGGTTGCTTGTGTTGTTTTTCGTGACCCGCGGCACGTTTTGCGAACCGGACAAGGCCCAAGGGTTGTTTCCTTTTTTCTGATACTGGGACCTCGCTATCTTGGCAGTCGACGAGGTTTTGTTGATATTCTTTCTTGGGATTTCTGGGAGGTCATAATCCTCGACACCTGGTTGGGTGTCCATGTCAGGAACGTCGTCATCTTCGCTGAAGTCAAGACTCTGTAACACTTCGGTATTGGCCTTGAATGTAGGTGGTACTTTGGGGGCTGCTTTTTCTGTAGTCGAGACTTGACTGCTAGTGAGCATGTAGCCTCTAGTGTTTTTTGTGACTCGTACAAAGCGGTCAAGGGCACCAGCCGGCATATTGGATTTCTTGCTCTTCGGCTTGCGTGTTGTAGGCTTTGTTCCTTCGGTGGCACTTTTCTTGCCACGTTGTTGCTTCTTTTCCCATTCGGCGAGTGTTGCTGGAGCTCCTATATGAACGATCGTACGAGGGACCCACGTTACACAAGGCACTGTCGGGTTGTACGGGGTACCTGTGGTGGGTTTCTTGACACTGGCTACCGTCAGAGAGACTGCTGTGTCTCCGGGCATAGTTGGTGCTAGAGCCGTGGTTGGAAGGTCGTCGAAATCGTCGTCGCTGTTGAGTGCCAGGCCGTCACGTCCAAAGTTGACCTCAGGGTCGTCGAGCTCGCTGTCTAAATCAAGTCCGACAACGTTGACAGGGATATAGGATACTCGTATCTCGGGGGTGTTGTCTGTGCTTGCGTGTATCCGTTGTCTCGAGATGCCCTCCACAAGGGACGGCAGCATTATATCGTTGTCCAGATCTTCGCTCATCTCTTCTCCTCCGTTGGCTGATGGCCACTTAAGAAGTAACATTCGTGCCAATAAGACTGGGGCAAGAACACGTATAAACTTAATGGCACCACCCCGGTTTGACCAGTCGAAAGTCTCCGCCACAAAGTCCCGCAGAGCAAGAACATCGATAGGCTTATGCTTGATCGAGTCTGTGCCTTGCACCACCACCGAGCTCGGAGCCGTTTTAATGGTTGAATCCAGATCTAGCCGCACGCGTTCCACTACGTCAGCCGGAGAGACGACGGGGTGAGTGTAATACCGTAGAATATCGAGATTTGGAAAGTCTGCTGGGATAACAAGCTTGTGGTGACATGTGCGAAAGAACTTGCTCTCGTTGGTGCGAAGCTCGTGCTGCAGATCAGAGCGCCACTCTGCCAGTGATGCAGCGTCTGACCGTTTTATACGGCACAGCCTCCGTCCGTAGCCTGCCTTGGCCGCTTCGCAAGCCAGCTTAACGCCACAGCCAGGGACACCCTCAGGGAGATAGTCGCCGCCGCTCATAAGAGCGACGAGTATCATACCCTCCCGATCGAGGCCAGTCTCCTTCGTCTTCAAGATCGCCTCTGGGGCTATGGATGTCGCTACAGCCGCCTCGGTTTCGTACATTGTGACATGTGTCGCCGTTGCTGAGGCACTGCCCTTTCCAGACGAGTTCGTAGTAGCAGCAGACCAGTTACGAAGCGTACGTGTACTCCCAAACATGAGGGTATCGACGTCTTCACTGAGTACAGCATCCACTACGCCTCGTTGCTGTAACAAGGCACATTCGGCTTCGGCCTCACCGGGTGCATCGTGGACATAGAAGCCGAACATGCGGATCATGCGCTTCGCCATAGACGAGGCTACCATATCGCCCGGGCCAGTCGAGCGCTTGTGGCGCTTGAAGAGCGGCTTGTTGATGCCATCGAAAACAAAGACGGGTTGGACGGGCATGCCCAGAAGGCGTATGAGACGGTAGAAAAGTGTGCGAACAGCAGGATTTGAACCACCTAGGTATTGTAAGTACAAAAGCAGAACAAATACTAAGGAGACATAGAAGGACCTGGTTTTTTTTGGGGGGTTTTTTTTTAAAAAAAAAAAGCCCCAACTCACCTCTCCCAGACTGGACTTGGAACTGCCAAATGGAGATGTCAATAGCCAGGCGCAGCGGCCGCCCGCGCTTCTCGAGACTGTCCACAGCCAGGCGCAAGAAGGCAACACGGGCACCAGCTCCAATCTCTTTGTAGAGTCCTTTGATACCCATTGTTGTGAAAGGGTACGTTGTTTGACGGCGTGAAGGACCAAAAAGAGCTGCGGCAGGGCTTCAAAAGCGGACAGAAACAATTAAACGATATCAATAATGAATTGTGTATCCATTTTCGTGATGAATTAAGGCACGGCGAAAGAATGAATACCTCGAACGCGACCGTGTCGTTGTCACGATGATGATGACGAAAAGCGATGCTGAATGAACGACGCCAGCTGACGCCGTCAAAGTTGCCTCTTTGTTGACACCGTTACTGCTTTGGGACGCATTGTGGCGTTCCTACGGCGATGGGGCTGAGCGCCACAGAGAAGAGACCACTAAAAAGAATGGCGCGCAATTCCTTACAACGGTCTTTGAGCTACGCTTCAGGGGCACTCGGGCGCACTTTCCCCCCATTTACCAGCGCGTTCCAGGGGGCGTTCTCCACAACGTTCTTTCTGCCAAAGGCGGTAAACACTCAGAGGCTCCTCCAACATCCACGACAACACAACTTCACGGTACGCAATTGCGCACAAGCGGGACATGCGGCCCTCAGGTTTGGTATTTGGCAAACATTGTTCTTGGCCTACTTTCTGAAATACAGAGTACAGCTCGATCTGCCACCAGCCTCCATATTGAGCCAAGGGCCATGGCGTCCAACGCCAGCCCTTCTCTACCGCATCGGACAGTTTCGACGATCCGGACGAGCGTCAGTGCGGGAACCGGCGTTGGGAGTGCCGGGGCCGCTGCGTCCAGCTATAGGACGGGTGGCCAAGCTGCGCCGACGACGCCTGGCGGGGGACCGCACACCCCTGTGCGTACGACGCCGTCGGCCTTCTCGTCTCCCTCTGCATTGCGCGCCGAGGAAGAGACAATTGTGATCGAGGTGGGTGCGCGGTATCTGCGCATCGGACTGGCGGGCGATGTGGTCTGCCGAGGCACGGTGGCATTTGGGCCCGACCAGCAGCGCCGCGTGGGTGATTTGCGGGTGTGGCAGGAGGACTACCAGTACGACTGGCGGCGAGCCGGCGAGGATGGTGCAGGACGTACGTGGGACACGGCGTATGAGCTGTGGCAGATGGACGTGCGCAACATTGACGCAGGATTGATTTCGGACAAGCTGGAGCGGGCATTGCGTGAAGCATTTACAAAGTTTGTCTCCCTCTCTTTGTCTCTGCCCCCTATTCCTTCTGGAAACAATCACTTTCTAACTGTGACAGATATCTACTAATTGATTCGCGTCCAAGGCGAATGGTGGCTGTACTTCCACCTTCGATCCCTCACCCACTATTGTCTACAACATTGGACACAATCTTTGGCCGTTTCCAGAGCCCGAGTGTGTCGTTGTTGTCGGCACCTGTGGCGGCAGCCGTGGCCGCTGGTCTGCGCAGCGCTCTCGTGGTTGACCTTGGCTGGGCTGAGACCGTGGTGACGAGTGTGTACGAGTACCGCGAGGTGTCGTCGACCAGATCGGTGCGCGCGGGCCGCCTGTTGATCCAAAGTGTGCACGACCTGCTTGCCGGTGTCATCGCGCCGGAATATCAGGAAAAAGATGCAAAGGGTAGGCCGGTGGCTACGACGCCAAGCGCGCGTGCAAACCGAGAGCACGTGCTTAGCTTTGATGAGTGCGAAGATGTGGCTGCGCGCCTTGTGTGGTGCCGACAAACGGAGAGTGGCCCGAGCAAAAACAATGCTCGGCCGGCCGCGGCTGCACTGCCTACAGAAGGCGTTCTGGCGACCGTCGCCGAGACGGACGAAACGGAAGAGGACGGCCATTCGACGCGGCCTGGCACTGGATCGTCGCGTGCCAATGGCGCACGTACGACGAGTGTTCCTCTTCAGTCGTGCTCACCACCCAAGACGCTCAGCCTGTCATTCGACCAGCTCGCGGAGCCCTGCGAGACGACGTTCTTTGGGGGCATGGGCGAAGGCCTCGACATACCGGCCAGCTGGGACGACGAGGAGCTCCCGATACCGCTCCTCATCTTCCGCCATCTACAGCACCTGTCCGTTGATGTGCGTGCGGTCTGCATGGCCCGCATCATATTCGTGGGCGGCTGCACTGGCGTTTTGGGTCTGCGCGGCCGCATCTTTGACGAAGTCGCTCGCTTGATTGACGAGCAGGGGTGGGAGGGTGTGCGTGGCAAGGGCTTTGCGCAATATAAGGCGAACGCAAAGCGACAGAAAAAGAAAAAGGGCACTCCTGACAGCAGAAAGCGGGGCCGAGACGGCGGCAGCGATGTCAACGCCAACGCCAATGCCGACGGAAACGGTAGCCATCCGATATCGCCGACGTCGTCGGCGGACTCGGCTGAATCGGCAGACGGCGTTTGGCACGATGCTGCCAATGCGCGGCCCGAGATCGACCCGGTCGAGGAGGAGCTGCGCAAGACACGCATGCGCAGCGACAGCACCGCACCGGCTGTGTCGGGTGGCCAGCCGCAGCAGCAGGGCCACATCAACGGCCAAATGCGGGCGGCAGAGACGCTGGGTGCCTGGAGCGGTGCCAGCCTGCTAGCACAGCTGCGTGTTCCTGCTCTGGCCGTTGTCGACAAGGAGCAGTGGACACAACAGGGCGGCGTCTTGAGCGCGGTGCGTCCTAGTGATGTCGACGCCAAGCAACAGATGCAACGGCAGAGCATGGGCCACGGCGGCCTCCTACGCAGCGTGGTGGGCGGTGGTTCTGGAGGAGCATCTGGGTCTGGAACTGCGAGCTGGACGCTCGGATCTTGGGGTGTTGTGTGAGTGTGAGAGACGTGGAAGTACAAGCCTTTAGCCTTATTAAGAGTGTTTATATACCCGAGAACTACTACGATTTTGCATGTCCATGCGGTAACTCTTCACATATTTTATTCTGTTCCTTTCTTTGCTTGTTCTCCAATTGCTGAGAACGGTGTGATCGTGCCAAACAGCGGGAAGTAGTATACAATACTTGCGAGTAGTAGAATGATTGGGACAGGAAAGAGAAATGGAGGAAAAACTGAACGCCAGCCCCGATGCAAGAAAATGATCCGCCCGATTTCGTCCCAAGATAAAATTAGACAATGCCCTCCCATTTTGTGTGCGCTATCCGACTCCCGAGATGCGCCTCGCCAGCCCCTCTTTAATAGTCGCGCAGTGTGCCGACAAGGCTGTCCAGCCGCATCACCTGGCCCATCAGCTTCTGCTCGATCTCGCAGTACGACTGGTACTTGTCAAAGTACTTCTTCTCGAGCGCCTCCTTCTCGCGCCCCTTGACGTCCGGACGCTGCACAAACGCCAGAACCTCCTTGTTCTCCTGGCGGTGCACGTCGCGGATGCGCAGGCAGCGCACCATGGACTTGTAGGCGTTGTCGAGAAGCGTGTCGAGCGACCGCGGCGTGTCGCAGAACCACAGGAAGAGCGTCCGGCTGGCGGACCGGTTGTTGTCGCGTGGCACCTCCTGCATGTCGACAAAGCCGTGCATCTGCATTTCGAGCATCTTGTTCTGCACGTCGCTCTTCTTCATCAGCGCCAATGTTGGCAGCGTCTTCTCGTCGAGCTTGCCCTTGTCGCGCAGAATGCGGGCAAGACGGAGGCCCTGGCGGCCGACCTTGCGCTCAATCGCATTGTCGAGCTCTGACTCGCGCAACCGCTTGAGCAGCGGCTCAAAGTCGACGGTCCACGTGCCGCGGTCGCAGTGCCGCACAAACTTGTACTTGTTGTCGCACAGGAGGAGGAGGTGCTGGCGCATCTGCTGCAGGCGCAGTTCTTCCGAGGGTGGCGACGCGGCAGCAGCAGCAGCACTGTCGTCGAACTTGACACCTTTTGTGCTGAGTGCGGCTTTGGTGGTTGCAGAACCGTTCGGTGTGTGGCTGCCGTTCAGTGAAGGGGTAGAAGCTTGTTGTAGAGGAGCGGCTGGGGGCGGGTAGGTTTCGCCTTCAGAGTCGTAGTCCTCGTTATCCAGATCGACATTTTCCTCTTCGCCACCCTCATCGCCGCCAAACACAACGGTATCGACCTTTGCGTGGCGTTCTAAGCGTTCTGCTGTCGGGATGTCGATTTCGTCAGCCGAGGCCTTTCCGATGCCAGTAAAAACGTCGAGGTTCGGGCTGAGGTTGTCAAAGATATCCGACGTGTTGACTGCGCGCGGGCGGAAGAAGTCGCCGCCAGCAATGTCGACAAGAGGATCGGCGCGGCAGCGGGGGATCGTTTCGGTCAGCAAGCGCAGTAGAGCATCGTAGACCTGAGCAGTGGTCTCTCCAATGGCAGCCGCAGCGGCCTGCACAAGGCGGTGGTTGCGTAGCTCTACAGCACACTTTTCGTGGTTGACGCGCAGGACAATCTTGGGCTGTGATAAGAAAAAAAAAAAAACGGTTAGCGACGGGCGGCAATACATATAGAATACGAATGGGGTGCTCTGGTAACAACGTACGTCCAATGGTGGGTCTCTGTCGTCGCTGTAGAAGCTGTTGCTCTTGTCGCCGTTGAGCAGCTTCCTACGTTTCTGGGGGCCGCCGCCGTGCGCCTGGAGCGTGCGCTTGAGTTTGCGAGGCTCATCGCGCAGGTTGTATAGCTCTTCGGACACGCGAGTCTCGTACTCCTCCTTCTTCTTCAGACCTCGCATGCCGTCGGCGAAATATTTCTTCTTAATCATCTCGCGAGTTTCGGCTTGGCGGTCGGGAAAGCTCTTGAAAGACGCCGTCGTTACTACCTCGAGCACTTCGGCATGGATTAGCCGGCAGAGAACAGAGTTGAGGTGCTCGAGCGAGCGGATCTCCGGACCTTGAACCCGGCTCTCGTCTTCGGGGTGGTGGCGGATGTCGCCGTTTGTGTATCCGTCTCCGTGGTGGCCGTTCGTGTGGCTGCTGCTTGCACCATTTGCACCATTTGTGCCATTTGTGCCATTCTTGGACGCATCTGTTTTACCGATCTTGGCTTTGTAGGCCTCTTTAAGGTCGGCGATGCGGGTATGACCCAGGGCAAACAGGCTCTGCATCACATCGCGAGCGTCGGTGCCGTAGTGCGTCTCAACCATCTCGAGCACCTTGCCCGACCGCAACAGGTTGTAGGCCGCAGAGGGGTTGGCATCGTAGACGGTTGTGCGGTCTGTCCCGGTGACATAGAAGAAGAGGAGATCGTATTGCAGGAGAACGGCGAGGCCGTGACGGAGTTGCTTCGGAGTGAGTGATGTGTACTGCGCGAGCTGTGCCAGGCCGGCTCTGCCTCTGTTCAGCAGCGCCGCGAAGATGCGCTGGGGAGCGTTAGTCGAGCTTTCCTACCATGACCAGACAAAGTCTTGAGCCAAGACAAACAAAAGATGCATACCGATGGCAGCTCCCCGTAGATATCATCGATGACCAGGGTGCAGAGCTCTGCTAGATTCTTCGTCTGTAGAAGGTGCATGGTCAGCAAGCGGTCGTCTCGCAGTCGGTGGCTTCAGACTGTGCCTGGATGCATTAAATGCCCATGTGCATTGATCTTGCCTTGACCTTCAGCCAGCAGCGAGCAGACGGCTGTCGCATCGCATCGCGAGATCAAAACACGGAGGCCACAGATTTGCGGGGAGTGACTCACCACCAACAACATAGCGAAAAGGGCGTTCAGGGTCGAATCGGGTCTGCCAGGAGGACTTGGCGTCTAGAGATCCTCTCACTATCTCTAGAGCTGCCACATTTGCTACCGTAGAAACATTGAGAGGTGATGGTGGACACAAAGAAGACCAAAAAACGATATTCGGAAGGTTCTCTACGTCGAACTTTTTTTGGCGTGGAAATGGAGTTAGCTGCATCTGGGCCGTCTAATTGGGCGTGCTAGAGTGGACACTGACGTTTTAGTGGATAATCCCGTAGTTTTACTCCCTGCATTTGCTCTACTGCGCCGACCTTGGGGGGAAAAGGCGGGCGCCTGCTGCATCTGCTGCAAGTAATCGTAGTGCTATTGCAGTTACTGCATTGAATGCAGGCGGCTGGGTGGGCGACGAGTTGTTAGCGGGGTTGGCCACGGACGGCGACAAGGGAGTAGCAAGGGGAGCCACCTGCCTTGTTTGTCATTATTAGGGCGGGTTGCATCGCTCAGGACTGACGCTTGGTGTTCACTGTTTTGCAGCTGGCAGAACATCACCGCTAGACCGGCCACCAGCTGGCACAGCTCCAGTTTTTCCTCATCGCTGGCCGAAAATTGCTCGGAACCGTCGTTAGGCCGTTGCTTCCCTCACGCGAAATGAAATAACCCGCTGGCAATTGGACGACCGCCCGGGTGAGAAAAAATAGCACCAGCTGCCCGTCTTTGCCTGCAAGCCACCCTATTGCCTCATTTGCACCTTTTTGCAACCTCGCCGCATCAACACGCAACAACCACCCGTCAATTGAGGTTCCCCACCACCTCGCCGACTCGAATTTCGCCCCTGTTTCCTCGTCGCCCATCCCGCCCATTCTCCTCACAATGATCTCGAGATCCGCCGTCTCAAGGGCAGGCCAGCTTGCCCTCCGGCGGCAGTCGTGCGCCCAGGCGCAGAGCCGCGGCTTCGCTGCTGCTGCTTCGTCGTCTGGCGCCTTCGAGCCGACCGAGGTGTCCGGCGTCTCCGTCGTGTCCAAGGATGCCCAGGGCCCGTCCACGAAGCTCGCCATCGTCGCCAAGGCCGGTACCCGTTACCAGCCGGCCCCCGGTCTGACCGCGGGTCTTGAGGGATTTTCTTTCAAGGTGAGCCGGACCACCGCCGAAGGCATCGGAGGACCTAGAGGAGGATTGCTCGTGCACGACGGTGCATGAGCGAGCTCCGTTGAGGATTGAGAACCGGCTGGAGGATCGTCCGGGGACACAATTTGGGCTCGCGTTGAGAGATTTCGACGTACTGACATGCCACCTATCTAGAACACCCTGAAGCGCTCCGCCCTCCGCATCACCCGCGAGACCGAGCTCCTCGGCGGCGAATTGACGTCTTACCACACCCGTGAGGCCGTTGTCCTCGAGGCCAACTTCCTCCGCGAGCACCTGCCGTACTTCACCGAGCTTCTGGCCGAGGTTGTTGCCGAGACCAAGTTCACTGGTAAGCGCCGTCCTGATGTGTTTTGGTGGGTATGGAAGAAGGAAGAGAAGGAGAAAAGGGAAGAGAAGACATGGAGCAAACCAGACCAAAGGGGGCAATAAGAGAGGGACTGCGTCTCGTCCCCGTGTGGCCCGATTGCATATATATTCATACGTGTATCGTCACGCGCACCAGACTAACCTCTCTCTCAAATTTAATAGAGCACGAACTGGCTGAGGAGATCGAGCCCGTCCTGCACCTGAAGCAGGCCAAGTACTCGGCCGACAGCCTGGCCGCCGCCCTGGACGCTGCCCATGCCGTTGCCTTCCACACTGGCCTGGGTGAGGCCCTGAGCCCCTCGACGACTACGCCGCTCAGCAGCTACCTCAGCCACACCGGTGTTTCCCAGTTCGCCAGCTCCGCCTACTCCCGCTCCAACTTCGCCCTGGTCGCCGACGGCGCCACCCAGGTTGCCCTGAGCAAGTGGGTTGATCAGTTCTTCAAGAAGTCCACCGGCTCCGGCAGCGCACTCACCAGCGCCGCGTCCAAGTACTACGGCGGCCAGCAGCGCATCGAGTCTGCCTCGGGCAACGCTATCGTTATTGCCTTCCCGACCAACGGCCTGAACGCCCCCGACGCCACCGTCGAGGTCCTGACGTCCCTGCTCGGCGGCGAGTCCAGCGTCAAATGGTCCCCCGGCTTCACCCTGCTGTCCAAGGCCTCTGCCGGCGTCCACGGCGCCAACGCTGTGGCTCGTAACCTTTCGTACTCGGACGCTGGCTTGCTGACCGTCCAGGTCACTGGCCAGTCTGCCGGTGCTGTGCGGGCGGCCGCCGATGTGGCCGTCAAGGCCCTCAAGAGCGTCGCTTCTGGCTCGGTCTCCAAAGAGGATGTTGCCAAGGCTATTGCCAAGGCCCGTTTCGATGCCCTGACCGCCCAGGAGCCCGCCAGCGCCGCCATCACGGCCGCCGGTACGGCCGTCCTTCACGGCCTGAAGACCTTCCAGCCGGCCGATGCCAGCAAGGCCTATGCCGGCGTCACGGCTGAGAAGCTGACGACTGTACGTTTTCTACCTCACCCATTTCTTTATTTTTGATCCCCCACATAAAAGCGATATACCGTACTGACTTCTTTCTCTCTTTCTAGCTGGCTAAGAAGCTTGTTAGCGGCAAGGCGTCCTTTGCCGCTGTCGGTGACCTGCATGTCCTCCCCTTCGCGGAGGATGTCGGCCTGACAGTGTAAGAACGGTGACTTGTCGTGTCTATGCGCGTGCTTTGCTTTTGCCGTCTCTGCTGCGTAGGTTGGTTGGATCCTTTTCTTTGTCTTCTTAATTTTGGTTTTAGATTCAGGTTGTCGATTCATCAGACGGGAAGCGATGGCCGGAAAAGAGAAGAGCGCAAGAAGTGAGAAAGATAGGGATGGGCCCAGAAATACGGAAAGAAACAAAGACAAAAAACGAGAGAAGAAAACCCCCTTCTTGTATCAACATTCGTCCAAAACCAACAACTGCGCAACTGGACAACTAAAAGACGTGAGTTGTCGTTCGGCGTGGTCAGTCCGCCTTCCTTGTCGGATATTGTGCATATAAAGAAAAGAAAGAAGCCTCTATTTAAGGTTTTAAGGAACGAAATTGGTGACTAGTGAATCTGAAAGGTTCTGAGCATGTTCACGATAAATTTACGCAAAAGAGGTGGGAAAATATCACATTTTATTGTCGATGAGTTTGCCCGTTTACAACTGAAGTTGGCAGTACGAATTAGTTGGTGCAGTGCAACTACAGGGGATCTTTTGTCGTATGTTTGCTGTTGACAAGCGGGTGGTCCCACTGTTAGTTTGGGGCGTGGCTTGAGGATCACGTGATGTCCTGACTGAAAGCGGCCGGAATATGTCGCGCAGCCGAGCTATTTTGCTGGTCTCTCGAGATTTTCCCCTTGAAGTTCGAAAACGGTTTTATTGCCGACCGCACCTCTCCGCTTCATCCCACGATCATCACCACCCACCACAATCCGATTTGCCCTCCGAACAACACCCATACATCCTTTTCAAAATGACCTTTGCGTGGAAAGCCGCTGGCCTCTCGTGAGTCCCCCAACTCCAGCGCAAGACTGCGGACGGAACCCGACAACAAAGCCGAGGCGACGGAGGCGAATGTAGAGCTGACCAATTCTTTTCGCAGGTACAACCGCTACCTGGCAATTGCCGGTCGCGCCGTGCGCCGCAGCCTGAAGGAGGACAAGAGACTCGTTGCTGAGCGCCGCGGCCAGCTCGACCTCCGCTTCTCAAAGTGGCAGGTAAGGAACGGCCCCATCCGTCCGAATTGAAACACAGGAACGACAGGAAGACGGACAACTGACCCATTGTCGAACACAGGGTGGAAAGCAGGGCGAGCCTAAGAACGTGGCCGACGCCCAGGCCACTGCCGCTACCGAGGCCGCGTCCGCATAAACAACACCCACGACCGGACGACTGATGAAAGAGACCCGAGGGGACCCTGGACGAGCCGGAAGTGTGGATGCCGAGGAGGAAACGAAATGATAACCCCGACTCTGCCATCCGTTCCGTGCTCGAGGACGTGAGGATTAGGAAAAAGAATGGGTCTCGTGTGACAATTGCAGTCTTGTGGATGCTTCGACGCAAACCCCCCCAAGCCAACTGTATGTACTTATTTTGTCGGGGACATAGCGACAAGGCGAAAATTTAAAAGGCCCTTGTACGTCTTTAGAGCCACAAATAAAGAGAACCAAATTTTGCAATTCAATCTTGAATTCGCCAATTGGGTGGATGGTGTACTTGAAGCTGTAGGTTGTTGGACGCACCTTCTTGTTGGATGCCAATAACGTTTGCTGTGTGAAGCGCACAGTCGAGCCTTCCGCGATGGTCCCGCCACCGTGAAGGCTGCTAACGCCGACCAACAGGCAGGATCCTAAGACTTTTTAGCGGTTAGTTAGCGTTCTGGCTGAAGCTCCAGCAGGTCTACCCAGGCCCAGATGCTTGTCTTCCCAAGACCCCTCCAATGGCCCTGGAGTTTGATACAACAAACTTCGTGATCGGATTTGCATGAGAAGCTTTTACTCTTAATTGTTATGTTCGTCTGCTCTTGCCAATATCTTATCTGTCTCGTCGTTCCTGGTTGTTTCCCATTTGGGAACCTGTTGCGGGTATAAGGAAAGAGTGACGGAGCTTGTTGGCGGGCTCCTTCCCCAGAAGTTTAAGTGCGTCTGCACTAATCGAGCTTTCTCACGAGTCACGCACTACAGCGCAACTTTTGAACCTTTGACATCGCTGATACCCCTGGCGCAAATCGTACGGCGCATCTCGGACCGGTTGCTTCTTGTTGTGTACTTTGCGTCGCGTACGGTCATTTCCCCGCCGCTGCCTCGCTGAGACTTGCGCCCACTCATCCACGGACCCACGAGAACCCCCACCATACGTCCAACCGCATGATATAAACGACGCCCAAACCTTCGCCTTCGCATAACTGCGGCCTCCGGTCCTCTAGATCGGTAGAGATGGCCAGCGACGCGGCCCGGGATGCCTTACGGCTACCCCGCGAAGAGGCTGTTATCAACCAGGGTGAGTGAGCGCATGCCGTCGGCCTTGACGTGCTCTCATCCATAAAACCTTTCGTATCTAATATGCGTCGTAGGCCTCGAGGAGCTCTCGCTGACCCCAAACTCTGGGTCACCACCAAGATCACCGCCTCCGCCGGCGTCTTTGTCGACAAGGATTACCAGCAACGGTGTTGTATCCATAGATATAACGTCTAGATTTACGGCTGCAGCTTCGAGTACGTCTTATGTCCCCTCGCAACCGCACACAATCTCTTGGATCTTGCATATTGACGTACCATGCAGCTCTTGAACCGGGAGACATTGTCAAGGATGGCTACTTTACACTTTTCGAGTCCGTTGGTGCCTTGGAGGTGAGCATTGCTTCTAGTCCGGCTACATCTCGTTGTCCTTTTCTTACAACTGTTTTTTCTAGATAATGAACCCGAAAATGGACAGCGGCTGCGTCTCAGCGGAAGAGTTGGTGGACAATGATCACCAGCAACTTATGCGCTCGCTGCTTCCGGCCGAAGTGATTGGCATTATCGATCAGCTTTTATGTTTGGAGGTGCGCTTCTATTCCTACGTGTGCGTCGTTTGACTCGTAGTTGCCTGACAAATCATATATCTAGATGGCATGGCACCTTGGATACCCGCTGTCGCAAACGCTCCTGACAAGCATCTACATGACTGGTATTCTTACACCCCCGCCACGAACCTTGAACGAAGCGGACTATATGCGGCGGCAGAGCGCTGAAGGGGCCACACGGTCTCCAGCTCATGCCGTCCTTCGAGCATACTGCATCGCCGTGATAAAGACGGTGGGAGATATTATTACCAGCTTCAAAAGTGAAGTGTACTACGAGGTTAGTTACGACTCAGCACTGTTGTCTAGACTGCGTATTTTGCGAGAAAAAGAGGGGTTTTTTAACTTTGAACAGGAAGAGGACATTGCGACAAACACGTATCACTTGTCTCTGCTCGAAGACGTGGGCCGCGACGAAATCCGCCAGGTGCTCCAGGAAGCGCGCGCGGCCATCGTCGAAGTCGGGGACGCTTGGGCGGACACCGTGTCTCTGGCCCTGGAGGCACGGCTTGACTTCCGCGAGACGTTTCTCACGGCCATTGAGCTGGCCGAACTGCGGATACGCCCCGATGCCTTGAAAGTACCGTGGACGCAAATGACGGACGCAGTCAAGAACATTAAAGAGTCCCACGATCTAGGGATTGCAGTCCCTGCGGCATTCAACACGAAAATGCAAGGCCTTTTGGCCAGCACTATGCCTCCACGGCCGATTGTGCAGCCCAGTTTCGAAGACGCTGTTGAGCAATGGTCTCGGTTCTCCACGGACGGTGCTGAGGCGGTGGGCATCCTCGCGTACGAAGATCCCCAAAGTTTACTGGTATGATGTTGTCTTCCATGATGCCAAGAACGTGGAGTAGAAGGTTAACTGGTATCCCAGAATTTTGTCCTTACGTTTCAAGCCAAGAAGCCACAGCCGCTCGCGTACATACGGGTGCTAATGCAAAGTTTCATCTTTGCTGAAAACATCATGCTTGGCGAGCATAGCATACGACAGATTATGGACGACGACCTGTCGATCGTGGTGCTTCCAGCCAACATTCTTCTTGACCCGATCAATGACGAGATCGAGGTGGCCAGGGACCCGCGCTTTGCTCTTGCCAAACATATGGAGGAGTTCCGGATACGGTCGTTCCCCGCGTACCTGGAAATCTTTCGAACGCTCTGCCAGAATCGAAGTCGTGCGCGGCGTATGATGTGCCACATTCTCCACGAGTGGGAGCGCGTGCAGATGGACGTGGAAGAAATTGACAACCTCGTGGAGTCAACCCTAAACGAGATCCCGGAGAATAGTCTCTTGGCCGGTACCGGGCCCGGCGACAAGCCGCTGCCGCTTTCTTCGTGGGCCTTCCTCTACAAGATCCGGCTGATGGAGTGGGTCGTCCAGCTCGGCTTTGAGCTAGAAATCTACCAAGCAGACGAGCTAGCCGGCATGTACTGGTACCTCAGCTACCTCGCCAAGAGGCGAGTGATGCACTGTGAGCGCATCCGAGGCTTCACGCTGCGCAGCCATGGAGAGATGCGGCAGCGGGGTGGCGGCCGGGCCTTGCCGGGCGACCAGGAGGCCGTGATGACGAAATCGCTGACGTTTTTGCGGACGATGATGCTCGATGCGTCCGTGACGTGGGAGCTGGCCGATGCACTGTCCTGTCTATACGCCGCGCTGCACCGCACGGGGCTTCTCAAGACTCCTGTGCGGCCTTACAGCACGGACGAGTTGCGGTACGAGCTTCGTATGCGGCCCTTTGCGGCCATTGGACTACCTGCGCTGCCGTCCTTTGAGACGTTTCAGAAGGAAGCGCAGCAAAGCACCTCGAGTATCAAGGCCATTCTGGACTATGCCGAGAAAGCACTGGGTGGCGCCAAGAAGGGCTGCGAGGCGCTAACGCGCTTCACCGAGGCAGAAGCCTTTTCGGCCCATCACCACGAACGGTGGCTGTCAGGCACCAAGGGCATGCACAAATCGGCGATATTTGCGGGCCTCGCGGTTGCATCTCTTAAGCGGGAGGTGGTTCGGGTCGAAATGGATGCCCGTAATAGCGTGGGCAACGGAGCAGAAAGCGACGTAGGAGCGGCGGCACTGAAGCTCACGGCGCAGGTCCCGAAACCTGACAAGTGCTACCATGAGTGGTGGATCGTCCCAAAGGTGGCATCAGCCACGTCGTCGTGATGACGGCTCGGTGTTGCGCGTTGTTGTGCGATAGTCGCATAAGTTCGGTGGTTGGAGGTGACAATGATTTTCAAAGCTAGAATTAGAGCAGTGATTGCGTCACGTCGCATGACATAGTAGAAATGGTTATGAAATATCGTATACACAAGCCCCCTCTCTGTGATTTATTTGCATTTTTATATTTACAGTCGTTTTGGTTGGTATTTGACACCGGTACTCAAGAGTACTTCACAGAACAATCTAGATCATGCACAGAGACAGAAAGGAAACATAGAAAATAGTGCGTGCAGGGCAAGACGCGCATGCCAGACTAGGAGATGTTCCAGCAGCCTCTGGATGGGAGCTGCCAGAGGTTGGCGTATAAAGTAAGGAGCAAAACAGACGAACGCCATGGTATATATAACAAAGCTGATGTTGACAGGATAGCTTCTCGAGAGAGGCTATCAATGGGTTGCCGGATGGTGTGTTTACGCCCGGATCGCCTTGGTCTTCGACCGCAGCAGCACGGTCTGGTTGTAGAGGACGTCCTTGAGGGCGAATAGGAACGCGGCGGTCAGAACGCTTTGCGTGATCTTGGGGCCAATGCCTGTTGCATGTTAGTAAGTGGATGCGAGACACACAGAAACACAGTTTCAAACGGAAAAGCGACGGGAAACGACAATGCATGACGAGCAGAACATACCCTTGTAGAGACCGGCATAGCCCTCGTCCTTGATGACACGACGCAGCGACGCCGTCACGCCGCCCTCCTGGCGCTCCTTGGCGACGTGCATGCGGCTCTTGACGGTGATGTAGGGGTAGGTGATGCTCGTCGCAAAGAGCTTGCCCAGGGCGCCCAGCACAAAGGCAACGCCGGGCGTCACCGGCCGCCGCTTCTGGACAGCGTTCTTGAGCTGCTCAAACAGCGTGTACTGCAGGATGGGGTTGATGACAAGCACCAGCGCGGGCACGACGCCGGCAAACAGCGCGCGGGGGCCCTCTTCGCGCAGCAGCGCAAGCAGGGTGCCGATCGTCGACGGCTTCTTCGCGGCCTTTGCCTGCTTGGACGCGCTTCCGGCCTCCACATCCGCCTCCACAGCCCGCTGGCGCGTCGTCATGCGCGTGTTGACCACCCAGATGGGGTTGGTCAGGATGACGGTCGCGGAGCCGGCCAGGGCGCCGGCCAGCATGGACTCGAGCGTGGTCAGCTGGCCCGCAACACGGCCAGCAACACCGGCCGCGCGGCGCTCAAACACGGCGCGGGTCCACTCGTACCAGTAGTAGTAGACAAAGTTGGTGATGCCGATGCCGAAGACGGCCGAGTCGAGGCCGGCGTACAGGCCGGCGACGCCCTCGCGGGCCACGATGCCCTCAACAGCCTTGAGGAACGACGAGTCGGCGCGGCGCGACTCGACCTGCGCACGCGTCGAGAGGGTGATGAGCGGGTAGGTCAGGACAGTGGCCAGGATGCCACCGCCAGCACCAGCGATGGCGTGGGCGACATTGTCGTTGGCCGGAACGGTAGCGGCGACAGCCGAAGACGAGGTTGCGGTGGTCTCAGCCACGGGCTTGGAAGCAGCAGGAGCCATGGCGACGAATAGAGAGAAGGGGGAAGGATGATGCTGTGGCGGTGACAATGTGGTGATATTGTGGCGATGACTGGTGCTGCGATGCGGAGAGAGCGCGTTGGTCGGCTGGATCGAGAGGCGAAAAACGCGACCGGCTCGATTCTCTCTTTCTTTGTTTTATACGGAGGAGGTAGCACAAGCTGGTTTCGTTCCTTTCTAGACGCCTCCCTTTGTTTCTTGAATGTCTTGTAATAGCACCAAATTCAGAAATAAGAACCTTTTATGCAGGGGAACCCCCAATCGAGGTAGATGCTCCCTTTTGGGGTATGCATGCGATGCGGGAAGGCGCGAACAATGACGAGGTTCGTTGCTGACAGCCCCTCCAATGCCGAGGTAAGTTGCACCAAATGCTGCAACCCCGGGCCTTCTACAGCCCATGGACTGGGCCTTCCCGGGGAGGAGATTGGGGTTCTCCAGTGCAAGTTGGGGCATTGACTAGGGGGTGAGCCACTGAACCTTTTACTTTTTTTTTTTTTTTTTTTTTTTTTTTTTTTTTGGTTCTGGGCGACCTATGCGGCAAGTGCATTTGCGGTCGGCTGCAAATACCGTGCGTACTTTCCCGAGCGTCGCTTCCGCTCAGAGGCTCTCTATCTGTTCAGGGTGGAGATTTCACGTGCAAATTGTGAAGGAACGATCAACCATAAATGTGGGATGGTGCATAGTCTTTGGCATCTGCATGACTAAGAACGGAAATTGCATCGCTGGCTTGTGACGATACTTTGGAGCAAAGTACAAGAAAGACAACAACCACCCCAATGTCGGCGCATGATCAAGAAGCCACTCTCAACACCGGAAGGCACACTGCAACTCAACGGCCACTCGAGGGTTATCGTCTGGTCACTTTTCGGCAAACAGCTGGCGGGCGAAATCGGGGCCCAAGGAATGCGACGATGCGAATACGTAAATCCCCAATGTCATACAATGCACAGACCAACCTTGTTTATGAGTGAGGTTTACGACCTAGAAAGGCAGAGGTTGCCTCGAGAACATGGGACGAATAGGATAGCCGATGAGATCAGGTTGTCTCAATGCCATGCAAGGATGCTCGGATACGTAGATTATGCTTAAATCCGAATGGCTATATTGCATATACCACACTCGACTTGGAAACGGCACAAAGGCACGCCCTTAAGATACTGCTCAAAGTTTTGTTAAAAGCACTTCTGATTTCCCACCCCTTTGTCGACGCCGTCACACAAACATACAGGATAAGACGCCACAGTCAAAAAAATGTTCCGAATTGTGGGGAGTCGTGCCCTCTCCCACGTGGCAATGGCCTGATATTGGGTTCATTTTCAGCAAGATTTTGGCCAGAACAGTCGTCTCGTTTTTGATGCGAGGCCTCGATGAAGAGGCTAAAAATTGGGATATCATGGAAAGTACACGGCGATATGACTTTTTCTACTTACTTTGACAATCTAAGCCTTGTGTGCTCTCAGTCTTCCCTTATCCTGCCCAGCCAGGCACAGCCTGCACAACTGTTGCTATCCTTGAAACGCTGGACCGGGATCTATGAGACCTTTTTATTGACGGTTTGTTTACTTTCGTCTGGTTTCCTGACCTCAATATTTGTTTTATTTATTCTTGATTTTGGGGGGAAATAAACGAAAACAGAAGAATATAAAAGTAAAGCCATACAGAGCCGCATGTAAGATAATCTCCAATGCAACGAACAACATGATCGACGAACATCTAGCTGCGGTTGACTTAATTCTGTAAGCTTTTTGTTGAATGTCTGACTTTTGAAACCTGGCCAGGTTATCTACATGATTTACACGCATCCCCCCATAGAACAAAAGTAGTACGCATTAGCACCAAACTGTCAAGGTACCGCAAAACATATTTTCTAAACGTGGTTGCCTATGCGAATGTAGTCATTGTGGTGCTATTCGTGTTTTTGGACAGATTTTCTTTGTGTTCTAGACATATTCGTCCGTCGCCACCCGGAAAGTTTGCTCCGACCTAAATATGACAAGCGTCCGGCTAAAAAAAAAGTTGAAAGACCTTAACGTTGGGGGCAACAGTGAATTGATGCTTTTCCCTTTTCCCTTCCATTTCGGGATATTGGCCCGCCGTCGTTTTCATGAGGGGCGTCTGCCCTCTTCACTTGGCGAATTGGTGAGAACGTCATTGAGTAAGAATTGACTGTGGGCCGTTGCGCACGGTCTTCCGGAACAGTATCTGAACTTGTCCACGCATTTTGGAACAAACGCCGTTCCACCGTTCTCCCTGGGACCGGCACGGGTGTGCTGCCTAACACTATTCTCCAGTAGCGGGGCACGAAAAGAACCCCTACTTTTGTTCGTCTTGTAACGACGTATCTTTGCCGCTGATCCTCCCTTTAGTCCTGTTTAGAGTGACCTACCAGTGTCCCTGGAAAGGTCCCATAGCATGACGGAGGCCAGGTCTGGGGCGAATATGCATATGTCGTTCTCTGTTTCTATTCGACCAATTGTAACGAAAGGGGACTTGAAAATACCTCCCCGGAGGTTTCTTTCCTATTTGCCCCTGGAACTCTTGACCATACTTGACCGGTAGAAACATTTCACCGTCGGTACTACCTTTTTGTATTGTGGATGGAACGTCATGGGCCCCACCTTCACGTACACCATTCAGCCCTCTCTGGCTGCCCTCGCTCGATGGAGGTTGGAGGGTGGATGGTGCAAGCCGTGTAATGGAGCGAAAGACGCGAAAGTAGACGGACGCATAGGAGCTAGAGTGAGCGTAGACAAAGCGCGACGCGGTCTCGAACTTTGCTGTCAGGCCATATGTCCCTTCCAAGACGTATCCACCACGACGCGACGAGCACTCAATTAGGGGCTGCCTCCAGGTCAGATACTTGATAGACCGCGGTGCACTTTCAGCGCTGAACGATACAGCATATTCATGATGATGCTGTCCGCTTGCCACTAGAGTGGCTCGAACAGCTCTGGCACTACGAATAGTCGGTCGACGTCAGTCCACAGCCTTCTAGACTATCGGACAATTTTCTCCGCAGCGACTCGTTCAATGATTCTCCCATATACATGCGTGGCGTTGTGGTTGTAGCGGGATGTGCAGTATCTTTTGTTCCTCGCTTCTCTGCATACCTTGAGACTTTGCATCTAGAAAATACCAAAGGAATCGACTGTGGTGTAGTATTGTGTGTGTCTCTGTGTCGGTCTATCCGAGAATAAGCGTTTGCGCCAATGTTATGCTCCCATTTCGAAGCTACTTTAGTAAAACTTCACCGTACTTTCTATTGTACGACAGCTGAATATCGACTGTAACCTCGCCAATCGGTGGTTGATCCTCATAAACAAGAGGTACTGTTTTTGGATCGGCGTGATACATGGATCGAGGAGGGTGAGAGGAGACATCGTGTGTAAGTGAGCGGAGAGGACCCTTATGACGGATGTGTACAAGCGCGCTTCTGAGCAAAAAGAGAGGGGGAAAAAAGCTATCGTCCAAACAAAAGTCGATTGGCGTTGCAATGATCTACGAGTTGGGCGCTTTTGCCTAGACAAAAAGAGGTAGGCGCGCAACTACGGACCTCATAGGACGTTTGAGGGCGTTCATCTAGTTGTCAATTGCGAAAGACCACCAGAAAGACGAAAACAGAAGGAACGATCTTGCTTCAGAGAACCTAAGGCGATGAGCAAAAGCTTCCCCGGAGTCTTCGAGGAAGGTGACGAGACAAATTGAAATCGTACAGCTGATCCGAAGACAAGAGCAAATCCAGAGGAAACAAACAAGGACAAAAAATACAAACGAACGTCTTGTTTCGCGTATTCTTCGATGTCCGTCATGCACGGCTCGCGTCAGTATCAGAGTGTCAAGGCTGCGCCTTCCCTCGCGGTCCTTTTCTTCGGCCTATGCAGAAAATATTTTTTTCCCCAGGCAACTGCCAACCAAGCAAAGAAGGCACTTGCCCTTTTCAGAGGAACCAACAGACAAACAGACAAGGCGGGCCCATTGTTGTGATTGCCACCGACTACGCCCGGGCGCCAAAACGTCTTCCCACGTTGTCGGATCTCCAATAGGGCCACATCGAGCCTCCGACCTGACGGTTCCGAGAAACCGTCGCTTTGCACCCCACTGGCCTTTGTTCGTCGCAACGTCTGGATCCGCCACCCGGCGTCGCCACAAGTATCACGGACCGACACATATCGCAGGGACGAGGACCGCGCGTCTTGCGACTTTTCCTACGAAGCACAACCCGGCGCCGCTACAGCTACAGCATGGCTGGCCGCGTTCCAGGCGATGACATAGTCTGAGAATACATTTGTCCATGTTCGTTGCCAAGGTCTTTTCTTCTCTGCCGTTGCGAGCCGGCTCTCGTCTGCGACATGCTGGCCACCGGACCGTCGCCTCTCGAGGATCTTGGCGACCTCCCTATTACTATCGTCTATTTCTCTGCTTGGCGTTGCCTCTTGTGGACTGAAACGGAATCCTATTGAGAATCCTATTATATTATTTTCATCGTCCCAGCTTGTCTGGCGTCTTCGGATCCTCTTTTCTTTTTTCCTTATTTTTCTACTTTTACCTTGACGGCTTGCGGCCTTGTTTCCCCTCTGTCCCAAGTCCTCTCGACTCTCGTCATCTTTAGCCTTCAGTTGCACTCCTTGCTCTATTTCTTTTTTCCTCTTTATTTCTTATTTTGGTTCTTTTATCTACGCAGCAAGGGCATGTGCCCATTGCCCAGTGTTTGTTCACTGCTACTACTATTACCACTATCTTTATCATTCCGTTCCACAACCGAGCCTTGGCTGCCGCTCTCCCATATGAGCAAGCCCTCGCCATGCAAAGCCAAGCCAGTGGCTTCTTCGCGTCCCAGTCGACATCAATGTCTCGTGCTTCGTCGATAAGGAGTGCTGGAGGGCAGCCCCCGTTATCAGCAAATAGTCTCGGCGTCGTCCCTGGTCAGCAGCAGCAGCAGCAGCAGCAGGGGAACGTCCGTCCCGCCATCCTGCCAGACCGCACCGTCACAGAAACTACAATAGAGGATGCCTACGTGTCGTTCATCCTTGCCTGCAACCCGGCCGTGTCGCCGGCAACAGACACGACTGCTCTACGCGAGGCCTTTCGCACACCGCCCCGGAGCGATGGAAAGAATTTTAGTATCTTCACGCTCTACCAGCTGATCTGCCAGCTAGAAGAACGCGAGATCAAGACCTGGGCTGAGTTGGCCTTGAAATTGGGCGTCGACCCCCCCGACCAAGACAAGGGACAGAGCTCCCAGAAGATCCAGCAGTATGCTGTCCGCCTCAAGGTATGTTGCAGCAAGATGTATAAGCCGCAACTTGTGCTCTCCCTCGCCCTGTTCTTTGATGGTTTGTTGTGGCTGCTCGTCCTGGCCTACGACAGTTTGGCTCACATGCAACGTTCAGCGCTGGATGCACTCGATGCACGCCAATGCTTTCTTCGACTATCTCATGGACCGGCCGCATCCCTACTGGACCGACATTCCCACAAGCCCGTACTCTGTTAGTGAACACCTTCGCGATGGTGTTGCAGCAAAAGACGACATGGCCCTTCGGGCCTTGATTCCGGAAATCAAACCGCGCCGTGGCCGCCGCCGACCAGACGACGACTCCGACCAGGATACCCTGTCCAACCACTCATCATCACATCGACCGCGACTGGACGACTACGTCGACGACCTTTCTGCTCCAGGCTCCGGAACATCGTTGGCAAGCCGGTGGTCCACTCAATCGGACAGCAGATATGACTTCGGGGTCCCCCTCTCACATGCACAGGAGACAGGTCCGCACTATGTATCACCACCAGAAATGAGTGGGTTCGGCCCGAATTACGTACAGGCACCCACCCCGGTCGCAGGTTGGTCAGCGAGCCTCGATGGTATGGGCACATCGCTCTCCGAATACCCACAATCGGGCATCATGCCATCCGCCAGAACAAATTATTGGGCTGACGAGCCAAAGCCAGCCGCGGCGGGTTCTTCCGCTGGGCAGTCATCGCGCCGGCCAGGTCGCCGGTACGGTGCTAAAGTCGTGTCTTCTGCTTGGCGGAGTAGTGGTACAGGCGGCTCCGGAAAGACGCGTGGACGGCCCCCAATTAACCGCAACGGACACCATCACAACCCTAACGCCCAAGAACCGTTTTCCCACCAGACATCTGTGGTTAACCTCGACCGTACCGCCGCAGCGTTTCCTATAGTAACGTCGTCGTATGCCTCGCATATGGAACCCACAACAGCTGCTCCGCTTCCGACGATGCAACTGACCGAGATGAATGTTCCCACGACGTCATCGTTGTCCTCACCGATTCCTCTGCTCACGTTGTCCGACAGCATGAGCTCGTCTTCTACTACAGCGCCATCGCGCAGCAACTATCCAAATCACTTGCCTTTCCAGGTTCCTTCGAAACAAGGAACCGACATATGTGTGACGTCTCCGTCGTCGCAGCGTGTGGCCGACCCCATTTCTAGCTTTGGTATGCATCCCCCATTCTCTCCACCGAGTACGCGTGCCATCTCCGAAAAGTCACTGTCTCTGACAAGCTACGGCACAGGCACGCTAGACCTACCGCTCAATATGAATTTTGCGCCGGATGCGACTGCTCATCACAGCGAGACACCGAGTTTAGGTGCCACTCACCCGCCGGTGGCAGCTACCAATGTCGGCTCCGCAACAACGGAGGCGTCGTCCGTCACACCTGAGATCGCAACCAACAGCCGGGTAAACAAGCACGAAGAAGGCCGCCAGTTGCCGCAGATGACACCAAAAGCACCGCCTATGTACAGCGTACACTTTGGCACTGGGGAGACCACCGACCGCACAAACATTGCCGAGATCGAGGCGTACTTTATGACCGAAGTTTTTGCGGCGGCGTGGTACGATGAGAACGACCAGCGGATCGAGCCATGCAGCGTCGAGGAAGCTAGTGCCCTCGTGGACAGCATCGTTGAAGGCCTGACCAAGGGCGCTGCATGCAAGGAGGCATTTCTAATCAACCTGGCTGCTCTTGCCGGGAGCAGACTTCTAATGGCGAACACAGGCGCTCGTATCAAGCGTCTCGAGCAGACGACCGAGTACACAAAATACGACTTTGCCTGGGAGCTGCGCTTCGGCGACGTGTGCGGCCAGTTCAACATTACGGAAGCGGTAGAGCACGCTCGTTGGAAGAAGATGACGGCAGATGTCAAGGCGTCCGTAGCTCGAGCCGTTGGCCTCAAGACCGAGGCCGAGGAGCGTCCTCAGCAGCCGTATCCTCCGACACGAAGCACTGGGTCCGATGGTTCACACCCAACGAGCTTGGAGGGCGGCCGGATGCACTTCCCCACGCAGAGCAACAACCTCGACGACGCCAGCCGCTACGAGGATATGGTGACAGGAACTGTCCCAGCTGTCAACCCCGACATCCAAAGCTACTGTCGTACAGCGGACTTTATGACCAGCGGCATCGGCTATGGCATGCCCATGAGCGCACCTCTGCCCACTGCAGGTGCTGCTCTGGGATCTGCCGGCGGCTCGTTGCCTGCTACAGCCAGTCCAACGAACACAAATACCCAAGACGAGATCCTGGCCCTCGCCGCTCTATGGGAGAAGAAGTACCGTAACCTACTGCACCTCTTGTACAAGCGAGACCGGCAGTTGGACCGGACACGGTGCGCTGTACTGCAGGGTCTTCAGGGGGCCTACGAATACGACGATATTGGAGACATCTAATGATTTATGCCAGAGACTGATTTTGATTTATGCTCTATTTATCTTTTTGTGTCGTTTTAGCTATAGGGAGGCCATTTGTTTTACGTTTGGTTTGAGCAATGCTGCTTTTCTTTGTACGGATATACTGGGACTGGCGACTGCGCCACGGAGTTGTATAGGTTTTTTCAAAATTGAACGAATGCACCAATTTGGAGCATTGGGTTGTCAACCTCATTCATGCTTTTCGAGCTAATCAGGTCCCATACCGAGGGTTTCATTTATGATTCGTTATGCCGTGAACCGATTTGATTTAGTCCTCTTTCTAGCTCTGCGAATGAAATGTTAGACTAGAGTATATATATATACAAATCGTCAGTCGTATACCACCACGAAAATGACACCAAAAAACACCAAAACCAGCTGCTTTCAAATACGACGACTTAAACACGCGATATAGCATTGCTCTGATCGACCCCTGGCACCAATCCGTAAATGTCAAGTCCAAATACGTCGTAACGTTTTGCGACATAGAGTAGCCACGCCTTCCGGCTTGTGGCAGCCTCAATCTCGCGATACAGGACCGTACGTCAATACATAAGCAGAAAATTATTTCCAAAGCGAAAGCCCTTTTTTAATGAAAAAAAGAGAAATAAAATGGTATATAAATATTGGACAACGCCCCTAAAACGCCGAGGTTGCATAGCCATGGCACCGGCTCGCGATTTCGGATTAACGAATGGTGCTGTTGTGCCATGTCCTTGTATATCAAAATGCACAAGTGTTCCAGTCGGATAGATGCCTCCCAAAAAGATAATACAAGTCAAAGAACGCCGGCCAAGTGTGAACGCCACGCGGTTGAAAAAACCAAATAACAAAAAAAAGCAAGCCGCCAAACATAAAGGAAACAAGAACAAAATATCCAACGCGTTTTCCCGCTTCCCTTTCCTCCTACATACTTTCGAAAAAGGGAACCGCACGTCACCCTCACCTACTCTTTCATTTGCTCGCGGTCGACATCTACAAACGTCACTCTTGCTCCTGTACGTCCTGTCGCGGGTGCTGTCGATGCCGCAAGTGATGTTCGCAGCGGTAGCTGCCGCGGTGTGAAAGAAGCAAGGGAGGCCCGTGGGACAGCACCGTAACCCTGCCCGCCTTCGCCGGCATCATCATAGACGTCGCTTTGGAACCCGTCGCCGGATTGGTCGCCGTACGCCGCACGCAAGCGGCGTTCAAAGGGCGACGGCAGAGGCCCCATTGGTGTCGTTGTGACGGGGTCAAAGGAGGAGGAGGACGGGGGGAACTCCGCGCCAGAGACGGCCGCTGCGCCGACGACGGCACTCTTTCGAAGCAGCGAGTGGCCCGGGCGGAAGCGCGGCAGTCTTGGATCGGCCGGCGCGGGAAGGCTGCTGACACTGTGGCGCATTCCACCTCCGGTGGTGGCGGCAATGGACGACCGAAGGTGGCTGTGTGGCTGGATTGGCGGAGGCGCTGGCCGGCTTTGCGGGGTCCCCAGGGACGACGATGCCGCAATCGCTGTTAGCTCACTGCTACCCGGGCGAAACAGATGCCTCGTAGGCGTGTGTGCAGCGTGGGCGGCGGTGGGGGACAGCAGTTGGAGGTTACGGTGATCCGGCAGGCGGTGGGGGCTGTCAGGACCCAGACCGAGGTCTTCATCGCCCTCGGAAGACACATCCGCATCAGCATAGTCCCGCAAAGGGAGTGGATCAGTTTCGGCGTCTTCCGCTCCAGCCTCCACTTCGTCAAACTCAGACATAGGCCCTAGCTGGACCGAATCGGCCAACCGTGCGGCCGACAGTAACCGGCGTTGCAGAAGACGGTGGTTGTAAGGCGACGCGCGAACCCGGGAAACAGCAGTCTCTGGCGACGAAGACGAGGGTAAGGTGGTCGGGGTCGGTTGCGCCTGCTCTTGGTGCCGATACGATGCCGCAGTTGTTGATCGGTGTAGTCGCCGTAGTGGCTTGGTGCCTGCAGTTGGTGGCTGTTGAATCACATCTGTTGCCGCCGCCGACTCGGCCACCACGGCGCCGGGCGCAGGAACACTATGGCTGCCGCCGACAGCGCCGAGAACACCACCAGAATAGAACGGCCGCTGCGCTGTTGTTGTGACGGGGGTTTCTGTAATCGGGTGAAGAAGGAGACTGGCTGGCCGTGCGCCGACTTGGGCAACCCGGGCTGGGCGACCGTCGCGGTCGTCAGACCCAGGCACCCTCGACGGAGTTGGCCGAGGTGCGTCCGAGCGGCCAACCAGAGGCGACGAGAACGATGCACCCAGTCGCCAAAAACTGGAGCTTGGGCCAGCACCGTGGTCTTTCTCGCCTTGCCAACGGGACGCCGCGGATGCCGTGTAACTCAACCGTAGGTCGTCTTCTGGCTCAGCTGACCCGACGTAGAGCCGGTCTACCAGCTCTTGTTGCCAGACTGCCAGCACGCGTCTTCCGAGCCGACGCTCGTTTTTCTCGAGAAGCGCCGCCGCCGTGTGTTCCCGGCCCCGGGCCTGTACAGCCTGCAGCTCCCAGTCGTCCCAGCGCCCGGCCAGTTTTGTAATTGTATCGTGCTCAGCAGCCGCTGCGCCGAGTTCTTCGCAGTCGGCCAGCTGCAGTCGCCAGAGGCTGAGATACACCTCGGTGTCTGCTTCAGCAGCCACGGTATGCTGGAAAATGCAGTCGTTGGTCGCAAGGATCCAGTGGTTGAGCGTTGTAAAGACAGTGTAGGCCTCGTATTCGTAGCGGAGCTGATCTGCCATTGCGTATGCGCCGTTGCCACTCGTCTCCGTACCTTGGCGGAGAGTAGCATCGCGCCACACGGCGATACAGTCGGACGCCGTCTTGCGCTTCACCTCTCTCCGAAAGGTGTAGTACGTGGAGCGCAGGCGCTCCTTTCGAATGTTCTTGGCGTACGTAGACCAGCCACTTAAGGCGTTGGCGGTGCCGACGTAAAAAGCCCCACGACGGGCCATTTCACCCATGTCGTCGTGTTCGGCTGTCGCTGCTGTCCACAAACCCAGGGTTTTGTTTGCCACGGCTTCGTGGTCCAGGTACTTTGAAATCTCCTTCCAGGCGCCGCGCCTCTCGCCTTGCTGGTGGAAAGCAGAGACCAACCCGGCAAAGACATTGGTCTTGTCTAGCCTATCCGCAATCTGAGCCAGGTCGTCTTCGCGCTGTTGCTCTCTTTGCTGGCCTTGGCTACCAATGCCAAAATTTGCTTGGAGTGCGAAACAGGTCTTCCAGAGAAGCTGCTCATCGCGGTACCGGATAAGGAACGCAAGCTTCTCGGCCAGTACCCAGCTCTGCACGGCATCCATCTTGAGGTCATACTCATAGTCGGCGCGGAAAAGCGCAAGGCGGGTTTCGCGGTGCCAGTGGGCGACGTACTCTTCGGCGATGTCGAGGTCCAGTTGGGTTGCGCGATGCTTTGCCTCGGCGGCGCTCTCGCGCCAGGCCCCTAACACGGCCGACTTGGTGCGGGTTTCATTGGCAGCGTGCATAGCGCGCAGTTTTTCCTGACACAACGCTTCTTTGGACCAGTCTTGTAGTGCTGCCAGCATGTAGGTCTCATTCTCTTGCTCTTCAATACTGAGGAACGTCAGTGCCTGGCTCTGAGCTTGCTCGGCCCACGTAGCGGTCGCTGCGCCTAGACGAAACTGCTGTACTTTTTGGGCGGCCTTGTCCTCGGAGTGCGCCAACGCAATGGTCCGCTGGCACCAGCCCTCGACGGCCTTCTTCTTGAGACGATCGATGGCCCATGCCTCGGCGATCCGCTCCTGGTGTGCTCTAAGCCAGGTCCAGAACGTGACGGTCGCCAAGTCGCGGTGGTGGAATTGGATGGCCAATTTTCCATTCTCGTGGGGTCCTCGGTGCATCGCGGACGACCAGCGCCGAACGGCCCAGCTGAGCGCGAAGCAGTCGGCTTTGACATTATCAGTAGCCGTCTGCTCGCGCCAGGCACCAAAGACTTTGCGGCGCAAGAGGTGGCGACGAGCCACTTTGGTACGGCTGGCTTCCTCTTTGGCCATACTATGCCAGTGGCTGACGGCATTGAACATGGTCGTAATGGTATAAACGCGGGCTGCTCGGCGCATAAGTTTTTCGCGCTCGTCTTGTTTTTCTCGGTATTGGGCAGCGGCTTCGTCGTCTTGGTCGTCCTCCGCTTCGGCTTCTTCTTCGTCGACGTCTCCTAGCCGCTCAACTTCGTCCGGTTGACGTTCCTCGACGATGACCATCTCTTGTTGCAGGGCGGTTAATTGCCTGGACTTCCCCGTCATATCCTCAATGTGAGTACCAGCCACACTGCTCCACACGAGAAGCGCTTCTGATGCGGATAGCTCCCGGTCAATAGTTGCGGCATACCGCTCCTGTTGCTGGTGTGCAGCGCATGTTGTTCGCCACACATCAACTGCAAGACCGCCAAGGAAAGCAAACCGCATAAAATAAGTGTCGGCTACCTTGGCCATGATGAAGGGGTCAACCCGAGGTGGCGGCCCGGCCTCAAGTTCTTCTTGCACTGTCGTGTCGCTGGCGCCATGGAAGACTTCATGGTCAGAGGCCAAGGATGAGACCCGCGATCGGGGCGATTGGGGCTCGGTCCAGGAGCCAGCCGGTTGCATCGAGGAGTTTTGGGTGTGCGTAACAAAACCCGGGCCTGTTGGGCCAGCACCGGGTTGCGCAGAGGGGGGCCGGGTCTGCGAGAATGGGCGAGTGCGGATGGGGAGTTGTTGGTGGTATTGGTAGTTGTGGTTGTGAGAAAGATGGGCAGCGCCGTGGCCGCTTATTGCGTTGGGAGGCGTATCGTGTTGTTTGTGTTGTTGTAGGGCATGTTCGTCCTTCCGTGGCGCTGCCGCACGAAGTAAATCCAAGGATTGCGTGTATTGGTCGATACCAGGCACATCATTATCGTCATCGTAATCAAAGTTTCCTTCGGAAGGATCAGCATGTAGGTTGTCCTTAAGATTGTTGCCATGTTCCTCCGTATAGTCGACCTCTTCGGGCGCAGCAGGGTACCGAGGAACCTGCGACAACCATGGGTCGATCGGCCGCGATGTGTGAGGGGGTCGCGGCCGTGTCTGCGGACGCTGCTGTCGCTGCGGCGAAGGTAGTCGTGGAGCTGGTCTTGGCTCGTCTGCCGTGCCAAAGTAGTCCTTATAGTTCACCAGTGGCGGTGCAAGCGAGTCGGACCTGCGTCTGTGGTGCTGTCGGCGTTGTTGTTGCCGGCCCGTGGGTCGATGCGACTGGTGGTCAATAGGTGCGTCGTGGTGTTCAGGTTGGCCGCGGTTGAACCGACTCGCGCCCGCCGCGACCACAAACTCAGCCACACTGTCAGAATTGCGCCGTCGCCGGCCGGTCACATGTGGTGCAACGGGAAAAACACCAGAGTGAGAAGTCAGGCCGCCAGCGGATGAGCGCGTTGGGGAGTGAACTGAGAGAGGTGGTGATGGCGGGTGTGGAGACGGTGGCGAAGCTTGCACGTGTGACTGGCGGCGACGGGCGTGCTGAGCGTTGTTTTCTCCGTCCGCTGGATCATACATGCTGTTGTTGCTGTCGTCGTCGCCGTCGACGTCGGCATTGACACTGCTGCTCTCCGGGACGTACTCCAGCTCGATGCCCATGCGGCCTAGCACGGTTCGAAAGCGGTCGAGCAGGTTGTCGGTGGAGCGCATGCCGCCCACGAGAAAAATGATGCGGCTGAGCTTATCCTCGCCGTCCGGGTCGAGGCCATGGCGAGGGAAGACGATATCGGCGGCTCGGAAGAGCGCGGTCGTCGGCAGCTTGTCGCGCTTCGGCAGCGTAGGCAGGATGTCCTGGCCCAGCGCGACGACTTGGTGGAGGAGTTCAATGTCTGTGGGGTTAGCGACCGAGGCCGGAGAGCATGATGGTACGGAGGACGAGTCTCATACCCTCGTTGGTATAGTAAAAGGGCTCGCTCCCCTGGCGGATGGACGATGACCGGATCCTGCCATCTCGAGAGGATAGCGGAGCGTGAGACGGCATGGGGTCGAACACACCGGCGAAGGCATGATAGAGGGGGTTGGGCGAGACAAAGAGGAGGCCAAGAGGGGGCAAGGAGACAAAGAGTGAAGAGAAAAGGAACAACAAAGAAAGATACAAGAAGAAAATCGAGCAAATCGCAAGGCCACGGCTCAGGCTGGAGAGTCGCGCCAGACGCAAGGAGGTACGGTAGAAAGCCCACTAGGTAGGACAGTGAAGCCGGCGTGACAGAAAGAAAGACGACGTCAAAAAGAACGGGCGCCCGGGAAGAATCGTATGCTCTGCAGCTTGAGTGGCCACGGACTGCGATTTGCGCAGCGTGCCCAAAAAAAGCTTGTCGTGTCGTCAAGGGGAAAGACAGGGCCCAGGGGGACGCGTTAAGAGGTCTTGAGGTTTAGCGCGTAGGAAGGCGCCTGCCCAGTAGAAAAGTGGGTTCCTGCCACCAAAGACGGATTGGGCATGGTCCGTGAATCGCGTGGAGGGCAAGAGCTTCTTGGCCTAGATGGAAAGAACCGAAAGCTGGATTGGGAAACTGCACTGGCCAGCCGTGTGATGACACGACAAAGCATCGCATAAAAGTGCTCTTGTGACCGCGACAGCCATGCAACCACGAACACGCCCCATTCAGCGGGTTGCGGCCGCCGCATCGCAGTGCACTGCTGAGGTATGGGCACTCGTGGTTTGTTAGGATGAGTGTTGGATGGACGACCCGAGCTGACCAGCTAGGCCGCCGTCTATGGCAAATGCATTGTTGCCGACTACAACGCGGTGCACAAGGACAAATGTGCCGCCGAGTTTATGAAGCTGAAGGACTGCTACCTGGTGAGTTCCGGCTGTGATTGCTTGGCTCGGCCTTGCTGCGTGTTGGAGAGTTGCTGACCGTCCCAAGGCTGCGATGAAGAAATCCAAATAGCTACCGAGAGATTGCGGTCGCTATCGACGGGCGAAAGACTCTTCCTTGGCACGAATCTTTGATGGAAGCATGCCAAGAAGGTCTCCAGGCGTGCTGTGCACGATATTGCTCATGCATTGACTACGGCCAGACGTGGCGGTGGCGCCCTGGAGAGGGCCAATCCGGGAAGCATGCCACGATCCACGATGCTATAGACGCAACGTTGACATGGATTCTACGCGCATTTGTGCGTGCAGACGCCTCTTGTGGCAGATGCTTCTCTTGCATTGTGGGGAGCAGCCTGTCGATTAACGAATTTGATAACAACCACCACGTCGGACACCAACAGAACTCTCCTGGGCTACATATATCTACTTTATCGCACGAGCGTATTGTGATACATGTACCGAAATGGATCAGAATCAAGCGGAGTTGATTGCACTTCTTTCTGCTGCGTATTTCATATTCGTCCATGTCCGTACACACTCACAATGTCGATGCGGTCCTGCCCCAATTGAATATCTCTGTAAACAGTATATATATCGCACTATCCGATGCCATCATGCACCTTGCCCTTTTGCGCCACATGTCAAACACGCTAACAGGCCCCTGCCCTGTGTGCCTCGTGCTGCAGTCCCCGCAACTACCCTCCAATTAACCCGCTGTAACGATAGCGAACACTGCAGGGGTCTCGTTCCGTCAGTAAACAGACCACGCGCACCCCACTCCACCTCCCGCTAGGTGGTGCGGGCGGTTGCTGCGACTGCCCAAAGCGGCCCAAGCAGGGGGATGGACGTACGACGGGCAAGAGCAACAACAAACAATAGCGTGATGTAAATAGTGGCACCAACGCTTTCACCCCGATTGCGATCCCACGATCCAGCACAGCACGCCCCTTTTATTCTCGCCTGTCCTGTCCTGGAACGCGCATCCAGTTGACGACATCCGACATCCTCAATGCCCGCAGGCGACCGCCATTTCTGAGAGTCTGTTGTTGCGCCGCGATCGCTTCACCGTCGTCGCTCGATCTTGACTCTGACGAACCGGACTCTGCTTCGATCCGATCCTCAACGTCGCCAGTGCCATAGCCTGTGCCTCTTCCAATGTCGTTTTTCTTCAATCGCGGGCGCAGCCGCACAAATGCGGCCGAGCTGGCGCGGCAGACATACGACCTGCTGTCCCGCATCGACGTCGCCAAGAACCCAGAAATAAAGGTAGGGGACGAAACCAAAGCACCGATTCCAGACTCCAGACTCCAGACTTCCGGCCTCCCGAACATATGCTGACCGTCCTCCGTCATCTTGCCAGGTGGACGAGCCGCTGCCGAAATGTCTTGGCCAGATGAAGGCCATCCTCCAAGGCACACACGACGCCGAGTCCAGCCCCGAGCAGGTCTACCAACTCGTGCACGGCATTGTGGACGAGCAGGTGCTCTGCCTGCTACCCCAGATCCTGCACTTGCTACCCTTTGAGTCGCGCAAGGACGCGCAGGTCATCTTCTCATTCGTCTTCCGCTACCGACCGCCGAGCAACTACCCAGTCGCCTCCGACTCGCAGAACAACCAGCAGCCGGCGCCGCTCGCCGTCGACTTTGTGAGCAACCACGCGCCATCTGTGCTCATTGCCCTGTGCCGTGGCTACGACCACAAGGAGAGCGCCACGACCGCCGGATCGATATTGCGTGAGGTGCTCAAGCACGAAGCTGCCGCGGCCGTAGTGCTCTACGACGACGCAGACGACGACCCCAACAGCGGCTCGAGCGCCGGCGGCGTGTCCAAGATTGCGTTTAACCGCGTGCAGAGTGGCCGCGGCATTTTCTGGCAGTTCTTCAAGTGGATCGACACGAGTTCGTTCGAGGTGGCCGCCGATGCATTCAACACCCTTCGGGTATGTTTCTGTGTTCTGCCCTGCGTGTTCGTTGCTCATTATGATATGTCTTTTGTCGCAGCTAACACAAAGCCCCCTTCCCTAGGAACTTCTTACTAGGCACAAGGAACTTGTGCCGCGCTACCTCAGCATCAACTTCGACCTCTTCTTCAGCCGCTACAACACCACCCTCGTGCAGTCCCACAGCTACGTCACCAAGCGCCAGTCTATCAAGCTGCTTGGCGAGGTGCTGCTGGACCGCTCCAACTACACGGTCATGACGCGGTACGTCGACTCGGGCGAGCACCTCAAGATCTGCATGAACCTGCTGCGCGACGACCGCAAGATGGTCCAGTACGAGGGCTTCCACGTGTTCAAGGTGTTTGTCGCCAACCCCCACAAGTCGGTCGCCGTCCAGAAGATCCTGATCATGAACCGGGACAAGCTTCTCACGTTTCTGTCACACTTCCTCGAGGAGCGAACTGAAGATGAGCAGTTTATTGACGAGCGCGAGTTCCTCATCAAGCAAATCCGCAACATGCCGCCCAAGCCCGTTCCGCCGCAACGCTAGGTGCCGCAGCAAGGGGAGCCGACAATTGCCGTCTACGGGCGGTAGTAAAAAGAGATGCGCGACGTTGACCGCTATTGTTTGTTGTTTTGTCATTATCATTTTCTATTCTGGCATTTATTTTTGCTTCGGTTTACATTCTTATATTGCATACTGTTTGGCGCCGGCGTTTGGGAACATGGGACTGATTGTGGAGGAAGAGGGAGAGAAAAGAGAGTGAAAAGAGAGAGAGAAGGAGAGTTAGAGAAGTGGGAAAAGGTGCAAGTAGACGATTACAAATCGAGCTTGTGAAAGCATACGGAGTGCTTCTTCCAGCCGCATCTCCGCCCTGTTTTTACAGCAGCAAATTGTACGAGACTGTTTGCAAATGAGCGGTTATTTGAGGCCGTGCTTTGGACAGTTTTGTTTGTGTATCTGGGCCTGCGCCAAGTAGCGAATACATATCATCAATGCTCCGCCTCTCTCCCTTCTGTTTCGCCATCCTTGACTGAGTCCAGCGCCGGGTAGACGTCCCTGTCGCATTGTTAGCAAACCATTGGCAGAACCAACATTCACAATCAGTGGCTCAAGTACTCACGTTCGTCTGACCAGTGGCAGCCGCTCCCGCACGCTCTCCCACACGGACAGGTCGATGTCCACCAGCCCCAGCTGGCCCTCTGCACCCTCGTCAGCATTGCCCACATCCGGACCCGTCGCGTTCTCATCGTCGCCACCCACCACGCCGCCCAGCCGGCACAGCACTTTGCCCCACGGGTCCACGGCCAGGCTGCGCCCGTAGCTCACGCGCTTGGCATTGTGCCGCCCGACCTGCGCCGCCGCAATGACGTAGCACTGGCTCTCAATGGCCCGCGCTCGCAGCAGCACCTCCCAATGCGCACGGCCCGTCGGCACCGTAAACGCCGATGGGTACGTGATAATGTGCGCCGGTGCGGGTTGGGCGTAGTGTGCGAGAGCAATGGCCGGCTCCGGGAACCGCAGGTCAAAGCACGTCAGGCTGCCCAGGCGGCCGAGGGGTGTCGTGTACGGCGGGAGCAAGGCAGTGCCGGCCTGTGTCTGGGCGCTTTCGCGCAGACCTGCAGCCGCATAGTCGAAAAGGTGCAGCTTGTCGTAGTTGCCATAGGGCGCGACGCGGCCGGCCGGGTCAATGTAGATGGTGCGGTTGAGCAGCTTTCTGCCAGCGCCTGCTGCTGCTGTCGTCAAAGACACTTCGCCGGTTCGTACAACAGTCGGCATCACCGCATTTGATCCGGCTGCGGAGGCAGTCACGGCCACTGGCACGTGGATGCCCACATGCACGGCCACACCGTGCTGGGCGGCAGCCGACTGCAGGCCGCGCACAAAGGGCGACTCGTCCACCGGCTGCGCGAGAGCCAGGGCTTGCTCCGGCGATGTGGCAATGTAGTCAGATGCCTCGGGCAAAAAGAGCACTTTGGCCCCGGCGGCGGCAGCTCGCCCGACAAGGCTGACGCACTGCTCGAGGTTGTGGGCCACGGAGGCCGTGGAACAGATCTGGCCGATGGCCTGGAGTTGTGAGGTGTGTTAGACTGGCGATTGTTGGTGTTTGGGCGACAGAGAAGAAGTTACGTACAGCAATCGCCATTATGAAAAGACTCTGGCTCAACTCGATGGTTGTTTCAGTTGTGACGCAGGATGTCGTCTTGCGGTAGGGGCAATGCTATCTAAGCGGCGCGGGCCATGACGGAGATAAAGCTTCGACGAGCTTAGCGGGACCTGATTGCATCATTTTTGCAGCCACAACGTACAGACAGCTACAGCGAAACACGAATTACAGCATCCAGGTCCACGTCGAGAATGCAAACTACAGGTAAAATAAAAGGTATGATTACAAATAAAGTCGTCGCTGCCCCTAAATATGACCTGTATAAGGAAACTGAGACGAAGACGGGGCAGTAAAAAAACTCCTTTTGATGAGCCCAAGGGACAAAAGCCGCAGAAACATTGACAAAATGATCGAGTATCTGCCATTACACATGACACGCGCCGTACTCCCCGAGGATGTATAGAACGTAAAGGGAAACCCAAAAGCAAAATCTGAGAGACAAGGCGGCAGAACAAGGCCCCATTGTCGTCCTTTATCTCCCCCTTCTTTTGTGCAATATAGTTGAGCGGATAAGAAGATCCGTACAGAGTCTGTTGTGAGAGATGTTGTGACAATGTTGTGACAGATGTTGTGTTAAAATGTTTACGAAAAAAGCACAACAATACTGCCGCTCATGGTGCTGGCTTCGGCGGCGGCAGAGGAAAGCCGTCCAGCTTGTCGTATGCCGTCTGCAGTGCCGCCACCTCCCGGCCATCCGCCTCGAGGACGACCACCAAGTCGCGCAGTTGGATGTCTTTGCCCTTGATGCCGTCCTCGCGCCACGAGCCCCATTTTGTTCTCGCTTCCGCAGTCAACATAGTGGGCTCACTAGACTTCCGGCCAGGCGTGTTGGCACCGCTGCCTCCAGCGCCGCTAGAGCCCCCTGCACCTCCTGCGCCGCCGCCGCCGCCGCCGCCGCCGCCTAGACCACGCTTGGGTGATGCGCCAGCACCGCCGGACAGCCACGAGTACTGCTTCTTGCGGCCGCCCAAGAAGGCCATACTTGTGCGGTTGGCACTGAGTGTGTCGTTTTGCTCGGCGACCTTGGCAGCTGCGTTCTTCTTAAGCTCCTTCTTCGTCGGCGCTTTGTCGGGCTCCGGAGCAACAGACCCTGGCGTTCCAGGCGTGGCTGTGCGGTTCGCGGTCGGCGTAGATGGCGCGGCCGAGTCGGTTTTCTTACCCTCGCGCTTCTGACGTTTAAGCAGCCGCTGCTCCTCGAAGCTACGCTCGGCCTTGCTAACGATGCGCAAACTCTGGATGAGGGTATTGCCAGCGGCAATCTTTTTCGCGACACCGCCCAGGTCCGTCTTGTCGTCCACTTCGAGAGTGCCTTCCGATTGTTAGAATACATCATATACAAATTGACGCTCCAGTGCGCATCTGCGCCATTGTCCTTTCTCTCTCAGACGCAAAAACGAAAACGTAAAATACTTACGCTTCAAGGAGCTCTTGTCCGCGTCAGTCATGATCGCGTCGCCATCCTTGGAGGCGACTGCGGCTTCTGCCGCAGCGGTAGCCGACGGAAGAGGTGCCGCGGCCTCCAGCCACTCGTCCGGAACAACGCCGTGGGACGTGGTCTGGCGCGTTTCTGCCACCTTGTTCGCATCCTCCAGCAGCTCCCGAATCCGGTGCTTGGCGGCAAGAGACAGCAGCGCCAGCTGGTCTGCAAGGAACGTATCCTCCGGAATAAACGCCGCCGTTGTCGAGATAAGCGACACGCCGTCCGGCCCCTTTTTGGTATTGACCGTCACATATGGCTTGGGAAACTCGGCCTCCTGCCGCGCCCGTCCGGTCGTCACCGGTGGCACTTTGGGATCCATAACCACACCAATGCCGTACTCGTTGGCAATCTTCTCGGCCCGCAAGAACACAGCGCCGAAATCAAGGAACCGGTTCTGCAGCGCATTGCTCCGCGACGACGCCAAAGCCCGCGCTGCGTCGGTCCATGCGTGCTTTGCAGCTTCCACCTCAAATATCCGCTGATTTGCTTCGTCAACCGTCTCGGCCGGCTGGTTTGCAGACAGAGAGCCATAAAACGAGCCTCGCGGTCCCGGTGTATTTGCAGGGAACCCCGTCCGTGCCTCGGGCCGGAACGTGCCCGCAAAATAGTCGGCCTGAAACTGCTCTTCTTGTCGGAGATCGATACCGGTGCCGGCCAGCGAGTCGTCGACGTCGTACTGGTATTCCTTTGTCGGTGGTTTCGAAGGTGGGCCCATAGCGCCGCCTGCCGGTGTCTGTGCGGTTGGGGTTGCAGCAATCGGTACAAAGTGGTTCCCGTTCGTAGGGCCAACGCCGCCACTTGGCACGCCCGGCGTCGCCTGCGGGAATGGAGGCCCCGACGGCGTCGGGGGACCTGATGGCGTCGGTGGTGTCGGTGTCTGTGCTGGTTTCGGGGACAAGATCTGAGGTGCAGGCGAACCAGACGGCATTTGGGGTTTGTGAGGCGAGTAGCCGTTTGACGCGTTGTTTGCCTGGCCGGCGGCTGGCAACGGAGAGGGCATCGGCATCGGAGAAGCTGCGGCGGAGGTGGGGAGTGCTGGGGTCGGGAGAGGCATGGAGAGTGGCGCGTTCGCCGAGTGAGCGTTGGATGAAGGAAGTGCTAATGGCGAAGCTAGGGAATTCGGAGTTGACGGCGTCGCAGGACTGTTGTTGCTGTGCGGGCCGCCGTTCGCCCCGACAGGAGAGAAAATGCCCGAGGGCGACTGTACGAGACCGGTTGGCGATGGTGCGGGAGAGAGCTGTGTCTTTTTTGAAGCTGGCTGCCCCGAAAACGCCGCAGGATGAGGAGCAGGGGACGGGCTTAGTTGGGAGGTTGGGGAGAAGGTCCTTTGGGGGACCTGAGGTTGCGGTTGAGCCATGACAATACAACACGGAATAGGAGATCCCGCCAACGTTGTGTTGCAGTGAGAAATCAGTGATGGGGGGAATGGGATCTCGTGGGAGGGCGTAAATATGGTCGTCCGAATTGCCGATTATTGAAGGCAGCGTAGACGTAGAAGCGAATTCAATGAGTTGCTGATGGGAAATGATTCACAAAAGCGTTGCAACCGCCGCCACCCGGCAGACAGCGAGGCCTGTCGAGCCGCCCAGAGTTGTGCAGCCGGCTGGAACGCCCATCCAGATCTTCCACGAGGCCGGTTGCAAGTGTCGAAAAGCTGAGACAGCAGCGTTCAGCGGGACACGCGCCGCAATCGCAGTCGTCGAAAGCGCGACAGAAAGAAGTCGGCGGTGGCAGCGCAAGATGCAATACGAGAGGCAGATCGAGCGCACGTTCGTAGTGATGCCGGCGTGGTGCGTAGGCGTTGTCGAGAGCAGGGAGTGTGGATGGATGCCGAAGAGGAGGTTATTGGTTTTGCCTCTCGCCTCTGCGAAAGCAAACGAACACCTCTGGGAAGGACCGCGGCGCTAACTGTCGGTCGCGTTCTCGGATACACGTGACAGGTCACACCAAGCGCAAACAGAGCGCGGGACGGAAAAACGACGTGCCGGCACAGTGCTAGCGCAGTCGCGAGGCGCACCTACCCCATATTGCTTTGTACACGCGCCAGGGTGAGCCGCATCGGCTCTTGTGCCAAAAGCTCATTGTTGCAGGTCCAGGCATTGTCATGCACTCCAGCATCTCGCATTCTCCGAGTTCCCTGACACCAGCCGACGTCTCCGGCCGCTTGCCTGTCCGGATGCCGAGTGTCGACCGGCAGTTTCAGTGAGCCTTTGGGCTCAAACGTTTTGTATCGACAATAGCCGTTTCGAAGCAGCCGAGCGATTTCGAAATATCGAGACGCTGTCGAGCCTGGACGACTTCGGTCGTTTTCGCGACCTTGTTGCGCGTACAGTCTTGCGCGTACAGTCTTTGCGCTGCACTGCTAACATAGCACTTCGTTCTGATGGCTTCCAAGCGCAAGGCTGCGGCGATGGGCGCTGCGCCCGAAGAGCCTGTCGACCCGTCCGACGAGCTGATGTTCCTGTGTCTCGGTGGTGGCAACGAAGTTGGCCGGTCGTGCCATATCATCCAGTACAAGGGCAAGACAGTCATGGTATGTTATCTCATTGCACTGAAGAGCATCTTTCGTTGGGGCTTAGTCTCTAATCAAGCATATAGCTCGACGCTGGCCAGCACCCTGCCTACGATGGCCTCGCATCGCTCCCGTTCTTCGACGACTTTGATCTCAGCACCGTCGACGTTCTTCTCATCAGCCAGTAAGCCCACATCTGCGTGTATATTTTGTTGCCATTTCTGTCAGAGTACCAGTTTGTCTCTGCATCGAGGAACCGGAGAAGGCTTTGTCCCTGTGTCGCCGAACCGGGAATCCCAAGGGTCTACACATCAGCCATAACACAGGCAGTCGTCATACCCTAGGCGGTAGAAGGACTTCAATTTATTTGGTTTCCGCCGCAGTAGTCCTGCGGTGACGTGCGATTACTGGGTTTTGGCCACTCGGTTTCATGTGTGTGTATATTCAAGAAGCCGCTTAGTATGCAGTTATCAATACAATCGAGTCTGTTTTGTTGCACACGGCTTTGTCTCTTGTCTCCTCCGCTTCATTTAGTAAATCGTGACCTCTACCCTAGATCCGCCTATGCTAACAGCATGTCACAAGTTTCCACATCGACCACGCCGCCTCGTTACCTTATGTGCTCGCAAAGACAAATTTCCGTGGCCGCGTCTTCATGACACACCCGACCAAGGCCATCTACAAGTGGCTTATCCAGGACAGTGTTCGCGTGGGCAACACATCGTCGAATCCGACAACACAGCTGGTCTACACCGAGCAGGACCATCTCAGCACATTCCGCCAAATCGAGGCCATCGACTACCACACAACACATACAGTCTCGGGCATCCGTATCACGCCATATCCGGCTGGCCATGTTCTCGGCGCCGCCATGTTCCTCGTCGAGATTGCGGGCTTGAAGATCTTCTTCACGGGCGACTACTCGCGCGAGCTGGATCGGCACTTGGTCTCTGCCGAGGTGCCCAAAGGCGTCAAGATTGATGTGCTCATCACCGAGTCCACGTACGGCATAGCATCGCACGTGCCTCGTCTTGAGCGTGAACAGGCGCTGATGAAGTCCATCACGGGCATTCTCAACCGTGGGGGCCGCGTGCTAATGCCTGTATTTGCTCTCGGCCGTGCGCAGGAGCTGCTACTCATTCTCGACGAGTACTGGAGCAAGCATCCTGATTTCCAAAATTTCCCCATCTACTATGCGAGCAACCTCGCCAAGAAGTGCATGGTCGTGTACCAGACGTACACGGGCGCCATGAACGACAACATCAAGCGTCTGTATGCTGAGCGTGCACGGGAGGCCGAGGCCTCGGGAAATACGGCGGGTGGCGGTGGCCCGTGGGATTTCCGCTTCATTCGGTCGCTCAAGAGCCTTGACCGCTTTGAGGACATTGGCGGCTGTGTCATGCTGGCAAGCCCTGGTATGCTGCAGAACGGTGTCAGTCGCGAGCTGCTCGAGCGGTGGGCACCCAGCGACAAGAACGGCGTGATCATCACGGGCTACAGTGTTGAAGGCACCATGGCGAAACAAATCATGCAGGAGCCCGAGCACATCCAGGCCGTTATGTCACGCAACCTGACGGGCGCCAACCGCCGGGCGCCGGGCGCAGACTCGGAAAAGGTGTTGATTCCGCGGCGGTGCAGTGTTCAGGAGTACTCTTTTGCTGCGCATGTCGACGGCACAGAAAACCGCGAGTTCATCGAGGAGGTGAACGCTCCGGTGGTGGTAGGTCCTCCTTTGTGCTGCATTCTATGGATTGTTATATTCACTGACAAATTGTTGCCCAGATTCTTGTCCATGGCGAACAGCACAACATGATGCGCCTCAAGTCCAAGTTGCTGTCCCTCAACTCGGGCAAGGCAGAGAAGGATAAGATGAAGGTGTTCAGCCCGCGCAACTGCGAGGAGCTGCGCATCCCGTTCAAGACGGACAAGATTGCCAAGGTCGTCGGCAAGCTGGCGACGGTGACCCCGCCGACGCAAATCAGCCCAGCTCAACAACAGGATGCAGAGCAAGACCGGTCATCGGGACCCATTATCACAGGCGTGCTCGTCCAGAACGACTTTAAATTGTCGTTCATGGCGCCGGAAGACTTGCAGGAGTATGCAGGCTTGACGACAACGACCATTGTCTGCCGACAGCGCCTCACGTTGAGTGCGGCCGGTATTGACCTCATCCGCTGGGCGCTCGAGGGCACGTTTGGCGCCATCGAGGAGCTGCCCGAGATGCACAAGCAGAAGGGCGTCAAGCAGCTGCAGCAGAATGGCAAAGCTACGAAGAAGATTGTCAGCAATGGTGCCGCAGATTCGGAATCGGACACGGTCCAGAAGTCCAACGGCGATGGAGAGGATGAGGACATGGAGGACGACAAGTTGTACGACGACGAGGAAGACGACGAGGATGGGGATGACGAGGAGGCGGCTGATGAGGAAATCAACAAGCTGGTCGCCGCGTACCTCGTAATGGGATGCGTGTCTGTGCGGTATTATGCAAACGGCGAGATCGAGCTAGAATGGGAGGGCAATCTGCTCAATGACGGCATCGCCGATGCTGTCATGGCTGTCCTCTTTTCCGTTGAAAGCAGCCCGGCTGCCGTGAAGCGTACGTCCTGCGGCCTTGAGAGAAACAACGTCTGCGCTGCATACGGGTCACATATTGCTAACACATTTAGAATCCGGCAAGAATGGGCATTCTCACAGCCACGATCACGACGCACATGATCATGAACATCATGTGCTCCCTATGCGCAACCTGCACGCTCATATTACGCCTGAGGAGCAGTTCAGCCGCCTTTGCATGTTCTTGGAGGCCCAATTTGGTGCCGACAACGTATCGCCCATCGCCGAGCCACGAGTGCGAGAAGACGAGGATGGAGGGGCCGTCAAGGAGATCAGCAATGGTGAAGAGAAAGCCACCGACGGCGGTGAAGATGCCAATGCTGCAGATGAACGGCGCCAGGAACGCGTTCGTCGCGAGCTGGAGCGGCTACACGCCGCCGGCATCCCGGTCCCGGGCGTCTTGGTCAAGGTCGACAAGATGGAGGCCAAGGTCTGGCTTGATGATCTGGAAATTGACTGCGCCCAGCGAGTATTTGCCGAGCGCGTGCGCGCTGTTGTCGAGCGTGCCGTGGAGGTGACAGCACCGCTGTGGCGGTAGACGAATGAAACAAAAAGGAGGGAAGGGCAGCAATCCCATTTTAAATTAAGGAAAGCAAAAAGACGCCGGCGTTCGTTTTCAAGCGTTATTTTGTCACAATGTTTTGTGTTTATTTGCGTTTCTGGCTGGGACTCGTATTTTTTCGTATTTGACAATGACCACATTTCAATCTCAAAAGACAATAAAAAAATGAAAGGTGCTTCTTGATTATTGGTTTAGGTCTTGAACAGGAATATCAAATGGCGAGAGAAGACGAAAAAAAGGAATAAGAAAATGTAAATTTAAAACAATACATGGGTCGAATTTCGTGGTCTTTTTTTTAACAAATAATATTTTTTTTATGAAAAAAAAAAAAAAAAAATCAACCCCAATACAAAATATACGATTGTACAGGCAACAAAACTGGATTGATTTTGTGATCATGACCAGTTAATTATTACGTATAAATACAAAAAATATTAATGGAATAAAGGTGTCAGTCTTGCGCTCATTGACGAGAGAAAGGATGTTGAAGCGACTGGAGTTTGTAAGAATAGTTTTGTCGCAGCTAGCGAATGGCAGCCCCACCTCAGAGCCAGGACTGAGCGCCTGTCGCGACCAGAAAACAACCGAAAATTAGCGCTGAAGCACATGGGAGGAAGGCGCAAACGGAGACGCACATGGAAGGCACAAGGGACCTGGGCGGGCTGATTGGTCCTTCCTGCCAGCTTTTAGGGCCACTTTTCCCAGCAGGCCGCACCTTCCCAGGTGCTGGCCAGGCACAAGCCGAGCCAGCCCACGGTCCGATAACGCTAGTCATTTTCACACGCATTTTTGCTGGGGAAATTTTTTTGAGTCGTCCCGGTCTTGCGAGAAATGCTTTAATCCTCGACTTTACTTCGTATGACCCTGGATTTTCCCGAGAATCGCCGACGCAAGTGTGACTTTCACGACAAATCGGCGGTTTGATCAACAAGACGCCGCGTCCAGCTGCGACCATCCCTCCGCCCTCCTCGACTTTCCTCGTTCACTTTCCTCCTCAACCTCATCGACCTCGCCACCTCCCGACGCCTCACATCCACCATACGCAATGTCTCCTCCTGTGGGCGGTGTCCAGAAGGAGTCTAACCTGGCTCGTCTGCTGGGCTCTGGTATGCGACCACGAACGCCGACGGACAAGCGGCAATGGCTTGTATTGGGGGTACAATAAGAAGACGCAACTGAGGCTGACTGGCGGTGTGCAAATCGTAGGATCGGCTGGTATCGCCGAGCTTGCTGTCTTCCACCCGGTATGTTGACCCCGCAAGACGGCGGCACATGAGGCGCGATGCGGGTTTCCCCGTACAGACCAGCTTTTCTAATATTTCTGCGACAACAGGTTGACACGATCGCAAAGCGCCTGATGAGCAACGAGGGCAAGGTATGCGACCCCATCATGAATGATGCCCATGCGCCGGACGTCCGGACTAACCCGTGCTTTCCTTCAAGATTGTCAACTATGCGCAGCTCAACAAGGTCATCTTCAAGGACAAGGCCGCCGCCCCCCTCGGTCGCAAGTTCGTGTCTCTCTTCCCCGGCCTGGGCTACGCTGCCGGCTACAAGGTCCTGCAGCGGATATACAAGTACGGTGGCCAACCCGTTGCTCGCGACTACCTTTCCGAGCACTACGGCAAGAACTTTGAGAAGGCATTCGGTGCCAAGACCGGCAAGGCCATCATGCACTCCACTGCTGGCAGTCTGATCGGCATTGGCGAGATCGTGCTGCTGCCCCTCGACGTTCTCAAGATCAAGCGCCAGACGAACCCCGAGGCCTTCCGTGGCCGTGGCGTGCTGCGCATCATCCGTGACGAGGGCTTCGGCCTGTACCGTGGCTGGGGCTGGACGGCTGCCCGCAACGCGCCGGGTTCTTTTGCTGTACGTTGCTGCCCCCACGTTTCATGTACTTTTTGATATTTTGTCGATTCTCCGCCTGCATTTTCTGTCTGTCTTCTGCGGGCCCGTGCTGACGTTCCCACTAGCTCTTCGGTGGTTCTGCGTTCGCCAAGGAGTTTTTGTTCAAGCTGCAGGACTACAACAAGGCCACCTGGTTCCAGAACTTTGTTGCCTCGATTGCCGGTGCTTCCGCGTCACTGGTTGTCTCTGCGCCGCTCGACGTCATCAAGACCCGTATCCAGAACCGCAACTTCGAGAACCCCGAGAGTGGCTTCCGCATTCTGACCAACATGGCCCGCCACGAGGGCTTCTCTAGCTTCTTCAAGGGCCTTGTCCCCAAGCTGCTGATGACGGGTCCCAAGTTGGTCTTCTCCTTCTGGCTGGCGCAGACGCTCATCCCGGCCTTCGACACCGCTCTGAAGCGGTAAGAGGCCTGACGCGTGATGCAAGCCAAGCGCAGATAACCGAGGGCGAACTGAAAATATAAAGAATTACAAGCGGCTGTGACGACGCGCGAGATCGGGTTTACGTTGTACAAAAAGAAAGGATCTCTTTTGGGCGGGCAACAGTCTTTTCGCGGGAGAAGGGCAGTCTTGGATGGATGGCGTTTTGTGTGTTAAAATAACCCTGGCATGTGTTTTTTGTCTCTTAATTTTTCTGCCTTGTTTTCCGCCATAGAACATCTCCCTGAATTGATTGAGTGGGCAAAAAAGAAGGACGGAATCGTTTGGAAAAGACGCGTTCCTTAAAATCCGTTGTCCGTGTGCCGTTGTCTGAAGGGTGTTGTGGACCCGGATTCATCAGATGCTGGACGCAAATGTATGTACCAAACGGCCAGCCTTTCGACGACCTTGCCAACGTAGCAATCGAGCTGTGTGACGTTGAACTGGTTGTCTGCGTTGTCAAGAAAGATCCTGCGTGCTCAACAATATGGAATTTTGCAGACAAATTGAAGACGTCTTAAACGACCCACTTTAATTTGTCTGTGGCGGTCGTGGTTGCCCCAGCAGCGAGTGGGGCCATTTGTTTATCCCAGCACGCTGTTTTGATCCACGCAACGGCTGGCCGTGCGAGCAGTGCTGCCACCTCCTTCCCTGCAATGACGAAACCCCCCGTGCCTTCCTTTGTTTGCATTGTCAGGCAATAGCTGTGTATGCAAAGTTTGGTTCGGGCAGGTGCGATAGACCTTGCGATATAACCTCCACCCTTCTCATCCAGAAGGCAATCCTCTGGTCATCGCTTTTCTATACTACGCTCTTTTATCGCCCTTTTCGAGAACTCCTGCGTCCTCAAGTTTTGTTTTCAGTTCGCCTAGTTTCTTATCTTTTACGCCGATGTTTAGTCCTTTCCGAGAGTATTGAAATCATTCTGGAAGGCAGGCAACGGCAAACCAGCGCCGATCACAAATATTTTCTTGTACTTTTCGCCCTCTCAGGACTATCGTCAACATTCCTCCCGCCACGCATCTCCTCCCCTTTCTGCAACGTGCGCCATTCCAGTCAAGTTCTGCACCCACCTACCTCCTCCTAACGAGCTGTGCGGCCTCGTCTCTCGCCAGTAACGGCGCCCACAACAATGCCTCCCATAGAGCGCGACGTCGCTCTCTGGGACCCGGAACGTGTGCTCAGACACCAGCATTCATCGTCGTCTGATCATGGCCGTTCTTTCATTCCCATGTGCGTGTGATTGCTATCCGCCTCCTTGCCTTTTGCTTTCTTTTGCGTTCTTTTGTGTATGCACGTTCAGACAGTGCCTGTTGCCTTTGCGTGCTTCGTTATGTTGGCTGTGCATCTGGCCACAAACAAACGCATTGGACAGTCTTATACTTCTCCCCGTATTCTCAATGAGCTTCTCTTAATCTCCCTTCCCTCTCCCCAGAAATGGCGGTCGTTTGGCGTCGACTGACACAGAAACGCAAAAACAGGTGGGACAGTTCGGATCCCGAGCGGGCACCACCGCCGCTGCCTCTGAACCCGCAGTCGCCGAGTGTCGGTACCTCTCGGCCAGGCACCTCGACGAACATCCAGTCAGCCCACGCCGCGCTCACCGAGAAGGCCCGCGAGAGCGCTCTCGTGTCCAACGCTCTCGCTAAGCGCATCGGCGACGCCTCACCCGAACGCACGCCTCGCGGCTCCCTCTCGCACACCAGCTCCATCTCCACAAACTCCTCTTCCAGTTCCGCACCGCGCTCACAATCCCACCGGCGCATGCAGTCACTACAGCCCAACACAGTTCGCGATCTCAGTTTGATGATTGAGACCGGCGGCGCGAACAGCAACACCAGCCGTGACCCCAACAGCACGACGCCGCGGTCGCCCGAGAAGACCGCCCTTATCGGTCTACCTTCGACACCGCTCAAGAACCGGACTGACCCCTTTCTATCAGACGACAAACAGCCGATCAACGTCAACCCTGGTCCGGGTCCTAGCCTGACGCCTATTGTGCGGCCCATCGTCCGGCGGCCACAGCAGAGCATCCTGGGCGAGAACACTCCGCCTCAGTCGGCGACGATGCTCGCTTTGCACAGCATGGCCGCATCCAACCCGAGCCAGAGAGAGCGCGAGCCGGCAGCATCGCTTCCCTTGCCGCCCTCATCCACACAGCAGCAGCCAACTGCACAGCTGGAGACCGCTCCTGCTCCTGCCCAGGCTCCCCTCACAAATGTCTCAAACAACAGCTCCGCAGGCGGTGCTAAGAGCCGCGGTGGGAACAGCAGCAGCAGCAGCAACAGCAGCAGCAACAGCGGTAACAACAATAGCATGGCCATGACCGTAGTCAAGCAGCCACATATGCCAATGGAGCATTTGTCTAAGCAAATCATGAGCCTTACCAACATTGCTACATCCCTGCAAAAGGAGATGTCCGCACTGAGCCGGAGAAGCAGGGACAATGCTACCGATCTACTCAGCCTCAAGGAGGCGACTAATGCCAGAGACGAGGACATCCGCAAGAGCCTTCGCGAACTTATCACCAACGCGAGTGAAGTGGCATCCACTCGGTCTCGCGACTCACACCCTGGTGGCCCCTTCATGATCGATAACAAGCCGCATGGCCAGCCTCACGCTACCTCGCCTTTATCTAGGTCTGTGCGTCCCTTCTCGCTTCCCCGGATTCCATCTCCCAACAGCTTTGCTGCTTCTCTCGACCGTGAGTCTATGAGCACGCCGTCTCTCTATGCAGCGGATGGGCCCAACACCATTTCTATGCTGGAACGTATTGTACGCGAAATGGGCACAAAGGAAGGACAGGACCTTCTCATGAGCAGACTCTCTGAAGTCATCGAGAAGCTCTCGGGCATGGCGTCGGCCGCTAAGCTTGAGGAGCTCCTGCAGTTTGTCAAGGAGCGCCAGGAGCAGTCTATTGTTCCTGCTGCTTCTGGTCCTAACAGGCCCCGCAACTATAGCTTTGACGACGAGCCTGTCAACTCTCAGCGTGAGATCGAGTACAATCGCAAAGGTCCCATGACCCAACGCGCGGAGCGCCTTCTTCAAAGTGCGAGCACCTCGGCAATCGAACAGCGCCGCTCGTCTGCGCCTGCTACTGGCATCAATAATGGGATCAACAACGATGTTCTCAACATCATCAAGACAGTCAAGGACAGTGTTGCCCAGGGTGGTGGTCTCACGGCCGAAGTTAAGGCCCTGGTCCGAGAGCTTCGTGGCGAGGTTTTGGGTATGGGCCGTGAGATTGGCCGTCGTTTGGATGAAGTCGAGGTCCGCGCCAAGGATGAAGGCAAACCGTCAGCTGCCACACAAGCCGAAATGGCCAAGGTTGTCGAGGAGGGCCTTTCCGAACTCAAGCAGCACATGAACAACCTCATGCGTGAACACCGCCGCCAGTCGGCTGCGTCTGCTGCCACCATTGCGGCTGCTGCTGCCGAAGCCGTTCCGGCTGTTGACTACCAAGAAGTGTACAACTCGATGCGTGCCGCCCTGAAAGACTCGCAGGCGAACAAGCTAAATCGCCCAGAGTTGAGTCGCGACGATGTTATTGCGGCGGTTAAAGATGCCTGGGAGACATACAAGCCTGAGATCGAGGTTCAGCAGATTGGCCTCGAGCGTGACGAGGTCCTGACCTGTCTGGAGCAGGGCCTCCGCGATTATGTCCCCCGCAACGGCCAGCCCGCTGGCGCTACTCGTGAAGAAGTATTCAAGGCTGTTGTCGAGGGCCTCGCCCATTTTGTCCCGCCTCAGATGCCTTCCAGCGGCATGTCTCGTGACGAGGTCCTTGAGGCTGTGCGCGAGTGTCTCGAGGAATTCGAGTTCCCCGTTGCTCCGTCTGCCATGGGGGCTGAGATTAGCAAAGAGGATATGGTTGACGCCGTTAAGCAGGGCCTCAATGGCTTCGACTTCCCGCAGACGAACCGTGACCTAATTTCAATGAGCCCCTCCGAAAACAGCGACGAGATTATTTCACGCCTCCACGAAATCATGACGTTCATGCGCGAAGAGTTCAAGGCTGTCTCCGACGAGGCGAAGCAGAATGTTGCCGCCAACGGTCGCGACACCGAGCAGGTCTTGGATGCGACCAGAGATGGCCTCGAGAAGCTACGCTGTGATCTTGAGACTTATGTTGACAAGGTCGCTGCTGCCGTCACGCATCAAGATTTCTCCGAGGGCCTTATTCGGACCTTGGATGTTTTCCGCGACGAGATCTCGGACCTGGTCTCCAAGGCCTCGGACGGCTCAAAGGATATGCTCAGGGAGGAGATTGAATCTCTTCGGGATACAGTCAACACATCGCTTGTCCCAGCCATTCCGGTCCCGTCTGCTGCGGCTCCTGCTAATAACCGGGAGGTTCTCGAGGCGCTCCAGGAGGGCGTGAACCTCCTTCGCAACGAGATCAGCAATCGACATGTCAACAGCACGTCGGAAGTTCTTGACGCTATTCAAGAGGGCCTTTCCGACCTGCGGATTAGCATCGACAGACTCGGCAACAAACCTGCCGATCTTACCGCCAATGACGAGATTCTGGATGCGCTCAAGTCCGGTCTTAGTGATGTTCGCACCGATATTGACGGTCTGCGGGACCAGAACAACAATGCTATTTCCACCGTTGAGGCTAACAACACGGCACTGGTCCCTGCCGATATGTTGAGACACGACGACATTAAGAATCTCGAGATGCTCATTACACAGCTGCGCACCAAGGTCGACGTCATCGACGCCTCACAGAGCAAGCAAACGACCAACCGCGACATCACCACCACATCCGACGAAGGCCCGTCGTCTGCCCTTACCACGGAACGGGAAGCAGAGTGGAAGGAGAAGATTACGCAGATGGAGTCCAAGCTCCATTCCATCCACGAGTCTGTTACTGGGCTGGCTAGCCGGGAAGTCCCTGCTTCGACCGTTTCTGCATCCGAGGACGCTCCTGCGCCGCGGCCCTCTACTGATGCCGCCTCCCGCGAAGATGTGGAGGCCATTGA